TAATATAGTTATATAATTAGGTAGTTAAGTATTCAATTTAGCGCGGGCTAAGTAGCTTATTAGACTTGCTAAGTTAGTAGCAATAGAGGTCGAGATTAGAATATAGATAGGCTACGAGGGCGCGGCCTTTAGAAGGGAAGCGTATATTAGGGCTAAAGAGGCTATACGTAATTAGTATGTAACTAGGCTAAGTAAAGCTAGGGTCTTAGTGCCTTAGGCAGGGCTTAGCGCTTAGCGTTAGGCTAACTAGCCTACCTTCCCCCTTCTTCTCCTAGATATCTATCGAATACTATACTAACCTACTACTACCCTATCTACCTACTAATATAACCCTTCTTATAAGTAGCCTCTAATACCGCTTGCCTATACCTTAGCTTATATATCTAAAATAGGACTATATCTAAAGGCTATATAAAGTATAAAGTATATATTTATAGGCCCTATAACTAAACCCTATATCGCTTTATAAAGGCTACAAACTCCGAGTCCTTAAAGTAGTAGGAGCCGTAATTATCGTATAATAATACCCTCTACTCGTTTAGATCTTTAGGCTACGTTTTCCGCTTAAACTAGCGAATATAATATATTATAGTATCGTCGTTTATATATCTAGACTCGTTAATAGTTATTAGGAAGTTGTCCTTGCCTAAGAACGAGAGCGTAGTTAGTAGGTATCGTTGCCTTAGAAGCGGACTTAGACTCGGAAGTAGTAATAGTAGTAGTACTTACCTTCCTTCGGCATCTATCGTTCTTAGACTATTATACCTTTAATAATGAACTAATAACCTACTATCTTGCTAAACGCGTTTAGGGTCTCGGCGATAGTTATATACGTACGGTTACTACTATATTCGGTCTAGGCGCGCCGCTTCGTATCTATTATAACGATATACTCGTTACTACTAATTAATCCGAAAGCTAGTTTTATCGAAATTCTATACGTTCCGCGGCTTTATACTTAGTCCCTCTATTATAGCCTTAAAGCGGTTAAACTAGCTCCTTATCGTAGAAGGGTTATAGGCTTTCTTCCGCTATGCCTTAATTAGTTTAGACTTAACCTTGCTAAGTCTATAGCGCTTTAGAAAGCGGTCCGCCTAATCTATACTAAATAGCAGTATTATATCCTTCGATATACCTTCTAGTAGTAGGATTACTAGTATATCTATCGCTATAATAGTAATTAGCGGTACTAGTAAGAATATACCTATTTCGTCCCTCTCCTAATAATAATCCGCTAGCGCTATCTCTTAAGACTTATCTAATTTAGTATTAGTTAATAGACGACTAAACAGCGATATACAGCCTCTTAGCCGCTAGTATATACGAGAATATAGGCGAGTTACCTTCTTACTCGTATAGAGCGCTCGAATACTAACCTTCTTATTATCCGAGCTAGATTTAGCTACTAATTCGTAGTACCCTAAAGCAACGCGGTCTGCTACCGTCTCTGCCCTCTCTATATCGGTTAACCGCTTAGCCTATATCCTCTTTACCTTTTTATCCTTTTTACGCCCTATATCGATTTTTATATACGATCTATATAGTAGAATATAAGAAATAGGAGGAGTACGAGGAAAATACGCTTTAAAATAAGATAGACGCGACTACTAAGGATTATATAAGAAATAGCGATAGTAAGGTTCTATAGCTACTATATACTTAGATAAACTAGCTAATATAGTATTTACACTCGCGGTTTATTACTATATATACCTAGATATCTATATAGGACTAGAACCTACCGCTATATCGAGTTTTACGTATAGCCTACTAGGAAAAAGCGATTTTACGTATAGCCGGAACCCCCGCGAACAGCGGGGAGGAGTGTCTAACGGAACCCTAGATAGAGAATAGAGATAGATAGATAGAATAGAGAGAAGGACTAGCCCTAAATCCTCTAATAAACACTATAGTCCTCCTAGTATTACTGTCTCCGATCTCTACTCTTCGCTATATCTCCGCCGCTCTCCTACTATATACTATACAATAAAGCCCTCGCATTCCGCCTCTTCTATACGCTAGCGAGATACTAGATAACTATTCCGCCGCTTCTGCTTATAGCTATTATTATAAAGCTACGGACTAGTGTTGACTTTACTAGGCGTTATTAACTCGTTACCGCTAAGTAAAACAGCGTTATAGAAGGCTCTATAGCGGTAGTAGAAGAAGACGTAGCAGTAGAAGACGACGGCTAAGAAGTTATTAGCACCTTACTAGCTCTCGGTGTCGTATTATTACCGCTTAGCTCTAGCTCTATAGAGTATAAGCGTTGCGACTTAGTTATTAACATCCCTACTACTAAATATAAAAATCTGCTAGTAATATATCTATTTTTCCTACGCCTCTAGAGTTCATTATTCCTTAATGTATAGTTATATCTTAGTCGCGCTAGGCTATATATATCTTCCGTCGCGCTTCTTAGACCGGCTACGAGCGACGAGAATTTTAAGTAGGTCTATCTTTAAACTACTCTCTAGCTACTCGAAAAAGTAGTCTAGCCGCTCGCTATCGTAATCCTTTAATATAATACTTACGGTATCGAGTAGCAGAATCCGAAGTTTCGTATTAGGGAGAAGGCGAGTTAAAGCAAAGTTAACGCAGTCCGTATATAGCGGAAGCTATATGCTATATTTAGCTACCGATCGGACGACTCTATTACGCAGATTCTTGTCCTAAAAGTATTCCGCTATCGTATAGAGAACGAGGAGCCCTCGTAACCGTAGATAGCCGTAAGTCGGTATCGGACTAAACTTTTAGAAGCAGTGCTTAAGGTCGTGCCGAAGCATCTACTAATAATATACTCTAAATGCTCTAGGATCTATATTAACGCAGTTAAACTCTTTCTCGCGCACATCGATAGCTTGCCCCTATATAGGTAAGAAAGCCTTCTAAAAGTAGCTAGAATGTTCGAGGGCGATCGACTTAATAATAGTAAAGGCGACGGGTAGAGCTCCGGCGTTAACGACGAATGTCGTATATAGGTCGGCGTTACTACTACTACTCCTAGTTAGCGTTACAAGACTAGTAAGAAGCGGCAGGAATCTTACGAATAGTCATCTCCTACTACCGTAAAGGACTAATTATTAGACTAAGATATATAGCTCTAGTATAATACTTATACGTTCGAAGCGGCGAAGAACCGACTAACTATACGAGTAAGTGCGGGTAAGTGTTAGCTAGTCGTATAAAATAAGAAGACAATTAAACGGCGGAAAGAGCAGTTTAAGTAATACCCGGGCATATAGCCCCCCTAGTTATACCGTGTTTTAGCGCGCGAACGATTCGAGATACAATTATACGCTTATATCGGGGCGTAGAGGTAATATTACGGTAGAGGGATATAGAGTAGATTGCGTAGCGCAGTTAAGGTAAAATCGTTAGAACGCGGTGCTAAACGCGGCAAAAAAACATATAGCAATATCTATCGCGAATATGCCTTTAAGGGTTGCTAAGATACGGCAGTTACTTATTTGCTGCTACGAGCGTAGGGTCTATTCTGATGTATGCTTTCGACTATTCTCCGATTAGATTCGGCTATCCTCGCAATCTTAATGTCCTCTCGTAGTAGCCCTACTGCAAAAATAGCCCTTTATAACTCTATAGCGGTTGAAAATTACGTCTAGGAGGCTTCGGGTGCCCTAGTATTAAGGCCGCCTAAGCTTTGCGTACGTCCTCGAAATAGGCGGTAATCTACCTATCTAGTAACCGGGTCGCGTCCCCGAACCTAACCGTTATTACTAGCACTCTTTCGTAACTTATAGCTAGAGGGCTTATCGACGTAAGCGCGCGGAGAGCAACCCTCGTTCGTAATTTGTAATATATGCTAAACTAGCTACAGGCTCGAAGGTCGTTTACGCTTAACGCCTCTAATAGATATAGACTCGATACTATCTCGATAGCGTATATCGGCCTTCTTGCGAAGGTTATAAGGAGAGTAGAAAGTAATACCTCTAATCAATTCTACGTAAGGGTAGTCCGGATACTAGGTTACCTAATATACGAAAAGGCTAACGAGAGCCTTCTTAACGATTAGGCGCGCCGAAGGCGACTAAGCATCTAGGAGATTAGTATACTTTCGACGAAGATATTCGCTTATACTTTAGAAGATATATACCGCGTACGTTAAGTTAGTACTATAGAGCGGGTCTTAGTAGAAGACGGTGCGCATTACCTCCGTCGCTACGAGTAGATTACCTTCCTTATTATCGGAAGGAGGAACGGTTAGAGTTAGGTTCGCCTTATAGTCTAGAAAGTAATCCTTACGATACTAGTTCTAAGCTATAACGCTTTCGGCGGCAACGTAAGTAGGCTCGATCGGGTTCCGCTAGCTAATCTAGACAATATATACGAGGTAAGAGTCGTCCTCTAACTAGAAAAAGTCGACAATCTTATATTCGTATTCGGTATTCTCCTCGTATACTAATAATAGCGCTTCGGGAATAGAGTTGTCCTGTTTACGTAAGAGGAGTACCTAGCTATAGATATCGTAGAAGAGGTAGGGCGAGGGTAGTAATCTCTTTAGCGCCTATAGTACTAAGTCGGTAATCTGTTCTTGCTCTATAATATCCTAGAGGAGCCGAATATAGCGGATCTGCAAAGTATCGTTCGATAAAGTAATAGCATTCTAGTACTGCTATATACGGGTATAAATATACTATCGACGAAGACGCGGTAGTAATTCCTACTCCTACGCGGCTACTACTAGACCGTAGAGACGCAATAACTTATCCTTAGTAGTAAGTAAGGGATCGATCTTAAATAGCGTTTACATTAAGAGGAACTGTAATTTAGCGAGCTTAAGGTCTAGCCGCTCGTATAGCTCCGCCCGTAGTAGGTCCTTTAGGTAGGCCTTACTTCGGACGTTGCGGTAGTCTATTTGCGCTAGTAATCGAGCGATAAAGGGATAGCGATTAGGTATTCCGATAGTAGTAGCTATACGTAAGAGAATATGTCCCTTATTATAATAAGCTAGGGTCTCCTATAGTAGCGGCGAGGCAACGATGCGGTAAATGTCCTTCGCTAGATCGTATATAATATCGATAGAGCATTCTTTCTCGGGAGATGCGAACTAGCGGGTTACGACTCGATCGAAAGCAGTACTATTAAGGCCTACGAAGGCCTCGAAGACGCGAATAAGCGATATTTCCTACTCGGGCTTCTTAGTCGCGCGGTTCGTTATTAGAAGAGAAAGGAAATCGTATCGTAGGCGGAGATTCTAGCCGCTAAGACTAGCGGAGCAAACGCTGTAAAGTAGGTCTTAATAGAGTACGGGCAGCGGTAACTAAGACTAGGCCTAATTAAGAGAACGAGTCTTACTTCGGTAGCGATTAGAGCGCTATCGGGCGGGGCGACGTACGCTAGTCTTATAATAAGACCGCTATATCTAAGCGTAAGAGCCGAGCCGTAATAGTAGACGTAATTTGCTATTAATTGTAAAACATATTATACCTAAAAGAGCATATTAGCAAAGAGCGTACTAGTTGAGCTTTATCGTAGTAAGCTATTCCAAGTTATCGTTATAAACAAAGGTACGACTATTATCGCCCTCTGCGACTTTAGTACTACTATCGAGACTACGACTTAAACGCGATTAGCGGTTACACTAAGGATAATATTGTTAGGGTAAGAATCGAGGGGAGAGAACGCTATAAACACTTCGAATCTGCGACTGTAGAGCAGCCGAGAAATCGGTAGCAGCGGAGGTAATATAGTCTTTTATCGTATAGTCGACGTAGGTATAAGTACGATAGACAATGCGTATATACTCGATTTAATAATAAGCGATATTAGGCGATAGTAGTAAGCTAAAACTAGAAGTGAAGTCGAAGTTAGCGCTAAGTCGGAGTCGGATAATCTCTACTTTCCGCTACTAGGGGGTAGGGGGGGCTATCTCTATAATATTAATAAGGCACTACCGGACTTACTACGTTTAGAGTCTCGTATACCGACACTAGCTAGGACTCTAGGTAGTATATAACGGATGTATTCTCCCGAACGCGTTTACTCTACTAGACGCCCTTCTATTATACTTTCGCTCTAAGACCTTAATTATACGACAAGTAAAGCCGACGATAGTAGTACTAGGAGATATAGCTTATAGGAGGAATATAGGAGGCGAAGAAGAGGAGGACTAGAAGGAGAGAGTATCGTAAGATAACGGGATAGCTGTAGATAGGACTGTAATGCTATAGAAGAAGTTGCCGATAGATGTGTATACGCTATTTCTAAAACTTAGACAAGGCGGGGCGACTTTTAACGACCTTATATAGCTCTTCGAGACTTATAACAGCTCAGTCGCACTCCCTACGTCGAAAGGAAGAGAGTAGCTTTCGCTATACGCTTATTAGCCTAGTTATATCCGTTGTTAGATCGAAATTAGGTATAGGTAATGTATCGCGTACTATTCGCTAGGCCTAGGCTAACCGAGCGAAAGGCAGTATAAAGCACTCTTAGCCCCTTTAGGCCCTATTATCGAAAACGTTCGGTCCTAGTAGAACCGACGCGAAGCTTAACTTGCCGTTATAGTTCGCGGCTACGATTTAGACGGACATTCAAAAAAGGGACTATAATTATTATATACCTTTATAGAAGCTTTAAGTCGGTACACTAACGAGCACGTAGCATTAGAACGAGTACGAATTAGACACCGATAAGTAGGATTTATATAGCTACTAATAACATAATAGGCTAACAACTAAAGTGTTACGTATTCGCGCTCTTACTACTACTACTCGAGAGAACGGCAAAGTCCTTAGCATCTAGTTCTCCCTATTAGGTCGTAGCAGAGCCGACGTATAGGAGCTTTAGAAAGGCACAATCTTCCTACTCCGCCTTAATAAGATCCTATATTATATTACCGGCGAACAGCTTTTGTCTTGTGCCTACCGACCGCCTCCTACGGGTGCTTATAATGCTGTTAGTAAGTATATTAAGTTATTTGCGAGCTAGACTCGCGGTCCGGTATTAGTAAAGCACGAGTATAAGCAAGATATAAATCTTCTTCGATTACATTAGCTCTTTATACCTCGATTAAGAGAGTGCTAGGCATAGGCTACTAACAAAGTTATAATAGCTAGCGGTAGAATCTCTCTTACCCGCGTACTATAGCATAGGCTTATAGATAATATTCGTCTACTAGGAGGTCCTAGGAAGGACTAGGTTACCTGTTTCGATAGTATGCTTACGGGTATATAGAAATAGCCTCTCTACTTAAGCTATATATAATCTATTAGGTACGTGCTCGACCTCTCTAAACTAATATTGCTAAGTAGTACAACGGGCCTCTTTTAGGCTTACCGCTTACGGCTAGTTGCAGAAGCGTGCTTTATATTTCCGATCTCTACCTATAGAGTAGTAACTAGAGGTATATTCTTACCTCTATATCTCGCTCCTAGCGTTAACTACTTCTAATACTTAACCTTTTCTACACTTTTCCTCTCTGCTATAGCACCTAGGAATCGTCGACTAAAAGATACGATCTAACGCTAGCTCCGGGAAGGTGTAAAGACAGCGTTAGAGCTAGTTAGCTCTAGATTCCTTACGGAAGAAGGAACCTTCGACGAGATAGAGTACGCTAGTGTTCCTTATATCCGAGGTATATACTTCCTTAAGAGGTCTTTACTACTAACATTTTTTTAGCCCTAGAAGCTAGGAACGTTAATAGCGTTTTTGTTAAAGGACGCCTAGTTGTACCGATCCCTTTATTATATAGAGACCCGCTTCGAGCCTAGTAGTAGGCGGAAGAGTATACGGATGTCCTAGATATTAAGTACTTACCTTTCGACGTTAAATACTACTCCTTAATACTAGGTAGTCTTAAGGAAATAGATTACGCGTACATCAATCCTTCTAAGCATAGGCGGACTAAAAATGCTAGCATATACGTCCTAGTCTTCGAGTCTATTCTAGATTACATTGCTTTAGTTCTAAAAGGGTTATAGGAATTTAGTACCGACTTTACTTCTAGAATATAACCGTTGCTTAACCGGTGTCCTGCTTAGTGCTACCCCTTTATAGTTTATCTTAATTATCTTACGGAGGCAGTGTAGCGGCTCCTATAAGCCTAAGAGGGAGCATAGTATATCAATCTAACGACTAGAGTACAACTTACTAGGTTCCTACTAAAACTAACGTCTAAGCCTCCGATCTAGCTAATAGAGCATCGAATAAAGAGCTCTTTAAAGCATATACGTAAGACCTGGTTAGCGCTCGTCTACTACGGCTGCAAGGTATTTATAAACACTTTGTAGCTATTATAGTATAACTTCCTTCTTACTAAACCCTCTTATTAGTAGGCTCTGCGTATCGAGTTCAAACTAACTAATTATCTCGAGAAGGACAAACGCTCGCTATTTGCTATAGGTAGGTAGTAGTATATCCTTATTATAAAGCTACGAAAGAACAAAGGATATTATTGCTTCTTAAGGTACGAGGTTAATAAGGTTTGCTTTTCTATATTAGCGAGTTGAGATTATAGCTAAATTATTATAGCGCTAGGCCGAGCACGATCGAGTCGACAAGGATATCCTAAAGAGATACTAGTTCTCGGCAGACGAAGCTAGCGTAGTAGATATAGTAAAGAACATTTTTAACGATACTACGTTTACTAGGGCTATAATAGCAGTAGACGACATCGTTAAAACCCCGCTATTAGAGGACTCTTTCGAAGTTATAGTAAGCTCTAGCTCCGATCGGATTAAAGACCTCCGAGCATTATCTAGTAGTAAAGAGCTTAGGGCGGAAGCACGTCGAGTGCATTATATTAAGACCTTGCCCTAGCTATATTATATAATTAATCGCATCTTTTGCGACCGCAGCTATTACTTAGTCTTCCTGCCTCTCGATATCGGTTATCCTCTGCCGAACTATATAGCCGTATCTTACGTCTAGACAGCGGAGGACGTTAAGCTTTTTAAGGAGTAGGGTATTCTGCTAATAGTAGCTTACGGTATTAGCCTACACGACCGCTAGGTATTAGTTTTCGATCTAATAGACATATCCGTTAGAGCTAAAGGAGCAAATATATATCCGTTATACGTTAGGCAAGCGTACTAGCTATATCCGGCGACGCTATAGAAGTTCCTCTACCTAGGAAGTTAATTTAAGTCAAGCCTAATCGAGCGCTTAACACTCTTATACTCGTATCTGTTTCTGCTATCCGAGGCGACTAGAATCTATAAGTTTAGTAGCAAACCTACTTGTATAGCTACGCCGGCGGATTAGGGTAAACGATACTAGATTAAGGACACTATATAATATAAGAACGCGCTTCCGGAACCAAAATTTGTAAAGAACGTAACGTAGGTCTTCCTACTAAAGTAAGGCTCTAGCTTTATATACGATAATCGCATTAATCCTCTCCGCTATATTTTCCCTCTAGAGAAAATTTGCGAGCTTATTAATAAGTTAATAATAGGCGGTAACTAAGAGAGCCTAAATGCGTAGAATCCTTAGAGTAATATACCTAGCTTATCTATTGTTAAGGGGGATTATCGTACTACGATAACGAATATTTACTAAGCTGCCTAGGACTATACTCGTAAGTATTAGACATTAAATTAAAGAGGCGTAGCTTATATTTAGTATAGTAGTTCGTAGGCCTATAAAGAAAGGTAGGAACGCGCGAGACAGCGACGTCGACGATAATAATAACGATAATAACTATAGCGATAGAGGCGATATTTAAGATGTTTATAGAAACGCACCTAAGTGCTCCCTTAATATCCGCGCGCTCTAGCCTGTCTTCGCTATTAAAAAGAGCAAGAATACTATAAGTGTAACTACTAATACGACGTCTAGAGATATAGGCGCTACTATCGAGGACTGCTACTATGTCTTATATGCCTACGTAAAACTAGAACATTGCGCTAGGTAAGACAACCTTATATAAGAAGCATTAAGATTCAAAATATAGCTCTAGGAATGCTTCCTTCATTTCTATACTACTCTTATAGCCTCCTTAGACTTAGTAGCGCCTTCGAATGAAGGTACTAAAGCCTAAATGCCTCTACGTTAAGATTACCTCCTTCCTAGCTACTTCGTTTCTACTTAGGATCGGAAACTTCGCTAGCTAACCGATAATATATAACCGGAAGCCTAACAAGTAGCAGATCGTATAGCCGAGCTATAGGCAAACGTTAATCGTAAGTACGAGACTTACTAGCCTAGTCCTAACTCTACTAAATCCTCGAGACAACTTCGATCGCAGAATAGGCTTAAACCCTAAATTTATAAGCAAGAAAATGCTCGAGCGTAGTAAGCCCTAGGGCGATAGTAGTTATATGTTTAAGACGGTACGAAGTAGCCTACTAAAGTCTATAGCTTTATTATTTATTTAAAAAGACATTAAGACTCTCGAGAAGATAGATCTAACCTCCGTACCTATTCTAAAAGATAATATTGTCGACGTATTAAGTAAGTATTCCCTTACAATCTCGAAGGAATTAGATTAACCTTAATTAGGTTCATTTAGATCGATTATGACTAATGCATATACTAATGCTAATTCACCGCTACTAGCTATAGAGCACTTAGACCGTATAGAAGGAATTTAGTCATCGCCGAAACTAATATTAACGCTAAATACGCTAATAACTATATCTACCGCGCCGTAGCTTTAAATAGGAGATAAGAGAAAGCGAGACATGTCTACTAGATCTAACTAAGGTCCCGAGAAGACTTTAAAGAAATATTTCGTAATTACTAAGGTAGATCGTTAAGAATAAGGCAGATAGCAACTTCCTATATATAATAATAAGTGCCTCCGCCTTTATACGGCTACCCGTTATTAAGCCTACTTCCGCGTTTGTATTATACTAAATCGTTCTATAACGATACCTCCCTTCTTAACTATTATTAACTAATAGTATAAAATGTTAGAACTATTAAAGCCTATCGAACGAATCATTTTTAGCGGGAAGGGGCCTTTGTTCGAAGGCGATCTTGCTTCGGTATCGAAATATAGTCCTTTCTTTATTCGCGCCTTTAAGTTCGGCCTCGCTAATGCGGGAATAGACTATACGTTAGCCTACCCGACTTCCGATAGCCTCGCAGGCCGGTTTTAGAATATTAAATATAGATAATACGATAGTATAGCGAGCGAAATACTCTTAGTAGACTTTAAAGGTACCGTTAACGCAGATTAGCCGCTCTTAACCTGCGTGTCTTAAAGACGTCGTATTACCGTATATATTACAGTCTATACTAGGAACACTTAGATAGTCGACGTTATACCGAACTACCTCTAGGATCCGTACGCCTTTTATAAAGATAGCTATATCGATAAGAGCGATTATAGACCTGTCTTATTCGCCTTTATAGGCACTTCTCGACTGCTAGTAGTAGTGTATAGTATATTGAGCTCGTCTAGCACACTATATAGGATGCCGATTAGGCTTCTACCTAAAGCTATTAATCGCCTTCGAGCATACGTACGAGGCGAGCGCATCTATTAGAACCTATTTACCCTCGTAGAATTCCCGGATTAGCATCCTATAAAGGCCTAAAATACTAAGTACCTTAAACCTTTAGAGCTAGGACATCGCTCGTTATTTAAGGCGATAATAGCTATCTATTAGGCTATAACGCTTTCTAGGCTATTATATTACGACTTCGTAGGCCTTTAGCCTCGACTCGCCGATTTTAAGCTAATTAATGCTCGAGATCGGTAATAGCTAATCTAGTACAAACTTAAGGCACAGCTTTAGGCTCTACTTCGGATATGTCGCTTAAGAACGTAAAAATCGCGCGATTATATAGACCTAGATAGCGCTATTATTTTTCTATATATAAGAGGTAGGTAACGCTATACTTTTAGGCTTGCCGGATACTAACTAGGCTCCTAGATTTAACTTCTTCTAGTATTAGATAGAGTTCTCGCAGTTTCCGAACCTATACCCTCGAGTCGAGTTTTTCTTTCTACTAGAAAGAATTATACCTAATTAGTTTTATAAGTCGGATGCGAAAGAGGCGGACTTCGACCTTATAGTATTCCTTAAAGCTAAGAGTAAGAATACTAATAAGGAAGGAAGGCAAGGTTACAAAGTTTATATAGATAAAGACGGTAAGTAGGTCGACTACGTAGTCGATATTATTTCCGAGAACCTACAGCCTCGGAAGGCAGGAGGAAGACCTATACGCATTTCTAAGGACGAGGCTTCTATAGACGATAAACTTAAGAACTAGCCGGCGATAGCATCTTCCGCGGCTATTAATAGCGGCATTAGTTACTACCGCTAGATAATAGACTATAAATACAGACAAGCCTTTAAGGAGTTAATAACTTGCTATGCACTAAGGTAAATGCTATAGAACACCGACTTATTATTACAACTAATCGTAATTAGGCGGTATAGTCTACTCGTTACGTTAGTACGAAACTATCCCTTCGGAGATTTTAGCTACTACTAGTATCGATAGATAGCTATAGAGTAGGAAGCATTCCTTAAATACGGCATCCCTCCTCTAGTACTCTACGATCTTCTACCTTAATTAAGGCTATAGTATATATACTTCTATACCCGTAACGTAGAATGCTTATACGCTAGTCTAATGCTTTCGTATCCCGAATACCGGCGACTAGACTCTACTAACGAGTGCCGCTTAGTAGCCTAGGACCTTAGTAGTGCTAATGCTATTTAAAGGCCTCTACCTCTAGCTTTAATACCTTCCGAGGATATTAAGCCTACGTAGGATTAGCGCTCTTCCTTTAAGGTAAATAAGGATCGTAAAGCAGAGTAGTAGGTACTGCTAACCCTAACGCTTAGTGTATTGCTTAATAGTCGACTAAGCGCTAGTAAATATACTATCGGTAGATTAAGTAGCGGAGCTCTCGTATATACTAAAGATACTTAGATCCTCCTACTTAGTTTTCTCGATCGCTTCGTAGGTCTTAAGAGTGTCGAATATCCTACTAACTCTAGCATATTTCGATTACCTTCTTCCTATCGTTATACTATTTATAGCATTAACTAACGCCTCGTAGATAAGTATACTAGAAAGGGCTTTCTAGAGAACTATAATAGTAGTAATAACTAAGGTAGCTAGCTAAGAAGTACTTAAAAACTTAATATAGGGCAAAACAATGTTTCTAAAAAATGCTCTAAAATAACTATATAAATTAATGTTTTAGATATCTTAGAATACATACCCTACGCTAGGTCTTATAGTTTCCTTCTCTTATAACTAGTAGTTTTAGTGCTTGTTTAAAGATTAGCAGAGGATATACTAGACGGAGATAGCCTCTTCTTACCCTAACCCAGAGTAACTCCGGAGTGACCATAACGGGAATACCCGAGCGAAATTACGCTCATATATAAACCTTGGCCAAGAGGACAAGCTCCGGATGCCTCGGCTTTGGTCTGGAGTTTCTTGATCATCGTTGGCATGGTCGGGCTTAGAAAAGGCTGACGTGTCTCAGCAAGCTACTATATGACTCAGCACACATCGAGAAGCACGCCAAAGCTCTTGGGACACGAAGAAATGCAAAATAATCGATCAGCTCAATTCATTTTAGAGTTGTGTGGCCCTGCCTGCTCGATACGGGGCTTGAAGCGAGGTCTTGGCGGCGGCGGTTGACAGCATGTCTTCCTACTGTCTCGAACAACTTCTCAGAAAATTATGTTGAGGAGCATTGAATCAGGAGTAACTCAAGGGCAAGCTTCTTGATCAGCACTTAATGACAGCTTTACAGTCCTGTCCGATAGGGCATGGTGTTCGCCTTCAAGTTGCTGCTGGACACTACTCAGAATCGATTTGTCTATACACATACTCATACTGACTACAGCCGAGATTCTCATTACAATCACAAGGCAATCGATCGAGATCATCATTCTCTCAAGTCATCGGAGGCGACTTCATACAGCGAATCAAATGCTAGTCTCCAGTCAGACCCTCCGCGTAGGCAGCTTGCTGGCGCCTCCGCAGAGCTCGCTCTTCCTACTGTATACTATACCACATTGAGAAGACCCGAGATCGGAAACGTGGCTAATCAGATGAAGGAAGTCACTACACATACACGAGCTTCAAGCGATGCAGCCTGAGAAGGAGGCAGACAAATGCCAAATTTGCAAGTGGACTACATCAAAAGCATTCAGGGAAGATGAGACCTGAGCAAGGACCCTAAGAAAGCCTCTGAACCAAAACCATACATTCATTCGGTTCTTCAAGCTGCCTTTCAGAGACCTAGCGAATTATTTTCGAATCCAAGCATCTTCGCCTTGTGGTATCGCCAACGCAGCTTGGTGATGCTCTTCAGTCGTGAAAGACAATGCCCTTGTCATCCTTTGACAAGACTTGGGCTTGGGTAAGGGCGAATGCAATGCAATGGTTTTCGAGAGAACCATCATTGTGAGCTCGATGTCCTTTGTCCCCGAGACAAAGATTTGAATCGATGAGGATGCAGCGTGAGAATATTAAAACCTCAGGATGTGATCGTCTCTTGCTTCCTGAGATTCACTACCTTAACGCAGTAGTACACCGCTTTCTCTGGCAGAAAGCTCCCACTACCAATACCAGTTTTCAGAACTCGCGACGCTACCGAAACACTCTCAGTAGCATCCCATCGACCATCACAACACCAGTTACCATGAACGCCCTTTCTGATCTCCTCGGATCCATGGGCATGTCCGGACAGCAAAGTCAGTCCAACAGCCAGCAAGATGGCCCTCAGTCACAGCCATCTGACGGCATCATGACCTATCCGCGTCGTCTACCGCACCACGAACTGTGGTTCAAATGCCCTGACCTTGACCTCCTACCAAACAGCGATTTTTTCGAGGACGTCTGGCTCCCAGACCCAGAAAACATCGACCACAGACCGACACCAGATCTCCAAGACTTTCAAATGTACGAGTTTGACACCGACTGCTTCCACATCATGCAGCCTGATCTTCCGAACGTCGACCTAAGCCATTGCCATCACCCAGAGGCAATCGAGCTTTTCAACCACATCGATTCTCTCGCCAGCAACGTTGGCAAGACCAACATCTCCGCCATTCGCCATGTCTTAGATCTGGAATTCAAGTATCGAATCAGACTCGAGACGCACAGCGATGGCGAAACCATGACCAGACAGACTGACATTAGTCTCGCGGCGATGAAAGAACTGCTGTCGATCAATCGACCTTGGGTACAGCTATTCGGCGACTCTCTCTACCGTAAGTCTGCACACTCTTACCTCGCCGGGGCAACCAACCTCCTCGGAGGAGACATTGTGCTCGCCGGCCAAGACGAAGAATACTGCGCAGAGCGTTGGGCAACCAGAGAGCCACGAACCGCCAGCAAGCTTGTCAAACGCCTTCTCGTTGCAAGCGACAGCGACATCGCTCGCCTGGACAACTTTGCCAACGGCAACTGCCAAGTCAAACTGCCGTGCGATCATGTCGTCGACATGACACGCGAAGAGTACCTCCACACGGATGAAAATGCCTGGCTCAACATGGCCTGCAACTCTTGCGGTAAGCGCGTCCTCGAAGCTGACGACATTGCAGAGCATGCCATGATCGAGAAGCTAGCCCAGTACGAAGATCTGATCGACGGTCAAGCCGACTGGGAAGACCTAGACTACCCAGTCCGAGAAGCACCACCTCAGCGCTTTTACAGCGAGGTCATCTCAGCCGGTCTCTTCACAGCTGGACGAAGCTTCGAAGCACCAGAGATCGTTGTCCCCAAGCTTCTGCAGCCCGTCAACTTCGAAGAGACATCGACTGCAATCAGCGCTCTTCAAGCATGGCTCTCGCAGCAAGAGAAGGTCATCTTTACAACGCCGCAAGAGCTTCGACAAGCAATGGCAGTCATTGTCAAAGGTGCCTTGCGAAGCACTTGTGTTCCTCCGGACGTGCCATTCGTGCCAACACCGCCGGGCTGGTCTCGCTTCTTGGACATGTGGCTCGATCGAACGGTCAACTTCCTTGTCGATCGTCGCTGTACCGTAGGCTACGAAGAACACCAGGGCGTTCACTTTCACGGCCAGAGCATTTGCTGGGGCGATCCTGCGGCAGAGTCTATTCAGCGCAACAAGATGATCGATGATCTTGCCAATATGACTTTTTAATGCTGGTAGCAGATGACCTGGTAGTCGATCTTGCGGGCATGATGTTCAAAATTGTTGATCTGGTCAGGGTCTGATATCGCGATACAAGGTGAGTCTGTTTCGATACATTAGCGCATAGTGAAACTCCTTCTTTTAACCTCATGCATTTCAACCTTTCAATTCTCTCTCTATACGTTTCCAAACGCTAATCTCAACAAGAGAAATCTTATACAAAGTTTGCGCACTCTCCTTGAAGTCTGACTACTGAATATTAGCAACACAGCAGGCTGGAACTCAGTACATCCGCCTTTCGTATAATAATCGATCCTACCATTGCCAGCCAGGCTGGAAGAACATCATCCATGCCGAACAATAGACGAACCCACGAATAGCTTTCGCGTACGGAAGCGAGTGTGAGTGAGTCAACTTACTGATAAGCCCGGCACTAAGACCTATCAGAAGCGAAAGAAACATTCATAGAACGACGAATTACCACGGGCAACCAGGGACGGGAGATTCTCATGTCTTCATGGTGACCAGGCGTCCTATATGGACGGGAACCGCACCGCGCTGTTTTGATGCTTGTTATAGAGCCAGGATCAATGGAATTCATGTCAGGTGGCTGGACTGGATATGCGCCTGTCGAGCTCATAGTGAGGCCGTTGTTACTTGATTGAGAATCTGGCCACTCAGAATGGCTCTGAACCATTTTCGATTTTTGTGAGGCTCTCAGGTGAAAGGTGCGCAGCGTAGCGTTGACGGAGAAGTTTCTGTTGTCCTTGTGTACTATGCGTGCGAGGCTGTCAGTTCCTCCTCATTGGACGTCCATGAGGTCTCCTTGCTTCGGGTCGCCTGGAACAGCGCCTAGAAAATTTACAGTCATGCATTGTCGAGGTCTCGCGATTATTCTGTTGATCGGCCTGGTATCTTCATGCATCGTCGATATTGCTGCAACGTCATTGAGCATTTTTTTGGCATCAATTACAGCTTATTAGGAAATAGCGGTGCCTTCCTGCCACCTCTGAACAGGTCAAGCATCTCTTTGCCCATCCATTGCTGCCGACTCTTGGCTATGCCGCCTTCCAATTCCTGCATCCTGTTTGCTTGTATCAGGACGCCAGAACCGTTAGCTTTCATCCCTTGGCCCATAAGATTTGCGACTGTTAGCCCAATGGTCTCTGCAGTGTTGATCGGAACACCTCTCCCAGACATGTCTTTGGCCCAATCCTCCAGACTCTGACCTTCCCGGCGTCCGAGAATGATCGGGGTGAGAGTAATGCCAGGGGCGATGACAGAGATGGCAATACCGTTCTTTGCACAATCGCCTTTCAGCGCACGGAGATAGCCAACGACGCCATGTTTGGCAGCGGAGTAGAGTGGCGCGCCGGCAGAGGCAAGGTAGCCTGCTAGTGAAGCAGTCATGACAATGCTGCCACCTTTGCCTTTCTTCGAACCCTTGCCATCGTTTCGTAAATGGTACATGGCAAGCTTGAGACTATCTCCAACCGCGCGAATGTCCACGTCTATTGTAGCTCGAACAGGTTCCTGAAGCTGGCCATTCTTGTCGTAGACATCCGTCCAGATCTGTTCGCCGACTTCTGCAAGCCCTGCGTTCACAAAGACGTGATCGATGCCGCCAAACTTTGATGCCGCAGCGGCGAAAGCAGCTCGTTGTGATGCCCAGGACAGCACATCACATTGCACGTAGAGAAATCTTGGCGAGTTTGCAAGCTCACGGGCGTCAGGCGGATTGGGGTTTATGTCTACAGCCACGACATTGTTATTATATTCCGGCTTGTGCAGATAAAGACCAGTCGCCAGACCAATGCCACTGGATATATTGTCAGCTTCGGGATCGACATGGATTCCAGCCATATACCTGCCTTCGCCCGCCGGTGATCAATATCGTGCTATTCCTGGGTGGGTTCGCGGTCGCTTCGGACAAAGTGTAAACTGGAGATGCCATTCTATTCTGGAGGATCAATCAGCCTTCGCAAAAGTATGTTCAAAGCCACATTGTCGCTCCAGCAGCCGTAGTATTCTAATGCTGAGAGGGCTGGTTCGAGGGGTGGCGGGCAGTGACCTCGGCTTCGTTTCTGCCAAGTTGGCAAGGCTCTCAGAAACTACTCGCAATTATCTTGTCAGCTTTGGACGTAATTAATGCAACGAGACGCTTCATCCTTCTGCCATCCTTTCGTGGACGGGAATTTACGCATAGAAACAAGATGAGATGGAAAATGCTTGCCAGCCAGGCAGAATTTGCCCAATCCACGACACACGCGACGCCTCGACCTTCCTACACGCCTACGAGAACAAATGGCACAGACATGGTGGCACATATAATGCATGTGCAAACGCACCGTGGTACACGGCAGTCAAGGATCATTGTGCGAAAGAGTGTAGTCCCGACTTCTGTCTACTTGACTTTTCATTCCATCTTTCAATCAAAGTCGAAGCCGAAGAGGTGTAAAGAGCAGCCAGCATGGTGGAAGCCAGGGAGCCAAGGAGCCAAGTATGGGTAGATGAGGACAAGAGATCTGGAACGAGTTTCCATGCTCAGTCATGATTGTCTTTGCAAGATAGGCCATACAGATATTAATGAGGCGCGTGGTCATGTAGGTTCCCAGCCGAAGAGATGTTGCTCAGACTAGACCAAGGCTTGCTTCCGGGAAGGAAATACTGTAAGAGCATGCGTGATGACAACGAGGACGGAGACATGGCCACTGCATGGCAGGGCAGTTCTTTCTGAAGCGCATGTATATTGCTTCCACGTAGCCCGCTGTAGACGAGCAGATATTGCATGAAGGCCTTTGGCCGCAAGCCCGCAGATTGTCGCACAGCGAATATTCTATGGCAAAATGTTGACAAAAGCCAGGAGGGTATTCTACGAAAGCTCGGCGACGCCCGCTGCAGGCACCAACGCGCGATGAGCGGCTGCTGAAGCTGTAGGGCGTCAAACAACTCACATATATAAACATAGACTTCATGACTTCTCCCGGCTGACAAGACTTGCAAGTCACAGTACCGACAAAGAGACTCTCATCGTCGACATGGCAGAGTCAACCACGCCCGGCGTCTACATGAGGCCAAGCGGCAAGAAGACATTCGTGCCACTCGAGAACAACCCAGAAGTCTTCAACGACCTCATCAAACGCCTAGGAGTGTCGCCAGAAGTCGGCTTCTACGATGTCTACAGCATTGACGAGCCCGTGCTGCTCAGCATGATTCCTCGACCAGTGCACGCTCTGATCTTCATCGCTCCTGCACCAGTGGTATCGGCAGTACGAGAGAGGTACGATGGTCCAAAAAATATCAACTACAACGGCTCCGGTCCCGACGAGCCCGTGATGTGGTTCCGACAGACCATCGGACATGCTTGCGGCCTGTACTCGCTCATTCATGCGGTGGGCAATGGCACCACGACGCAATTTGTCCTTAAAGACTCATTGATTGACAAGCTCTTGAAGGAAGCCGAGCCGCTGGAGCGTGTTCCACGCGCTGATGTGCTCTACAACTCCAAGGAGCTTGAGGAAGCGCACATGTCTGTTGCAGTCAAGGGTGATTCGATCGCCCCAAGCGCCGAAGAGCCAGTCGGCTACCATTTCATTACTTTCACCAAAGGCAAGGACGGTCATCTGTGGGAGCTCGAAGGCTCGTGGAACCCGCTTGATCGTGGTCCGTTGGACGAGGCGGAGGACATGTTGAGCGAAAAGGCGTTGGGGCTAGGAGTTGGTCGCTTCGTCAAACTGGCAGAGGGGAATCTCGAGTTCTCGATCGTCGCATTGGCTACCACACCAAAAGATGAGTGATATCGAAAAGTCGTGCAAAGCTGCTCGAATGCGATGCAAGATCGCTCGCGCACAAGCAAGCGAGTTCTTTTGAAAGAGGCGCGGCTAAATTTAGTTGGCTTCCAATCAAATCTCCGAGAAAGCCATCATCCTCTTGGCAGGCTCTTGGACTTCAGCTGACCTCTTCGACCTTTTTTCCTCAGTCTCTGGCTATCACATGTTAGCTGCGACATGGCCTCCATTTTCTGATTTCCTTCATTTGAGCAGACGCGGAGTCATCAGTGTGCATCTCGCACCATGTTCAACTCCACCGCCCATCATCCCCATCATCAGTCTGGCCGAGCCCTCTTTGAATCGCATTCGTCCCGCACCGTTGAGCACTCCTATCTGCTTCAAGCCACATCCACCAAAACATTCAAGCGCCATCGTGCTCCTGCCAAAGTAGGCAGAGAAGGATTCTCAGATCTCCTGAGCTAGACACCGGTGAATGATTAATGGGCTTCGCTTGCATAGACCTTCCCTGTTTCTTCTTCGACAACGCCATATGCCCTATACCACGGCGCTACTCACGTGGAGTGCGCTTGGAAATGCATCGGCTCCGTGGTATGTGGAAATGAATCGACTGCGACTCATCAGCATGGCGCGCATGAGGAGGTGTGATGTCGTGGGTCCACTCTCTGGCCGTCTTGTTCTGGATATCAACTAGAGGTGCGTTGTCGCAAAGAACTTGTTGCTACCTTTTCTGCCATTCCTTCGCGTTCTTCTTTGACCATCGTGTCGTTACGCTCGTTACTGCTGCAAGCCTGAGAGCTTGTCGCGTCCATTCGTTGCTAAAATGCCCTTTCCCACTGCCTCTGCCATTTTTGCGGCTTCCCTTATTGCTTCTGCTTCTGCTGTTCTCAATCCTTCCGCAAAGACGAATGTGGTCACCTATTGGGGTCAGGGACCGAATCAGAAAAGGCTCGTGGAGACCTGCAAGAACGAGGCGATTGATGTGGTCATCATTGGATTTGTGAACCAGTTTCCAGACAACACTGGCAACGACTATCCCGGGACGAATTTCGGAAATGCATGCTACGGAGACGTATATACCCTACCAAACGGCCAAAATAGCAGCCTGCTCAAGACTTGCCCCAACATCGGTCCAGACGTGATTACGTGCCAGCAGACATATGGCAAGAAAATCTTTCTCTCCATTGGTGGAGGATATCCTACCAATTACTACCTCAAGAATGATACGACCGCGCGCACTTTCGCGGATTTTCTCTGGAAGGCATGGGGTTCTGTACAAAGCGGATACACCGGACCACGTCCGTGGGGCAATGCTTCAGTCGACGGCTTCGACTTTGATATTGAGAGCTCTATCAGCCCTGCGCCAGCCGGTAATACCAACTACCAGACCAGCGGTTATGCGGCCGCAATCAACCATCTCCACAACGATCTCTACCCGACCGACACCGCGAAAAGCTATTACATCTCTGGTGCGCCTCAATGCGTTCTGCCAGACTCGCATCTGTCAAGCGTTCTGAGCTCCGCATGGTTCGACTTCATGTTCATCCAATTCTACAACACTCCTCAATGCAGTGCCCGAGCTGGAATCCAATACACCAAGGGCAAGAGCACAAACGATATCACCTTCCACAATTGGGCACTGTCGAAGTCACTGAACCCGAATGTCAGGTACTACATTGGCTTGCCAGCCGACAAGGGAGCTGCGAGCGATGCCAGTTTCTACCTTACACCGGATGAGGCCCAGCAGACGGTGAATCGATTCTACGCGAATGAAAGCCTGTTTGGTGGCATCATGACTTGGGAGGCTACATACTCACAGAATAACGTCATCTGTCGCAAGGAGTACAGCACTTGGATGAAGGATATACTTTTAGGTGCGGCCTCGGGCCATCCTCTCAACACCAGCACCACTGCATGTGATGGCTCGCCTCCTTTGACAGAGTCACCAGATGGCTCTTGTGGAGGAACTACTGGGTACACTTGCTCTCCAGGCAACTGCTGCTCCAAGTATGGCTATTGTGGATCGACCTCTGATTACTGTTCTGCTGGCTGCGATCCTACTGCGGGGATTTGCTGGGCAACCACTTCTTCAAGCACGAGCACCACAAAAGCTTCCACGACTTCGACCACATCAAAGGTCACAACAACTTCCAAGCCTACGACCACGAGCACCACGCTCAAAACAACGACGTCTTCCAAGCCAACGACAACATCAAAGGTGACATCAACGGCGAAAAACACGACCACATCTAAAGCTACGGTAAAAGCGGCTCTCGTTCAAGCGACAACCACGTCAAAAAAGACATCCACGACCACGAAGAAGCCCACATCGACGACCAAGAAGCCCACGACCACGAAGAAGTCTACCACGAGCACAAAAAGAGTCACCACGACCATTAGAGTACGGCGATAGTAGCATAAATTAGCAGGCAGGTTATGCTACATCATATTTTCTCATTCAACAACACGGAATAATTCTCCCGCGGAAATCTCAACTCGCAGTATGTCGAACTCCGTGGTAATGTTCCCTCCAGTCGCGCGCCATCTCCTGTGGAAGGTAAGGAAAGCACGAACTCAGCCCAAATTCACACCAGAGACATATCACAAGGCTTGATTTCTTACGAGCGCTGACCTCCAACATGCTCTGAGTGCAAGGTAAGATTTCATCTGTCCACGCGACTTCGCATATTATCTCCAAAACAAGCGTCACCCCAGCCTTCGCTGGCTATGATTATTGCTACACAAGAGTCTCAGAACGAAGAAACAACGAAACTACCTCACGTGTCATCCTTGCGCCAGCCAGCATCATCCAGCGCCGGCGACTGCTCCAGAAAGCGCGGCGCCGCAAAGAGATGCAGATCAAACCTCAAGAGCGCTGCTAGCTACTCCAGCATGAGCGAGAGAGCACGCGTAAACCCCACGAGGTGAGAGCAAAGTACATCCGTGTCATGAGCACTTATTCAATTTTTCAGTTTTCTATATCAACGCTTCTAGTGCCGGGTCAGAAGTCGTTGGCGACAAAATGTCAGTCGCAAATCCGAAAAAGAAAAAAAAAATTGCCAAATCATACTCTAGCTTTGCTTTGCATCCCAAACACGCCATGCTCAAACGCAGTGTCGAGTCGTGAGGTTTCAATATCGTTCCAAGCAAGAACATGCCTTGCGCCAAGAGCCTGTCACATGCTCGTTGGCGCCACGTCTGAAAAACGGCAGTCGTCAGTCCAACCCACCCAACAACACGAAACGCAGCGCAAACCTACCTTCCTAACCCTCCATCCTAACTCATCGTCAATCTCCTCTTCTTCTCAGAACGCCTCGGCTTCCTCTCCTTCCGTCCCTCCTTAAACCAAGCCTCAGCAGCCTCGACCTCGCGCTGCTTCTTCGCACGCTCCCTCTCATCTCTCTCCCTCTTCGCTCGCCTCTCAGCTTCCTCCTCACACTTATCGCAAGGATTGCCGGTCCGGACGTAGTAGTTCGTGTGGACGGAGCAGAATTGATGGTGATCGCCATGTGGAGCGTTGATGGGATGGTCTTGTGTGGAACACCAGCAGTGGTGGTTTTCCCAGATGTAGGGCATTGTCGAGGAGGACGGTAGCTGGGAATGAGATGGGTGAGTTAGTGACTAGGAGTGCGAGTCTTGGGAAGTGGTTTTGTAGGAGGGGGAGGGTCGAGGGACTGGTTTGAAGCAAGATTGAGGTGCAGTGCTTAGCCGCACGGACTTGGAGCCAGTTTCATTCACTCACTGCCTTGGGATCTCACGCCACGTTCTCAAGGCTCATTCTTGGACTCGAGAACTCCAACCTTGGGTTTCCTGGTCTTTGGCTTCTTGCGAGCCTTGCTAGTATCCTTGAACCAAGCGTCCAAATCTTCCTGGGCCTTCTTCTCGGCCGCAGCCTCGCGCTGCTTTCTCTCTTCAGCGGCCTCGCACGGCATGCACGATATACCCTTCTTGTAGAAGAAGCCGACGTGGACTGGGCAGAACTCATGATGTTCGCTATGAGGGGCAGCGTGGGTGTAGTTGCGAGTGCTGCACCAGCAGTGGTGGATATCTGACTCGCCTATCCAAGGCATGATGGCTGGAAACGAAATATTAGTGCTTACCTCTGAGATTGAAGTAAAGTGGATAAATGGTTGAGAACGTATTGGTTGTGTTTGGACTCGAGTGCTGTGTAGGTTAGGAGCCTTCGTGTGCTAGGTTCGCAAGGTGGCAAAGGAGAGAATGAGGGGGATGAAGAGAAGGTCTTAAGAAGATCGTTGAAACGCTACTACAGAAAGTGAACAGATTCTGGTAAGGAGATGTCATTCACTTAACCTGTTGACGGCATATGAAGGCCCAAAAGTGTAAATTACGGTACCGATCGGGCGATCTCTATTCAACATGGTTGAATAAGGCTGTAACACAACAGAAGGAAACCAATATTCACTAGAGTGCAATGGCAAACGTGAACGCGGTCGCATGTGAATGGTCCGTGCGGCTTCCTCGTACAAAACCCTAATGTTCCCTCATCATCATCTCACTAACTTTGCCGACCAATCTCGTTGTTTTGACAGTTTGCTACGACTTTGCTATCATATCTATGCATTTCCAGAATTTACAGTAAATCAGGTATCAGTAGGAGGATGGGGATGAAGAGGAAGAGGATGAAGAGGATGAAGATCGAGAGTAATAGTGCTGCTTGGAAGCTGCTGACGGAAGATCGTTTCTTGACGATGGTAGCTTATAATCGCTCATACATAGTGTAGAGGATGTTCCAAAGGTCAAAAAATGGCCATGCGTGAGTCTGAAGGGGGGATCGAGGAGATGGTGGTGGCCGCTTTCGAACAGATCGCGCCACTGTTTGCTTGATGGGCCTCTCGATAGGAATCAAGTGTCTCGGCGTGTTCGCGATCGATCTGAACTTATATTGGACTAATTATAGAGAGAGATTTGCCGCTTCGTTCGAGATGTGTGATGTTCAACGTCGAGGCAAGCAGCCAGGTTAGAAGTGCCTGTCTCGCCACAGCGTTGGTCGAAAAAATCAGTCTCACATCTACGCAAAGAAAGTTGCACTCACACCGCGCATCAACATGACACTCAATTCAATGACTTGCTAAAGCGCTAAAGTACCATATGAACAATGCGCTGTCCAAACGAATTCCCATAGACTTCCCCCACTACTCATTCTGCTTTGCCGAACGTATGGTTTCATCCTCCCATTCGACTTCCTCTTCTTCTTCTCCTCCTCCGCATTGGGTATCGACTGATTGATTCATTCCATTCTCTTCACCGCAAAAGATCACAAAAAAAGAAAAGTGCCTGAAGCCTAAACCATTACGCATTACCGAACGCCAATGCCGAATGCTGCAATGAATGCATATCAACCTCCCTTGCGTGTACGCTGTGCATTGCAAAATCCGCCCGAATCAAGCATTACTCTGCAGAGAGAGAGACCGGACGGACAAAGGTATAATTCGAAGTAAGATGTGAGTAATTGGACCAGATCGTATCTCGCGCGCATGTCTGTACATCTTTACAGAAGGTCTGAAGCCCTGTATTGTCGGAGGGCATCTGCGGAGAGAAAGGAAGTAGCAACGCTCATTGTATACTGCGTGCCATGTACACTTATGCATCGTGCGTCCGCAGCACTTGCTTTTTCGACGCCTGTGGAATGCATTTCGTGATTCATCGTGCTTATCTCGTTTGTTTGCTCGCTCGCTCGCTTAAATGTCATCAAGCATGCCGTGGTTGAAGTCGGCATCGGCGCTGGTGGCGCTTGTAGGTTCCATTCCGCTCATTCTGTCGCCAGCACGGTTGCTAAACGTTCTGGACAGCCGGTTGCTATCGTCGCCCATGTTGACATCACGATCACCCATGTACTGCTCGAGGGTGCTCTCGTCCACAAAGGTGAAGCCCTTGAACTGGTTCTGCATGGTTGGACTGAGAGGTGTGCTGTCTGTGTTGATGCCGCTGGCCAGTGCCGCGGCTCTGGCGTTGAGCGAGTTCTGGTCGCCGGCAGTCAGAGCATTAGTGAACTCAGGATCGAAATTGCTGGTGTCGAGCTCGCTCTTCAATTTCGGCTTGAATGGTGGCGCAACCAGCTTCTTGCTGAGAGCGTTCCAGTCCACGTCGCTGAAGAAGGGATGCGCCATCAGCTCCTCGGCATCGCCCCTAGCACCGAGTCGATGGGCAGGATTGCGATTGAGCAGTCCCTTCACAAAGCTGCGACCCTCTGCAGAAAGTGCGTCTCTCGGGAAGCGCACCTTCCCAAATGCAATGTTCTTATACATTTGTTGCGTGTCCTCGGCGTAGAAGGGCGACCAGCCGCAACACATCTCGAAGACCAAGACGCCAAGAGACCAGAAATCCACCATCTTGGTATACCCTTGCTCGTCAAGAAGTACCTCCGGAGCCAAGTACTCGGTAGTGCCGCAGAATGTATTGGTGGTATCGTTCTTGGCAAGATTGGCTTTTGACAGTCCAAAGTCACAAAGTGCAATGTGCCCATTCGCATCGAGCAAGATGTTCTCCGGTTTCAAGTCGCGGTACACGATATCGTGCTGGTGCAAGTGTCGCAGAGCAAGGATAAGTTCGGCGATGTAGAACTTGGCGCGCTCCTCCACAAAACGGCCTTCTTTTTGCAGGTGCCAGAAAAGCTCGCCTCCAGACATGTAATCGGTGACCAGGTACAAGTCGGCCGCGGTCTGGAAGGAGAACTTCAGACCCACGATGAATGGCGATTCCGTAGTCGCGGTTCGCACGAGGATATTCCGCTCGCCAATCGTGTGCTGAATCTCCTTCTTTTGCACGATAACCTTCTTCGACAAGACCTTCATGGCATATATACGCTTCGTGTCTCGCTTGCGAACCTGGAACACCTGCCCGAAAGTGCCCTTGCCAACGAGCTTGAGGATCTCAAAGTCATCTGGGCCGAATGTTTTCTTGCCTGCCGCGTGGAAAGCAATTGTCAGATGGATGTCTCCTGTGACCGTCTCATTGATCCCTTCTCTTGGTTGCAGCTTGTACCAGTCTTCATGCTGATGCTCGTAATCGTCGAGATTCAGAGGCAGTCGTACATGTCCGATGAACTGCTCATTGTTTGCTCGGTCATACACCGAGACATCCACCTCGTTGGTGTCGCCGACCACGTCAAACACGGCCTTGTGACGCCACACAGGATCCGTCGTCTCATGCTGCTTGTTGTGCGAGCCTCTTCGCAGATCAGCGATGTTCGTCTGGCTCGTCTGTCGACTTCGCAAGCCTGGGATGGCCATCGGTGCACCTTGGCCACTTCCCATACGCTTCATAGCGACGCCCTTTGCGAGGTTCTCCTCCGGGTCCTTTTGATCATCCACAGCCATCTCATCTTCCTTCGGACCAGCTGAGATATCCTCGTTTAGCTGAAAGATGCACACGACGTACGGATCAGTTGCTGGTCGCAGTCCTCTCGCCTCTTCGACCACAATCTCCAATTGCCCCTTGAGCTGCCCGATTGTAGCGCCATGCGAATTGTTGGAGCTCGATCGACTCGTCTTTATTGGTGCGACGCTCGGCGCTTCATCGTCTCTTCTGCTTACGTGCGAGAGGGAACGAGGTGTCTGAGGAGGAGTATTCTGAGGGTCAGTCTGCGTCAGCGCCTGATTTTCCTTTTCTACGCCTTGCTTCGGACTTTGAGGAGATGGAGGACGCGCAACAGAAGGACTCCCAGGAGCAGTGTGTGAAGTAGATGAGGGATTGGAGATGTGAGCAGCCGCGGCGGACTTGGTCACAATGCTAGTGAGCGCAGTGGACAGCGTATTCCGGCGTAGCGAAGACGGCACGTTCGAGAGGCTCTGCTGTCGCTGCGCCCAAGAGCGCTTGCGAGTCGGTGGAGCTTCAGGAAGTATGCCGTTGATGCTCGCCTCGACGTCTGCCATGTGCAGGAAAGATGAGGAATTGGAGAGAGGAGGCGTAGGGTAGGAGGACTGCGTCTGGAGGTCCGGGTGCTTCTTCTCGTGTGGGAGCAGTGGCGGCGAGTCGATAAGTGAACTCAGGCCAATCCGTGGCGAACTGGGCGCGGTCGGTGGCTGAGCCTGCAGAGGACCACCTGCGAGCGCTTGCTCCAGGGCGGCCACTGCGACGCTGTGCTCTTGCTGCTGCTGCGCCGGCGCCGTCTTCTCGTCCGGAGTCTGCTCTTTCTCGTCCATCGAGGAGGCAGGTGCGGGGGTTTCTGCAGTGCTTTTGCCCTTCAAAAAGGAGTCACGAACCTGAGCGAAGTAGCTGTGAAGCGCCGGCAGTCGCTTGTCCTGGTGCGCATCTGGGCGTGGTGTCGCGGTGCCGTTTGGCGGCGTCGAGGCGCCCGAGCCGATCCCATCGTGGTGGCTATCGTCTTCGTGCGCCATCTTGCTGTATGGCGAGACTCAGTCAGCAATCTCGTGGTGAGTCACGCTGTGGCATGTGCATTTGTAGAATCGGTGCAAAAAGAGCGGAGATCGACATGTATTGCTCAAGGAAGATTGTAGAGTGCAGGTGCCGGTGCAATGTATCGAAGTCTACTTCAGTAGTTTGGTGTTGAAAATATAATGGCGACGCGGTGCCGAGGATACCCCTCCCTCCGTTGCGCAAAATGCAAAATCGTTGGCTCGGAATAGCCGACCCACAGGTGCTCAACTGCGCAGTGAGGACTGGATTTTCGCTGGACGCTCGGGAGGTGAGGCAAATTTGTGGCTTTTTGTCGCAGTGTGGTGATTTGCATTGTCCAGGACCAGCTTCCAGAACGATCAGCAGAACCAGCGCGGCGCGGCGCGGCAGGCGTCGGTCGTGGCGGTGCACGTGTGTCGAAGGCGAATAAATAATGTCCTCAGGCGCCCAAGTGCAGATTACACACGCCAAGGGATTCATTCGATGACGACAAGCGCAGTGCAGGTAAGAAAGAAGTGAAGGGGAGGAGATTAGGGGACCGACTTACCCATGTTGGTGCATGAGACTCTGCCGCAGCAAGTCTGCCGCGGTGTGCGACTGGCCGGCGAATGCGTCGTGCGAGGTGGCCATGCTGGCGCGAGTGATGGCCGCGCGCAGGCCGAGCAGCGAGGATGGGGCGAATAGCTGGGGCGATTGAGATGGTTTGGTGGGGCTGCGAGGAGGAACGGCGGCGACGGTCGATATGGTGGGCACCGCGCTGGAGCTCTTCGTCGACAGGTGGCCGGGGCGACGGTGAAGCGGACGAGGGCGGCGAGAGGTCGAGGAATCTCTCGACTCCCCTTCGCCTTTGTAAGAGCGCGAGCGCGGACGCTCACGGTCCGCTGGTCTTACCTCCTCCACAGCGTAGCTTTGACGTCGGCTGGGAGGCAGCTTCACATGCAGAAGCGTCGCCAGCCGGTAGTACGGTACTTGTTCGGGCGTCCTAAGTTCGTGAATGACGACGGTGGAGCGATTGGCTGACCAGGTGCTGCTGTCGTCGGCGTATCTCTGCCCGCGCGGTCGTCGTCGTCCGGCCGATGAAAATGGCAAAATGCGTGCAAGTGATGGGGGATGTGGGCTGGCGAGAGAGAAAGTCGGTGGTGGATGTCAGTGGCAGGACCAGAGGAGTGCGTCACCGAGATCGTCGACCAGATCGCTAGAAGTCGGAGGCGAAGAAAGAGTCAAAAGGCCAGACTGGGCTGCCTCACCGGCGAAGCGCTTCGATGCACCAGCCACGTGCGAGAGCCACTGGGAACGTTGCGGGCGGGCAGGAAGCTTTTGAGTTGATCGGACTGTTCCCGCTTGAACTTCCGAAGTAGTGAAGCAGAGTCGTGGGTGCAGCGGTATATATTCTAGCAGAGCAGATCGATGCCGCCTTGCTTCCAGATGTGAAGACACAATGGAGAGCGTGCGTCGTTCTCATCAACGTCGTAGAGCCAATGCCAATGCCACACTGCCAGCGTCGCATGAGTAAAGTGTCTCAACAAGCAAGGAACTTGAAGAGCCAAAATACCTACCTCATCGAGATAGCCGGCCGATAGGCTGGGTTGTTTGACCGCAATTCCGGGTTTGACACAATCTATCGGCGCCCGCCTGCAGACGCCCTTCTCAACCGGCTCTCTGCAGCAGCATGTGATGAGGGCAAAGTGCAAAGAAGCGCCGACACGCGCAGCACAAGCACCTTTGTATTCACTAAATTGCCTGGCGCTCAGCTGTCAAGGAGACGTGCGTTGCACACAATCTTGACCGGTTGAGCACGATCAGAAAGAAGGGACAAAGAAGGCGTTTTGGGGTCGCACAGATCTGCACTGGCATTTCCCGATGTTTGGGACACGTGAATTGGGCCAGACACCAGAGGTGAGGCTGGGTCAGAGTTCTAGCATATGACCGGTGGATACACATGGTATGATGGACATGTGAAGGCAGGAGCCACGGTTCTGCGCATCTTGCACCTGACATGCTCCCTTGTTGCACGAGGATAACGTGAGTCGAATAGAACACCTGGGCACCAACGCTGATCAGCAATGTCATGTCATCAGCAGGTCTCGACTGTGACAGTACCCGTCCAGCCCAATCCTCCCCACAGCCTCTCTCATATTCTACCCATGCCCAGCTACACCGACAACGACTCAGCCTCGAGGAGTCCGCTTCAGCCGTCAGATCTTGACGCCTGCAGCTCTCCGGTGGCACAGACAGGGTGGTCTATCGCCTATCGGACGCCGGCATGCAGCTCATTCCAGGAGTCCTCGAATAGCAATTGCCACACTTCCAATACCCCGGATCTCAGGTCGCAGTGTGCGACAAACAAAGGCTCACGCGAATGCACCAGAAGACGTCTAGAACAAGCAGCTTCCCGGAGATGAACCAGACCTGTGGCGACAAAGGGATGTGCCAGCCTCCACCTTCTCGTGCTGTTGCCGCTGTGACACTGTCGGCCTTTTTCAACATTCAACGAAATTCTCGGACTAATCATGCTATACTGAGAGGTAAGCAAACTCATCTCCCAGGAGTCGCAATGGACTTGATCCACTTCAGAGTATATACTTTCAAATAAAAGCAAGATCCAACCATCTATCCACAAGACCTCCATCCCCCAATTCAGAGCTTGGCGCTACCACTCTTAATCTTCATCTTCGCCCGCCCATTGCTCAAGCAAACCTTCCCCGTCTGCTTCACCTTAACCGTAAACCTAACATCCTCCCACCCCTCCCCATCCCTGGTCCCCATCCTCCACGCCTCCGTCAAAAGCACATCCCCCGGCTTAACCGGCGACGCAAACCTCGCCGCATACTCCTTAATACTCCCGGGATCACCCCCACCAAGCAACTTAACCAACGCATGCGCCGTGGAATTCCAAGAAAACAATCCATGAATAATCACCCCACCAAACCCCATAGCCTTCCCAGGCTTGGGATCGATATGCAAAGGGTTATAATCCCCATTGAGTCGGTATAGGATCGCAGTCTCCTCATTCGTAGCAAATTCATTCACCACATCCGGAGCTTTGCCCTGAGGTGGAGGAAACGTCTCAGTTTTCGGCCCTTTGGGACCTCCCCAACCCCCCTGCCCGATAAAGAACGCACTCCCGATAATCGTCGTATACACCTCCCCGCTCTCCTGATCCACAATATCAACCTGCGTCTCCAACACCGTCCCGGGTTTCCCTTTATCATAAACGCCCACAACTTTATTCCTAGCCTCGAATTTCCTTCCTTCAGAAGAGGTTGGGAGTTGTTTATGGAAAATTATCTTCCGTTCCCCATCGAGGACGCGTTTGGAGTCGAGGGCAGGGACGCCGGGGATTTGCGGGCGAGAGGAGTGTTGGGCTGCGTAGAAGTCGATGACTTCTTGGGTTGTGTGTTTGAAGGGGAGGATGATGGGGTAGGTGGGGAAGACGGAGAAGTTGGGGTGGAGTTCGTAGAGGTAGTGGAGTTCGTCGGAGGTTGCGCCGATGCTGGCGGCGAAGAGAAGGACGTCGCCTGGGGGAGGAAGGTTAGTTGGAGGGAAGGAGAGAGAGATGGGAGTTTTGAGGACTACTTACGCTTTAGCCAGGAGACTTCGACTGGGGCGCTTTCATGGCCCGCTCCTGCTCCTTTTTCTGACATGGTGGGTTTGTGTGTGTGGAACTGAGGTGAATGTCGTCTTTGGGGCTTACGCTGAAGGAATGTGAGACTACAGAAGCTCTTGGGAGTTTTGAAGTGGTGCAATGAGTGAACCTCGGCTTGACGGCTTCATTCGGCACTACGCGGCATAGTTCTATGACAAGGGCATACTGAGTCCTGACGCTACAATATCAGACCACTATACCATTGGACATTTTGTTGATCGGACAACAGCAAGACATTATTCGAGGCCGCTTGATGTTTACATATATTGCAGTTGCCAGGAACGACTCCCTCCGCACCAAGCAAGCGCAAAGTATGCATACCTAGGTATTCGTTCATTTCCATCGTTCAATCGTTCCTTCATCATTGGGCGTCAGGCGCGAGCACCACATCTTCGATTTGCTCGAAACGAAACCACCATGTCCATACATCGTTCGCAGCTTCCTGCGGCTACCAGAGCTCAATTTCATGGAGAACATGTCGAGAGGTAACCTCGAAGCTCGACTCCGCAGCAACCAAGTTCGTGAAAAGCATAACCTCGTAGCAGTCCAGTCCCTCGAGCCGGCCTCGCTCGTGTCGCAGTGGATGGCAGAGCTTACCGGCGCGGCGGCCTGGCTGGAGAGCATAACAGGCCTAGCTCACGGCGACATTCGTCCATCCAATCTGCTTCTCGATGCCTGCGATCACCTGAAAACTTGCCGACTTCGATTGCGCAGCGAATATTGACCAACAAGAGCTAGAAGCGGGTATACCGGAGTGTAAGGCTCCGAGGCTAGTAAGGAAAGGGGCATATTAGGAAGAGTTAGGACTACGAACAGAACAATTCGCTATTAGTAGTATCTACTACTATATAACGCGTAGGTATAAGCTATATAAGGATATCTATCTATCTAGCCTAGAGATAGTCGATCTACTACGGCGTAAAGTCTTTCTACTTATAACCTCGACCGATTCTAAGAATACTATAATTTAGAAATATTAGTACGGAGAATACCCTTCGCTCTAACTACTAGCTACCTAAGTTAATAATATAGAAGAATATACAAGTAATAGTTCTATAGAGAAGCTAAGATAGGAATGTCTTTAGTAGTGTGAGAATTAGAAAGCCCTAGTTAAACCTTATATTACTCGTAGCTACCTTCCGACGAGGAAGATAGCTCGTAACTATAATAAGATAATAGGGCTTTATTATAACTTCCTCTAGTATATATAGTAAACCTAACCTCTTAAAATACTAAGCTAACTATATTAAGCGCTAATTAGGTCGCTTAGCTATATCCCCGAAAGTAGGGAGTACTAAGTACCTATCTATATAGTAAATAGTATACTAAGTATAGATAGGTAGCTATACGGATTCTCGAGAAAATATAGAATATACTTAATAGACGATAAGGAGTAGACCGTAGGTATACGGACTAGCGTATAACGTCGCTTAAAGAACAGCCTAGCTCTAGAATAGATACCTTAGGCTATTCCCCTAGATACCTAAAAAATAGTCTATAGCAGCTCCTTAAGTATACTATAGTAAACACGTAAGTCTATAAGTTTAATTAGGTTTATAGCTCTCCGATAGTAGACATCGCCAGTCCTATTGTTACCGTAGAAAATATCAGACGACTAAAAAAAACAATAAGAACACCTTGTCGAACGAGCAACAAGGAAAATTTCCGAGGCCGCTAAGTTGAAGTCCATATATGTCCAGACATATATGAAAGGGAAGGAATGAACTATCCTTCGCAGCACTCTGCAAGCGCAACGTCCACGTATCCAATTCGTTGATTTCTGGTCCAGAATTTCCATCCGTATCGTTTTCCCTTCGTAATCTGCATTACCTTGTTGTCCTTCTTCGAACGCCCAACTCCAACAATAGCACAAAACAATCACCACCCACCCACCCCATGCAATGCAATGCAATGCAATCATATCCAACGCTTCAAATTTTCCGCCTTTTCCCACCGCGTCCCAAAAACGCCATGACTATGCATTCATTCATTCATTCATTCATTCATTCATTCATTCATTCATTCCAACTCAAGCGAATTACCTCGATTCCTGGTCTCCTTTTTGCGTACTGCTACTACTCGCCCCCCTCGCGTGCAGATTGTAGCTCGATGAGATCTTCATCCTTCTTCGAGACATCAAGCGTAGTACCCAAATCTCTGACTTCCTTACTGAGCTGCTTACTCCACAGCGCCACGTATTTGCCCTTCTTTCTAAACAATTCATCATGACTACCTCTCTCCACAATCTGTCCGTCATTGATGACCAAGATCAGGTCAGCGTGCTGGATAGTAGAAAGTCGATGGGCGACAATAAACGTCGTGCGATCGGCCGTGAGTCGCTTGAAAGCTTCTTGGATCAGAGCTTCGGTTTCGGCGTCGATTTGCGAGGTGGCTTCGTCGAGGAGCACGATCTTGGGTCTTCGGAGGATGGCGCGAGCGATGGCGACGCGTTGTAACTCGCCTCCGGAGAGCTTGACGCCTCGTTCACCCACCGTGGCTTTGTAGCCATCCGGGAAAGTCATGATTTTGTCGTGGATTGCAGCAGCTCTGCACGCATCATGGACTTCCTGATCAGTTGCATCGAGGCGGGCGTATCGAATGTTTTCCATGATGGACACGTTGAACAGGGACGGATCTTGAGGCACCATGCCGAAGGAATCGCGCATGCTGTCCAGCGTCACTTCTCGGATGTCCTGTCCATCTATCCGAATGGCACCCTCCGCGACGTCGTAGTAACGGTAGAGCAGCTTCAAAATAGTGGACTTGCCACCCCCAGTCTCTCCAACGAGCGCTACCGTCTGGCCTGGCTTGACTCTGAAGTTGACATCCTTGAGTGTGGCTCTCCGCGGATCGTAGCTGAAGTTGACGTGATCGAAGACGACTTCGCCTTGCGAGATCTTGATGTCTTTGGCGTTTGGCGAGTTGGTGACGGTTGCTTTCGTGGTCAAAAGCTGGAGGAGACGCTCGGAGTCAATGAGCATTTGCGAAACCCTGCGGACCGAATATGACACATTCGCAAGTGGATATTCGATCGACCTCCAATAGGTGACCAGAGTGACAAAGCTACCGACAGGCGCACGACCTTGTGCAACTCGAGTCGCGGCCAGCATGACTGCAGTAAGGCGACCGACAAGCATGATGAATGACTGTGCAGCAGCTCCCAGGTGATAAGCCAGGTAGTACTTCCATTCGGCGAGGTTGAAGCTATCGACCGTGTTGACGTAGCGCTGTGTCTCGTACTGTCGTCGGTTGAAGTGCGAAACGGTGCTCCAGTTGACAATGGCCTCAGTCTGCACTTTCGACTCATTCCGCCACGCCGCGTTAAAGTTGCGGCGGTGCCTCATGCTCCATGCTGTGACTTTAGTGCCGATCCAGACATATGCGATTCCGACTCCAATCAGGATGATTGCCATGTAGACATCGAACAGGAAAGATACGTAGACGAATGCTACGATCAAGTCGAAGAACATGGGCGCCACTTCGAAGAGGAAGAAGTCCACCAGATTCTGCAATGTAGTTCCCTGGTCGACAGCTCGAATCAGCTCGCCACAGTCCTTCTCATTGTGAAAGTCCATGGAAAGTCCCATGATGTGGCTGAATGCCGTAGTCGAGATCTTCTTGTAGCCGTATTGTTCGATTGGAATTTGAGCCAACTGCTTGATCAATGGCAGACAAGCTGGGGAGTCCAGCGAAGCATAGAGCACCCACAGACCGATGGCTTTCCAAGGCGCTTGCCCAGTCATTCCAGTTTGCGAAAGCTCGGTCACGATGATACCCAACTGACGAGGAACCAAGATGTTCAGCGCACGCTCGGCGAGGATGATGACCGCGATGACCGCGAAGCAGGCTTGCACAAGACGATCTTTCCAGGGAAGCAGCATGGGCAGGAAAATTTGGAACTCCTTGATGTAGCCAAGCCAGCTACCGGATTCTTCGAGACGCTTTTGCTGCTGTTTCTTGAGCTCCTTGTCACGTTCTGGCTCCTCGCTGTCAGAATCGATATCGACATCATCGTCATCGTGCTTGACCGTATCCGAGTCGCCCGCATCAGTATTCGAAGCGCTTCCAGATGCTCCATTGCACAGGACGCTGTCTCTTGGCGAGGGAGAAGTGCTTCCTGGTTTTGGCTTTTTCCCGTTCGCGCTCCCGTTTGCGCTTCCATGTACGCCGGCGCGGAGTAGAGCCTCGCTCTCAGCGTCCAACTTCACACTCTTGGGGCGGTCATGGAGAGCAAGTGCGCTGATTGTCAAGAACACAGCCACCAGCAGCGCTGTACGCGCCACGCAGAGCGCCACGCGAGCGCTGGAGTAGTCGTTTTCGGGCGAAGCAGAAATGGAATGGGGAAGATGTGATGTGATGTGGAGTGTAAAGAGCGGAATGTCGAAGGCAAGTGCGAGCAGCCAAGCTCCCAGATATGGATGCCATAGCGGCTTTTTGTTTTCGAGGAGGCCGAGGAGGAGAGAGGCGTGCACGGCGAACAGCAAGATAAGATAGACGATGTAGTCTTGTGAAGCGTACCAGGCAGGTTGCTGCAGGGATTGTACGATGGCCAAAAGGGCTTCAGCTGCCGCAGTCACGGTCACTGCAGCTTGCAAGGCGATGGCGGCATGTCTGCGAGATCTGGAGCCGGCATGCGCCGACGGATGCTGCAAGAGGCAGCCAGCGGTGGTCTTGGCGGCGACGAAATATGTTCCAGTCACAATGGGAGCAATGTAGTGCAAGGCTGCGATTGCGATTGCGATGGCGCTGGCCGGTGCGCCGCCTGTCGTGGCCATGGTGGCGTTCGGCAGGTTCGGCAGGTTCGGAGTCGGTGCGGTCGAAAAGGGAGTCCTCAGTCGTTAAACGTTTTGCCTTGCTGCCGTCAGAATGGAAAGGCCGCCGCTAGCCGTGATGCCGGAGCGAGTCGACGGTGGAGGAGTTCCGCTGGCCTCCAGCAGACGATGTGTGCGTGCGTGCGTGCGTGCGAATGGGCGGCAGCCTGACTCATGCGTGCGTGCGGTGCGTAGCAAACACTCGAGTCGAGCTCGCTCCGAGGGTCTATCTATGGTCGATGCCATCGCATCCCAGAGCGCGTCGGAAGCTCTCACCGACGCTCGGTCGGTCAATCAACGTGGCATCGCCGTCTTCCACCCGTCTCGTGGCACGGAGCAAGGAGGGGGACAATCATGGTGCGTAGCGCAAGTGCTCCTATGCATTTCACGGGACACTCTCCTCCTCGCCACGCCCACGCCCACGCGAAGCGAAGCGGTGAACCGCCATCCCTTGTCGCCTGCGGGCGTGAGAGGCCGCCAAGACAGTGGCTGGGGATTACTAACGTCTATAATATAACAACTCTATAATATAACAACTCAACAAAAAATGGGGGCCCTTTAGGCTTAGTGCGGCTCAAAACGACCGAAAAGCCGACTCTAATTAGTCGGCGGCGAGGAACTTTAAAATTTCTCGATTCTCGCGTAGTCCGGAGGGCGTAGGAGTCGTAGAATCGACTATAACGCTCCGGCGCCGCGATAGTAGTGTTTCCGAGGCCGTCTCCGTCGTTTACGCCTAATCCGGCGGCGTTTTTTACTCGAGGCGGTATCGTTCGCGCCTAATCCGGCGGTATTTACTTAGAGCGGTAGGCTCGAAAGGCTTATCCTACGCGTTCCGGATAGTACTACTCGCTATAGGCGTTTTATAGGGTACTTATAGTAGGCGTTAGATAAGGTACTCGCTATAAATAGTTCGAATCCTATTTAACTATAGGCGTTTTAGATAGTATTTACTATAAGCGTTTCGGATAGTACTACTCGCTATAGCTATCTTAGATAGTTACCGCTATAAGCGTTTCGAATATTACTACTCGCTATAAGCGTTTTTAGTAGTATTTACTATAAGCGTTTCGGATTAGACTTGCTATAAGTATTCTAAATAGGACTTACTATAGGTATTTTAGATAGTCCTACTTGCTATAAGCGTTCCTAATAGTACTTGCTATTTGCGTTCCGGATAGACTTCCTCTACGCGTTCCGGATAAGACTTAGTATAAGCGTTTCGGATTAGAATTGCTATATAGTGCGTTCTAAATAAAACTTAGTATAGGCGTTATAGACAGTAGTACTAACTATTAGCGCTCCGGATTAGAGTTATTAGACTTACTATACGCGTTCTAAATAGTACTTAGTATTATAAGCGTTCTGAATTAGACCTATTATAGGCGTTATAGATAATAGTTAGCTTATCCTACGCGTTCCGGATAGTACTACTCGCTATAGATATTCTATAGAGTACTCGCTATAGGCGTTATATAGGGTACTCGCTATAGATAGTTCGAATACTATTTAACTATAGGCGTTTTAGATAGTATTTGCTATAAGCGTTCCGGATAGTACTACTCGCTATAGGCCTTCCGGATAGTGCTTAGTACAAGTATTTAGTTTCGGATTAGACTTAGTCTTACTTTATACATTCCGGATAAGACTTTCTATAAGCGTTTCGGATTAGACTTGCGTATAGTATACGCCTTCCGGTTTATATCGGACTAACTATACTAAGCGTTTAAAATAAGGCTTGTCCTACGCGTTCCGGACAGTACTGCTTGCTATAGGTATTCTATAGAGTGCTCGCTATAGGCGTTCTCTAAGGTACTCGTAGCAGGCGTTATGTAGGGTACTCGCTATAGGTAGTTAAAATACTGTTTGCTGTAGGCGTTTTAGATAGTGTTTGCTATAAGCGTTCCGGATAGTACTACTTGCTATAGATATCTCGGATAATATAGTTACCGCTACAAGCGTTTCGAATATTGCTACTCGCTATGAGCGCTTTTAGTAGTGTTTGCTGTAGGCGTTTCGGATTAGACTTGCTGTACGTATTCTAAATAGCACTTGCTGTAGGTACTTTAGATAGTCCTGCTTGCTGTAGGCGTTCTTAGTAGTGCTTGCTGTTAGCGTTCCGGATAGTCTTACTCTACGCGTTTCGGATAAGACTTAGTATAGGCATTTCGGATTAGAATTGCTATATAGCGCGTTTTAAATAGACCTTCGTGTTCTAAATAGTACTTAGTATTATAGGCGTTCTAAATTAGACTTTTTATAGGCGTTATAGATAATAGTTGGCTTATCCTGCGCCTTCCGGATAGTGCTACTCGCTACAGATATTCTATAGAGTACTCGCTATAGGCGTTTTGTAGGGTACTCGTAGTAGGCGTTATATAAGGTACTCGCTATAAATAGTTCGAATACTATTAAACTATAGGCGTTTTAGATAGTATTTGCTATAGGCATTCCGGATAGTACTGCTCGCTATAGATATCTTAGACGGTTGCCGCTATAAGCGTTTCGAATATTACTACTCGCTATAATCGGGTTTAGTAGTATTTACTATAAGCGTTTCGAATATAACTTGCTATAAGTATTCTAAATAGTACTTACTATAGGTAATTTAATAGTACTACTTGCTATAAGCGTTCTTAATAGTACTTGCTATTAGCGCTCCGGATTGGACTTACTATACGCAATCCGGATAGTACTACTCGCTATAAGCCTTCCGGATAGTACTTAATATAAGTATTTAGTTTCGGATTAGACTTAGATAGTTAGACTTGCTCTATACATTTCAGATAAGACTTTCTATAAGCGTTTCGGATTAGACTTGCTATACGCGTACCGGTTTATATAGAACTAACTATACTAAGCGTTTAAAATGAGGCCTGTCCTACGCGTTCCGGATAGTACTACTGCTATAGATATACCGTATTATATAGAGTGCTCGCTATAGGCGTTTTATAAGGTACTCGTAGTAGGTGCTATATAGGCTACTCGCTCTAAGTAGTTCGAATGCTGTTTGCTATAGGCGTTTTAGATAGTATTTGCTATAAGCGTTCCGGATAGTACTACTCGCTATAGGCCTTCCGGGTAGTACTTAGTATAAGTACTTAGTCTTAGATTGGACTTAGACTTACTTTATATATTCCGGACAAGACTTTCTGTAGGCGTTTCGGATTAGATTATTAGACTTGCTATACGCGTTCCGGTTTATATAGGACGAACTATACTAAGCGTTTAAAATAAGGCTTGTCCTACGCGTTCCGGATAGTACTACTCGCTATAGATATCTTAGATAGTTACCGCTATAGGCGTTTCGAGTATTACTACTCGCTATAGGCGTTTTTAGTAGTATTCACTATAAGCGTTTCGGATATAACTTGCTCTAAGTATTATAAATAGTACTTACTATAGGTATTTTAGAAAGTACTACTTACTATAAGCGTTCGTAATAGTACTTACTATTACCGTTCTAAATTAGACCTACTATACGCGTTCCGGATAGTACTTACTCTACGCGTTCCGGATAAGACTTAGTATAAGCGTTTCGGATTAGAATTACTATATAGCGCGTTCTAAATAAAACTTAGTATAGGCGTTATAGACAGTAGTACTAATAGGTAGCGCTCCGGATTAGACTTACTATACGCCTTCTTAATAGTACTTAGTATTATAAGCGTTCTAAATTAGACCTATTATAGGCGTTATAGATGATAGTTAGCTTATCCTACGCGTTCCGGATAGTACTACTCGCTATAGATATTCTATAGAGTACTCGTAGTAGGCGTTATATAGGCCCTATAGGGTATTCGCTATAAATAGTTCGAATGCTATTTAACTATAGGCGTTTTAGATAGTATTTGCTATAAGCGTTCCGGATAGTACTACTCGCTATAGGCCTTCCGGATAGTGCTTAGTATAAGTATTTAGTTTCGGATTAGACTTAGTCTTACTTTATACATTCCGGATAAGACTTTCTATAAGCGTTTCGGATTAGACTTGCGTATAGTATACGCCTTCCGGTTTATATCGGACCAACTATACTAAGCGTTTAAAATAAGGCTTGTCCTACGCGTTCTATATAGTATAATCGCTATAGGTATTCTATAGAGTACTCGCTATAGGCGTCTTTAGTAGTATTTTCTATAGGTGTTTCGGATATAACTTGCTATAGGTATTCTAAATAGCACTTACTATAGGTATTTTAGATAGTCCTGCTTGCTATAGGCGTTCTTAGTAGTACCTGCTATTAGCGTTCCGAATTAGACTTACTATACGCGTTCCGGATAGTATCTACTCTACGCGTTTCGGATAAGACTTAGTATAGGCGTCTCGGATTAGAATTGCTATATAGCGCGTTCCAAACAGAACTTGGTATAAGCGTTATAGATAGTAGTACTAACTATTAGCGCTCCGGATTAGACTTGCTATACGCGTTCCGAATAGTACTTACTAAGTTACTATTATAAACGTTCTAAATCAGACTTTCTATAGGCGTTATAGATAGTAGTTAGCTTGTCCTACGCGTTCCGGTCCCCGGATAGTACTACTCGCTATAGGTATTCTATAGAGTACTCGCTATAGGCGTTTTATAGGGTACTTACGGCCCCTTTAGGCTTACTACGGCTTAAAATAAGCTAAAAGCCGACTCTGCTTAGCTATAGCCGAGGAACTTTAAAATTTCTTAGTTTACGAGCGGTTCGGAGATTATAGGAGTCGTAGTATATAGTTCGTAAGCGGTTCGGAGATTGTAGGAGTCGTAGTATATATCGTAAGGCTACGATAGTATTATTTCCGATGCTATATCGGTCGTTTATACCTAATCCGGCGGTATTTGCTCGAGGCGGTATACTCGAAAGGCTTAGCCTACGCGTTTTGGATAGTACTACTCGCTATAGATATTCTATAGAGTACTCGCTATAGGCGCTTTATAAGGTACTCGTAGTAGGCGTTATATAAGGTACTCGCTATAAGTAGTTCGAATACTATTTAGTAACTATAGGCATTTTAGATAGTATCTACTATAAGCGTTCCGGAAAGTACTACTCGCTAAAGATATCTCGGATAATTATCGCTATAAGCGTTTCGAATATTACTACTCGCTATAAGCGTTTTTAGCAGTATTTGCTATAGGCGTTTCGGGCGTTTTAGATTAGACTTACTATAGGTATTCTAAATAGCACTTGCTATAGGTATTTTAGATAGTACTACTTGCTTTAAGCGTTCTTAGTAGTACTTACTATTAGCGTTCCGAATTAGACTTGCTATATACGTTCCGGATAGTACTTACTCTACGCGTTCCGGATAAGACTTAGTATAAGCGTTTCGGATTAGAATTGCTATATAGCGCGTTCTAAATAGAACTTAGTATAGGCGTTTTAGATAGTAGTGCTAACTGTTAGCGCTCTAGATTAGACTTACTATACGCGTTCCGAATAGTACTTACTATTATAAGTGCTCTAAGTTAGCCTTACTATAGGCGTTGTTAGTAACAGTTAGCTTATTCTACGCGTTCCGGATAGTACTGCTCGCTATAGATGTTCTATAGAGTACTCGCTATAGGCGTTCTATAGGGTACTTAGAGTAGGCGTTATATAGGGTACTCGCTACAGATAGTTCGAATGCTGTTTAACTATAGGCGTTTTAGATAGTACTTACTATAAGCGTTCCGGATAGTGCTGCTCGCTATAGTCTTAGCCTATAGGCCTTCCGGATAGTGCTTAATATAAGTATTTAGTTTCGGATTAGACTTAGACTTAATTTATACATTCCGGATAAGACTTTCTATAAGCGTTTTAGATTAGACTTAGTATACGCGTTCCGGTTTATATAGGACTAACTATACTAAGCGTTTAAAATAAGGCTTGTCCTACCGACTCCTACGCGTTCCGTATAGTACTACTCGCTATAGGTGTTCTATAGAGTGCTCGCTATAGGCGTTTTATAAGGTACTCGCAGTAGGCGTTATATAGGGTATCCGCTAAAAGTAGTTCTAATGCTATTTACTATAGCCTATAGGCGTTTTAGATAGTATTTGCTATAGGCGTTCCGGATAGTGCTACTCGCTATAGATATCTCGGATAGTTACCGCTACAAGCGTTTCGAATAACACTACTCGCTATAAGCGTTTTTAGTAGCATTTACTATAGGCGTTTTAGATATAACTTGCTATAAGTATTCTAAATAGTACTTACTATAGGTATTTTAGAAAGTACTACTTGCTATAGGCGTTCTTAGTAGTACTTACTATTAGCGTTCTATATTAGACTTACTATACGCGTTTCGGACAGTACTTACTATACGCGTTCCGGATAAGACTTAGTATAGGCGATCCGTATTAGAGTTACTATATAGCGCGTTCTAAATAAAACTTAGTATAGGCGTTATAGATAGTAGTACTAACTGTTAGCGCTCCGGATTAGACTTACTATACGCGTTCCGAATAGTACTTAGTATTATAAGCGTTCCAAATTAGAATTCCTATAGTTGTTTTCGATTAAAGTTGCTATAAGCGTTTTGAATTAGACTTACTATACGCCTTGTAGGCAGTACTTGCTATAAGTGTTCCGACTCGGAAAGAACTACTTACTATAGATATTTCGAATAGTACTCGCTATAGGTATTCCGGATAGCAATTACTATAGGCGCATTCCGGCTCGCTATAGGCGTTTTTTAGGGCACTCGTAGTAGGCGTTATATAGGGTACTTGCTATAAATAGTTCGAATACTATTTAGCTATAGGCGTTTTAGATAGTATTTGCTATAAGCGTTCCGGATAGTACTACTCGCTTTAGGCCTTCCGGGTAGTACCTAATATAAGTATTTAGTTTCGGATTAGACTTAGACTTACTATATATATTCCGGATAAGACTTTCTATAAGCGTTTTAAATTAGACTTGCTATACGCGTTCCGCCCTATATAGGACTAACTATACTAAGCGTTTAAAATAAGGCTTATCCTACGCGTTCCGGATAGTACTACTCGCTATTGGTATTCTATAGAGTACTCGCTATAGGCGTTTTATAAGGTACTCGTAGTAGGCGTTATATAGGGTACTTAGCGCTCGCTATAAGCAGTTCGAATACCTATAAGCGTTTCGGATTAGACTTGCTATACGCGTTCCGGTTTATATAGAACTAACTATACTAAGCGTTTAAAATAAGGCTTGTTCTACGCGTTCCGGATAGTACTACTCGCTGTAGATATCTTAGATAGTTACCGCTATAGGCGTTTCGAATATTACTACTCGCTATAGGCGTTTTTAGTAGTATTTACTATAAGCGTTTCGGATATAACTTGCTACAAGTATTCTAAACAGTACTTACTACAGGTATTTCAGAAAGTACTACTTGCTACAAGCGTTCGTAATAGTGCTTACTATTACCGTTCCGAATTAGACCTACTATACGCGTTCCGGATAGTACTTACTATACGCGTTCCGGATAAGACTTAGTATAAGCGTTTCGGATTAGAATTACTATATAGCGCGTTCTAAATAAAACTTAGTATAGGCGTTATAGATAGTGGTACTAACTGTTAGCGCTCCGGATTAGACTTGCTATACGCGTTCCGAATAGTACTTAGTATTATAAGCGTTCTAAATAAGAATCCCTATAAGTGTTTTAGATTAAAATTACTATAGGCGTTTTAGATTAGACTTAGTATCCGCCTTATAGGTAGTACTTACTATACGCCTTATAGGTAGTACTTACTATAAGCGTTCTAACTCGGAAAGAACTACTTACTATAGATATTTCGAATAGTACTCGCTATAGGTATTCCGGATAGTAATTACTATAGGCATATTTCGGAAGTAGTTACTATAGATATTTAAGACTATCTTGCTATAAGCGTTCCTAATAGTGCTCGCTATAAGCGTTTCTAAATAGTGCTTTCTAATATCTATAACGCGTTCCGGATTAATATTACTTTTTAGTATTAGCGTTTTAGATATAACTTACTATACGCGTTTTAGATTAGGCCTACTATAGGCGTCTAGATAAGACTTTAGCTACTCGTCGCCTTAGGCTTCTCGTGTGGCTCTTCGAGCCACATAAGCCCTAGTACCTTGTGCTGAGAGGCCAGCTGTGTCCTCTGCACTCGACCTCACTTCATTATTGACGCGGAAAACACTGGGAAAGAAAGGAGAAGAGGAGCGTTTTTTTTTTGGAATCGTTTTCGGGTCACTCAGACCATATTTTACATCCCCATGCGACCGTGTAGCACTCTGATCCTGCCGGCCGGCGCTGCGTAGGACCTCTCGGCGAATGCGAAACCCATCCTGAAGTAGCCCTTCTACTTCGAGCAGCCCCAGCAAATGCAATGCAAAAAGGAAAATAAACCATGCTGTGTCCATAATCATGCTCTTAGCACCCTGTGCTACCCATAACGCCCCCGGAAAATGCAAAAGTCGTTCATGCAAAGCTATTCAGGAGTCACGCCGTCTGTTGATAGACAGCAGCCTCAGCTGAATTGCCGGAGTTGTGTCGGAGGACGGGATTAGTACATAATGTCTTCATCCTCGTCCTCGTCAGAGAAGTCGTCATCGTTGACGAGCTCGTTGCTGTCGGCGGAAACTGGGACAGGAGTTGGCTCGAATGGGTCGATGGCGTCTTTTGCTGGGTGTAGTGCCTTCTCGAGACGGTCGTTGACATGTGGGGTCTCGGTGATGATCGCCTCCTGGAGCAGAGGAACGAGCTCCGCCTCCTTCGTGGCACGCGCAGTCTCGAGAGCGGAGAGATTCTGAGATCCCCACTGAGTCTGCTCCATGCTGAGGGCGGCATACACGTTCATGAATCCGTGGACGTACGAGAACGCCATGAGAACTGGGATGAATTTCATATCCTGCGGGTGCTTGCAGAAATGTGGAATCATCTTGAGGTTCTTGGTGAACACGATCCAGACGGCAAGGGCGATGAGAGCAGGCTTGGCAAGTTCGGTGCCACCCAAGCCCATCCAGAGAAGAGAAGCCATGATGCCCTCGACGACGATGGCAGGAGTCCAGAACTGACCGAAGTAGATAACATAGCAGCCCCACCAGTATGTGGATGAGCACCAGTATGTCTCGTTCTCCATGACCGTGAAGTTACCGCGCCAGTGAGCTCGAGCCCAGCGCATGCACTGGGCAAGGTACTTACTGTCGCCTTCGACGGTGGTCTCGAGAACAGCCTTCGGGTCGAATTGGAGACAAATTCTCCAGCCGTGAGAGTAGACATAGCGCGTGAGGCACTTGTCGTCGTCCGAGTTGAGAGGCTTGCCGCGCCACTTGTCGTTACGGAAGTAATGGGCGAACTCCTTGGTCTGGAGAATCGAGGTGCGGTAAGCGGAGGTGCGGCCAGAGAGCGTCGAGATGGATCCGTCGATGGCGTTGGTGGTCACGTTATTGAAAACGCGTCGCTCCAGGTAGGAGATGCCAAGGATGTTCCAGAATGAAGGCTGCTGATCGCGACGGACGCGCTGACGAGTGCCACCAGCGCCGACCTTGTCGTCCTCGAAGATGGCGAGGAGGCGGTCGAGGTAGGAGACATCGGGCCAGAAGACGTCGTCGTCGGCGAAGACCATAACCGAGGTGCGGACCTTTGGGATTGCTCGAAGCATCTGCTCGCGCTTATTGAGCTTGTCGACACCTAGAACCTTGACTTTCTCTAGGATCTCGTTGACCCTAAGACAGTCCTTGACGAGCTTGACATTGGCTCGAGAGGTGACGACGAAGATACGGGCAGGCTTGCAGGTGAGACAGCGTTGGATGCATTCGACAACATCGTGCGGTGTCTTAAAGGTCGTTGGGATGATGATGGTTGCGTCCTTCGCCCTGAACTTGGGGTTGGCAGCGATCGACTTCGGACGATAAGTGATGTACGCGAAGACGCCGACGAAGGTGCGAAGGTAGCGGAGGATCCAGACGATGACGAAGAGGGTGTTCCACAGCTTTTGAGCTGTGGAGAGGTCGAGTTCGGACATCTTAGCGGCCAGCGCTGAGAATATGGTGATGTTGACGGTGGCAAATGCTGCGAGCATTTGGAAAACGGTGGTGATGTTCGACATGTTCTTGGTACGAGTTGGAGCTGCGCTTGAGAACCTGTCGGAGGGAATGGTGTTAGCTGTTGCAGGCAAGTCGGCGTTGTTGCGAAAGTGCTTACGATGTTGTCGGAAGAGCTTTGTGCAAATGTGTGTTGCGGAGTTGTCTGTAAGAGGTGTGTGGTTGAGTCGATTGACACGGTCTCAATGTGGCTTTTATACCACTCCCGTCGCGGTCTTCCTTGGACAATAGCCTTGTGGCAGACGCTCTCAGCGCCGCGCAGTGGCTTTGTCCGGAATGTCAATGGGTTGTATGCGGTCGCGCCGCTGAAAGACCAGCGGCAACAAGGCGATTGTGTTTTGGATGGTCAGTCAAAGGAAGCGGGTCGCTCAAAGGGCGCGCCTCGACAACACAAAGGGATTGTGTGTTTGGATGGTGTTGTCAATGGTATTGTCAATGGAAGACAATGATGGTGGTGGTGTGTGTCGGAAGGGTGGTGGGTGGTGGTCGGTGGTTGGTGTCGAAGTTTGAGTGTCGGTGGAAGAAGCTGAAGAGTTTTATGGCCAGCAGCAGAAATTGAGGCAAGCGAATGACTTGTGCGCTCACTCGATCACTCGAAAAGTGAAGGTGCGGGCATAGCACATGCTCATTGACGAGCGGACCGCGATTATCCTGTGCCGAACGGTCTGTCACAAGCCGACACGAGCGGTGAATACGGTACGAAGCCTTATACAGCTGCTCGATGCCGGTGGCAAGCCATATACTGATCCCGCGAGCAGCAAGTCCGCCTTCCGTGCGAGCAGAGCAGGCCAAACCACCACAAGCAAGAGCAACTCGGCAAGCCGCACAGCACGCTTTCCGGCCCACCACAAGCACAAGCGCCATGTAAGACACCTTCAGCCTCTCTAGCCATTGACGGCCGTGCTGACGTGGTATGGCTGCCATTACGACTGCTTGAACTGCGCAAGATGCGGCCAAATCATCTTCCTCCAGCTTGCGCAGCGCTGCCACGTTGTACTCTGCCGCTTCGTTTTCGAGAGCTACTTCAATGGGCGGATCTGCGACTGCTGCCGTTACATTCATCGCAACAGAGACGACGAGCGACGCCGAAAGCACCTCGTGCAGACCCACAATGGCAGAGCCTTGAGCCTGGGATGGATCTAGCAGACTCCTCGAATAGAATCAATGTGATGGCAATTCGACTGCACACTCCGTTTGACAATATTCAGCTCGGCTCGCCCTCGCATAAGCAGCAGGTCCTACTCCTGTATAAGATGAGAGCTGCAATCAGGTAAGATAGATGCTGGACCTCTCTCTGGCCTGCTTCATCTCAGTGCTTCGCTGAACATTGGGTACGTGACCTCGCGAGTGGCCCATCTCATGCGGAGCCTTCTCTTCGAGCGCTTTGCGAAAGTCCCCTGAAACTGCAGGCTGCGTACTCCATGGGGTACGAATCTTCGACGGCTGACATCGCCCAGGTCGCAGCATCTGTACTGTGGACTGCTCAGAGCGTCATTCAGGTGAAGCAGAAGCCACTCCCATCCAAGCACCTCTTAGCTTCGGCCAATTGCTGACGACTCTGCCCATAGCATCGTATCCAGCAGACGTCCTGTCCAACCCGACTCTCGAAGCGCCGCACCCATGACCGTCGATGATCCAGCCTCATATTCAATCCGAGAACGCCTCTCAGTGGTCGCCATTTCGCAAGCCGCAACGTCTGCTCGCCAGCGCTACCGGAGCAGCACTCGAGTGGGCCAGAGCCAATTCACGCCGAGCATAGCACCAGCTCTACAAGGTAAAGAATACCACGGCCATGGCATCTTTCGTCGCCTGCGTGGTTGTTAAAATCGTTCCGGAGCAGCCATCAACGGAGACTTGTGACACATGCTGCACGTTCAGTTGGGATTGGTTTCTTCACGGCCATCACGTCGCGAGCAGCATTATCTGTTGCCATCGACGCTCCAGAGAAGAAGGAGGTGAGGCTATCGGCATCCCACACAGCAATGTCAATCTCCATAAAGCAAGGTTTGTGGCGGTCATGGCCTCGGAGATAGCAGGATGCGCCTCTATCGCTTTATGGAGCAGCCTCGTTAAAACACAGTGATACCTCAATCTCCAAGAGATAGCAGCGCCCTTCGTAACGTCTCCAAGTGTGCTCGGTGGGCCGCGCAGCCAGGAAGCGGTACCTACTGTGAGGTCGGAGCTGACCTTTCTCAGCAGAAGTATGCTCTGCGCCAGCTCGAGACGTCGCCTGCCTTCGCCTTCGCTGCAGGCCTCACGCTTCGCCGTTGGTATGAGAGGCATCGCTTGTGAGCTATGTCGTACCCTCAAAGAGAATGACAACTCTGTTCCCGTACGTCAGCGATGCTTTGATCATCGCGGACCACGAACCATGCCATGCTCATCGAGAGCGGAGCGCTAGGAAGCGAGATCATTTCGGAATGTCACAGCCTGACAACACGACTCTGCTGCACTACAAGGACTATGACTGTAGCCTCGACTACGTTCATATCTGCGAGCTGCTCTACTCCTGAAAATTTGCCAGGAAAGCGTGTGGAGGTGCTCACTATCCGCGATGAATGGCATCACCTCCGCGAGGCTCCCAATAGTCCAGCTCATCATAGCACATGCAGCAGGTCTTGGCAGGTCCCCAGTTTCAGAGCAGCAATTAGGAAATGTCTTAGGCGTCTTCACCTTGGACATCGTCGTCTCCAGCTTCAGCCGTGAACTGGATCTTCAAGATCGCACACAGCGAATAATGTGTCGAAGTTTTGGGCGAGGAAGGCCGGAGAATCCTTGCAGCCTTTTCTCTCATACACGCTTCTCTGAGAGATGATTTATCGTATAATCCGTGCATTCGGTATCATCTGCAGCGCACCCATGGCAGCCGCGAGAAAGCCATGCTTCGTACTTGCAAATTGTGGAACGGACTCAGCTCCGTCCCAGCTTTGCGATCTTGCTGTGTCTTTCCTTTTTCTCCCTTTAACCCACGCTTCTCAAAGGTTTCCGATCTCCATGTAGCAACACATTTGACTCGTTTCTTCATGTGACAGCGACTCGAGGAGGTAAGTGAATCGGATTTGCGTGGAGCCGACAGGGCCCCTCGATACAACCTTTTCTTTTGGCGTGGAGCCGGTGGAGGGACAGAGCTTCAGATGTGGGTAGCAAGCCTGCGGCCAAGATTGCTTAAAGTGTTGGGCAGTTGATGATTCTTTCCAGGAGCCTTTCCTCTCGCTCTTATTGTCCAGATCCTCCGGACCAGATTCATAGTAACTCCCAGCAGATACGAGCGCCAGGAGATTCTCCTTCCAACCTTCGACCGACGAAGCCATGGACGTGCCGACCACCAAAAGCCTCGCTGACATTTATCCCGAAGATGCGTTGGACAATGCCAAAGCAAGATGGAACAATCTGCTGAAGAGCTTCAAGGACACATATGGGAAGAGTGTGGACTTCGTCGCAAGAAGTCCGGGCAGAGTCAACATCATTGGAGAGGTACGGCCAAGGTCCGAGCAAAGCTTTAGAGCGATTTCTGCTGTGTAGGAAGTCGCAGGCCAAAATGCTGATCTATTTGGCAGCATATCGACTACTCCTTATACGAAGTACTGCCCATGGCCGTGACGGCGGACGTCTTGCTCGCTGTAGCTGTCCATAAGAAAGAGTCTGGACCAAGCACAATACGGCTCACAAATGTGCATCCTCAAAAGTTCGAAGCTGCCGAGTTTGATATACCGGATACTGGAGATGTGCATATAGACGCTGCGACGCTAAACTGGACCAATTACTTCAAGTCGGGCCTGGTTGGAGCGACCGAGCTTTTAAGAAAGAAGCAGAAAGAGTTTAAGTCGAGCGTAGGAATGGATATACTCGCTGATGGCAATGTACCATCCGGAGGTGGGTTGTCAAGCAGTGCTGCTTTCACATGTGCCAGTGCTTTGGCAGTCATGAAGGCAAATGGTGTGGACGACGTGAACAAGAAGGAGCTTGTCGAGCTGGCCATTGTCTCAGAACGGTTTGCTGGTGTCAACTCCGGTGGCATGGACCAGTCTGCGTCGGTCTTTCCAGTGCAAGGCTCAGCCCTCTTTGTCTCATTTGTACCGGAGCTGACTGCGAAGAACGTCGCATTCCCGGAGCTCAAGTCGCCGTTGACCTTCGTGATAGCTCAGTCCTTCGTAGCTGCAGACAAAGCAGTCACTGGACCAGTCTGCTACAACCTGAGAGTGGTAGAGGTTACACTTGCTGCACTAGTGTTGTCCAAGATCTTCCGTCTTTCTGGCCTGCCTTCGGATTCTGGGCCATTGGGAGTAAGCTTGCGAGGATTCCATGATACATACTACCAGGAGAAAGAGGGTATACAGAACAACCACAAGACCTCCAAGGTAGATTTCCAGGCACAGCTTCAGAACCTGATAGAAAAGGTAGACCAGTACTTGCCTCAGGAGGAAGGTTATACTCGACAGCAGATTTCTGAGATCATTGGCATGAGTGTACCAGAGATGGAGCAGAAGTATATGTCCAAGTTCGCCGTCCGAGCAGACAAGTTCAAACTCCGGCAGAGGGCAATGCATGTCTTCAGTGAGGCTCGCAGAGTACTGCAATTCATGGACCTCTTGGACTCCCCACCTCCTCAGACCGAGAAGGAGAACACCGAGCTTCTCAAGTCTTTAGGCGAGCTCTTGAATGATACCCAAGACTCCTGTCGCGAGATCTACGAGAACAGCTGCCCCGAGATCGATGAGCTGTGTCAACTTGCGAGATCGGCTGGCGCGTACGGAAGCCGTCTGACTGGCGCCGGCTGGGGCGGCTGTACTGTGCATCTTGTTCCTGGCGATAAAGTCGAGCAGGTGAAGCAGAAGTGGATCAACAACTATTACAAGAAGAAGTTTCCGGACATTACGGAGGAGAAGCTGAAAGAAGCCATTGTCGTGAGCAAGCCTGGCAGCGGAAGCTCCGTTTTCTTGGTTGATGGCCGAGATTCGTTATGAGGTGATGTTGATGTTACGAATTATGATCGGCGGCTCTGTGGATGTGATGTGATGCATTTGTCGGCGTACGAAAGCTCGTAAAAAAATTGCATAGCGGAGGCGTATCTGCACGGAACAGAAAATTATTAGCATGAGAACGTGGTGCTGCTCGTCTTTCCACTTCTCTCGAACAGTTTGGCCACAGGTAAGTCACGGTGCTTTGGAGACTGGTCAGATCGTAGTGGAGGAGACTACTAAACACGAGAAACCGCGAGGCAGTTGTAGTGAGCCCACACACTGACAGCGTAGGCCACTTTTCCCAGGACCATCACAACGTCGATTCGACCTCTGCATCGTGACGCTCGTTCCCTCGCGCCCAGCTTTCTTTACAGCTCAAGTCCCGGATCATCTCAGCAAACAAGCCAAACCTCGAGCAGGGAGGTAAGCGTTGTAACCAGGCAGTGAGTAGGCCGTGAGCCGGCGAAGGCGAGGGAGAACCATGTTGGGTGAAGATATGCCTTTAGAAGAAACGGGCAAGTGCATGAAACTGCTAAAGAGGACCACAAGCACCTGCGAACAAGCAGCATCTGCAGGCTGTGGAGGAGCGTGATGGGCGAGGGGGGTATAATAGCAAAGGGGCAGCAAAAACCAGAAGCTCTGGCTATGCTGTACTGCATCGTCTGAATGGCCATGCGTTGTACATTTGAGAATATTGCGTGGCAGAGGTTGGAGCTCGCTTTCAGCAGCAGCGACAGTGACAGTTTTGCATACTACAACACAACGCAAACTCAGAACACCAGAACAACGCAACGGCTACTACCAAAAAAACGGCATCATCAGACCCATTGAGCAACGAGAATTTGCGAGAGACATCACAGCGTATTATTCGAGCACTTCACTAGGATTGGGACCGTATAGTACTGGACGTCACAGATCAAAAGCCCGAACGCTTGAAGCAACAGCTCAGTCTCGCGCAGGAGGACTATGAGAAGCTGGAGGAGGATAAGAAGTGGATGTGGCATCGCCGTGGATTAGTGGCTAAGGCGGCGAAGAAAGTGGTGGAGGAATGAAAGGAGAAGCAAAGGCCATAGAAGGACAAAAACCAGGCTATGCGGGAGGAGCATGGTAGGACTCTCTGCGACAATAAGGTAGCTCAGACCTGTCAGCAACTCTGCAGCACTAGCATGAGATCTCGACGAATCGGTATGAGTATGTGAGAAAAAGAGGAGTCCTTCAAATGTCTTGTCCTCCACAATGGGAAATGAGCAGCCTGCTTCTTTGTCAAAGCTATCTCCTGAGATGATACTGCAGTCTAGCTACTGTACTATTCATACATATGTGTTCGGAGATTAGAACCGATGAAATGGGAGGCGGCTTTGCTCTACATTTCCAGGGCCCTCTGGAAAATTCGTCACTAAGCTCATACCAAAGTCCACAAGTCAGCTGTAACAGCGTCAGATTTGTCATCTCTTCCGGATTTTGTATGACGTGCAAAGTACTTGTCAAACATGCCAAGCGATATGGCAATGCAAATGCCACACGCCAGGGCTATCGCTCTTCGGCCGGACGACAAGATATCCGTTGGGCTTGAGGGAAACGGTGTCTCATCGCTGAGGATTGGAGGGTCGAACAGGATTGACACCGTCGTACAGTAGGCCCGACGCTTTCGTTGACGATGTACACGTATTGACCATGAATGTGCATGGGATGGGCGAATGGGACGCTGCTTTCGGGCGGAGATGCCTAGACACTTCCCAGAAACGGAGACGGTAGCCAATGTGTACATCGTGCCTCTCCAGCGGTCAGCACGCTCCTCGCCGGCCACTCGTCCGAGTTGTCCAGTAGGTGTGAGGCTGCAAAGCCGGTCTAGGATTCACATAGCTTGTGTCCGTAGCAGATGGAAAGAGGGGAACATCGTATCGCCTTTGGACGCGGACCCGGTGTGGTGACTTCAATGTACTATTTGACGTCACGAGGCAAGCCCTGTAAGGCGTATATATTGATGATGTCTTGGGTGTTGGGAATGGGAAGAGAGCGAGAGCGAGAGGCAGAACAAGCGTGGTGCACATGAAAGCTTGGCAGACGCGTTGACGTCAGTTCACCCTCTCACCTCGCGTCTCAACAAATTTGAAGCTTCATGTCTCTCCGATAGAGACACGGCCTCATTATGGCCTCCAGGTCTGGAAGCCGATATATCGAAGATGAGCCACATCAGCAGCGAGGCCTGGTCGCCGCCGTCAAAGTGCGTCGCAGTCTCATTTTGTGAAATGTCGCTGACATCTCTAGGCCGCCCTATTCCGCCCTATCGCTCCCTTCGTCTCCCGCACAGCTCTCCGCGCATACCTAACGACTTTCCTGGTGTTTTCGACGATATTCGTGCTCCTCGGATGCGCAATCACAGCCTACATACTCTTCTACTGGTCGTATATCCCACGCATCGGCTTCGAGCGAACCATCCACCTCCAATTCGATAATGTCTACAAACATGCCACTGCCAAGAGAGCAGAACACCCTTATCCCTATGGAAGCGTGAATCTAGCTCCAGATCTGGTCGGCTTGCAAGGATACGATGTGGTTGTGGATCTGGTTATGCCGCGCACGCCAGAGAATCAAGATGCAGGCAACTTCATGCTGGAGGTCACAATGTATGCACAGGACGAAAGAGCTATCAACACGCCAGTCGGCATGAGCCCACTTGATGCCGCAAGACTTGGCCTCTCGCCCGCATCGACCACTCCGGATGCCAGCTCAATCTTGGCCATTTCGCGACGGCATGCTATCTTGCCATACCGCTCGTGGATGGTCGAACTGCTACATACCTTTTCAAGCCTGCCTTGGTACTTCTTCACTCTGCGTGACGAGACACACAAGCTCAGCATACCAGTTTTCGACAAAGTGGCTTTTGCAAAAGGCCGGCAGAACCTTCCTGCAACGCTGCAGCTTGAGATTCAGTGCACTCATACCCTACACGTCTACAATGCTGTCGTACGCTTCCGCGCACGATTCACCGGTCTACGCTGGATCATGTACAATCATCGTATCATTTCAGCCTTCGTCTTCATTACCTCATTCTGGATTACCGAGCTAATCTTCTTCGGTCTCGCATGGGCTTTGCTCTCGTTCTACTTTTCTTCCTCGCCAAAGCCGATCAAAGAGGAGCTGCGAGCCGGCAGGGACTCTGCAGGTGCCATCAAACAAGAAGCCGACGAGGACATGGAACCAGTCTTGTCTGATACCGAACGTCAATTCCCAACGCTGAAGGGCCAGGAGCCGTTGCGGTACAGTCGAAGCTCAACGTCTCGAATCAAGCAGGAATCAGATGTGGAGCCCGCGATACCTCTTGTCACGCCCGCAGCTGAGGCAGATGACGAGGACGAAGAAGACGTTGACTTTTTCGATTCTGGCATTGGCACGTCTTTGGAATCGTCAAATCCCAGTCGGCGAGACAGCATACGAAGACGGCGAGGGAGGTTGAGCGGTCGAGCCGATGAAGATCAGAAAGCGTATTAGGAAGCACGGCACTACATCTTCGAAGCGGAGCCAGCACAAGACAGCAAGGCTGAGCACATTGGCACCCCAGACAAAGAGCGTCATTTCTGGAAGTTCATTGATTCGCTGGCGCATGAGACGGACAGCGAGAGCGAGGCGGTATGATGCCCTTATGACTTCCACAGACGTGTGTACTATCCCAGTGACATATAGACCTAAGGACCCCCCGGGCGTGAGCCTAAAGCGTCCAAATGATTCATGAGTCGACGACATCTTTGACCTTCCGTGTGAAACGGGCTCTGGCAGCGACCTTGCCCGTACTTCAATAACCATGGCCTTTCTGCTCGAACCTTTCCTTCGCTTGAAGCGACCCGTTTGCTGCGCAGTGTTGAGCGCACGACTTCATCCAGGCCTCGAGTTCACCGCAAAGCTCTCGGCTTTCAGGCTTGAGGCGGCCAAAGTCGCCATTCTTCCTATGCTCTGAGTCCAGGCGACCAATGCGTCTGACATAAGAAAGTTTCATTCGACTATCCAGCTCGACTTGATTTCGAACCCTATTAGTATCTCTGCAGATCTGGATCGGAGTTTCGCTTTGTGCCTCCCGACAAAGGCAATCTGATAAATTGGACCTGTTGGAATCAGGCGTAAGAGATCTGGTTACACCAGTGGTGATTTTTGAAGTGGATTAGGTCAGTACGTCTACCCGGAGTAACTATACCCTCTTTACTTCCTCTGCAACTTGTATTGTAGCTAATTTAAGCTAGTCGGCGCACGCGCAAGGACAAGCCTAACCCGGTAGACGAGTCCTTACGCCTAAGGAATTACGATGTAGTCTGTTATTAGATAATATATTCTGTATATTAAAACCCTTATAGGCGTACAGACCTAATCTGCTTTAAAAACTACTACTACTACTATATATAGGTAAATAGATATATCTATAAATACTTTCTAGATTCTAGTACGATCCTAGCCTAATCCTAGTAACTAGTTTTAAACCGAAGATAGAGTACTATACTACTATACTACTATAGTATCGAATTAATCTTAACTGCCTATAGCTTCTATCCCTATCGCTAACGAGTTAGCGACGAAGCTATAGATATAGAGTAAGAGATTACTATATCGCGTTCTAGTAAAGTAAAGTATACTTATTCTCTAGAAGTTCTACTAATATTACTCCTTACTCGTACTATACTACTATTATTTGAGAATATCGCCCTCCTTACGGTATTAAGTACTATAGCTTAAGCTACGAACCTTAGTACTAATAAAGTAGAAGTAAGGTATCTACCTACCTGTATCCTTCTTTATAATATAGCCCTTCTTAATAATATTATATAACTAGTATAAAGACGACAAAGATTGCCTAGGATAGTATATATTAACTACCTAAGAAGAATTTATTATTTACCTTATCGGTATCTCTCTTTCTCTCTCTCTCTCTCTCTCTCTCTCTCTCTCTCTTTTAATATCTAGGAAGTAGAAGCGATATATAAACGTCGGAAGCTAAATCGCATATCTATATATAAACTCGTATTCTTTATCGCTAAGTGCTTACCGACGTCCTATCTCTATCTATCTAATCTACTAGAAGAAAATACTATTAATAGCTAAGATTTCGATATCGTTATATTTACGAGCTAATAGATAGTACCTATAGCTTTCTTCTAGCTATGTTACGGCAGCTACAAGCTAGCCTATAAGGCATACCTTCCGTAGGCGTACGAGGTGTACATACCTTCCGATAGGGACCTAGAGAGATAGATAATACATTAACCTAGCCGACTACCTTGTTCCTTCGTAACAATTAGTAGCACTACTAGGTTAAGAACCTTTCGATTCGTTAAGCGTACCGAATACGCGAGACGAACGATATATAAAAAACAGCCCTCCGAATATACAAAAAACAGCCCTCCGAATAGAAGAACTTCTGTATAAAAATAATAACAACAACGAGAACCGCTCTCTCTACGTACGCTACGACGCATACCGGAATAAGCAGCCTACGGTATACTATCGAGAAAGACGCCTAAATAGCTCTTACTATACGCGACTATCTCTAAGCCGGATAATAGTAGGAATAGCGGAATAGCTATAAGAACAAGATATATACTATCCGGCGCTACTTAAGGCGCTACAATAGCGACGTATAGTACTACAATAGAGACCGAGGCTATAATAGCGAGACTAGCTACTATAGATCGAGTAGGTCGAAGAGTTAGATAAGTACTAGGTATATAAACTCGAGTAGCTATACTAGCTAGACGACCTTAACGACCCGTATAAGCCTAGCCGGCGGTATAAGCCTAAGCAGCTATATAGGCCTAAGTAGCCTAACGAGCCGTACGAGAACGAGCCGGACTAGTAGTATAAACCTAGGTAGGGGTACGAGCTCGACGAACTATAGGCTAAAGAGCCGTACGAGCCTAACGAGCTTAACGACCCGTACGAGCCTAGCCGGCGGTATAAGCCTAAGTAGCTATATAGGCCTAAGCAGCCTAGCGAATCTAAGCGGTCCGATACGTACGCGACTAAAGAGCTATACGAGAACGAGCCGGATTAGTAGTATAAACCTAAGTAGGAGTACGAGCTTAACGAGCCGTATAAGCCCGATAAAGAGTAGTACGAGCTTAACGAGCCGTACGAGCCTAACGAGCTAGATATACTTAAGAACGCGACTAGCGAGCGCGCGACGACTAGATAGCCTAACGGGCTTAAAGAGCCTAGTAAGCCTAAAGAGCCTAGATAGCCTAGCAGGCTTAAAGAGTAGTACAAGCCTAAAGGGCCTAGCGAGCCTAACGAGTACTACGAGCCTAATAAACAATATAACGAGCTTAACGAGCCGTACGGGCCTAACGAGCTTAACGAACTATACGAGCCTAACGGGCTTTAAGAGTAGTACGAGCTTAACGAGCCGTACGAGCCTAACGAGCCGTACGAGCCTAACGAGCCGTACGAGCCGTACGAGCCTAAGCAGCGATACTAGCCTAAAGGATACGATACGACTAAGCCTAAGAGGATAGACAAGCCTTTTCTACGTACGAGGAAGACCCTCTATTATATACGCTAGAATAGCCGTTAGCGCTAGAATAGCCGTTAGCGCCTAAATAGCTATTACCGCCCGAATAGCCGTTAGCGCTATAACGGATAGCGCTTCCGTTACTAAATAACGACTTCCGAGACTACGGATATCGCCGTAGTAGTATAGCCGCGACGACTCGTACGGAGACAACGTATAGAGACAATAAGGACATAGCGATACAATGCTTATATAAGCGACCTAGTATGTCGCCTTTGTTCTATTTAGACGGGAGTGTTATTACGGCAGCTATAAGCTAGCCTATAAGGCATACCTTCCGTAGGCGTACGAGGTATATATACCTTCCGATAGGGACCTAGAGAGATAGATAATATATTAACCTAGCCGACTACCTTGTTCCTTCGTAATAAGCTATACTTTACCTATTAAGTAGATCGGGTCCGTATATCTCCCGAGGATAGTAATTTTCTATTTACTTCCCCTAAGAACTATATTATAGCTGCTTAAGCTAGTCGGCGTACGAGTAAGGACTAGCTTAACTCGGTAGACGAGTTCTTAGGCCTAGCTATGTAGCCTGTTATTAGATATCCTATATATCAAAACCCTTGTAGACGCACGGACCTAGTCCACTTTAAAAAACAGCGCTATACATAGCCTTGTCCGGACATGGTAGTAATGATATCCTTGCAACCAATTGGCTCGTAATGCCATTCGACAACATTTTTGTCAACAATCATCACCAAGAGTCTTGACTCCATGTGCTTACCTCCTAAATGTCTCATCCGGTGCGATGTCCACCTCTTCAGAGCGGGCCACCAGTCCCTGTCCTCAATCTCGTCTTCAGCCGTCTTACCACACCTCCGTCACCTCTCGCGATGCCATCTCTGACCTGCTTTCTCTTAGCCGCTCTCCTCTGCTCGATTTCGCCTTGACTAATGCCAGCAAAGCCACCTCTTCGTCTGAAGCAGACCTCCATGAGCGCATTGCAGTCGAGCATGCTTCTAGGTATCGTCTGTACGACCTGAAAGATCTCCATCGGATCACTGACTTTCAAAATCTGAGATTCTGCAGCTTTGAAGATGGCAAGAGCTACTCGGAAAATGGTTTTGGAGCCTTCGAAGAAGAGGCAATCCCAAACTCGAAGGACACTTTCGATGGGTAGGGTGCCGACGAAGAGCGACATGAACCATGCTGTCGTTGCAAGAGAAATGGTGGGTAGTCTCAGGCCACCTATGCCACCTGCGACGTTGGCGGCGGCGGCGATGCCGTGAGCACTGCTGTCCTTTTTGTCATCGAGCTTATTCCAAATAGATGGTAGAGTGTCGCGAATGAAAGACATTAGGACGCTGATGTCGATATTCGCGCCTTCAAGCGCTACGCCGTGGGTACCTGGAAGGTGGATCGATGTGACCAGGTTGAGAAGGATCAAGGTCTTGGCTTCATTCTCATCGAGAAAGAGCAGTAGAAGGCCAGCGATGAAGTTGAGAGATTGGCAATAGCCAATGTGCGGGTTCTGGACCGCAAAGCATTGGAGCACTCGGCGAAGCTTCTGAATGATGGGAACTTCGGGTTCCTTGGTCTTGCGGTTGCGCTTCTTCTTGCTGTCAGGTGAGCTGTCGGCGGTCTCTTCCGCACCCTCACCTCCACCAGCTCCAGCTTGTGCATCATTCATCGTTGCCGGATCTGGCTTGAAGCGCACGTTGTCAGGAAATGTTCTATGGAGATCGCGCTCGATATGCTCGCGATCGTTGTCGGTGAGTTCTCCGTCTTCGACTCTTACGAGGAGATCTTCGTACAAAGTCGGGTGCTTGGCGTACAAGCGTGGTCCGCCAGCATACCAAAACCATGCAGCTCCACGAAACTCAGGCGGTATGCCTTTCCTCACATAGCGCTTAGCTTTTTCGCTCTTCGTCGGGAACCTCACAGCGCCTTCGATTGACAGCCCATACTGCTTCATCCATGCGTACCACTTCTTTCTTCGCCTCTCGATATGCTCACTGTAGCCTCTATCCCACGTATCGTACTGCTCGAGTGAAATATGATGTGATTCCTTCTTAAAGCCATAGCGATCTCGTGGTACATCGGCTGCGGGTGCTGAAGGCACTGCAGGTCGTGCATCGGCGAGCTTTCCAGTAACTATGTGCACAGACGTGAGTGACTTTGCATCCTTGGCCGGTGGTGGAGGACCGCGCGATGGAGATGGACTTAGACCTCTCTGTTGAGTCCTTGGCGCGCCGAGAATGAGGACACTAGCACTCTGTGAACGGCGATGCGCAGCATTCGGCCTCTTCGGAGGAGACATGCCATGTTTCGGCATGCTTGAAGGTCGTTCCAGTTGTAACGAGCGTCTAGCTCTGTCGTCCAGACTGTTCTTCGCAGTCTCATCTGTAGAATGTATGCTTCGCACCTCCATACTAGGGCGGGCGCTACTGTCAAATCCATCTTCATACATGCCCAACACATCATCCACGCTCATATCAATGTCCGTTAATCTGCCACCATCATCATAATCTTCCCGGCCTATCTTAACATATTCGCTATTGGAGGAGACGCTAGTATGCGTGGTCTGAGTCGTAAGCACGCTACTTGCATGTCCATAACTTGAATGACTCGTCAATGCACTCCGAAATGAGTCCCGCATTTCCCCGTTCGGCACATTGGTTCTGCGAAACGGCGAGCCGAAATCTGGAGTAAGAGTGCCGTTGACGTCTGCAAATTTGTTGGACTTGCCAGACATGCGTTGCCTGAGATTCCTGATCCCATCGCCAACGCTCTTGCTATGCCTCAAGCCCCTGCTCTTTTTGATCGGTGAGCCGGTATCAGCGGATTGTGGATACAGTGGGCTTGAGGGCGGTCGTGGTCCAGTATAACTGGCTGTCGTTGCAGCGCGTTGAGGCGATTTCCCAGCATATTGTAATATGGGTTGCTGAGTCTCCAACAATCCCACTGCATTCTTAGGTCGTCTTGGCTCGCGTCCAGCAAAGGCGTGTTCTGAGCTCGCAGTAAAGTCGTTGACGATTGGCGAAGGTAGTATCGGGCTAGGATTAAAGCCTCTGATGTTCTCCCTCTCTTTCTCCTGGGCCGGAGTGAATATGGGCTTGAGAATGCTACGCTTCTGACTCTGCATTCGATTCGCAGCCGAGCTCTTCCTCAACGGCAGATGCGGTTGGGGTGCAGGCAGATCTCTCGGCGTTTCTACTCGGCTGGCATATTGAGGATGTCCAGTCGGGAGCGGATTGTCCATAGCCTCCTTGATGGCCTCGGCGACTGAGAGCGTATGTTCTGGCTGCCATGGTGCTGCTATATGCTCAGTATTCGACATGGCGATATCCTCGACTCCACTCCGCCCACCGCCGACAAACGGTTCCGGTAGCACCACGACCGACCGTCTGTCAATCTCCGAAGGCCGCAAGCGCGCCTGTATGTAGCACACAGCGCTCTTGGGGCTTGAGCTATTGTCTGTCGTGCAACGTGAAACAGACGCGCGAAAGCAGCGCGATGTCAGATGCACACTGCTTCAACCAGGACTTCCACATTCTGCTGTCACCGATTGCTTGTTTCTGCCACGTTCCCAACTCTCCGACGTCTCTTCGCGCATGCGTCTTCCTCTTGCCTTGCCTTGGTATGTGCCAACAACAACTTCTCCAAGTCTGGTCTGGTACAAGTCTGGTCTGGTAATCTCCTGCTCCCTCAAATCCTGGCAAGGTTGCTTCGTCCAGACCGGCCTCCCGATACGGTCCCGATACGGCGAGAGCAAAGCCAGCAATATAACTTCTATACAACAAGATGTATTCTCCGCCTCGGAGGAGCGTCCTGCAGTAGCAACAACATAAACCTTTCTTGCTTCATGCACGCTGCCCAGCTCGTTGTTTGAGCTGCTGTGGCCGAGTCATGATCCTTTGACTGGAAGTGGTATGGTGCTCTGTCCGGGATGTGCTTCCGGCCGATTGGAAGGCGACCGGGGAAGCATAACTTTAAATTGCGTCGGCCAAGTTCGGGGCCACATGAGGTATATACGAGAAGAAGACATATAGCAGTCGACATATAAGGAGAATAGATAGAATGGAAAGTCGAGATCAATGGATTAGGGGGCGGCGGATAGTGCGCCGGCCTCCACGACGTTACGTGGCCTGGCATCATCTGGAACCCTGGTCAATCTCGCTCGGAGAGATCACTCGAAATCAGGCTGTTGTTTGTGGCATCGTATGTGCAGCACTGGTAATACCGCAGAAACAATTGGCAAATGTTCTATCCTTCCGAACTCCTCTCGCTATGCCTGGATGTCTGCCGAATGAGCGCATGTCCTTGTAACCACAGATACCCCGTGCTCTCGATCTTGCTCTGCTCTCCAGGATTTCCGACGACAGCGCAGGGACCTCTACTTTCCACCTGCATATTTCTGCACCCAGTCCTTTGCGTTCTTCTCATAGCTCTTGTAGTCGTTCTTGAACTGGTCTGCGATACCAGTCTCAACCGCATCATCTGGCTGGGGAGCCTCCAGCACCTTTCTAACAAGCATGAGCACCTCCTTGATCTTGTTCGGCGGCTTCCACTCCTCAGCCTTCAGCATGCCCAAGCACATGGCTCCACGCTCATCGTTGGTGACGTTCGGATGGTAGATCTTGGTACGGAAGGAGACGACTGGTGGCTTGAATGGGTACTCCTTGGGAAGTGTAACCTGGATGTGGAACTTGCCGCCAGCATAGATTGATTCTGGTGGGCCTTCCATGTGTGCATCCCACAGGTTCATGTCATCGTCTTTCGCGAGCGAGATGGTGCAGCCAGTCGGCGGGCTCTGCTGGATCTCTGCGAACTCCTGGACAAGTATCAGCACTGGACCGCGCGGTAGTGTCTTGTTTGCTCACCTTCATAATCCTCTTGTTGCCTGCCATCTCGGATGATTGCTAAACTTCCTGATGATGGAAGGGACGGCAGCGTGTTATGTGAAATGTCGACGAGGCTGAAGTGAGCTGGCTAAGGACTGCAGGAAGTGAGGTCAAGGAAAGGTCTCGTGCTTGCCTGAATGCTTGGTCTCTAAGACACCGTCCTCGCATGTGATGGAGGCGGATGGCACCGATGGAAGCAGCTTGAAGCAGCTTGATGAAAGTCCTTGGTGCCTGACTCAACCCAGTGTTTGGGCCTGCAGCAAACGCGGCTCCACTTCGTTCATCATCAGCCCGCTTCGTGCAGTGCCCCTCCTTCGCCCTGATTACGAGGCTATCTATGCATGCCCACTTCTGCATACTTCATCACACTCCAGCTGCTGCGGTCGATACAGCGACGGGACTTGGCTGCACACTCTGTTTGTTTGCTTTGTGTTTGGGCACCAAGCCAGAATGCCGCTCACGTGCTGTCACTTGCGTTGCCTTGCCTACTCGGCAGCATATGCAGGGCTACCCAGACGCCGCAAGCGCGGGGCGCCAACGAGCACACTATATAGTGAGCGCCTCCCTCGTGCTCCTCTTCCGCCTGGCACCGCTGCAGACAATTCCTCAGGTCCGCGTAGACTTCGCCACGAAGCTCTTCGCGTTACTTCCAAAGCACCGCGCGCCGATCCCTATAACACCTCAACATTCGCTCTTTTTCGCCACCTCGAACCCCGAACTCCATCACTCGTTTGGGAAGAGTCGTGCTTCGGTCCGCCGTCACCATGTTCAAGCGGTCTTTCATCTCGAAGGACCGCGCGGGCAAGGCGCGTAAGATCTCGAAGCGCTCTTTCAACGACGACGCTAAGCAGAGAATGCGCGAGGCACTGAACGCGAAGAGTCCCGAGACATCGCCTTCGATAGGCACTATGTCTTCACCCAAGCTCAACTCAGCAATCGTCACGATCGCAGTTGGCAAGGACCAGCGCCTCTTTGCCGCGCACGAAGACGTGCTCTCCCACTCGCCCTGCTTTGTCGAGGCCTGTAGGGAGCAATTCTTCGAACCTGGCCAGAAGCGAATCGCACTCCCAGACGAGGAGCCAGAGATCTTCTCCGCCGTTCTCGAATTCCTCTACAAGGGCGACTACTACCCGCGCTTGATGCATGACAGAAAGCGCAACACGTGCGCGCTCGAGGACGGTTCGGGAGATCTGTCAACCATCCCAACGTCCATGTCTCCCCGCTTGGACACTCCCGACTCAAAGAAACCTGGCGGCATCAACGAGTTCGCCTCAATCTATCATCACGGTGTGGGTGACTACATCCTTCGGGATACAGTCATCTACTGCACTGCGTTGAAGCTGGGTCTCCCAGATCTGCAGCGTCTTGCTCTTCGCAAGCAGGGCCTGCAAACTGGCATTGACGTGGCAACTATTCTGCGCAGTGCACGATTTGCCTACGACAACACACCGGCCAGCGACTCGCGTCTCCGCGCTCACTACCTCGCTCTCATCATCCGCAGCCGCAAGACCTTCAAGCGCAGCGGCACAATGCAAATGGAGATGGAGAAGGGCGGCACGCAAATGTTCTTTGACTTGTTCGTCGCCATGTGCAATCACATTGATGACGTCGTGGACATGGGGCAAGTCTCTCCCTTTCATTCTGCATATCGCTAACAGTTAATTTCTCATTGCTTCTCGTAGTAATCGGCATTCATGCCCATCACGTTTCGTAAGGGCACGGACATCATCACAGAAAGGAGTAGAAGTCGTTGATACTGTCATCACTCTCGATGATTTCATTGCTCGGGCAGGAAGACCATCGACAAGCTAACTTATATCCTTCTTGTGCTACAGCAACGCCCAGCGTACTCCCGATATCACCAAGTGAATCTGCGCATGACACAAGAACGGACACAGTCGATGCAGAAACCCCCGAGGCAAAACATGATCAAGACTGTCTTTTCACCGAAACACAAACTCAACTCCTGCCGTACGCCAAACAACACCACATAGAAGATCGCGTGTTGGCCTGTTCGCACATCTCGGGACTATTTCCGCTCTTCAAGGAATGGCGTTAGGAACTTGATTTCTCTCGACTCTCCGAGCAGCAGGCAACGGCTCTACACCTCTCAAACGGCGCAGATGAACGGCTTCGCTTCTCCTTGGGATCTGGATATCATTTTTTGCTAACATTTGACCTTCTTTTGAACTGAGCTGTTATTTTACCTGACTTTGCATCAGGCCCGCTTTACTTCGAATTGATGTTGGCGGCCTGTAAGCGAGTCTTGCGTTCTGCGATTTGCTTTTTTTGCTCTGATTCCTGCGTGAGGAGATTTCTAAGAAGGAACAACACTCTTTTGCGTGTCGTGCGAAAGGAAAGATTTCTTTTGTCGGTTTTTTGGTTGCTATCTTTGGTTTGAGTGCTTGGACATTCATCAAGGCTGGGAACAGAAAACCGCCTTCGTTGACATCTTCTATCTGTCTTTTGTGCTTCTATTTTACTTCTTCAAGAAAGAATGTCAGTTCCGTCGCAAGTCTGCTTGCGGACTTGACGGCGAAGCCAGCGTACCACAGCCTTAGTCCTGCCTGCAGGATGAAGAGCTGAGTCGTTGGGACAAAAACTATTTACAGTTTGGCATGACGCTGGTTTGGGGTCTTGTTGGAGGGGACTGTTGGACGGTATGATACTTTAGGTAGTGTGTAGGTATTGTGGGAATGAAGAGACGTCTGCCGCCAAGTCTTCATTTTCATTTCCATTTGTTGATTCTTGTCTTTTCACATTAAGCAAGCTCTTCTGCCTCAACAGTAAGATTTATCTTCACGTTGATTCGACCAGTTTACTGGTTGAGACCACTTGACGTGAGGCCCTCGATCAGCAACAGAGCACTTATTCACTCGGAACGGTATATGCACCCTGAGTATATGCACCCTGGGATTTTGCACAAATTACATGGCTCATTGTAAAAACGCGCTTCGCTCATGTGCTCATTTCTACATAAGCAATCGATTCGTCTCAGGGACATCGAAGACGCACACGGTCAGAGAAAGACTGAAAGAGTGATCACAAGAGTTGTGAAGCGAAACCAGAACGACCGCCAAGATTTCACACGGCTATGCCCGCCGGTCATTGATTGGCTCTCGGTGCCACGCCCGCGCTTGCCAGCCACCTCCAACCTCGCGACGCCCAACACCACCAGGCATTTGACTTCACAGAAATTGATTCGACCAGCCACTTCCACAGGATTGAATGTTCCCAGCATCAATATCATGAAGATGGCGGCCTGCTCGTCTTCGTATGCACGATCTGATCCTAACCGGTTCGCGCAACGTTTACACCATCCGCCTTGACCGTTGTCACGATCTACAGAAGCATACTGAGAATTGAAGACCTGTCGAACTCTCTCATCTGACCTGGACAGAAGTCGTACAATTTCATAACCACCGAGAGCCTGCTTTGAAGGCTTACGATGCATTTCGCCTCCTCATACGCCTTGATCGCGACCGCATACTGGACAATCAGCGCAAGAGCATTACCATACGCAAATCACGCGCCTACATACTCCGTCGTTGACGTTGGCGGCCCATCAAGTACAGACGACGCGTCTACGATATACGAGACTGTCCAAATATCGCAATCGGCGTATACAGTCACGCAACCGGCTCCAGCTGCGACTGTGACGACAATACCAGAAGGACCGATCGTACCACATGTCGAGCCAAGCACTCATGTCTACCCGATGACAACGACGATGGAGCTATCTATGACGATTCCAGTCGCTGCGCCAACACCAACAAGCGCTTCAACCAGCTCATCAACATCCACAAGCGCCTCCAGCTGCACAAGTACGAGCACAACGCCAGTGACGGTACCATTCGTAACACCGTCGCCAGTCGCATACACAGCGCCAGCTTCGACATGGAGCAGCAGCAGCTCTTCTGTGCTCGCACCATCAGGTACATCAAGCTATACTAGCTTGTCAACGTACGCTCCATCGTACGCCCCGCAAGCTTCAGGAGGATTCGCGAAGCCAAGTGGATGGGCTGCTCCATGGAACTCCACGAATGGGTATGTGCCGCAAGGATATGCCTCTCCGTCTGGAGTAATGCCTTTTCGATATGCGCCTCGAGCCACTCCCTCCCCGCCTACAATCGCGTACGTTTCGTAGGGAATGATGCAAATTCAGGGATCTGGTTTTAAAGATTGAACGAATTTGAGATGTGATGAATTGAGCTTTGAGAGCGAGAAATGCATAGCGAACAGGGATCAGAACATGTACGGAATGTCTGCATATGGGCAGGCTGCATAGGGTTGGCGCACAAGACCACTCTGCTGGTGCAGCATCAATGAGGGTCATAATGTATCAATAGAGAGAATCGCAATGCTACATAGAGACAGTCAAAAGGAAACAGGATCTAATACATGACGAGCTTTTCTCACTGCTTCTTGCGCGTGTGAAATGTTGGTGCCTTCCTTTCTGCCTTACGCGCAGCTCGGCGCTTCAGCCGCCGATGGCATCGCGCTCCTCGCTGCTAAATGCTAGAAGTACCTCGTACCAAGTCCAACCCAGATTCGAGTTTACCATCCACGCCCAGCATGTTCAAATACTGTCTCCAAATGATCGCGATATAGGATATTGAACATACTGACCGGCCACCGCAAATCTGGACGACGCAATGGCATCGCCGCCGCCGGTCGAGGACCAGGCGCGGCTGCTGGAGGATGCCTTGGCCGTCGTTCGCCAGCAGACGATTATGATGCGCCGCTGCTTGGAGACTCCCGGCAAGCTCATGGACGCATTGAAGTGCAGGTGAGGGCAATATATAGCATGTGTCGGGCATACTCGCTGACTTTATGCCAGCTCTACACTTGTATCAGAGCTACGCACGTCCAGCTTAGGCCCCAAGCAATACTATGAGCTGTACATGTCCGTCTTCGATGCGCTGCGACATCTCTCCGTATACCTTCGCGACTCTCATCCAACGAATCATCTCGCCGACTTGTACGAATTGGTGCAATATGCTGGAAATATTGTTCCTAGGCTGTACCTCATGATCACAGTGGGCACGGTCTATATGGGTATTGAGGACGCGCCAGTGAAGGAGATCATGAAAGACATGATGGAGATGAGTCGCGGTGTACAACATCCGGTCAGAGGCCTGTTCTTGCGATACTATTTGAGCGGCCAAGCGCGAGATCACTTGCCCCAAGGCAGCGGCGATGGACCAGAAGGAAACCTACAGGACAGCATCAGCTTTGTTTTGACCAATTTCGTAGAGATGAACAAGCTTTGGGTGCGATTACAGCATCAAGGACATTCGCGTGAGCGAGAGCAGAGGACGAAGGAACGACAAGAGCTACAATTGCTGGTGGGCAGTAATCTTGTGCGCTTGAGCCAGCTCGTCGATCTGGAAGCCTATACGAGTGGGATATTGCAGCCGCTGCTGGAACAAGTCGTGCAATGTCGAGACGTTCTGGCACAGGAATATTTGCTGGAAGTCATCACTCAGGTCTTTCCGGATGAATTCCACCTCCACACCCTGGACCAGCTTCTTGCAGCAACAGCTCGGCTGAACCCGCATGTCAATGTCAAGGCGATTGTGATTGGACTCATGGATCGCCTGTCGGCATATGCGCAGCGAGAGTCGAAAGAGCAGACCCCGGAGGAACGCAAGAAGGTCGAGGATGAATCTGTGCTGGCGTTATTCGAGAAGCTCAGGATCTCTAAAGACCAGGCTGCAGAGCAAGCGGCTGCCAAGCCTACCGAGAATGGCGAAGCTGCGCATGAACACTCAACAGCAAGTCCCACAAGTCCGACAGAATCATCGAAGACCGATTCACCGCCCGAAAGTACTGCCAAGGCAGAGGACTCTGAGCCCCAGACGAATGGTGGAGAGAAGCACAAGGGTATCCCAGCCAATGTCAAGCTGTTCGAGATCTTCTATGAGCAAGTCGTCCATCTAGTCGGCATGCAGAGGCTACCGATACAGGATATTACCGCGCTACTGGTTTCACTCGTGAATATGGCACTCAACATCTATCCGGAGAGATTAGACTACGTCGACCAAGTGCTACACTACGGCGCAAAAGAGGTTTCGCGGTTTACAAACTCTGCCGATTTGCATTCGCAAGCATCGCAATCTGCCCTACTGGGTTTGCTCCATGCGCCAGTAAAGGCTTACTTCTCGCTTTTTACAGCTCTGGCTCTGCCAAACTTCATCCCTCTATTTCAGCTGCAGCCGTACCCGACAAGGCGAGCTGTAGCAGGAGAAGTAGCTCGCAGTCTACTCCGCAATGAGACCAAGATCACCACCGAGGCCAATCTTGATGGAGTTCTCTCCATACTTTCAGTGCTCATCAAAGAAGGCATGCAGTCTCCTTCAGGCTACCCAGGTGGGCCAGTGAGAAGGAATGCGGTCGAAACTGAAGAGACAGTCGAGGAGCAAGGCTGGCTTGCACGGATAGTACACCTCATCAAGGGCGAAGACAACGTTAGGCAATTCAAGCTTCTCCAGAAGACACAAACAGCATTTCAAGAAGGTAACGAGCGGACGAAGTACACCACACCCGCCATCATCACACAAGCTCTCAAACTGGCCCGAAGCTTCAAGCGAAGAGAGCATCTATCAAACGACGATTATGCTGTGCAATCATCGGCGCTTTACAAATTCACCCATACCACCCTATCATCACTTTACACTCGCGTTTCGGCACCTGGAGTGCCCGATCTCGTGCTACGGCTTTTCGTATCTTGTGGCCAAGTCGCCAGCCAGTGCGAGAACGAGGATGTCGCGTACGAGTTCTTTGCACAAGCTTTCACAATATACGAAGAGTCGATCTCGGATTCCAGATCACAATTCCAGGCCATCTGCATCATCGCAGGTGCGCTCTGCAGTTGCTCGGAAAGGTTCAGTCGGGAGAACTACGACACTCTCATCACGAAAGCAGCGCTTCATGGTAGCAAACTGCTCAAGAAGCCTGATCAGTGCCGTGCTGTGTATTTGGCAAGTCACCTTTGGTGGGCCGTGGAAAGCGCAGAGACGGAGCAGAAGCCTGAAGGCGGCAAAGAGGTAAGCATAGCCAAGGATCATGCGTATGACGATTCGTACCTAACATTGCAATCCAGGCATACCGTGATGGCAAGCGCGTGCTGGAATGCTTACAACGTGCTCTTCGTGTCGCTGACGCCTGCATGGACACGGCCGTCTCCGTCGAGCTTTTCGTCGAGATCTTGAACCGATACGTCTACTACTTCGACCAAGAGAACGACGCTGTCACAACTAAATACTTGAACGGCTTGATCGAGCTTATACACTCCAACCTGAACACGAGTGAGAATGCGAGTGGCCTGGAAAGTCCGAGAAAACACTTCCAGCGGACGCTGGATTACATCTCGAGTAGAGAATACGAGGGCGTAGAGACGAGACCGAAGACCAATTGATGGATGATGCAGGAATGCAAGACAGCAGGGACTCTTTTTGTGCGACAGTCATACCATTTTGTCTACTAGCGTAGCATTCTACCTCCTCAGGCGTTTCCTGTATATAGATAGGTCTCTTGAGAGAATGGGACTGAGTCGTGTGTTAGCAGCCTTCGGGCTTTGTGTCTCAGTATTATGAAGCCTCGTGGCATCGAAAGGGTATTGCTTCAAAATGGAAGCCTTACAGCCTGTCACGTAGGAAGGTGGCACTCAGGTCTTCGAAATCTATAGGCACGTGCACCTTGCTTTCGCTATCCAGTGTGTAAAGTCCCTTGCGGCAATCGGTGACCTCGTGGAGCATTTCAGCCTTATGGAGGTCCTGCTAACACAAGTGTTGCCTGAAACTTCAGCTCTTAGTAGGAGCAAGGGGACCATATTCGTGCTAGCGCATCCTCCAGCAATATAAAATGCCTTCCAAGGTTCTTTGATGACTTGAGCCAGGACTTTCAAACATGCCATCAATCATTCGCGATTTCCATCAGCTAAATCTTACCAATTGAAATATCAGGCTCTGAAAGTCGAAATATTTCCCCTCCAACCTCACTCATCACGAGGAATCCACCACTCAAACATAACGACAATGTCATCAACCCAACAAGCAGAATTCCACTCTCCAACCTGGCACTACGAGCAACAGACTCCTGTCTGTCGTAGATGGGAAATACATCGATCGCAACACAGGCGAGACGAAGACTGTCTCAGCCAATCAATCAGAATTCCTTGGCCCACCAGCCGTCGATGTTGTGATCAGAAGTCAGCATGAAGACACAACGCAATGTGTGTTTCGAGCGTCGCGAGCAGTACCGATGGAAGCACTCGTAGGTCATATCATGAGGATTGTGGGAGAGAAGCAATTGCAGCTTGATTCGGTCATGGCCACGACGTATGCGATTCTCTGTCATGAATTGACGACAGCGGAATTTAGTGCTGTTGCTGTTGAGATGGGATTGAAGGCTTGATGTGAGAGAAGTTGATTAGAGGTTGGGTGACTAGATGTTGCGCAAGTCATTATATCACCGTGGTACTACTCAGGACCAATCCCCGTCCAATTCAACAGCCTTACCCTCCTTCTGCCTCCTCTCAATTTCATCGATCGTCCACGGTCTAGGCGTGAGGCTAGGCGGAATATTAGTGTTCTTGAACACCGGCCCGCCAGGCACAAGACTCGCAGCTGCTTTGGCATAGTTGCCATTCGCATATCCTTCAACATCTAATCCCCATATCCATCTCGATAGCTTAGGTTGAACTTTGCTAGGATCTTTTCCGACTTTTTCGAAATCTGTTTTCTGGAATCGTAATGTGTTTGCGAAGCCTAGAAGCTGACAGCAAGAGACACGATCCGAGCGGAGAAGGTTGTGGACCTTGACTGCTGTTGTGACCTGATCTTTGCCTGCATGTGCGAGACATGCTGCGATTGTGATCGCGTCTTCGATGGCCTGCGTAGCGCCATTGCCAGATGTTGGGAGGAATGAATGTGCGGCATCGCCGAGTTGCAGGACACGAGCGGCTGGAGAGAACCATCTTGGGGGTCTGGATTGCGAGGATTGAGTGGCCATGCGATCAGTTTGCCAGGAGGTACGGCTTCCATTAGTCTCTTCATCGCCGGACCCCAGCCTGGTAGGCGTCCAATGATCGAAAGCACGTCTTCCGATGACACGACACTGTTCCAGCTCTCTTTTCGTACTATGCCTTCTGACTCTCTAAATGCCAAGCCAAAGCAAAGTCGACCATTCATGCCGTTATTGTCGACGTAAGCTAGGATGACTGAATGTGTTTCTGGACCCAGACAGACTTGCATGCGTGCATCTTCGCCATTGAGGCCAAAAGCCTCGTCCAGGATGGGTCAGCTTCGATGATGTCTAGGGGTATGGTGCCGCGGAAGACAGTCCGGCCCGTGGGTTGTGCATCTTCCACAACAGTTGGAATGAGATCTCGAGACTTGGAATGGAGGCCATCAGCTGCAACGACGATGTCGGCCTCAAACTTGCTCCCATCCTCGGTGACGACCCCACCAACGCCTCGTTCAGCATCCTCGTAGAAATCTCTTACGTTCATGCCATACTGGACTTTGATGCCGAATCTTTCCAGCTGATGGCAGAGCATAGCGTGAAACAAGGGCCGAGGTGCTGTTGTCATGGGAGGCCTATCGGCATGCTTGTACTGCTCAGCTCCTTTCGCACCTTTGGCGAATGGAAATGTATCGCCAAGCTGCTCACCAGTCCATTTGCAGTATCTCATCCAGAGATTGTGGATAGAGGTCTCATCGTATTCTCGCAGCATACCGGGATAGTTGTCCAGAAGCCTGAGCCCACTTGCGCCAATCGTAAACATGTCGCCTTTTCAACGCATTAGCATTATGGTGTGTGAAACTCATTGGAGCGACTCACCACCAACACTGGCCTTCTTTGATCTCTCGAGAATCTTGACAGAATGTCCTTTGCGAACGCATTCGATAGCGGTAGCAAGGCCACCTACCCCAGCTCCTATGACCAACACGTTGATACCAGTCGATGCAGCGCATCTTACTTCGTCCTGGAACAAGAAGTCTTCTGGCTCGGTCGCAAGTTCATCGTCAAAGTCGCTCTGTGTCATCGCGAGAGTGTGTTCAATATCCTTCAATGGCTGGTGATGAGCTCAGTCTGTATACGGAGCAATCATCGAGCCTTCCGGGAGGATACACAGGTGTCTTCATAATGGAAATCGCGGAGTCTGCTTTCGCCGTTGTTCCAGAGGACTCGACTGTACATTGGAAGCCTGGTGTAGCATAAGCAAGCTGGACGCTCATGTCGAAGTCGGAGCCCAATATGCCGACATAACGTGATGCTGAGCGAACTCAACATGTCTTGTGCACCGAACACGGCCATCGAGCCCTCTTTGAGCAGGCTCCAGACTATAACAAAGCTATCCAAACTGGACTCGATGCAAGAAAACTTCGGTTCGCCTTGCCCGACTGGAGAGGCGATGATCCAAAGGCTATTTCGGTGCTCTGGGAGCATGGGCTGAGCAGCGAATGCAGGAAGTTTGATATGGAAGGAGAGCTAAATCGAGATCATAAAAAAAGAGTCGGCATTTGGCTTGGCAGAGACAACCTCGCCGACTCGCTTAAAGTAGGGCTAAGTGTAGGATCAAGAGCGTAGTAGAGTAGAGCGGTAGACACCTGTATATATACTAGAACTTTTGGATTGGAGCAGCTATAATTAACAATTAGTCTATACCAAACCTAGCGTACTACCTAAAGGAACAAACCGTACCTTCAAAAAGTTCACGTCTAACGTTTTCAAGCTAGCTGCCGCTTACGGGGATTACCCCCGTCTACTATCTCGCTTAGTCGCCCTTATACCTTTAGTTGCAAGAGAAATCCTAGCACTAAATGCTGCCGACGTAGCCTGTTTGCAGGAGCTATAGTAACATTGCAAAGGCCTAACCCTTATAAAGTATCGTTCAAGCCCTGTAGTGCTTGTCCTAATCGAGCGGAGCGACGGAGTAGCGCTTAAGAACAGCTTGCGTAAAAGTGTAGCCTAAGGTTTAGGGCACGTAATTGCGACTCGAATTGTTAGCTAATTACAGCGCGCGCTTAATTTTGCGGGCGCATCTTTGAAATTTAGCCTCCCTGCGCTGCAACTACCTGTATACCAAACTATACGCATACGTTATTAGCACTAATCTGATTTGTTCTTAAGCGCCACTCTAGACTAATAGGCACCTAGAGCAACTCGAGGAGCTTAATAGAGGACCGAGCTGCGTATAGGGGAGTATTCCGATTTATCCGAAGCCTATAACAGCGTACGTGTTTTATACTATGATATAATAATAGATAGCGTTGGCATTGCGTTACATGGCCGAGTGGTACCAACAGTCTGTGCCGACTAGGATATGAAGCAAATCCAACTCAAATGATCAGATCAGAGTCAAATCGGTTCGATACCAAAGAATGAAAGATCTAGCCTCCCTGGTAGACCGACAAGAGCTCCCCCTAGGACCCGTAGAGCTTGTTCGCCAACATCGGCTGATGTTCAAGTGGCCTGCTTGGTGTCAGTAGTATAAGAGTTCTGTCCAAAACTACGACGTGTTGAATCTGCTCAATTTCTGCTAATTGACTATATCAGTCTCACGGGAGAGCTATTATTAAGCGATGCATCTTCTTCAACTATTGACTCTTTGCGGAGGGATAAATCTAGCCGCTGCCGCACAGTGCTCGCTGTATGCTGCGTATCAAGACGAATGTGGTGGAGTCTTCAGTACCCAACCTTATACCTGGAGAGTAAGTCCGCAATGCTACGAGCGCTCGTGGAGGATCCACCCTTCCTGAGTGTTGATTAGTGAGCTAATCGTTGTATAGTGCGTTCCCACCGATGATGACAAGGCTATGAAATATGGACCTCCCAACAATAATTGCAAGTGGCTTTCTTCGCACCCAGCTGATAAATACTATTGTGTACGCATAACGAGCCTCCATCTGATTCTTGGTCTTGCGAGCTGACAGCATCTTGCTCAGTGTTTGTACACATCGAGTAATCATGGTTAGCACGGCGTGGACCTATGTACCGAAGCAATGGCTCTGCCGGGCGCAAATCAGTCAAAACTATGTCCCTTGGAACTGTGATTGTTGCGCATAATGCATCAGAATTCGCCTCCAGCTCTATAATGGAGTCGATAGCATGTGCTTTGCTAAGATGAGGGCTCAGGCGGTAGCGACGTTCGATAGATAAATACGAGTTTCATATGGCTTTCGGGTCTTCCGTTCTTCGACTGGTCTTGTTCGAGCGTCCTGCCTCAGAAAGTCTGTTCACATTATTCGGGCCACAGATTTGAGGTGGAGGGTCTCGCTGTCGGTCCTTGCGCCAACTAGTATTGAGCTCGTTCTGATATGAATTTGGACTTGACTCCTCTTCCCCACTCGTAACCTGGTCATGTGGCGTCAGCTGCAGCCTATGAGTCTGTGACACAACAGCTCTCCTCCTCATATAGCGGTGGACTTCTCATGACCACAAGACTTCATCTTTGTCCAAAATTACCAACATGGCAGGCGATGAAAAAGTATGGGGAATGGTGGCGAAGGGGGAGGACAAGGTATCGCTGAACTCAATTTCCCCAGACCCCAGACCCACATCCTATTTACAGTACTCCGGAGAAGCTTGGCTAATCAGATTTCTCCGAAGACCACCTCACGCCTCCTTTCACTACCGCCAGAAATTCAACTAATCATCTGGGAGTTTACCGTGACTTCGGCAGAGCCACTCTTCATCAATTGCGCCTGCGACAGCTCATATGGCGGTTGGACAGAAGAGTACTACGCCGATCGCGAGCGGTGGGAGAAAGGCGAACGACACCCTCCATGGCAACCAGGCTTGACGCGTACCTGTGCATCGATCCGCGCAGACGCCTTGAAGATGTTTTACAAAAACACCTTCCAAGCGGGCTACTGCTATGAGTGTGACCTAGACATTGTCATTGACTGGCTCAAGACCATCGGCCCTGTTAACCGGGAATGTATCGGCAAATTTGTGTTCTTTGATGCAAATCGCAAGCATGATCGAAATATGCCAAAGGACCTGACCAAAGTATTGAGATCCGATGTAGTGCGTATTATGGGTGGCAGGGTCGAGAGTACGTATGATGGCGAAGGATGTAAGCATGTTGTTAAATTTGGACCGCATGGAGACGAGGATTTGATGGCTTTGAAAGACCTGTTCGAGGAGGAGACTTCTTCGGAGAGCCAGTTGCATGAGGTCCGCTCAATCTCACAATCGCCCGGGAAGCCGTCAAATAGGCCACGAGGCACGGATGAGAAAGATCGTGAGGCCGTCAAAGTCACGGAGATGAGCACCCACCTCGAAGAGCTGAGTCTCCTTTCCTGAGTTAGGACTTGCGGAATCCAGGTGGTATGTATTGCATTCGACTCTCTTCCGATCCAATGTTCGAGGCCTGCATGCGCAGAATCTGGCTTGGTCTTCGATGCCATCTGATTTATTATAGAAAGAAATTCGCATGGCTTCCCAAACGCCGAGTATCATTTCTCATGGTCCACTGATTGCCTAATTGCCATGATATTAGCAAGTAACACAAGCAAACGCGGCGAACTCTCGGCCTACAGATCTCTTCCATCGTGGTCCGGCCTCCTCCTGTCCTATCACTTTGGTGGCTCAAGAGTCGACGACGACGGCGCGGTGATTACGATTTTGGGATTTGGCACGTCTTGCTTGGATATGGGTTGCATCTCGAGATCAGGTTCCGATGCTTGTTTGATGGAGTAACATGCTCGTGTGGTGGGCGAGAGCCTCGCAGTCATCTGCCTGGCGCGTTTTTCCCTTTCTTGGGCCTTTCCCTCCTCGATCTGCGCGTCGAGCTGGAGCTCCTTCTTGCGCAAACGAACAAATAGCAGTCCGATGGCAAGGCACAGTGCCAGAGCGCCAGTCGAGGCGAGAACAACGATGAGGATGGTCTGACTCTTTGCGGAAAGCATAGTGATCGCCTGTGCAGCTCGAGGTCAACAAAAGATGGTGTTACTTGTGCAGACAACAGCAAGACAAGACTGCTTGAAGAGTGTAGGCAGTGGAGAGTGTGTTCGCAGGGCGCGCAGGTCGAGGTCGCGAGTGGAGTCCTCGAGCGCCTTTAAGGTCTGTGCATCATGCAGGCAGCCGCGCTATCTTCTGATAGTGACTAGGGTCTTAAACGCTATAACCTTCACATGCTCTTGGCATCCAAAGCATCACATCAACAACACATTCTTCTTGGTCGCTCGACCCGGGCGCGCATACAATGCCTCCATTAGACGACAAAGAACTCATGCGGCGCGAAGCCTATCTCAAGCAAGCAGAGGCAAAAGCAAGGAATCTGCTTGCCGAGTACGATGTGTTCGTCTCGAGATATCGAGTCTGCGCAGAACAAGTCCTCGAGATCAGGAACCGTCTTAACAACACCAAAAGCTCAGTCGCAACCATCGGAATTAAGATCGACTTGAAAAGAGCAGAGGCTCGACAAGAGCTCGCCATAAATGCCTTGTTGAAGAAGCAAGACGAACAAAATGCCGCCGAGGCCAATAGGTTCAGCGCCAAACTGGATCTTGATGAGTATCGCAAATCAATGAAGCAGTCATCAACACCAAAACCCAAGCAGCAGCTTTCTCCTAGGCCCAAGCAGCAGCATCAGCGAGAGACAAAGGCTGTGAACAAAGAAGCTGATATCCAACAAAGGATTCAAGAGACTCGAAAGCGCGCAGAGGATGAGGTGAGGGCTAGAGCAAAGGAGCGGTCAGACCAGAAAGAAGCGGAGGCCAAACGAGTGTGGGAGCAGCGCAAAAAAGAGCAGGACGACGAGGCGAAGAAGCGATTAAGAGAGCAATTAGCCAATCGAGGGCCTGACTTCGCACGAATGCAAGAGAAGTGGGAGAAGGCCGAGGAAGAGAAGACCCGACAGCGATCCAGGACGCGAGAAGCTCAAAGAGAGGTGGAAGCGGTGCGCATGCAGGCCGAAGAACAGAGCAGATCACGGACTGGAGAGCGATCAACTCACAAGGCACCGGAGGCTTCCTCGCCCTTACGAGAACGGGCAACGAGGCCAGAAGAAAAGATACGATTCCTTTCAGAAGAGCAATACGGCCAGAAAAAGCTGGAGGCGGAGCGCAGACGGAACTTACGCATCCAAGCAGACGAAGAAGCAAAACTCGGCGCAAGAGAGCGAGCAGCTCAGCAACAGGCGGAAGAAGAAGAAGAAGAAACCAAAACCCCACCACCCGTCCCACCCCACCGCGCGAATCCCCAACACGACCCCGAAATCTACAAAGCCTGGCGCCAAGACGCCGAAGAAGCTTTCAAAGACTATACCACCATGGAAGTCTTCCCCACGCCACCATTTCCCGACGTGATCTGCAACAAGCCCGCTTGTATTCTCAGTCGGGCTACGCGAGCCCTCAAGATCTGTTCGTGCGATATTGAGAAGGCGGTGAAGGGGGCTGGGAGACCGATTAAGGAGGAGAGGAAGTGTTGGCATCCGGATAAGTTTTCGATGTGTAGAGAGGAGGTTCGAGAGGAGTTTCAGGCGAAGGCGAAAGAGGTGTTTCAGGTTGTTGTTAGGATGTATGCGGTTGAGAAAGGGGGGTAGGGGGGGGGGGGGGGGGGAAGGAATGGGGAATGAGGAGGGAGGGTTTTGGTGGAGGGAATAATGTGTGCTGTCAGCGTTTCGACCGTACATGTACACCCTGTCGGCAGCGCCTTTTTCATTTCGTCTATTCGGCGTACGGAAAAACTGGATTCGCTGAGAGGATAGCGGGAATGAAAGGGAGGGAGGGAGAATGAAAGGATGGTTGCATACCGCATGCCGCGACCACGAGTCTAGGGAAATATGAGCGAACTCAACCTCGCTCAGCTTCTTCTCTATCCATGTCGGCGACTCGAGGACCTGACTCTGACCAAGCAGTACAAGTCTTGATGCTGAGCACCACCTGAAGAGATCGCGAGCGAAGATATACTTACCAGTAGAGCCAGGTGCAGTCATGGTTGTCCTTCAACGCTTCTCTTACGAAATCATTCATCTGTGCTCGACGTAGGCCTAGAACTCGTATAAAAAACGAAGCATGTGATGTGGACTATAGCTAGGCGATCATCTCGAACACTTGACTCCAACACCAACTTCCTCTCTCGACACATCCATTCGATTGAGTATCCCAATGACGCAACAGGTCATGCTAATGATGGTCATACGGTCAGATGGTGGTATTCTCCCGGACCGATCTTCAAAGCTCTGCTAGCAACCTCTTTTTGACCTGCTGACAGACAGCATCATTCGGGTTCCAGATCGGGACATGCAGTTGTGCGTGATCTCTACAGCATGCATAGCACCGGACCGAGGGCGTTAGACCGAGTTTTCCCAGCCTTCTCCAAAGCATTCTGTATTCTCGTCTTACCATCTCGGACTCCAAGGCATAATCTCGCACCGAGCAATTCCGCAACGTTCTAATCAGACCATAACTTCCAGTCTCGCGAGAAATTCGTACACAGGATCCTTCTCCTCTCCGCAAGATCGATAGCTACCGGTGTACTCCAGGATAGAAATTAGTTATGAAGCAAGACGAAGACGAAAGAGGAGTCGGAGTCGGGCACATGCGGGGGAGATGGACAAGGGACGAGGCACGACCCGAAAGATGCCGGAAAAGTATCTCCACTTTCCACTTTCCAGTTCCAAGTAGTCTTCTGACCTCTCGAACAGGCAGGGAATCACGCGAGCAGAAGTCATGCCATCCTCATAGACAAGGGCGGTGGGAAGCGACAAGACCCGTAGTATACGGTAGTATGGTGTTCACGAAATTCCGAGGCGGCGCGGAGGCGGCGACGAGGCTACCGTACTGTATGTATGTAGAAGAGGTTACAGCTTAAGCTTGACCATTCAGATGGGAAATTCCAGGGCATGCATCACCGTCGCGAGCGATCCCAGTCCCATGTTTCACCCATGATCCCTCTTCACCGAACAGTTGGCCAGGCTTGCCATTCATAATTTCATAATCATAACGGAGGAGAGGAGCCGGCAATGGGCATGGCATGGGCTGTTGCTGAGATAACGGCAATGCACTGATCGCCGTGAAAGACGTACTGTATGCGCCAAACACTACTGCAGCCTTCACTTCATGTGGGTAATGCTCGCGTCAAACCTATACTGTCGATCTCCGGCGGCTTTTACTTCACGACAAGATATTGGCGTCCGTCACAACAGATGCGGCATCGTGGCACATGCCATTGGCGCCGCGAAGCTCATTATTTTAGTTCGCTGGCCGCCCCTTCTTCTCCTCCCCAACGACTCCTCATCCTCGAGCGGTTCCGAAAAAGTCAGTGTCTGGTAGTCCGCTCAACACCACTACTGCGGAGTCTCTTCGACAACATCCACGCACATCCGACCGACACATCTGTTCAGCATGGCGCCGATAGCGAAGCTGTTGATACCGCTCGCGATGGTCGCCGCCACCTTGGTCTCCGCCTCGCCGCTTCATCTCGCCAAGCGTCAATACCCAGCCGTCGGTGCATGCTCGGGCAAGTGCCAGGGCGACGTCCACGATCCCGCAGTCATCTACCGCGAAGACACCAAAACATACTACCGCTTCGTCACCAACAACAAGATATCAATCGCCACAGCACCTAGTATCGCCGGACCTTGGACCGACAGAGGCGCTGCGCTGCCCGCCGGCTCCATCATCAACCTGCCAGGGAGAGACGATCTCTGGGTGAGTAACACCTTTTTTTAAAGTTGTATGACCTCATCTCTTCAGAGTTTCAAGGGTTTCGCGACAGAACCGTGTTTATTCATCAGAATGGCTGGACCCTTGTCAGCGCCTAGATCCGAAGTCGAGGGTCCCAGGATAGATTGCAGCCCAGCATATCCTTGTTACTTGAAGCAAGCTGACAGACGTCCTCAGGCACCGGATATCGCTCACATCGGTGACCAGTACCTGCTTTTCTACGCTGTCTCCCAAGTCGGATCTCAGAACTCGGACATTGGTGTTGCCACTTCCAAGACTATGGACCCTGGTTCGTGGACCGATCATGGCAGCATCGGCATTCCCGCAGACAGGAGATGGAACAAGATTGATGGCAACTTGTTTGGTTTCGATCCGAAGAATCTCGTTTTGAACTACGGCTCTTTCTGGACCGACATCTGGCAAGTGCCTATGTCGGCTGATGGCCTCAGGACGATTGGTGCACCTGTCCACGTCGCAATGACCAACGAGCCTCGACCCAATGGCATGACGCCTGGTGACATGGAGGGCGCTTATGCATTCAAGTGGGGCAGCTTCACATATCTCTTCTTCTCCGGAGGAAATTGCTGCAACCAGGCCTGGGATCCAAACGGACAGCTAGCTCCCAAAGGCGAGGAGTATCACGTGAAAGTATGTCGCTCGACACAGCAGAGTGGCGGCTTTGTTGATCAGGAAGGTCGGAGCTGCTTGACCGACAACGGAGGAACGATGGTGCTGGCCTCGCATGACAACGTGTACGCTCCCGGTGGGCAAGGCGTCATGTACGACCCCAACCTGAAGAGTGTGGTAATGTACTACCACTACGTACAGCCAAGCCAGGGTTATGCATATGACAGATTCTTCTTTGGTTGGAGCAAGCTGGACTTCTCCAGTGGGTGGCCTGTTGTGGTTGGATAGAACCTTGAAGCATGGGCATTATTGGAAACACGGGACGCATTGATGGATGATACCCGCGCTGTTACCTGTCAGCGCTGCATTGGGAAGGACGCACATACCTAGTAATAGCGAAAAGTCCTTGGAAAATTGACGCCCAAAACTGCATGCATTGCTGCAAAGTCTGTTGAATGCTCCACTCATCTCATTGCTTCATATGCATCCTCGTCGTCATGACTACTATCCGCTCACTGTGCTGAAACTGATGTCCTCCGGACTCATGCTGGTCATTCGATATTTGCTGATAAAGTCATCGCGGTTGATGTACCCACCACACATCCTCCGTTTGCCAGTGAAAGAGTTGCGACCATGCAAGACTCGCCAGTTGTCAAAAAGTAATGTTTGACCAGGCCTCAGCTTGAACCAGTAGACGTTTTCAGGCGCATTTAGAAGTTTGTTGAATTTTGCAGCGGCTTCGTACCATTTCTCGATTCCAGCGAAGTCTGCTGCGATACCGGCTCGATCGGCATTGTTCCACCGTACAGCTGTGAGATGACCGGCTTCCCGGTCGTGGTTGAGGACCGGGAACGCTGAGCTGGGTTGGATCGAAATGCCCTCGTTACCACTGGCGTGAGCGTACACCCCAATTGTGCTCAATGTGGTGTATGCGTCGCGATCTTCCACGAATAGCTGCACAGCTGCCCCAAAGCCATCCACTAGGGAGCTCTCGCCGCCAGTGCCTTCCGTATGAGACAGCATGTGCAACGCTTGGATTCCTGCTGGCTCAGTGAAATAGGTGTTGTCAGTATGTGGTTCCAGATATTCAGAAGTATATGCCGTGTCTTTCATGGTCAAGTCGGCCGTAAAGTCGTAGAATCCGCCGTAATGCGTATTCCGGATTGGTCCAATGGTGTCCAGGAGGGCTTGTGTGGCTTCGGGTGTGGCAGGCATGCCATCTACAATGCAGAAGCCCATAGCTCGGATTTTGTGCAGCAGTGAACTCATGCCCGCCTTTTCGCTCATAGCCGAGTAATCGACCATTGGCGGTGAGGCGGATATATCTGCTTTCCAAGTGGTGATGCTTCAATTGTGTCAGTACTATCATTGTGATCAAGTTGCGAATTATCACTCACGGTGCGAGACCAAAGCGACTCCTGGTCATTTTTGGCCCTCTCCTATTGAGTAGATAATCCACATGATACTGGCTTTGATGCCCGTCAGCAACTGGCATCGATTAGTACAACTCATAATCTGTGATCCGTGCTCGTACATGTCACTGTGACGATGCTCTTTTCTTCGCCACTAATTCTGGCGTCGTTAATATCAAAATTGATGTTGCCCTGTGGGAATCTGTGAGCGAGATGCACCCTGCCATGCCTCCAAGCAAAGTACCTCTAGGACGTTGATCTGCCGTTGCGCAGTATCCGTATTCCGACATTGCGAGCAGGAGCAGTTGTCTCTAGTCCGGTTAAGCAAGGAACACTTCTGGGTGCTTCGTGGCATCTCACCTCAACCACTGTGCAGGACTGCGTATTGTCAGCCTCAGGTAATATGTGCGATCGAGACACTGACATTTTCGTATATCGATTTTCAGCTTCATCGTGTATTTGTAGCGACGCGTCCAAGAACACCAAGGACAAGCATGACGGGTTCTCGTCAATCTGGGCAATGGGATGCTTGAGATGCTCAGCTTTGCAGACGGTGAGGCATGTTGACAGGACTCACAAAGCGAGAAGTGGGACTCAATAGGTAGTCTGGTTGAGATGTAGTCTTGTAGGCTTTGGGAGAGCCGCCGGTACGATCGAATGGCCCATCGTGGCCTAATCTACCATTCGGAGGGTCCAAGGAGGCGGCTTGCTGGCGGAAAGTGCACACACTGAAACTTCTGGCGCTTCCCTGAACACGTATGCCTTTCACCGTGCTTCGACGAATTCGCGCGTTTCTCGCGATACCAAAGCCGAGGTCCTTGCTGACCAAAGTCAGCGTTTCGCGTGACGACGAGATGGCGTTGGGGAGGACGCGTACTGGAGTGGAAGTGCACCACGAGCGGCGTGACGAAACACGGACATTGCTTAGGCTCAAGGCGTCCGCAAGGCAACGTGCACGAGGACATGTGAAAGTCGTGGCAATAATCATGCTGCTGGAAGCGTGGGACTGGGGTGGGGTGGGGCGGGGTGGGGCGGGGCGGGGCGCTGAGCTTCGATTGCAAAACAGCACGAACTCTTCATTGCTGCAGCTGCACACATTCGTATTGCTTTTCCGACTTCATTCTCGAAGGGAACGGTTAATGTATGTAAACCGCGACGTCGAAAAGCAAGAAAACGAAGGGTGGAAAGCAGGGTCGTTAAATCGTTTCAACATTAGAGCTACGCTATGTACTGTCATGCCTAGGTCTTGTAAATGCATACCGAACCAACAATAACCCTCATCATATGGCATTTCCAAACACCTGTGAGCAAAAGGTCAGCACGAGCGCAAGCGATAAAAGCATGCTCGAAAGAACTCACCTGAACAGGATGCGCCTCCGTATTGAACACGAATTGGTTCGACCCATTATAATTCACCTGCCACTCTCGGTCCGGCGAATGGATCAGGTACGAATATTTCAACACCTCTGCAAACCAGAATGACTCTTGAAAGTTCTGATTGCCGCTGCCGCCAGGCGCATTGACATCATTGATGCTAGTAAAACCAGAGCCAACGCGACAGGTAGCATTGATCGCTACAAAAGCATTCCATGCGAAATCTTGGTACTTCCTGTCTCCCGTGATACGGTAGGCGTAGTAGAAAGACTCGATCACTTCTGGCCGCAGAACGTAGTCGCCACTGAGGATGAAGAATCCAGCACGGTTGTAGAAGTCGGTCTGGTTGGTATAGTTCGTGGCAAGCAAACTAGTATTCCACGAGAACTGTTCGGGCCCGATCTTGGTCAATGTTTGCGCGTAGGTATTTTCGCAGGAGTCCACAAGCTGGAGTCCGAAGTCGATATATTTTTTCTCGTTCAGGACGAGACCTCCCAGAATGAAATTGCCGCCATCGAAGCACGCCAGATGCTCGCTGGTGTTCTGTGGCAGCCGGCCGATGAATTCCGCGAGGTATGTCAAATCTGGTCGAGAAGACGGGTGCGAGGCGAGGTATTGGATGCTGCTGTCGGCTGCAGCTACCCAGCGGTCCTTGTAATAGGAAAAGCGGTTGGCATCGTACACGAACATCTTGATGAGATATTCATAGTAGCTGTCATCGCCACCATTCCAGCCACCACTGCCGTCTACGAAAGATGCATTGGCGATTCCAACGTTTGTACCAAGGAGGCCAGGGAAGGGTTCACCCAAGCTTGGGTTTCGTGGATTCAGGAGGTATTCTTCTCCTTTCTGTGCCAGTTGACCGTACACTGGATTGCCAGTCAAATCACTAAGTCTGGTCCACTCCAGCACCAGCGTTCCGATCGTGGCGAGGCCATTGGTCTGTGATCCATCGTTGCTTCTGTTACCAACGTAAATGCCGTTGTAGGGAATTCCTGTCGGCGTATTGAACGCAAAACTGAGATTGTTGGCAAGGTTTTGAGCTTGATAAAGAAGCGTTGTCACTTTGCTTTCCTACTCCATCGTCAGCACTGGACTTCTCTGAAGCGCGAACTCAACCTACATCTTGCACCATGCTCTTTGCTGGGCCTTGCAGAAGGTCGTAGCCCGAAAGTAGACCTCCAAGATACCGAATGGTGGTCTCAAATAGCGAAACCACCTCGTTCTGGTAACTCACGCCCCAGTTGATGGTCATCACATGGTCCAGTATCTGGTTCACAATCTGCTCTTCGCCCATGATGATGGCTGTGGAAAGGGCATCGACCGCAGATGCACCCCAGCCATTTCTCGAGTTGCTAAAAGAGTTGTTGACCGGGAGCAGTTCGTCGTTCGGGAATGCGTATCTATGGCAAGTTAGGGCTCAGAGGATGCAACAGCGGAGTTCTGCTCACTTCGAGTAACCGGCCCATGAGAATTCGAATGCTTCCTTGACAGCATCTGCTCGCTGCTGAGCTTCTTGCTGCGATTCCCCAGACTGATTGTAACCACGATGTCCGCTCGTCCAACCTGGATGTCCCCAAGGTTGCTGATGTGAAGCTCCCCCTCCCCGTTGTTGAGGCGCGGCGAAGACTGCTGAAGCTGCAGCGAGCGAAAGAATGGTTGAATACATCTTGGCTGTGATCTACAAGGCGAAAGAGTGAGGCCTGTATGTTTGAGGATGCGTGGACGTCCAGACGCGAGATTGCGAGGGAAAACGCGTCTGGGCCGCACGGAGTGTATGTGAGAGGAGTAGAAGCAGTGGTCAAGTGCACAAGCAGGTACTTACTGTCATCTCATGACGCCCTTACCATAGCGCCCATCCGTACCTGCTCATCCCAGTCCCATTCTTCCTTCTTTGCATTTGTCTCCGAGTCTATTGGAGGCTCTCGGCATCCTCTGACACCAGTTGCAGCAGGTGATCGTCGTCTACTATTGAATAGGTGCAGAGCAGATGCATCGCGTGTGCGGAGGGCAGAGGGTGCAGCAGCGTCTTTCGTAGATCACTGCTGAAGTGGTGTTTCCTTCCTGCAGATAGCCGCATGATGAGTGCAACATGCACATGCGACGTGACCGCGTCGTCAGGAACAGGTTTAATGGCTTGGCAGGAAGCAAAGTGGTTGGTGGCTCGGATTGTGGAGGCTCATCTCACGAAATTGGAGTCGCAGCACTTCCGCTGCATTTCTGTTTCAATACAGTACACGGGTATTTAATAACATTAGCAAACCTTGTGAGCATCCACATCGCTACAAACACATGGTTTGTCTTGTGAGCTATTATATCTGCCATGCCAGTTATTAGTCTGCCGCTCCGCTCGAATTAGATCGATCATGAAACACAATACACATTTCACACGAGACGTGCAGGAATCAACCAAATGGATATAGCATTGCTAGGAGCCGAAGTATCCCCGTAGTCAAAAATTATTGCCGTGTACAAATTGCCAGAAACCATCCATCTACCCACGCTGCCGTACAGTCAAGGATCGAGCATGAAATCGTCGCCGTCAAGAAGACTCCTGCTCGCAACATAACTGAATCCGCCGAATGGGTTGCTCTTGTTAACAGCTGAGGTCGTTGTGAAGTCGAAGGTCTTACCAGCACGGGACATGACCGGGCTGAGTGGCAGATCAGTAAAGTCGGCGCTGAAATTCTCGGCCAACTCTGGATCAGTCACAAGAGGCTGGATTGGCTAAGAGCAACGTTAGCATGGTGGGAATCTGATGCCCAACTGTGACTTACCGCTTCAAGCTCGCGTCTTTCGAGTTTCTTCCAGTCGATTTTGCGGAAGAAGCGGTGCGACTTCAGCTCCTTGATCCCTTTCGAGGTAGTACCTCCAAGGCGCTTGTGCGGCTCCTTGCGCAGTAAACGGGTTAGAAGATCCTTGGCATCAGGCCCAAGGAAGTACGGCAGCTGCAGCTTCTGCTTCAAAATATTCTGCTGGATCTTGGCGTGGTTGTTGCCTCCAAATGGTGGACTGCCGGTGAGAAGATCAAAGCCGATCGCTCCGAGCCCCCACCAATCCACAGAGAAGTCGTAGGGTTTGCCCTCAACCACCTCAGGTGCCATGTAGTCAATCGTGCCCAGGACGCTATTGGTGCGCTCACCCTCGTCTTCCAGTGCGACCTTGGACAGGCCGAAGTCGGTCAGCAGGAGATGGCCTTCGTGATCTAGCAGACAGTTCTCGGGCTTCAAGTCGCGGTAGATCACTCGCACGTTTTGATGCAAATGCTCCAAGGCAAGCACCATCTCAGCCATGTAGAAGGACGCGACTTCCTCGCTAAACATGCGTTCCATGGCCAAGTGCGTGAAGAGCTCGCCTCCTTGTGCATATTCAAGAATCAGGTAGAGCTTTTCTTGGTCCTGGAAGGCGTAGTAGAGCTTCACTACGAAGGCATGACGATTGACTGACTCCAAGATGGTACGCTCAGTGCGAGTCTGCTCGATGAGACGCTTGTGCACGGTAAGGCTTGCCTTCTTGAATTGTTTCTGAGCGTAGAGTCGCCCAGTGGCCCGCTGCTTGACAAGGTGTACGGTTCCAAATGCGCCCTTGCCTAGACAGCGTAGCGGCTCGAAGTCGTCGGCATGCATCTTGCGATGGATAGAGGCGGTCCGCAAGCCGCCTTCGATGGCCTGCGAAGCATACAAGGGAGTGCGGGAGCCAGCATCGGAGCTGACAAAGTCTTCGCCTAATGGAACATCATATGTCTCCATCTCGGTACGGTCGCCTTCGCTCCCTACTGAAGATGGTGTCGCTGTGGCATCCGAGGCGTTAGTCAAAACTCGGGCCAAGCTGGGCTTGTCGGTGTCCAAAGCCAGAGCATCAAGGCGTTGACGAAGGGTGCTAATCCCACTTGCTGGGGTAGATGGTCGCAAAGCCGGGCTAGATGTAAGGCTTGGCAAGTCCTTGGTGGCTCCGAAGCGCGGCGTGTTCACTGTGGAGATATCAGACTCCTCGCCACCAGAAGTAACTGGTGTCTGAAAGCCTTTGATGACATTCACCGCTGGCGCTGCTGGCGGCATGCCTTTCTTCTTGTTCTTCTTCCGCTTCTTGGCTTTTTCTCGGATTGCGTCGTGATCCAGCTTCGGAATTGGAATGGGGGCGGGAGCGTGCGCTTCGCATGGCTGAACTCGCGGCGAGGCTATCTTCATGGGCGGAGAGCGCTGTACCTCGAGCACACTAGTGCTGGCATCAATGTCCATGGCGGGCATCTTGCGCCGTTCTTAGAGATCCCGCCCGCAAAGCTATTCCTGTCCACGTGCTGGAAGGTATCACTTCCTGACCTTACGCGATTTCAATCGCTTGCAGACACTCATCCGATTCAACTGACGTTGATCGGTGTATTTCTCCGGACTTGGAAGTAGATCCGTTTCAACTTGCGCAACTTGAGCGCCGAAAATTGTAGGCCTGCCGGCCAGCGCGGTTTTCGCCCACCTTCAGGAGTTCCCTACGGTGGGCTCAAGACCGATAGCCAGAGCAATGCGGCGAAGCTGGACTCAGTGCGAGACAGACCTGCGGCGGTGCCTGGGAAGGACGCGGAAAGGTCGCCAAGTGCGAAAGTGAAGACTGTAGCGGCTGGAGCGGAGTAGCCCATCGACGGTGATGTTCGGGTTGGTGGTGAATGTGTCGAAATCGTCAGGTCTGGCCCGACGACGTGAATTTCTGTGGTTTGGAGGGTGGTTGTCGTAGAATCGCAGGTAGGGAGTAGGAGGCACCGGTCGCCGCAGAGGTTGGAGGTCGGTATCTTGGCATGTTTGCTATTTTTGGCAAATGAGCCGGTTGAGGTAAGCACGTTGTGTTGTGAATCGTGCTAGGGATACAACTAATCATCGGATTGACAACTATGTAACTATACAAAGAAGGATTAGGAGCCTGCTACAGAAACTGCAGTTAATATACCTATTGTATGTCCTTCCTCTTAGTATAGGTTAGCTAATAGTATCAGCTAACTAGTATATTACCTAACTGAACTATAATACTCCCCCTTAGGTAGAGATGATATACTATTTAGATTAGACACTCTAAATCTAGGCTTAGAGCTTTACTTTATCTTCTAACTGTCTTTAGATATTAGACTATATCTGCTTTATATGCAGCTTTATATACTATGCTACTTATACGTGCTTATATTATATTGTTTGCTAATTGGTTTGCTTTAGAGTAATATCCTTAGTCGTAATTGCAGGGTTAGCAGGCGCCTATAAAAGACACTTGAACTTAACTAGATAACTTAAACTTTTATAATCTACTCTTTAGCAATCCCTAGAGCACTAGTAGCCTTTACTAGATTTCAAATTCTCACTAAGACCTTTTAAGTCTAATAGCTAGCCGAGACTTCATTATAGCGATGATTCTTTACCCTAGCCTAGGGAGTATAGCGAGTAGTATAGGTAGTAGTAGCAGCGGCGGCGGTAGTGATAATCTAAATAAGAATCGGCACCCTTCGCGTTATAATAAGCTCTAGCTTATAGAGACTAGTAAGTATTGCTGTTAGAGTTTCCCTTTTTCTAACAATTTGCTAACTAGGCGTAGTCCTTAAGGAAGTTTAGTTAACTATCGCGATTCTCTAGAGAATTATCTAGTACTTAACTAATATTAGTCCGGAGTAGACTCCGCCTTAGCTACGCAACGTTGATGTTAGGCATTTTATTACGAGCTAGGATAATACTCGGCTGTTTCTAAGTATGCCTCCGCGTCTACGTAAGGCGGCTAAGGCATTCAATTTAGGCTTAAAATCGAATGTTAACTACTTACCTGCCGCGCTTATATATACGGCTGCTACTAGACGCGTACATACTAGTAACAGCTAGTGCGGTCCTTATAAGTAGTTAAAGGGTCCGTACTTAGAGTGTATAACTCTAAGTTATCGAATTAACGGTTAGGATATCGCTTTCCTAAAGGGCGCTTATACTAACTATGCTAGCCTAAATTATTATAGTCAATGCGAGTTCTCTAGTAAGTTGAATCTAGTCTTGTACATATTTTTTGAAGCAAAAATACTAATTCTTTTGTTAGGTTACGTCTCTCGGCTACGCTCTAATACGAATCGTTAGACGCCTATAGCGCCTCTGCCGCCTCGTAATCCGGGGAGCAGAGTAGGTACTAATTAGCGTCGTCTGTATATACTAGTCCCGTCTAGCATCGATTAGAGTACTCCTTAGGGCGCCTAGGTAGTAGCAAATTTGCTGCTACAGCAGGCAAATGCTTATGCCTAGGCTGCTGCTTAGGGACGTAGTCGTAGTCTAGGTTCTAGGTTGTCTACTAGTCCTAGCTCGACTCGTGATTCTAGTAGTCCTTAGAGGGGTTTCTCTAATTACGAAGACAGTAATGCTAAGATAGGTAGCTGATTAGGGAGATTCGGTTTTTCTTCTAGTAGATAGAGAGCTGTAATGTGTGTTTTCGATTTTGAAATAGGCTAGGCAGTCTGGATTAGTAAAAGCCTTGCAGTATTAGAGAGTTTCTAACTCTTAAGGGCTGGGGTATTTCTTCCTGCTTAGTCTTAATATTATTATAAAAGAAATTTTGCAGCTTAGACTGTATAGTGTAGCTAGGCTGTTTCTAGAAATCAGAATGAAATTCAATAAGTGTATAAAGCTTGTTTTCTAATCCTACAAATAAGATTTTTCTTTCTAAAGGAGTAACTTAGGAGTTTGTCCTAGGGACGCTATATTATTAGAGAATTTTGTTTAGAGATTTAGGCTTAGTGAAACAGTCCGCTAGCTGTTTATTAGTAGTAACGAATTCGATACTAATCTTTCCCTAGGCATACTGTTCTCTGCAGTAGTAGTTCCTAAGGGAAACGTACCTCGACCTCTTAGAATTTATATAGTCCTTAATAAGGGAAATGGCTGACTGGTTGTCTACCTAGATATAAATCCTGTTGACTTCTTCCCTAGTCAGTAGTTGAAGCTTAGTTATCAAATTTCGGAGCTAGCAGATTTCTCTGTATGCTTCTATTAGAGCAATATACTCTACTTTAGTGCTAGAGAGTACGACTTCCTTCTAGAGCTGTAATCTCTATATAATTAGAGTGTTATTAAGAAGTACAAGGGCGCCTAATATTGATCTTGATAATAAAGGGTTACTAGCAAAGTCTGCGTTAGAGTATACCTAAAATTCCAAAGTTTTCTTCTTTCTAAAGATAAGTCCTTTATCAACTATGCTAGCAATGTACCTCTAGAGATATTTAGCAGCTATAATATGCTTAGGTCCGGGATTCTAAAGGAACCTAGCAAGGTGGTTGACGGTATAGCTAATATCTAGTCTAGTTTAGTTAGCTAGAAACTGCATTTCACTAATTATAGTGTTAAACAGCTAGTAGTCCTAACGGTTATAGGGGGTTATAAGAGGCTCGTAAAGCTTCTTAAGTGGATGCTTTATTGGCTTGCACTAGTCTAAGCTATGCTTCTAAAGCTTCTCTTTAGTATAGTGTGTCTAGGAGATAGTAAGGTTTCCCTCCTTATCTTCCTTTAGATAAAGGCTTAGAAATAGGTTGGACGTAACAATCTTAATTGTATACTTCTTGCGAAGACCTTTAATTAGAGCATCGATCTTTGCCTTAGAGGTTCTAAAGATTTAGAAGTTATCTATATAAAGGAGGACAAGAATACTATTACCTTACTATAGGTAACAGTTACTCTTTGTCCTAATTAGGCTAAGTTGACGAAGAGTGTCTAAAGCATTATAGTACTAGAGATTAGCAGCCTGCTTAAGGCTATACAATCCTTTTCTAATACGGATAATCTACTTTAGAGGATGCTTCTTAAACAGGTACGCGCCTTCTAAGGGTCTAATAAAAATCTCTTTATCTAGAGGGGGATTCAAGAAAGCAGTCTCGATATCAACCTGTCTTCGCTTTTAGTTTTTGTTTACTAAAAGCCTAAGGACAAGTCTAGCAGTAGCTACTCTTAGTATAGGAGCGTAGGTGTTAATATAGTTAAGACCTTGCTTCTATATAAAGCCTCTAGCTGTCCATCTTGCCTTATATTTGTTAATAGAGCCGTCTAGCAGGTATTTGATCTTAAAAACCCATTTTCCTATTAGAGGTGTTCTGCCTTTTAGTAGGGATTCGGCTAGAATCTACTCGATTATACTAGACTTTTTAAGAGACCTTATCTCTTTTGTAACGGCTTTTCTCTATTTATCCTAGTTAGGCCTTTTTAGGGCTTCAGCTAGGGTTGTTAGGTTAGCTAGCTTCTAAGCATCTTTTATAGCAGTAGCTATAGCAATCTTAGTAATCTTGCTATAGTTATGCTTAGCTACGGCTCTGCTAGACCTAAGTCGTACTTCGGCTTAAGGAGGGTTTAGCTAAGGTAGGTTAGGAGCCCTCTTTCTCTTGCTAGTAGTCTTAGGGACTTAGAAGGGAGTAATTGGGGTGTCTTCTAGTTTAGTAGTATCTGTTTCTTAAGTGTGCTGATTTTTCTTAGGAGCAGCTTCCTACTAGGCAGCTAGTAGTTCCGGTTAGTAATTTTAGAGTGTTAGCTTATTAGCTATAGGTATTAGCTAAGGTAGTGTTCCTTGCTTAAGTGTACCTTGCTCCCCCTAAGCTATAAGGGAGTCTTCCTAATCTTCCTAATTATAAGCCTACTAAGGCTAAGGGATGCTATCTCTAAATAGCTCCCCCTAAGGTTCTAAAGAGTGCTAAGGTGTTTGGTTATTACTAGGGAATAGTGCTAGGATTCCTAACTCAAATGAAAGGTTAGACTAGGTTTCAAGTACCTAAATAGTCTCCTAAGGGACAGCTAGTCTCAAATACTCCCCCTAAGCTTAAAGGGTACTTAGAAGCTTAGTGAAATTGTCTTTATAGACAAAGTCCTCGTTAAAGGTAACGTATAGAGAGAATCTGATATTATGCTACTATACGCTATCCTTCTAGTGCGGGTTCTAAAGCAGATAGTTTGTTGATGAATTTTCTTAGAATCTAATAAACTAGTAAACGAAAGCTCTTAGTGCAAATTTCTAGGAGTTAAGTCGTTTAACCCCGGATTCGAGGTATTTGAATACCTTATAGCCAAATCGTCTCGTCTTAGACAGGTTAATGTCTATACTACCGATATTCAAGTCTGATTCGAAAGCCTTAAGTGGAACTTCCTTAGTTCTTAAGTTTACTAGTCTGTTAGTTAGGTAAATCGAATATATTACTACAAAGCACTAGCAGTATATTAGTAGGCTAGAGTCAATTATTATTGCTCTTGCCTTAAGTAGAATCGTCTTGTTTAACGACTCTGCAATGCTATTCTGCTCCGGTATATATAGTATAGATATATCCTATCTAATGCTAACTTCCTCTATAAAATGTACTAGATCGTTGTTAGTAAACTCTCCCCCGCTATTACTAAAGATAATCTTAGGGATTTTGTTGTATTGCCTCTTGATTCTAGCTATCCAGTTAGTTAGCTTATTACTACTTGTTACCTTGTCTTTGTTTCGAAGTAACAGACCCTACCTAAGCCTAGTTTTAGCATTAGTTAGGATTATAATGTACCTGTTTCTAAACAGATTAAATAGTTGTACGCTAACAAGGTTAATATAGACTTCGTTAAGGGCTTTTTCTAGTCTAGTTCTATATTCTCTTAATACAACTCTTTAAGCTCTCGAGAGCTTGTAGGTCTTATAGTGCTCGAGTTTAGATATATCAACTTCTTCTAGGCCTAGAATAGCTTCTTTAGTAGCTGTTAGGATCTTGTTGCCGACGTAGCTAAGTCTCTAATGCTATCTTAATGTGTCCGCTCGTAGTCTAGCGATAGCTAGGGCTAATAGCTGCCCTTTCTAACTCGATTCTAAGTTTGGTTTTAAAGCTAAGCCTAGCATTTTGACTTTAGCATCTTTAAGGGTAAGTACTCCTTATACTTCCTCAACCTTTCTAATTAGCTTGCCTTTAAGCATTAAAGTGCCTAAAGGTCTATCTAAGTAAATGCTATATTTCTTCTAAAGACGCTCTACTAAGATTAGGTTGCAATCTGAGTTCGGGGAGTAGAGGACGTCTGTTAGAGTGATTAGGGTTTTCTTTCCTTTATAGATTAGGAAGATGTTAATAGTTCCTGATCGTAATATACTTAATTTTCCTACTGCTTAGGAGAACTGAACAGGCTTAGTTAGGTACTTGAGATCGCTAAACTAGCTCTTGTTCCCTATAATGTACAGTAATATACCTGTATCCTAAACTTTTGTATTAGCTATTAGGTTCTTAGAGCTTGCTATAGCTAGTCCCGGCTTTGCAATAGCTCCCCTAATCAGGCCCCTACTAAGGCCGTCTAGCTGATAGTCTCCCTTATCTTCCGAGTTAGAGGAGGAGTCTAATTTATCTTTATTATTGTTAATAGCACTACTAGATTTGCCCTTTCCTTTGCCTTTACCCTTCTTACCTTTGTCTTTGTCTTTGCTCTTATCTTTCTTTCCCTAACTAGGTAGTGCTATATTAGGGTATTGCTTGTAGCACTTAGCGTTAGTGTGTTTGTGCTTATACTAAGTGCACTGGTCGTCATTATTGCTAATAGCCCCTCTAACAAGCTTTAAGCCGCTAGATAACTGTCTAGGAGGCTTTTCTCTCCTTAGGGACGTTATTATTACTTTAAGGGAGGAGTCCTTAGCTTTAGGCTTATTGTTATGCTTCTAGGATCTAAGCTATTCGTAACTAGAAAGGCCCTAAATAAACAGCATCCTAACAAGTATATTAGGCATCTTAATGTCTAATGACTTTATAGGCGCTTCTGTTGTTATAACTAAGCTAGCAAATTATTCTGTCGATGTTTAGAATCTGTTGAACTACTGCTAAAAAGATTCGTAGTACTGCTAGGTATTCGGATTAGTAAGGGGCATTCTAATATACCTAATGAGTTTAATAGTATTAAATATGTCTACGGTTATAATAGGCTTATATAGAGCCTTAATATAGTCGTATATATCCTTAGCTGACTTAGGTATATCACCGAAGTCTAGTCTAAGAGCAGGGTCGAGTCTAGTAATAAGTATACCTAGGGCTTGGATGTCTTTCTTTTTCCAGTCCCTAAATATGTCTCTATACTGCTAATCGGCTAAGTCCCCTATAAATATGCTCTTTAGAGGTGGTTTTATTTCATTAGCCTAGTCAAGTCTATAGAATACTATACTAACTAGGTCCTTTTCTAGAAGGGCCGCCTAGAATATAAGCTTCTAGTCTTGGAAGTTAATCCCCTTCCTAAGAACCTGATTCTCCTTTGCTGTCTTTGTCTAATTAGTATCTATCGTTCCTAGCTGCCTTTTAGTATAGTGCTAGGCAGGGCTTATAAGGGACACTTGCTAGGTTTTAGTCCGAACTAGAGCTCTTAACTAGGTACCTAATAGGTCTAGATAGCTAGCTCTATTTAGTAGACTCTAGAAACAGTTCTTTTATAGTTGAACTGGACAGGTAAGCGTATACGCCGGGCTTATAACCTATTATAAATCGTGCTAGGGATGCAACTAATCATCGGATTGACAACTATATAACTATACAAAGAAGGATCAGGAGCCTGCTACAGAAACTGCAGTTAATATACCCATTATGTGTCCTTCCTCTTAGCATAGGTCAGCTAATGGTATCAGCTGACCAGCATATCACCTAACTAAACCACAACACGTTGACGGACAATAATAATGCCTTGAGCAGAGAGGCCAAAGGTTCTGCCCTGATTATCAGTCTTGCACTGTAAGGACGCGGCATATGTCGAAGGGCTCAGAGATGCGGACCTCACAACATAAAAATGACTAACGGTATAGGCCCACGCAGCCATGCGGTCTTTGGTCTGCGATTCTGAGCTGTTATACAGAGAGCCACAAGGCGAAGCACGCGCGTATAGAGCGGAGACGCCTCAGGATCTTCAAAAGGACAAAGATGCCACGAAACGGATCCTACGCGAGCGGGCGCATTTGAACACTATGCATACAGTTCAACAGCATGGCCGTGAGACTCCTCACGAAAATGCACTGAATTGAGCCTGCACCTATCCAGGCACTCTTTGCGGACTCTGCCTCTGGAGTACAATTTCGAGCCGACCTCCTTTCTACTATCGCAATGTCTCCAAAGAAGAAACTCAGCATCCGCGCATCTTGTGATGAAAGCTGGTGCAAGGAAATCATTTCCACCTCACATGCATGCTTAGTCCCTGCTTCACTCACAATTTGCATGTGAAGCATGTCGAAGGTCGACTTTGAGGCTGCTATGGTCTCATTCGTCTTCTTTCTTTACTTCATCAACACTCTGATTGTCTAAATCCATCCAACTTGCTGTGGACCACATGATACTGCCAGCGCAGCGCAAAAGCGGTACCGCTTCGAGTGACCTGCGCTGTGTATCCGCACCGATGTGCTTCTTCGGCGTGACCACTACCACAGCTTTGAAGAAGCAAAAGACCGCGACCAATATCCTCTCTCTACCAAACGAACTGCTAAACATCATAGCAAACGAAGTTGAGGACAAATCTGACGTCCTGAATCTGCGACGCACCAACCGGCGACTCGGCACTGCTGCGACGAGCAGCTTGCAATCACGGACGACGGCAATTCATCTCGAGGCGTGTCATTCATCAATAGAGCGCTTTGAGCGAATCTGTCAATGCTCGGCTCTGGCTGCTGGGATCAAGTGCATCATCTATGTTGTACCACAGTACAAGAAAACGGCTAGCTACATGCGCAGTAGCCGCCTGTTACCGGAGGCGTGCAACGACCTCAGCATCCAGGATCGTGAAGATGCTCTCGAGCGATACGCCAAATATCAAGCCGAGGCGGAGAACACAGTCCGGACGGGCAGACACAAGCGCGCTCTTTTACTGGGAACGAAATCATTCCCGAAACTCGCGGAAGTCGTTTGGGCTATGCAAGCATCATTCGAAGGCAGCATGGGTGGGTTTCCGGAATCTTTCAATCGCGACAAGCGCTGGCATCGAGGTGTTCACTGGCCTGGTGATCAGGAAGAGGCTTTGACTACTTTTCCTGTCGATGGGCTATGGAACAGAATGCTGTGGTACATGCAGGACTCAACCTCATACGATTGCGACAATCTCATCGCGGTTCTCCATTGCCACGCAGGACTCTATGGAGACAGGCTTCTTCGAATCGGCTTTATAGAATGCCCATTTGTGGCATTCAGCGACCAGCTTGCAGCGATCGCCCATGCACGACCGGCACAAATGAGCTTCGTTTTGTCGCGTATTGGCAAACTCTCTTTAACTACTGGTTTGACTGGTACGGAGGACTGGACTGCGATCAACACGCCGACGCACGATGCAGACGAGACATGGTCTGATTTCTTTCGACAGATGCGGAATCTCCAGCATCTCCACATGGATGGATTCGATTGGGTTTACAAGTGCAAGATGCTGAGGGCTCTACTCAGCGGCGGAGACATCGTCTATTCGAGACTGAAGCACTTGAGCTTGGTCGCACATTCTTGTCATACGTTTCCACGAGGATGGCCAGAAATGACCGCTCTGCGCCAGCACTCGCATACCACGCAGCAGCTCATTAGCTTCTTACGACAGCACAAGGACACTATGAAGCACTTGGAGTTATATGCAATGAGTGGTGTTGATGCGCACACTCGAAAACCTAGCGCTGACTGCATGCGAACCCTACTCAATGTCATTAAAGCGGAGTGCTTATCATTGGAAGAAGTGAAAGTAGAAGAAGTCTCAATGTACGAACAGGACTGGAAATTCGGCGTCCATCAACCACACTCCCTCGATTGGGAACGACAGCATGAGCAAGGTACGATCCTGGCGCAGCTCGCACGCGAGGTCGGAGGGAAGGTTTGCGAACAAGAAGTGGTTTACACATCGGGTGGAAATCCAGAGTCTGTCGAAGACTTCGATCAAGACGGCACTACGCTATGCTCTACCCATCTACATGTTACGTATTGCTTTGGGTGGAAGGTACTCAGACCAGGTCTCGGAGACTGTGATTGTCAAGACTGCAATGAAGGTGCGAGTCGACCTTGTGCTAGACCAGTCTGGACGGATGCTAGCGAAGGTGAGGAGGAGTGGTTCGATGCTTTGGACGAGAAGGCCTCGGAGAGGAAGAGCGTGCATCTGGAGGGCCGAAGAGCAAACACAGAAGCGTCCCGCCCTCATCGTTCTCCGAGCCATCGTTCGGCCGGGATGAGACTGGAGCATGACATGCGTGGACGCATACTAGATTAAGAGACAGAACGGGAGTCGCCCGTGAGAGGCCTCAAGGCAGTATAGGAACTGTAGCGCATCGCAATAGCAATTGAAAAGACCTTCCCGAACATACTGTCTCCCAGTGCCTATCTAAGCTCATTTCCTTACCCACAAAAATCAAGAATTCTCTGCAACTACCCAGGTACTGAATCTACACAGAACTCGAAGCGCCCCTCCGTAATCTTTGATAGCGAATCTGCGCGTAGAGAAGAAGGAAGGCGTCAGTGAGGAACCCTGCTCTACGGAAAATCGTTTCACCGAAGACGCTCACGAATTTCCTCTTCTTGACTTTGACTTTGATCCAAACACTTTATCATCCTCGACCTCCGACTCATCTGCGCTGCTTTCTTATCTAAAACTACTAGCTCGTGTTGCCATCGAACCGCTCGTCAAGCATGGGCATCCAGCGATTCGGGACTCGAATGAAAGACTACGCGACTCGAACAACACTTGGAAGTACAGAGTCATCAAAAGACACATCCATCGCTATAATCGATGGACCAGGGCTGGCGCATTACATCTACTACAGGCTGTGCGACAGCGCGACAGGTGCCATAACGTATCGAAGCTGTGCGGATACGACGAAAGCGTGGCTAGACAGACTACAGGAATTCGGGTTCAAAATGTGAGTACCCGCCAGGGAATTGTACAGGCTACTGACTTGTTGTAGTGAGGCGATCCTGTTCGATGGCGCTCTGCCTTCTTCCAAGAAAGACGTGCGCATCGATCGCTTGCAGAGCTACACCAATCGACTCCAAGCTTTCAAACAGTCCTCAACGTCGAGCCTGTCGTCGTTGGATGGTCAGGCGAGAAAAAGTCTGCCGCCGCCACCATTCTTGGTTTTTGCGCTGGTGGAACAGCTTTTGCTGTCGAATTATGTCGACGTCACATACGTGGTTCCAGGAGAAGCTGATCCGTACTGCATAGCAGCCGCCCAAGCCTTACCATCCGAATCTGAATCCATCACCATTTTCTCCGATGACGCCGATCTTCTGGTGTACAAAGCGAGCAAGGCCTGTCAAGTCGTGCCGTTCCGAGAGCTTTCTGAGAGCGAAACGGCTTCGGGTGCAGCGCTTACTGGCGACGCGTACAACACGAGTGAGATCGTGAAGCGCTGCCAGACGGTAATGGAGGACCTGGTCAAGCCAGCGTATTATATGTCATTGGACCACCATTGCACGCTGGAGAAAGCTTTTCAGAAGACGGCAAGTTCTAATGCAGAGCTGCGAGAGGATTTCCGTGATTTCGCCAAGTCCTTCGAATCGACGCGTGAAGCAGACCAACTCGCCAGTATCCAAGCAGATGCAGTATTGAAGGCTGCCCTGGCCTCTCGCGACTCCAGAGTCTCAGAACTCGTGCATCAATTACAGTCGAATGAGCCTGGTGGCCTGAGGATGTATCTGCCTTTCCTCTCGGATGATCCTACCAGAGCAAGCGCGTGGAATGTCGGAGTTGATATCCGGTCAGTGGCGTATAGTGTCTTACTGCGAGCCCACAAGTCGGAGTCGAGCATTCAAGAGTACAAGCGAAGCGGATCGCGGATCGCTTCCAGTCTGATAGAGTCACTTGCGACAACGGACATGGCATTAATGGCCAACGAATTGGTGTCCGATGTGAAGAAAATCAAAGCTGTACCTGGCTTGGGAAGTCAGCTCAGGGATGCCAATGACTGGCGCTACCTCATCATGCAGCGTACGGTTGCGCATCTCCACAGGGAAGAATCGACACTGCCGAGCGTGGACGAGATGGCGCAGGTTGTCATGAATCGGGAGGCGCGCGAATGGCATACATTCCATCTCGCCGGCCAATACCAGGCAACTTACTACTCGCTCAGAATGCTGAAGCAATTGCTGGCGCAGGCTTCATCGCAGGCTGGTGCAGCTTCATGGGATGCCTCGTTCGCTGCGCTGCATGCTTGTCTAAGTGACCTACCGACTGTATCGAGGTTCTTCGATGACACGGCAGGTGATGACGGGCGGAAGGAGCGTGAACGATGGTGCGAGATGCTGCGCATTCTCCTCTCACGCTTCTCATTGTGGGAGCAAGAAGAATCGCAGGCTCAATCCAGACCCAAAAAGAGGGCCAAAAAGCAGAAGAAGAAGAGCAACACGGATGATGCCCGTCTGGCCCCGAATCCTTTTGCGCTGCTGGCTGATTATTGAGGAGGGCCGAGATGGTTGAGAAGGTATGAGGGTGTAGAGATGAACATGGCAAGACCGGAATGCTTCATTTCTCGCGTGCTGAGCAGAAACAGGGGTTGCAGCGTGTGGCGTGGCGTGCGGCGTGCGGCGTGCGTGCTGCAGCGCTGCTGCTGTCAGCGGGGAATGCACTCGACACGTGCAGCCAGCGCGCGGGTAGCTTGAGAAGGAGCAGGAGGCCGAGGACGACGACGAGGACGACGACGAGGACTTGGTATAGGTGTACAGAGGATGATGGATGGTGGCAGAAATGGAAGGCTCCGGCCTGAGGCTCACATGCTCGCTGCATGCGTGTGAAAGTGATGCGCATTTGTTTGTTGTTATTGACGAGACGAGAGCGTCGCGTTGGTGTTGTGTTGATTGCCCCGCGGCGAGCCGGTCACGTGCGTGCCGAGATGTGCAGGCGCGGTACTGGCTGTGCGGTCACTTTTACCACGTCTCTGCGCCTCCCACAGTCGCTGCCGCTGCGCGCTTTGTTTCCTACAGAGTCGTCCTCACTACTGCGACAGAACTGCTGCCAGCGCTCACCAAAGAAAGGTACGATATGCCCCAAGCCCGTGGCATCCACCCTTGCGCCCATCTTCCCACCGCGACACCACACACAACCCAACTCTGCGCGCGTTTTGCATCACTCGCTTCCTTTCTGCCTGTTGTTGGGACGCGCATTCCTGCATCGTCCTGTTGTCGCGACGGACCATCGACGTCGCATTGATGTTCTCATCGCGCTAGCAATCCACCCACTGCTAACACGGCGCCGCCAGACCCAACACACCTTCACCACCACACTTCACTCTTTCGAAAAAGCGTTTCAGTAAGTCATTCCCATCACCTTCGCCTCGCTTTTGCACCCGGCGCGTCGCGTCTGAGCTGGTGTTGTTGCGACCGGCAGCGACGCGCGCATCACAGCAAAGCCAACCCAAATACGCGCAACCATCGACACCACCTCGCCCACCCTCGCCAACGCCCATTTTCGGCGCGCGTCGACGTGCTCGCCTCCTTTCGCCACTCTGTGCCTTGCTGGACTGACATCCACACAGTAAACCGCAACCATGCCTAAGGAGAAGACCACCACCCGCGGCAGCAAGAAGGCCGCTGGTAAGGCCGACGGCGGAAAGAAGAAGAAGGGTTTGTCTACCATTGCCTCCGACATGTCGACTTGCCACTGACGCCATTCCCAGACCCAAACATGCCAAAGCGCGGTCTCTCCGCCTACATGTTTTTCGCCAACGAGCAACGCGACAAGGTCCGCGACGAGAACCCAGGCATCAAGTTCGGTGCGTCGATTGTTTTGATTCCATTTTGATTGAGAATACTAATGCTCTCGCAGGCGAGGTCGGAAAGATGCTCGGTGAGAAGTGGAAGGCACTTGGCGAGAAGCAAAAGGCCCCATACGAGGCCAAGGCTGCCGCCGATAAGAAGCGATACGAAGAGGAGAAGGCCGCCTACACTGCCGTACGTACTGACTGCTCTTCGCATGCCATTTCGATACTGACCATGTGTAGGGTGGCGATGATGACGAGGACGAGGAGTAGAAATTTTGCATTCCTCTCTCTTCTCAATCAATCGGCCTACCACACACAAACACAACACTCCTGCTATGCTCTCATGGCAGAACCGCTTCTACGGACCAAGCTGGATCTGGTTAACGGAATCAAGGATGCGGCAGCGATGGCGTAACGACAGCTGCGTTACTTTGCTCTCAAGGGGAAAATGGGAATGATACCACTAGCAAACGACATCTAATGAGCCCAGCTTCACGGCCCGCCGCTGCGCTGTGTACTATATAGCATGAGCTTCGTTTTGATTCGAGTGCGCATTTCATATGTTATGCATTGATTTACTCATCGCACTACCTTTCTGCTACACGCTCCAAGTATCATTGAATCATTATGTGCAGCTAACAGCGAATGGAATTGTTGCGTTGAATCTTGATGCCATTGTAATCGACGCTGTGCTCAGTATTATCGCTCGATTGATATATGTGCTCCACTTTTACTTCGCTATCGAAGCACCTCGTCCCTAGGCATGAGGCTGCGTTCATGTACGGTAGAGACAAGACAACGGCAAAAGCTAGAGATGGGATTCCTCGCACGTCGTTCAGCCTTACACTACACCCTTACACTACACCCTTACAACCCGTAAGCCTGCTTCCACCTCAACCTCCAACAGGACTCTTCTCCAACCACAGACGTTACTCCGCCATCGATTCCAGTCGCCAGAACAATTCACTCCCCATCCCACCCCTCAATCTCAAACTCAAACCTCAAATCCCTCTCATCCTCCCCCACCACCCTCCCCTCCTGATCAAACAACGTCCTCTCCACAAACGTCACCTTCCCCTTCGCATCCACCAAGATCACTGTCTGCTTCGAAGTCCCATACGCAGCAGTCTCACTGACCGATGTCGCTGGAACATACCCCGCCATCCGTTCCGCCAACTCCCCTTTCGCCGGAGAAATCAAAATGGAATCTCGCATATGTCGAACGTAAGCATTCCAATCTGAGGTTTTGGGGAGCGTGTCGAGGGAGAGGATTTGGAAGAGGGATTCTAGGAATTCGGGTTGGGATTGTTGGGTTTTTGTGGAGTTCTGGATGGTTTGGGAGAGGAGGGTTTCGCCGAGGACGATTTTCGGCCAGGTTTTGTCGCCGTAGTGGGAATTGCTCAGCCCGTGGGTTTCGTGGCGGGTTGTGGCGATTCGGGGGAGGGAGGTGGGGGAGGAGGTTTTGTTGGAGAGGATGGATAGGCCTCCTGAGGTAGATGTAGTAGGAGTATTCTGATGAATCTTTGGGGATCGAAGTTTCCCAAAAATGAGAGTAAAGCCTCCGACATCGTGGATTCCGGTTTCGTTTAATAATCTTCGAGCGTACTCTTCTTCTGTTTCTTGGCTTTCTGGAGGGATGCATAGATATGAATTCGTGATTGCTCCGCGACTTTTGTTCTTGTTGACTTCGACGCCTTCTTCGCGGAAATTTGTTAATACGGCTATTCGGCCTTGTTTCGTGATTCCGAGCCATGTTCCTCGTTCTGCTCTCTGCGTATCGCGGCCGCCGAGAACTTGTTGGTTTGGAGGATCCCACCAGTTTGCTCGCAGAGTTGGTCGGTTGATATACTCATCCCGGTTACTGATTAGGATGAAAGGGTAGTCCGGATGTGATGTCGACAGCACGGATATGCACATTTTGCAAAGAGGTATATAGAAGATCTGGTGCGTCTTGGGAAGGATATTGTCTTTTGTTTAAAGTCTTGTGTGACGTTTGACGGAAGAGGCGGTCAAGCAGTAGGTACGTGTGGATGTTCTGTGTATTCCTTCAACATGGTCGATTAAGGGATGAAGGCCGGGGTATCTCGAATGGTCGGTCGATGCTCAGACCCAGAAGTGCAACGAATCTTGACTTGAGGATTGAATTTTTGAGATCGTTGAAAGTCGTAGGAAGAATTCACGTAACAGCCCCTGTCCGTGCTGCGACTCGGCTCGGCTCGGCGCGGTCGGCATCAGTCAGCGTCAGTGAATGACCTGGTCCGTGGTTGTTTACTGGCGACGTAGACGGCAACATGAAGGACATAGGAGAAATTCGAAGAGGATGGAAGGCTGCTCTCATGTCGACTGAGAGCTGATCTGAAGTGGGCGACTTTGCGACGTCTAGACTGGCCGGCCGGATGTCAGCATGTCTCATCGAAGCCTTACATAAAGGCCGAGCGGGGCAGGTGATGCAGGAACAAGACCGACGCCTTGATCTTCTTGGACACGCTCAATCACGGCTTCAGCAGGGACACCTTTCGTTTTGATAGCCTTGCTGTTGCCTGCGATTCACCGCCGTCCGTCCAACAATTGACACCTGGTCAACTCGTCAACACCAGCGTGACCGCGATACGATACAATACCAGCGCGACAGCCCCGCGCCAGACGTGCTGTGCTGTGTTCGACCTGAATCCTCTCGCCCCAACGCTATCATCGTCACGCGATCGAGCACACGACACCCTGGTATTGCACCTACAATACCGACATAATGTTTGGCTTCATCGCGGACATCCTCACGTAGGTCATCAATACTCCAGCCAATTTTCAAGCTAATCATTCGCCAGCTCCATCTTCTCCGTCCTTCTGCCCGTCTTCTTCTCCTACAAAGCCCTCCGTACCTCCGACCCAGGCCTGCTCTCACCATGGCTCATGTACTGGACCACGCTGTCCATCTTCCTCGTCGTCGAAAACCAGTTCAACTTCATCCTGTCCTGGATCCCATTCTACAGCTGGATCCGACTCGGCGTGCATCTCTATCTCGTTGCGCCCGGCCAACAGGGCTGCGTTTTCATCTACAGAGAGCACATCCACCCATTCTTGGAAGAGCATGAGAGACAGATTGATCGCTTCATCAGCGACTCGCACGCGAAGGCCAAGGCCGCTGGCTTGGACGCAGCTAAACAGGTTGTTGAGTATGTGAAGGTTAACGTCATGGGCATGCAGCCTAGGCCGCCAACACCACCTCCCAGCCGGAACGTGAGCTACACCACGCAACTTTTCAATCGCTTTGCCATGCCATCCGCGCGTCAAGGATTGGCTGCAGCTGGCACAAGCGATATCTTTGGCCTAATTGGGAAAGCTCTGCAACAAACCACGTATGGAGATGCGCATACGACAGACACGCAAGCTCGCGATCTGGCTGCTTCTGGCACTCTCATTCCCCCAAATCTGGCAGGCGAAGAGCGTGAGGACTTTGTCAATACGCAACGCGAGAATCTAAGAACCCTTCTTCGGGCCTTTGACACCGAAGCTATGAACTCGGCAGATGCTGCGGCTTCCGGATCGCAGCCACGTTCTGCTACACCACGCCCGCCGACGAGCCGCAAATCGTACCTTCAGGCTTTGGAGACCGACTATATGCATCGATCGCGATCGGAATCCGAGTTCGAGGATCTAGGATACGAGCCCATGCCGGATCCGGATGCATACCGCCCTCGCCCCGATGAGGAGACACGCCGTCCACCTCCCTCTCGTGGGAGTACTGGTTGGTCGAATTGGATCTGGGGCAACTATGGCGAAAAGGACAGCGTGGTTGATCCTAAGAAGGATATGTAGAACAGAGCTCCCACAGATCTGTCACGTAGAGCTTTTTTGCACTGAATGATGAATTATGAGTGTACGATTGGGTTTTTGGCGTTGGATTTGGGAGATAGACACTGTCGCATGCTGGGAATGGAATCGCTGCGCGCTGCGGGGACAGGTACCGTGGCCAAACAGCTCAGGAAGTAGACGAGCACTGTGCTCAGGCTCCACAGCATACGGTACTTGCGACGAACATGAATGAGAATTCTTGTCGCATACCATCTATATCGAATTTTATTCCAATCGAGCGACATCACAAGGCTCTCGTTCTCAAAGCTACATTTATATCAGGACTTCCAGGCAAATTTGTTGCCGTTCGATCGGTTGGAAAATGTGGGAAATTTCCGGGGGTATGACTCCGTATCGGTCTGACGTCGAATAGAAGCGCAAAAGAAGGCCAAGAAGAAGGTTCTCTCAAACGCGGTACCGTAGCCGTAGCCGCTGTCCACGCGTCAACCGTTTTACATGTACGCGGGCGCTGATAAACCTGGGTAGGCGAAAGTCTCGATTTGTCTGATGATGATGATGGTGTACCTGCGTATCGGAAGAGAGGAAGGATCAGGACCAGGATGGGAAAGCAGGTACTGATGTATCGATAGTGGGTGGAGAAAGAAAGAGAGTGAGCTTTTTCTCTCAACTGTTGGGAATACTAGACATTCTAGACATTTCACTTGGCATGTGAGACTAGTGTTTATGTGGCTCGAAGAGCCACAAGTAAAGGCCGAAGAGCTATAAGTAAAGGCTAAGGCGACGAGCGGGGTAGGGTAAGCTAGATTACTATTAGAAACGCTTATAGTAAGATAGTCTAAAATATCTAAAGTAACTACTTCCGGAATACGCCTATAGTAATTACTATCTAGAATACCTATAGCGAGTACTATTCGAAATATCTATAGTATATAGTTCTTTCTAAGTAGGAACGCTTATAGTAAGTACTATCTATAAGGCGTATAGTAAGTCTAATCTAAAACGCCTAAAGTAATTTTAATCTAAAATACTTATAGGAATTCTAATTTAGAATACTTATAATACTAAGTACTATTTAGAACGCGTATAGTAACTCTAATCGGGAGCGCTAATAGTTAGTACTACTATCTATAACGCTTATACTAAGTTTTATTTAGAACACGCTATATAGTAATTCTAATCCGAAACGTATATACTAAGTCCTATCCGGAACGCGTATAGTAAGTACTATCCGGAACGCGTATAGTAAGTACTATCCGGAACGCGTATAGAAAGTCTAATTCGGAACGCTAATAGTAAGTACTATTAAGAACGCTTATAGTAAGTAGTACTATCTAAAATACCTACAGTAAGTACTATTTAGAATACTTATAGCAAGTTATATCCGAAACGGTTATAGTAAATACTACTAAAAACGTTTATAGCGAGTACCCTATATAACGCCTACTACGAGTACCCTATAAAATGCCTATAGCGAGTACTCTATAGAATATATATAGCGAGTAGTACTATCCGGAACGCGTAGGATAAGCCTTATTTTAAACGCTTAGTATAGTTAGTCCTATATAAACCGGAACGCGTATACTAAGTCTAATCCAAAACGCTTATAGAAAATCTTATCCGGAATACCCTATAAAATGCCTATAGCGAGTACTCTATAGAATATATATAGCGAGTAGTACTATCCGGAACGCGTAGGATAAGCCTTATTTTAAACGCTTAGTATAGTTAGTCCTATATAAACCGGAACGCGTATACTAAGTCTAATCCAAAACGCTTATAGAAAATCTTATCCGGAATATATAAAGTAAGTCTAAGTCTAATCTAAAACTAAATACTTATATTAACTACTACGAACTATTTATAGCGAGTACCCTGTATAGCGCCTACTACGAGTACCCTATAAAACGCCTATAGCGAGTACTCTATAGAATATCTATAGCGTACTACTATCTAAAATACCTATAGTAAGTACTATTTAGAGTACTTATAGCAAGTTATATCCGAAACGCTTATAGTAAATACTACTAAAAACGGTTATAGCGAGTAGTAGTATTCGAAACGCTTATAGCGGTTACTATCCGAGATATCTATAGCGAGTAGTACTATCCGGAACGCTTTAGAACGCGCTATATAGCAATTCTAATCCGAAATGCTTATACTAAGTCCTATCTAAAACGCGTATAGTAAGTACTATCCGGAACGCGTATAGTAAGTCTAATTTAGAACGCTAATAGTAAGTACTATTAAGAACGCTTAGGCTTATAGCAAGTAGTACTATCTAAAATACCTATAGTAAGTACTATTTAGAATACTTATAGCAAGTTGTATCCGAAACGCTTATAGTAGATACTACTAAAAATGCTTATAGCGAGTAGCAATATTTGAAACGCTTATAGCGGTAACTATCCGAGATATCTATAGCAAATAGTACTATCCAGAACGCTTATAGTAAGTCTAATCTAAAACGCTTATAGAAAGTCTTATCTTAAATATATAAAGCAAGTCTAAGTGTAATCCGGAACTGGATACTTATATTAAGTACTATCCGGATTCCGGAAGGCTTATAGCGAGTAGTACTGTCCGGAACGCTTATAGTAAATACTATCTAAAGTGCCTATAGTAAATAGTATTCGAACTGTTTATAGCAATTACCCTATAAAACGCCTATAGCGAGTACTCTATAGAATATCTATAGCGTACTGCTGTCTACAACGCCTATACTAAGTTTTATTTAGAACGCGCTATATAGTAATTCTAATCTAAAACGCTTATAGAAACTCTTATCCGGAATATATAAAGTAAGTCTAAGTCTAATCCGAAACTAAATGCTTTTATTAAGCACTATCCGGAAGGCTTATAGCGAGTAGTACTATCCGGAACGCTTATAGTAAATACTATCTAAAACGCCTATAGTTAAATAGTATTCGCACTATTTATAGCAAGTACCTTATATAACGCCTCCTACGAGTACCCTATTAAACGCCTATAGCGAGTACCCTATAGAATATCTATAGCGAGTAGTACTATCCGGAACGCTTATAGTAAATACTATCGAAAACGCCTATATTCGAACTACCTATAGCGAGTAACCTATATAACCTCTACTACGAGTATCTTATAAAACGCCTATAGTAAGCACTCTATAGAATATCTATAGCGAGTAGTACTATCCGGAACGTATAGGACCCTATTATAATACTAAGAATAAGTCTAATTTAGAACGCTTATAATACTAAGTACTATTCGGAACGTATATAGTAAGTCTAATCCGGAGCGCTAATAGTTAGTACTACTATCTATAACGCTTATACTAAGTTTTATTTAAAACGCGCTATATAGTAATTCTAATCTAAACGCTTATACTAAGTCTTATCCGGAACGCGTATAGTAAGTCTAACTCGGAACGCTAATAGTAAGTACTATTAAGAACGCTTATAGTAAGTAGTACTATCTAAAATACCTATAATAAGTACTATTTAGAACACTTATAGTAAGCTATATCCGATACGCTTAGCCTTTCGAGTATACCGCCTCGAGTAAATATCCCCGGATTAGGCGTAAACGACTATATAGCCTCGAGTAAATACTACCGGATCGGGCGTAAAAGATATATATAGTATCGGAAATACTACTATTATAGCGGCGAAGCCTTACGATACATACTACGACTACTATGTCCTCCGAACCGGTCGCGAACTAAGGAGTTTTAACGTTCCTCGGATATAGCTAATTAGAGGCGGCTTTTAGATCGTTTTAAGCCGTACTAAGCCTAAAGTAGACCTACGGTTTGTTAAGTTATTATTATATTAGAGATAGCGTAACCGCGTAATACCGCCGCAAGCAAATACCGCCGGATTAGGCCTAAAAGTTAGATATACCCTTCCGGAATACTACTATCGCGGCGGCAACGCGTTATAATATAGACTCCGCGCAATACCGCCGCGAGCAAACACTGCCGGATAAGGTGTATACGACGAAGACGCCCTTTTCGAGACTACTATCGAAGTTATAGCTCGTCGCGGTATATACTGCGACGTCTACGCCCTTCCGGATCGTAGAGGTATTAACGTTCCTCGCGTCTACTAATTAGAGGCCGCGGTTGGCCCATTTTAAGCCGCACTAAGCCTAAAGGGGCCCCAACTTTTGTTAAGTTATTATATTTTAGATAATACTAAAAAGTAATATTAATCCGGAACGCGTTATAGATATTAGAAAGCACTATTTAGAAACGCTTATAGCGAGCACTATTAGGAACGCTTATAGCAAGATAGTCTCAAATATCTATAGTAACTACTTCCGGAATATGCCTATAGTAATTACTATCCGGAATACCTATAGCGAGTACTATTCGAAATATCTATAGTAAGTAGTTCTTTCCGAGTTAGAACGCTTATAGTAAGTACTACCTATAAGGCGTATAGTAAGTACTACCTATAAGGCGGATACTAAGTCTAATCTAAAACGCCTATAGTAATTTTAATCTAAAACACTTATAGGGATTCTTATTTAGAACGCTTATAATACTAAGTACTATTCGGAACGCGTATAGTAAGTCTAATCCGGAGCGCTAATAGTTAGTACTACTATCTATAACGCCTATACTAAGTTTTATTTAGAAGGCGCTATATAGTAATTCTAATCCGAAACGCTTATACTAAGTCTTATCCGGAACGCGTATAGTAAGTACTATCCGGAACGCGTATAGTAAGTACTATCCGGAACGCGTATAGTAGGTCTAATTCGGAACGGTAATAGTAAGTACTATTACGAACGCTTATAGTAAGTAGTACTTTCTAAAATACCTATAGTAAGTACTATTTAGAATACTTATAGCAAGTTATATCCGAAACGCTTATAGTAAATACTACTAAAAACGCCTATAGCGAGTAGTAATATTCGAAACGCCTATAGCGGTAACTATCTAAGATATCTATAGCGAGTAGTACTATCCGGAACGCGTAGAACAAGCCTTATTTTAAACGCTTAGTATAGTTAGTTCTATATAAACCGGAACGCGTATAGCAAGTCTAATCCGAAACGCTTATCGGTATTCGAACTGCTTATAGCGAGCGCTAAGTACCCTATATAACGCCTACTACGAGTACCTTATAAAACGCCTATAGCGAGTACTCTATAGAATACCTATAGCGAGTAGTACTATCCGGAACGCGTAGGATAAGCCTTATTTTAAACGCTTAGTATAGTTAGTCCTATATAGGCCGGAACGCGTATAGCAAGTCTAATTTAAAACGCTTATAGAAAGTCTTATCCGGAATATATATAGTAAGTCTAAGTGTAATCCGAAACTAAATACTTATATTAGGTACTACCCGGAAGGCCTAAAGCGAGTAGTACTATCCGGAACGCTTATAGCAAATACTATCTAAAACGCCTATAGCTAAATAGTATTCGAACTATTTATAGCAAGTACCCTATATAACGCCTACTACGAGTGCCCTAAAAAACGCCTATAGCGAGCCGGAATGCGCTAATAGTAATTGCTATCCGGAATACCTATAGCGAGTACTATTCGAAATATCTATAGTAAGTAGTTCTTTCCGAGTCGGAACACTTATAGCAAGTACTGCCTACAAGGCGTATAGTAAGTCTAATTCAAAACGCTTATAGCAACTTTAATCGAAAACAACTGTAGGAATTCTAATTTGGAACGCTTATAATACTAAGTACTATTCGGAACGCGTATAGTAAGTCTAATCCGGAGCGCTAACAGTTAGTACTACTATCTATAACGCCTATACTAAGTTTTATTTAGAACGCGCTATATAGTAACTCTAATACGGATCGCCTATACTAAGTCTTATCCGAAACGCGTATAGTAAGTACTATCCGAAACGCGTATAGTAAGTCTAATATAGAACGCTAATAGTAAGTACTACTAAGAACGCCTATAGCAAGTAGTACTTTCTAAAATACCTGTAGTAAGTACTATTTAGAATACTTATAGCAAGTTATATCTGAAACGCCTATAGTAAATGCTACTAAAAACGCTTATAGCGAGTAGTATTATTCGAAACGCTTATAGCGGTAACTATCCGAGATATCTATAGCGAGTAGCACTATCCGGAACGCCTGTAGCAAATACTATCTAAAACGCCTATAGGCTATAGTAAATAGCATTAGAACTACTTTTAGCGGACACCCTGTATAACGCCTGCTACGAGTACCTTATAAAACGCCTATAGCGAGCACTCTGTAGAACACCTGTAGCGAGTAGTGCTGTACGGAACGCGTAGGAGTCGGTAGGACAAGCCTTATTTTAAACGCTTAGTATAGTTAGTCCTATATAAACCGGAACGCGTATACTAAGTCTAATCTAAAACGCTTATAGAAAGTCTTATCCGGAATGTATAAATTAAGTCTAAGTCTAATCCGAAACTAAATACTTATATTAAGCACTATCCGGAAGGCCTATAGGCTAAGACTATAGCGAGCAGCACTATCCGGAACGCTTATAGTAAGTACTATCTAAAACGCCTATAGTTAAACAGCATTCGAACTATCTATAGCGAGTACCCTATATAACGCCTATAGCGAGTACTCTATAGAATATCTATAGCGAGTAGTACTATCCGGAACGCGTAGGATAAGCTAACTATTATCTATAACGCCTATAACAGGTCTAATTCAGAACGCTTATAATACTAAGTACTATTTAGAACGCGTATAGTAAGTCTAATAACTCTAATCCGGAGCGCTAACAGTTAGTACTACTGTCTATAACGCCTATACTAAGTTTCATTTAGAACGCACTATATAGCAATTCTAATCTAAAACGCTTATACTAAGTCTTATCCGGAACGCGTATAGTAAGTCTAATTCAGAACGCAAATAGCAAGTACTATTAAGAACGCTTATAGCAAGTAGTACTGTCTAAAATACCTATAGTAAGTGCTATTTAGAATACTTATAGCAAGTCTAATCCGAAACGCTTATAGTAAATACTACTAAAAACGCTTATAGCGAGTAGTAATATTCGAAACGCTTATAGCGGTAACTGTCCGAGATAGCTATAGCGAGTAGTCCTATCCGAAACGCTTATAGCAAATACTATCTAAAACGCCTATAGTTAAATAGGATTCGAACTATTTATAGCGAGTACCTTATCTAACGCCTACTATAAGTACCCTATAAAACGCCTATAGCGAGTAGTACTATCCGGAACGCGTAGGATAAGCCTTTCGAGCCTACCGCTCCGAGCAAATACCGCCGGATTAGGCGCGAACGATACCGCCTCGAGCAAAAAACGCCGCCGGATTAGGCGTAAACGACGGAGACGGCCTCGGAAACACTGCTATCGCGGCGCCGGAGCGTTATAGTCGATCCTGCGACTCCTACGCCTTCCGGACCGCGCGAGAATCGAGAAATTTTGAAGTTCCTCGCCGCCGACTAATTAGAGTCGGCTTTTCGGTCGTTTTGAGCCGCACTAAGCCTAAAGGGGCCCCAACTTTTGTTGAGTTGTTATATTATTGACTAGTGTTTATGTAGCTCGAAGAGCTACAAGTAAAGGCCGAAGAGCTATAAGTAAAGGCTAAGGCGACGAGCGGGGTAGGGTAAGCTAGATTACTATTAGAAACGCTTATAGTAAGATAGTCTAAAATATCTAAAGTAACTACTTCCGGAATACGCCTATAGTAATTACTATCCGGAATACCTATAGCGAGTACTATTCGAAATATCTATAGTATATAGTTCTTTCTAAGTAGGAACGCTTATAGTAAGTACTATCTATAAGGCGTATAGTAAGTCTAATCTAAAACGCCTAAAGTAATTTTAATCTAAAATACTTATAGGAATTCTAATTTAGAATACTTATAATACTAAGTACTATTTAGAACGCGTATAGTAACTCTAATCGGGAGCGCTAATAGTTAGTACTACTATCTATAACGCTTATACTAAGTTTTATTTAGAACACGCTATATAGTAATTCTAATCCGAAACGTATATACTAAGTCCTATCCGGAACGCGTATAGTAAGTACTATCCGGAACGCGTATAGTAAGTACTATCCGGAACGCGTATAGAAAGTCTAATTCGGAACGCTAATAGTAAGTACTATTAAGAACGCTTATAGTAAGTAGTACTATCTAAAATACCTACAGTAAGTACTATTTAGAATACTTATAGCAAGTTATATCCGAAACGGTTATAGTAAATACTACTAAAAACGTTTATAGCGAGTACCCTATATAACGCCTACTACGAGTACCCTATAAAATGCCTATAGCGAGTACTCTATAGAATATATATAGCGAGTAGTACTATCCGGAACGCGTAGGATAAGCCTTATTTTAAACGCTTAGTATAGTTAGTCCTATATAAACCGGAACGCGTATACTAAGTCTAATCCAAAACGCTTATAGAAAATCTTATCCGGAATATATAAAGTAAGTCTAAGTCTAATCTAAAACTAAATACTTATATTAACTACTACGAACTATTTATAGCGAGTACCCTGTATAGCGCCTACTACGAGTACCCTATAAAACGCCTATAGCGAGTACTCTATAGAATATCTATAGCGTACTACTATCTAAAATACCTATAGTAAGTACTATTTAGAGTACTTATAGCAAGTTATATCCGAAACGCTTATAGTAAATACTACTAAAAACGGTTATAGCGAGTAGTAGTATTCGAAACGCTTATAGCGGTTACTATCCGAGATATCTATAGCGAGTAGTACTATCCGGAACGCTTTAGAACGCGCTATATAGCAATTCTAATCCGAAATGCTTATACTAAGTCCTATCTAAAACGCGTATAGTAAGTACTATCCGGAACGCGTATAGTAAGTCTAATTTAGAACGCTAATAGTAAGTACTATTAAGAACGCTTAGGCTTATAGCAAGTAGTACTATCTAAAATACCTATAGTAAGTACTATTTAGAATACTTATAGCAAGTTGTATCCGAAACGCTTATAGTAGATACTACTAAAAATGCTTATAGCGAGTAGCAATATTTGAAACGCTTATAGCGGTAACTATCCGAGATATCTATAGCAAATAGTACTATCCAGAACGCTTATAGTAAGTCTAATCTAAAACGCTTATAGAAAGTCTTATCTTAAATATATAAAGCAAGTCTAAGTGTAATCCGGAACTGGATACTTATATTAAGTACTATCCGGATTCCGGAAGGCTTATAGCGAGTAGTACTGTCCGGAACGCTTATAGTAAATACTATCTAAAGTGCCTATAGTAAATAGTATTCGAACTGTTTATAGCAATTACCCTATAAAACGCCTATAGCGAGTACTCTATAGAATATCTATAGCGTACTGCTGTCTACAACGCCTATACTAAGTTTTATTTAGAACGCGCTATATAGTAATTCTAATCTAAAACGCTTATAGAAACTCTTATCCGGAATATATAAAGTAAGTCTAAGTCTAATCCGAAACTAAATGCTTTTATTAAGCACTATCCGGAAGGCTTATAGCGAGTAGTACTATCCGGAACGCTTATAGTAAATACTATCTAAAACGCCTATAGTTAAATAGTATTCGCACTATTTATAGCAAGTACCTTATATAACGCCTCCTACGAGTACCCTATTAAACGCCTATAGCGAGTACCCTATAGAATATCTATAGCGAGTAGTACTATCCGGAACGCTTATAGTAAATACTATCGAAAACGCCTATATTCGAACTACCTATAGCGAGTAACCTATATAACCTCTACTACGAGTATCTTATAAAACGCCTATAGTAAGCACTCTATAGAATATCTATAGCGAGTAGTACTATCCGGAACGTATAGGACCCTATAAAACGCCTATAGCGTACTACTATTTATAGCCTATACTAATTTTTATTTAGAACGCGCTATATAGTAATTCTAATCCGAAACGCTTATACTAAGTCTTATCCGAAACGCGTATAGTAAGTCTAATTCGGAACGCTAATAGTAAGTACTATTAAGAACGCTTATAGCAAGTATGTACTAAGTCTTATCCGGAACGCGTATAGTAAGTCTAACTCGGAACGCTAATAGTAAGTACTATTAAGAACGCTTATAGCAAGTAGTACTATCTAAAATACTAATAGTAAGCACTATTTAGAATACTTACAGCAAGTTATATCCGAAACGCTTATAGTAAATAGTATACCGCCTCGAGTAAATATCCCCGGATTAGGCGTAAACGACTATATAGCCTCGAGTAAATACTACCGGATCGGGCGTAAAAGATATATATAGTATCGGAAATACTACTATTATAGCGGCGAAGCCTTACGATACATACTACGACTACTATGTCCTCCGAACCGGTCGCGAACTAAGGAGTTTTAACGTTCCTCGGATATAGCTAATTAGAGGCGGCTTTTAGATCGTTTTAAGCCGTACTAAGCCTAAAGTAGACCTACGGTTTGTTAAGTTATTATTATATTAGAGATAGCGTAACCGCGTAATACCGCCGCAAGCAAATACCGCCGGATTAGGCCTAAAAGTTAGATATACCCTTCCGGAATACTACTATCGCGGCGGCAACGCGTTATAATATAGACTCCGCGCAATACCGCCGCGAGCAAACACTGCCGGATAAGGTATATACGACGAAGACGCCCTTTTCGAGACTACTATCGAAGTTATAGCTCGTCGCGGTATATACTGCGACGTCTACGCCCTTCCGGATCGTAGAGGTATTAACGTTCCTCGCGTCTACTAATTAGAGGCCGCGGTTGGCCCATTTTAAGCCGCACTAAGCCTAAAGGGGCCCCAACTTTTGTTAAGTTATTATATTTTAGATAATACTAAAAAGTAATATTAATCCGGAACGCGTTATAGATATTAGAAAGCACTATTTAGAAACGCTTATAGCGAGCACTATTAGGAACGCTTATAGCAAGATAGTCTTAAATATCTATAGTAACTACTTCCGGAATATGCCTATAGTAATTACTATCCGGAATACCTATAGCGAGTACTATTCGAAATATCTATAGTAAGTAGTTCTTTCCGAGTTAGAACGCTTATAGTAAGTACTACCTATAAGGCGTATAGTAAGTACTACCTATAAGGCGGATACTAAGTCTAATCTAAAACGCCTATAGTAATTTTAATCTAAAACACTTATAGGGATTCTTATTTAGAACGCTTATAATACTAAGTACTATTCGGAACGCGTATAGTAAGTCTAATCCGGAGCGCTAATAGTTAGTACTACTATCTATAACGCCTATACTAAGTTTTATTTAGAAGGCGCTATATAGTAATTCTAATCCGAAACGCTTATACTAAGTCTTATCCGGAACGCGTATAGTAAGTACTATCCGGAACGCGTATAGTAAGTACTATCCGGAACGCGTATAGTAGGTCTAATTCGGAACGGTAATAGTAAGTACTATTACGAACGCTTATAGTAAGTAGTACTTTCTAAAATACCTATAGTAAGTACTATTTAGAATACTTATAGCAAGTTATATCCGAAACGCTTATAGTAAATACTACTAAAAACGCCTATAGCGAGTAGTAATATTCGAAACGCCTATAGCGGTAACTATCTAAGATATCTATAGCGAGTAGTACTATCCGGAACGCGTAGAACAAGCCTTATTTTAAACGCTTAGTATAGTTAGTTCTATATAAACCGGAACGCGTATAGCAAGTCTAATCCGAAACGCTTATCGGTATTCGAACTGCTTATAGCGAGCGCTAAGTACCCTATATAACGCCTACTACGAGTACCTTATAAAACGCCTATAGCGAGTACTCTATAGAATACCTATAGCGAGTAGTACTATCCGGAACGCGTAGGATAAGCCTTATTTTAAACGCTTAGTATAGTTAGTCCTATATAGGCCGGAACGCGTATAGCAAGTCTAATTTAAAACGCTTATAGAAAGTCTTATCCGGAATATATATAGTAAGTCTAAGTGTAATCCGAAACTAAATACTTATATTAGGTACTACCCGGAAGGCCTAAAGCGAGTAGTACTATCCGGAACGCTTATAGCAAATACTATCTAAAACGCCTATAGCTAAATAGTATTCGAACTATTTATAGCAAGTACCCTATATAACGCCTACTACGAGTGCCCTAAAAAACGCCTATAGCGAGCCGGAATGCGCCAATAGTAATTGCTATCCGGAATACCTATAGCGAGTACTATTCGAAATATCTATAGTAAGTAGTTCTTTCCGAGTCGGAACACTTATAGCAAGTACTGCCTACAAGGCGTATAGTAAGTCTAATTCAAAACGCTTATAGCAACTTTAATCGAAAACAACTATAGGAATTCTAATTTGGAACGCTTATAATACTAAGTACTATTCGGAACGCGTATAGTAAGTCTAATCCGGAGCGCTAACAGTTAGTACTACTATCTATAACGCCTATACTAAGTTTTATTTAGAACGCGCTATATAGTAACTCTAATACGGATCGCCTATACTAAGTCTTATCCGAAACGCGTATAGTAAGTACTATCCGAAACGCGTATAGTAAGTCTAATATAGAACGCTAATAGTAAGTACTACTAAGAACGCCTATAGCAAGTAGTACTTTCTAAAATACCTGTAGTAAGTACTATTTAGAATACTTATAGCAAGTTATATCTGAAACGCCTATAGTAAATGCTACTAAAAACGCTTATAGCGAGTAGTATTATTCGAAACGCTTATAGCGGTAACTATCCGAGATATCTATAGCAAGTAGCACTATCCGGAACGCCTGTAGCAAATACTATCTAAAACGCCTATAGGCTATAGTAAATAGCATTAGAACTACTTTTAGCGGACACCCTGTGTAACGCCTGCTACGAGTACCTTATAAAACGCCTATAGCGAGCACTCTGTAGAACACCTGTAGCGAGTAGTGCTATACGGAACGCGTAGGAGTCGGTAGGACAAGCCTTATTTTAAACGCTTAGTATAGTTAGTCCTATATAAACCGGAACGCGTATACTAAGTCTAATCTAAAACGCTTATAGAAAGTCTTATCCGGAATATATAAATTAAGTCTAAGTCTAATCCGAAACTAAATACTTATATTAAGCACTATCCGGAAGGCCTATAGGCTAAGACTATAGCGAGCAGCACTATCCGGAACGCTTATAGTAAGTACTATCTAAAACGCCTATAGTTAAACAGCATTCGAACTATCTATAGCGAGTACCCTATATAACGCCTATAGCGAGTACTCTATAGAATATCTATAGCGAGTAGTACTATCCGGAACGCGTAGGATAAGCTAACTATTATCTATAACGCCTATAACAGGTCTAATTCAGAACGCTTATAATACTAAGTACTATTTAGAACGCGTATAGTAAGTCTAATAACTCTAATCCGGAGCGCTAATAGTTAGTACTACTGTCTATAACGCCTATACTAAGTTTCATTTAGAACGCACTATATAGCAATTCTAATCTAAAACGCTTATACTAAGTCTTATCCGGAACGCGTATAGTAAGTCTAATTCAGAACGCAAATAGCAAGTACTATTAAGAACGCTTATAGCAAGTAGTACTATCTAAAATACCTATAGTAAGTGCTATTTAGAATACTTATAGCAAGTCTAATCCGAAACGCTTATAGTAAATACTACTAAAAACGCTTATAGCGAGTAGTAATATTCGAAACGCTTATAGCGGTAACTATCCGAGATAGCTATAGCGAGTAGTCCTATCCGAAACGCTTATAGCAAATACTATCTAAAACGCCTATAGTTAAATAGGATTCGAACTATTTATAGCGAGTACCTTATCTAACGCCTACTATAAGTACCCTATAAAACGCCTATAGCGAGTAGTACTATCCGGAACGCGTAGGATAAGCCTTTCGAGCCTACCGCTCCGAGTAAATACCGCCGGATTAGGCGCGAACGATACCGCCTCGAGTAAAAAACGCCGCCGGATTAGGCGTAAACGACGGAGACGGCCTCGGAAACACTACTATCGCGGCGCCGGAGCGTTATAGTCGATCCTGCGACTCCTACGCCTTCCGGACCGCGCGAGAATCGAGAAATTTTAAAGTTCCTCGCCGCCGACCAATTAGAGTCGGCTTTTCGGTCGTTTTGAGCCGCACTAAGCCTAAAGGGGCCCCAACTTTTGTTGAGTTGTTATATTATTGACGCATCAGTCATCAGGGTTCTCCACGCGACACACCTGTCTGAGCGAGACTTGGAACCATCGTATTCTTGCGCATCTATTCTCTTTTTCCATCTTCTTCTGGTATTATCGGGCAACAGTACAGTCGTTACGAGAAGCATTGAGACCGCGGCATTTGCATTTTTCTGTTTTCGCATTTGCATTGCGTGGCGAGGCGAGATTCGACAGAACAAAGAAACGACTTCCACTTCTGCTTCCACCATTTGGCCAACTTCTCTCGCGACCGCCATAGAACGCTGATTGCACACTTGGATCGGCATCATGGCGATCCCAATGGCGCCGCGCGATACAACTGATGCCTTTCTGGACTCCCTCAAGGATCCTTTTGCTTCGGCGGTAAGCTTTGCAACCACCTGGGGCAAGGCATTATCATCATACGCAGTTCTAGGCTAACGCCCATGTTTCATAGCTTGCCGGGGAGTCCACTCTCGCTGGTCTCATTACTTCTATGGTGCTTGCCGGAGCGCTGGCATTGCTTTTCTGTTTCCTACGACCCTACAATAACGTTGTTTATGCCACACGAGCGAAGTACGCCGATTCGAAACATGCGCCGCCGCCCGTTAACAAGGGCCTTTTCGGATGGGTGCCTCCGATCATGAAGACGAGGGAGCAGGACCTCGTGGAAAGAGTTGGCTTGGACGCGGCGGTCTTCATGCGGGTTTGCCGTATGTTGAGGAATATTTTCTCCATTATGGCCGTGTTGGGTTGCGGAATTATCATTCCCGTCAACTTGAAATATTCCGCCCAGCAGGAGTATGCCAACGGCGTTGGCTTCTTCTACCGCATGATGCCGCAGTACATGTACGGCAGTCCGGGCTTCTGGGCATATGTGGTTGTGGCATGGCTGTTCGATATTGTCATCTGCTACTTTTTGTGGAGAAACTATCGTGCAGTCGCCAAGCTGCGCAGGCAATACTTCGACAGCGAGGAGTACCAGCGCAGTCTGTCTTCGAGGACTTTGCTGCTTACTGACATCCCTAAAGAGCTTCGATCAGACGAGGGAATAGCAAGGATAACAGATGAGGTGAAAGCAACACACGATATGCCCAAGACTTCAATTGCTCGCAACGTCAAAGACCTGCCAGATCTGGTTGAGGACCACGAGGCATGTGTTCGCGAGCTGGAAGAGCATCTTGCAAAATATCTCAAGAATCCTGATCGCTTGCCAGCGACTAGGCCCACCTGCAAGCCGCACAAGAAGGACAAGTCATACGGCAGCTACTCGAAAGGCCAGAAGGTGGACGCCATCGAATACCTGACTTCACGCATCAAGGAGCTGGAGCTGGAAATAAAGGAAGTACGGCAATCAGTTGACAAGCGCAATGCCATGTCTTTCGGATTTGCGTCTTACGAATCTATACCCACTGCACACAGTGTTGCATATGCGGCGCGCGACAAGAAGCCACAAGGCGCATTCATCCATCTCGCTCCGAAGCCAAATGCGCTCATATGGAAGAACCTCAACATGCTACGCAAGCAGAGAAAGCGAGCAGATTTCGTCAACGGCATGTGGATTACGGTCTTGACGCTTCTCTGGGTCGTTCCAAACATCATGATCGCCGTCTTCCTCTCGAATCTGAACAATATCGGAAAGCTTTGGCCTGCATTCCAGCAAAATCTGCAGCGGAACCGCACTTGGTGGGCCATCGTTCAGGGTGTTGCAGCGCCAGCCATCACTATGGCATTCTACTTCTACCTGCCAGCCATCTTCCGCAAACTCTGTATCAAGGCTGGAGACATCACGAAGAGCAGCAGAGAACGACACGTGTTTCGCAATCTCTACAGCTTCTTCATGTTCAACAACCTGATTGTCTTTTCGCTGTTCTCCTCCGTCTGGTCTTGGGTAGCTGATCTTGTTGGAGGCAAGCCCTTTGCCGACAGCCAACCATTTCATCAGGTCATGGTCGGTCTCTGTACCGTTTCTCCATACTGGATCTGCTGGATGTTGCAGCGAAATCTGGGCGCTGCGGTCGATCTGAGCCAACTTTGGACTCTGATCTGGGGCTCATTCTCGCGTAGATTTCTCTCACCGACACCACGAAGACTTATTGAGCTCTCGGCACCTCAAGGATTCGATTATGCTGGATATTACAACTACTTCGTATTCTACTCTACCGTGGCAGTCACATTCGCTACCATTCAGCCTCTGGTGCTGCCTGTTACCGCATTTTACTTCTGGATGGATTCATTTATGAAGAAGTACCTCATCATGTACGTCTTCATCACGAAATACGAATCTGGAGGCATGTTTTGGCGCTCAGTATACAACCGGATCTTATTTTTGACATTTTTCGGCAACTTGATTGTCGCCTTGATCATTGCCGCGCAGGCCAACACTTTCTCCGAAGTAAACTGGTCAATGCTTGGATGTCTGGCACCACTTCCGTTCCTCATCATTGGATTCAAAGTGTACTGTAAGAAGACTTTCGACGATTACATTCACTACTATCAAACTGGCAAGGCGATGCGCGATTCAGAGTATCATGCTGGAGTCACGGATGGCAAGAAGCGCAAGGGCGACAAGATCGCTATTCGATTTGGCCACCCGGTGCTGTACAAGCCCTTGATCACGCCGATGGTGTCGTCAAAGTCACAGCACCTGCTTAAGCAGATCTATACCGGCCGCACGTCACAGGAGGCGGATACCGCCACCATTGCAGGCTACAAGGATGTCTACATGGACAGTATGGATCACGCGAACCCTGGCAAAACGAAAGTTTCAGCTTCTGGCCCAATGGGCTGGGAGGTGGTCAACGAGAACCAGATGGACTTCGAGCACTACAAGAACCGACCCGAGTTCCGCGACGAAGCAGGCGGAGAAGGTGAGCTATACGGTCGCGACGGCGACATCATTCGACCTGGTACACCAAGCAGCGTCATGACCGGATTCACAAGAACAGGCACCTGGGAATCAGACATGAACGGTGTCGGCCACGGTCACAGCCGCAGCATATCTCAACCTTGGGTCCAAAGCCGCAGCCGCAGCCAATCCCGAGATCCCAACTCTCGGGATTCCTCTACAACACGAGTCGCCGAAGGTGGCTACACGATGCCTGCAGGCTACCACCAAACCCCAGCCATGCGAGGCGAATCACCCATGGGAATGGGACGATCAAACATGAGTCGCCCAGAATCCCGGGAGCGCCTTTTCGGCAGCGCCGCTGGTATGGGCCAAAGCAGTCCTGGAGAACATCCTCTGATGCAGACTGGTACGCCAGGTGGATACGGTCCGGTCAGATATGGAAATGTTCCCGGTGATACACCTGGTTACCATTCTGGGGATGAGGATACGAGTTATGATTATTTCCGGCGTGGAAGGACGCAGGGAAGATGATAGATTTTTTTTTTCTCGAAAAGCTTTTGCGTGTGTGTGTACAGAATGAGAATGGAAATCTGGGGCGCCAGTTGCGAGGATGTAATAATTCAAGAGAACTTCGGAATGCGAAGGGCGCGGCGGCATGTGATGATTCAAAGTTTGAGGGTTCTTGCATTGTTTTACCTCACGACTACAGCTAGAGATGTGATATGACCACTGCCTTTGCGAGAGCAAGGAATTAAAAAATTTGAAGAATCGTTCTGTCTTTCCGTCTCTTCTCTGGAACATGGGTGAACATTGATGTCGTGCTTATGAATAGGGATGGTGAAGGGATGTCGTTGTTGCTGTTCTTCTTTCTCAAAGGCAAGGGCTTTTTTCTTCGCATCGCCCGAAGAATGATCTTTATGATATGTGGTCGATCATATGGAAATTGAAGCAAAGCACTACCAGATGACGATGAGACCAAGTAAATTTTGTGGCTAATCTTTGAACAACTCTCGCCTCTTCTCCCCCTCAACAACATCCCTCTGCAAAACCTCCACCTCCTTCTCCTTATCATCCACACCCACACTCCCCCGTCTCCTAACCGCATCCTCCACATCCCCCTCCCCGATCTCCCTCGGCAGCGTCCCCAACGCCCTCTCCCCAAACAAAATATCGATCTCCTCCAAACTCAACCCATTCGTCTCCTGAAAGAAAACCCAAATCACCGGGATCGTAACCACAAGATTGAACGCCACGAACAAGAAATAAAACTTCCAACCAATACTCCCCAACGCTACGGGACTGACTTGAGTGATGAAGGTCGACATCAACCAATTCCCAATCCCTGTCGCGAAAGCATTCCCTCGACCGCGGATTTGCATGGGCATGATTTCGGACATGTAGACCCAGGAGATGGGGCCGAAGGAGAGGGAGAAGATGATGGAGACGAGGAAGAGGAAGAAGACGCCGGCGATGCTGAGGGCTTGGCGGTCTCCGTTCGGGTTTTGGGAATTTAAGGCTGCTTCGCAAATTAGAGCGATTGTGATCCCTATGGCTCCGAAAATTAAAGGTCGTTTTCGCCCGACGCGGTCGAGGATGAAGAAGATGAAAATCGCGTTTGCGATGGGTCCCACGCAGTTGTAGATTCCTGCTACGAGGATTGCGCGGCCGCCGGTTATGCCCAGGGCTTCGTACATTATGGTTTGGTAGTAGCCGATTGCGTTGATTCCTGAGAATTGGGTGAAGACTTGGACGAGGGTGCCGTGTAAGAGGCGGGTGCGCCATTGGGGGACTTGGAACATGATGCGCCAGCCGGATGCTGTGATGGCTTTTTCGGCGGAAATGGTGGCGCGGATTTCGTTGTATTCGTAGTGTAGCCATGCTTCGTTTGTGCCGTCGAAGTGGAGTTTGTGGAGGATCGCGAGGCCTTCTTCGTCGCGGTCGTTTTCGATGAGCCCTGAGTTTCATTAGTCTTGAAGTTGAGTGTTTGTTGGGGACTGAGCTCACATCTCGGACTTTCTGGCAACCAGAAGAAACCGACGAGAAGAAGCAAAGCAGGGGCGATTTGGAACGCAAGCGGGAAGCGCCACTGGAAACTGCTGCTGTCTGGAGCGTGATGGCAGCCATAGCCGATCCATGTCGACACGATGAAGCCCACTCCAATCATCTGCTGTGTGAGGCCAACAATAAGTCCTCGCATCTTAGGATGTGCGCATTCAGCTTGATAGACAGGTATCGACATGGACATCAGACCGACTGCCCATCCTGCAATAATACGACCGACAAGGATCATGCCGAGATTGACAGCAGCACATTGGAGAATGGCACCGACTGCTGCAATCAGAGCTCCGATCTGAACGGTTCTTCGTCTGCCGAATCGGTCCATGGTCAAGCCTCCCATGAGAGAGCCGAACACGGCACCACCAGAGAATGTCGAATTGATGGCGCCAATTGTCGGGCTTGTCTTGACCGTGTTGAAGTATGCCAGGAAGTTCGGAGAGGCAATAACGTCGGTCATGACACCGCTGTCGTAACCAAACAGGAACGACCTATTGCACGATCAGCGAGATTCCTGCTACATCTTGAATTGGCCGTGTTAGAACTACCCAGTGGCCGCAAACATCGCCAGCAGCACATTGTAAACAGTATTCTGCTTCCTACCCATATTGTCGGGTCTCGTCGTGCTGGTAGAGATTCTCTAGCTTAGCCTAATCAATCTTTGCACTGGGCGAGCCGCACCGAAACCTTCATGGTTGTGAAGAGTACCCTGGTATATATGTATAAGAGTGCTCAGTAGCGAGCTGACTTTAGCCTTTTTCCTTGGAGATGGTCACAGGGACATGTACTTCACTCGCGATAATGTGGCCCGCTGCCGTTGCCACTGCATGTCAAGAATCCGGGGGATGCACCTGATTTCCGCCAATAATGCAGATCGTGTCCGCGTACGCGAATGCGCCGTCGTAGCCGGTCTTGGAACCCACTAGTGCGGAGAGTGAAGTCGAACACCATCTGGATTGCTGCACCTCATCTCGCTAGCTGCAGGTGTCTGTCCCCACGTCGTGAGAACGATGCGGCCATTGCCAAGGAGGGCAGATGTTATGTGACTTGGAGCAGACGCAGATGATGTCGGCAAGTTGCGGTGCTGAAGGTTCAGGTTCAGGTTCAGGTTCAGGGCGCCAGGCAATCGGCGTTTTCTCGGCCGATGACTTGCTGCAGGCTGCATCACGAAAGGAGACCTGGGTTGATGCGGGTTGAGCGATAGGTGGAGGTCTCAACGCGTTGCATGTTGCTGAGTGAAAGAGCGAGCCAGAGCGGGGACGTCGAAGTCACGGGAAAGAGAGGACACTGGCAGAGAAGTGTGAAAGGAGGGCACCGAGCATCATGCTGCGTCGGTACGGGAAAGAATATCGACGAGATGTCATAGCAGGAGTGGGAGTGGGAGCATTGGCACATGTGGCACATCTGAGAACAAGACCAGGTAGGTACAAGAGCCGCCATGACGAGTGAGACATACCAATATAAAGCCCATGTTGTGGATGGGAAATCATAGAAGTTGGAGGTCCGGCGACAGCGGATGCCATTATTAAAGGCACAACTAGTTTCTTGTGGAGTCAGAAGTGAGATGAAGTTGAGCTATACGTGGGTCGATGGCTACCACCCTTCCAGCAATCTCTTACTCCTGACCATCTTCTGGCCTGTCGCCGTGTTCCATGTCTCCTGCCTGCCCTTCCCTCTGGCTGCATGGCGCACTATGGTAAAGATCAGTCGACCTGGAGTTGTACGGCGGCATGACGAAAGGCAGATCATGTCGGAACACAGGACAGATTGTACAGTGAGGATGCAGCGAGAAGATTTGAAGCTGTACGACTAATAGCGAGGTCTACAAGTTATCATGTAAGAATTCAGAGAGATATCAACGAGTCGTACCAACCCAATGCGTGTCTTCAATCGGATCTCTCTTAGCAAGACGAAGTCTCCTCTTCCACTTAGCATTGCCTTTCCTATAACTCCGTTTCGTCCTCGTCCAAGGATAATTAATCGGACTCTCACCTCCAGTAAAGATAGCAATATCGTACAGCGCACCACCCGCAAAAGCACCTAGGATGGGCGCCACGATAGGGCCATAGAACCAATAGGGATTGGTAAAGAGCTCCTTTCCATATCCTAGAGCGAGCATCGCTAGACGTGGCCCGAGATCGCGAGTAGGGTTCATGGCGAGACCGGTGTTGTATACGAAGGAGAGACTCAGGCCTGTGATCACTAGACCGATAATCAAAGAATTCATTCCTGCTCCGGGAGGTGCGTTTTGGTCGTCACCTAATGCGAGGATCGTGCAGCCTAGAAATGCAATGCCGAGAAACTCGTTGAAGAATGCTGTTGCTGTGTCAATGAAGGTGAAGCGTCGCGAAGTGACGAAGCCGTTCAAGATGTCGCTCGCTGGGTCTGTGGTGCTGCTGGTATTGATGTAGTTTTGGATACCGGCGAAGTATAATCCGTATGCCACTAAGGCTGCGAGAAAGGCTGCTAGGAGCTGTGCTAAGACGTACTCGGGGACCTTGCGTTTCGGAAAGCCGCGATAGAACCATAGCATGAGAGTGATGGCAGGGTTCAGATGTGCTCCTGAAATGCCACCGGAAATGTAAATGCCGATCATGGTAGAAAAGCCCCACGCCCATGCTGTGCTGTTGGGGTTTCCATTATTGTTGAGCGTGGTTTGAGTATCGGCGCAGAAGCCGGTGGTCAGCTGAACGAATGTTGCAAGGAATTCTGCCAAGAACTCTCGGTGCTGTGTTCTCACAATCGACCACCAGGTATGATTGTTATGCACTTCGGCAACCAAGGGCGGATTGTCGATGGGCTTGATGGGATCCATATCCACCCATAAGTCTGGCTCTTCATCCTCGTGTAGTGTTGCTTGCGAAGCATCATCGTCTTCTCCTTCTGCCAAAGATGCTGGCCGTGTTGGAGGCTCATGTCGTTCTGGTATTGCTTCCAAGGGTGTCGCACCGAGCTCGTCTGGCGCGGACGGAGTTCTCTCCATCCCAGGCGACACAAGAGGAACTTCTTCGCCCGCCTTTCCATCTTGACCTTGTTGTGTATGACTCTTTTCTGGCTCTCCAAAGCTCACTTGGTACTGACTCGCTCTGCTGGTGGCTCTCCCGCGTCCTGCCGTTTGAGAAGCGGTCGAAGACGCTCGCGTAGGCCTCGTAGAAAGCCTACCTGTGACCGTGCCTCTCCTTCCGATCTGGCTCGACAAGAAGTTTTCTTCCCTTTGAGCCCTTGAATCTTTCAGCTGCGCTGATACCTTGGCTGGATTGATAGCTGGCTGAATCCTACCTGCTTCGAGATCATTGGGATCGGCTTCAATCCCAAGCTTCTGAGTATTCCCTCCTGGCAATTGTGGGTGTTGTCTACTCTGAAAAATCTCGCTACTCGTCGGCACCATCCCAGGTCGGACTACACGAGGCAATGGCTTTGCCAAACTCCATACTGGTTTGGCATTGGCCGGTTGCTCATATTCTGGGTTGAGCTCAGCGTAGCCTATCGACCCAATCAGTATCGGCTTCCATCTACGTGCTCGCATCAATGCCACATATCTCACCTGGATTCACATAAGGCTGATAGGTTGCCTCGACTTGCGGAGTTATCTCAGGCCCAGCAAGTGTTTGCAATTTAGACCTTCCAGCTGCAGTGCTAGACCGTGCTTCTGCTCCTTGACTTCTCTTAGATGCAGCAGTGCTACGTCGTCTTAGGCTGGAATGGTTTGATGTCTCAGGCTGAAGTGCTGTTGAGGGGCGTTGAGGAGAGCGAAAGCGGCGAGCAGCAACGGTGGCTGCTCGACGCGGTTGACCGAACCCACCTTGTCCAGCATGGTCGTTGTTACTCGACTGCTGGTCCGGCTCTCTTCTGCTTGGTTCTGACTCCGGGTGGGGGGAAAGATCTTCAGCTCTGCGCACTGGTATGGCCTCGGATCTTGACCTGGTGCGGTTGTGGCCTCTGGTCTCGTTCTCTGAATCCATATTTTTGCGCGCGCGCTATCAGTCCTCAATCTCAAAATTGGGTTCATTAGAAGACTCCTGAGACTGAGTTCAAGCCTTCAGCCCTCTTTTTTCTCTCAAGAGTCGAAGCTTGGCTCGAATGAGGTGCACTAGAGGCGTAGAGAAGCCCACGTCCTCTCTTTCCCTACATACCGGTAGTCAAGCTCTTATGGGGAGACGTGAGATGCTGACAGAAATACGGCGCAAAGAAAGGGCAGTGTGGCCTAGCACACGCATGTGAAGCAGATGGCAAAGAAGGTAGCACAAACCTTTACGGCATCCTCTGCTCCGATCATTTCGACTGGCACCTTCTATGGCTCGATAGGAGTGACGTTTCCAGTGGGGAGTGCGGAATGCCGAATCCACTTGTTGAAGAAAAATCTAACGCAAGAAGGCAGCAGACGCGTTGCTGTATTAAGAAACACATCCTCGCCAATGGCGAGACGTGGTATCTCGCGTATACTTATCGGTGACGCCAACGCCAACTTCCGGTCGGCTCCTCATTGACGCATGCGATACAGGCATGCAGATGCTGTGTTCACCCATCAAAGAGTATCGATTGCCCTTGGTAGGGTATTGTAGGCATAGCTTGTCCGCACTCGAGTCCCAAGGCACCGTGATCACCATCTCCCCGAAAACGACACAACGCGACAAGAGCAAAAGAAGGGCTGTCCGCGTGCACAATGCGATACGCGAACAATCGAATGGGCCTTGCAACGCAGTAAGAGCACGATAGCAGGCAATACTAGGAATACGATTGTGCCTGCCGGGAGACACTACATGTCCTGACGGAGGCCGCGAGCCAGAGCATGAGCATCGAACCAGAAGGGCACGAAGGCTGAACCGCTCTACGAATGCCCATGTATCTGCTGTGCAGCGTAGAAACTCAGTGCCGTTAACCATATCTTGCTAATTTGAGCATTGCAGCCAGAGCAGTTTGGGGATGCCTGGAGACAAGACGTGCGATCCACTACCTTACGGCCATCTTAAGCCGAGACGCGTTGTGTAAGACTACGTTTCCCAGAGAACAGGTATCCAAGCGATCCGATGCCACTCTCGCTGTACATTCGACGTCGACGGCAGCCAGCGCTTCGGCCGAACAACCATCACGTTCGCCAGAATACTTGGTTTAGACCCTTTTCCATCGCGGGAAAGAGCCTGCGGAGATCTCGTCTGCCACGCAGCTACAGGAGTACGGCCCAATTGTTGCAATGCGGCTTTCATTGCAACGAAGTTGGATTATTTGAAGAGGCTTTCCCCGGCCCACAATCGTTCAGGACGTGGCAGACCTCAGGCCCTCGAGATGTTTTACCTCTCCATTGGCCATCGCTGTACTTACGTCTAAGAACCTCAGCGAAGCTCTGGGAACCGAGTAAGCACAATTGCGAAGCTCGTTGTACATCCAAAATCATTACAGGTGTCCGTGACTGACCCAAAAATCTGCGAGTAAGTAAAGTAGCAGCTGCTCTTCCAGTCCTCTTCCTCTTCCTTTCTCATGCAACATTCTGCTCACTACTTCCACAAACAAACTGCGCATCGATAGCCTGCTATCAAACCAAGCATACCACACTACAAACAAGAACTACCAGTCTACCTGATCGAAAGATCCCAGACTCCAAAGCGCCAGTACTGAGCAGCAAATCCAACTGCATCAAAAGAAAAATCCATCTACATCCAAAAAAAAATCCATCTGCTGCAAAAACCCAACTGTGGCAAAATCAGAGCTCCAACGAGTTCAAACCACTCTGTCTGATCGAAAGATCCCGAGTGAAGAACAACAACGTCGACGAGTGAGCAAGTGCGCTTTCGCCATCTCACCAGTCCGTCTACTTCCAAGGTCGTGAATCACATTCTCCGACCATGAATACTCCAAACAATCAGGAGTCATCAAGACTCGCATACGAAGTCCCTATGGCGCCTCTGCGCCGACGCAACCGAGCAAGGCTGCCATACAGCACGCCTACGGCATGTCCTCGCCATCAGAGGCAGCCAGTGCTCTTTCTAAACTCGCCTGTGACACCCGGGCCGCATTATGTGCGGCTAGACGGTTCACAGAGCACTCCCACAACACCACAGCGCGAGAACAATCAGCCTCGAGAGCGACCCAGCAGTCCTCCGGCAATTCGACGCCTACAAAAGCCTTGCGGAGTTTTCAACAACATCTTTGAAACTCCCGTGCGCCAATCTAAGCAATCTCACTTGCTTATGGAAGCCAAGGCCGCAATCAGGGCAGAAAAAGTCGCCCTGACACCTCCAAGCCTGCATGAGGAGCTCAATCTGCCAGTGGCACCCAAAAAATCAACCGTGGTAGCCACTACGACACAATCAAAAGTGTCAAGCGACACTCCTCTGGCAGCCAAGGCCTCAACCAGGGCAGAGAAAATCGCCCTGACGCCTCCCAGCCCACATTCGGAGCTCAGTCTGCCAGTGGCACCCAAAAAATCAACCGTGGTGGCCACCACGACACCATCAAAAGTGTCAGGCGACACTCCTCTCGCGACCAAAAAACCAAAAGTGCCAAGCAAACCCGCAAAGGCACCACAGCGCAAGCTGACAAAGGTCAAAGCCAAAGCATCAAAAGGCATCGTCTCCGCACCTCAAGAATGCAACATCTGGCTAAGCATCCCGTCCACCGACAAACGGGTGCAACTCAAGCTCCCTCTCAAGAGCGACCTGCTCAGCTTAGCCAAACAAACGGCAGAGATGATGAACAAACCGCTCCACAAAATCTCTCTGACCCTCCGAAACTCCTCCTCCGGGAGCGACATACTTCTGTGGGATTGCTATCATGAAAATGAAGCGCCCCAGTTATGGGTGAAAAACACGGGAATCACCCAAGGCTGTACGATTGTAGCCGAGAAGAAAAGTCGTGTGATGTGTTTGGACGACTATCATCATCAACAGTCAATCTCGACATCACAGGGAGAGACGAAGAAGAAGAAAATGCTGGTGTTCCGGGATTGAAGATATGCGTCCCGGGATTTTATATACCAGTATGCTGGTGCTTCGGGATTGGAAAAGGCGTCCTGAAGCGTGATATTATATCCCAGCAGGTCTGAGGACCCATTATCTGTCATTTCATTCAGATGGATTTTGGCGAGGGCTGCCGTACGATGGAACTTGCACCTTCGCGTGGTGTGCGGCGTGAGTACCGAAGATCTCGCTTGTTTTGGCGAGGGAGGGAAACTAAGACAGGTTCAAAAAGGAAAACAAATCTGGGATTTGTGTGCTCGGTTGAAATCTTTCTGCTCCCGCTGCAGAGATATTTTCTGAGCGCTTGGGGCAGGTTTTTGGTGGAGATGCTGGTAGTCGCGGGGCGGAAGGCGCGATATGTTGTGAAGAATGGAATACTTGAGCTTGGCGTGCTCGTTTGCGACTAATTCGTCCTCCTGATTCTGGTGTTGAGCGTCGTTCAGGCGCACAGGGTAGGTTCTTGACGCATGTGCTGATGATCGCAGAGCGGAGACCAGGATAGGTTCAATATTCGGCGTGCTCACTTGACACCTAGTTTAGTCTTCTGCTTCCGCTGTGGAAGGCTTCCTACGCGCACAGGGTGTGTTCTTGACGTAGATGCTGATAGTGGCAGAGCGGAGTTGAAGACGGATCTACATTGCTGACAGTTTGGAAATTGAGCTTTGTTGGACTCACTTGTGACCCATTTCTAATTCCCGCTTCCAACATCGACTAGGCCTCTGAGCCCACCGGGTAGGTTCTCGATGCGTTTGCTGATAATCTGTGGAGCTGAAGTTACGACAGATTCTACAAAGTGAGCATGGGGAAGTTTGGCTTGGTGTGCTCACCTATGCCTACTCGTCTCCTGCTTCTGTTCTCGAGGGTCAGTCTAAGCGCTCAGGGTAGATTCTGAATCTACATGCTGGGTTTCCTCGCGGACTTGCTCGCACCAGAGACGATCTCGATGACCTTCCTGCTTCCGCTATCGAATGTCATTCTGTGCGCGCGATATAGATCCTCGATGCATACGCTAGTCGCTGCTGAGCGGAGTAGAGGGAAGAGCCTGGACATTCGGAGAGCAGACCTTACCACCTGAGTCAAAAGAATGTGGTAGGAAGCACTATGAGGAAAGCCTGGACATTCTAAGAGCAGGCTTTACCACCTCGGCCGAAAAGCCATTGTGCAGAGCACTGTATGTAAGAAGAGCAATGGAAGCGTCTCAGGCATGGGAACTTGCCTTGCTTCATATCTTGCTTCCGCTGCATAGCGTCGCACTGAGCGCACAGGGTATTTTCTCGATGCATATGCTGAAGTCCAAACACTGAGCTGTAGGCACTAGCGATGCTCTTCACCCATCTCCCTCTTCCGCTGTAGCGGACCGCTCCAAGCTCATATTGTGTGTTCTCGATGCATGTACCGATAGTTGATTAGTGGAGATGTAGGCACTTGATCGACGCGTGCAAGGTTGGCTTTTGTCGCATATGCTGATGGCTGTAAGGCGGAGTACTATAGTATCCTCATCCCGTGCTTCCGCTGGAAGAGATGGCTCGAGGCATGTGAGGTATGTTCTCAAGGGATTTGCTAAAAGCTGAAAGCGGAGATGTAGGTACTCGAGTCCTGCTTGGTATATCTCCTGCTTCCATCGCAGAGGATAGGTCCAAGCTGCCGGGGTGTGTTTGTAATGCTTCAGCTGATGGTCACAGAGCAGAGTTGTATGTCTATCTCGGAGCACATGGTGACGGGCTCTTGCTCTTGCCTTGCGGCCGCCCAACGCTCTTACGTCCTGGACCAATGTAACGCTCCTACCTTGCACTACAAGATCTTACCAAAGCACAACCTCGTCACAACGTATTCGACGTCGCTACATCTTACGATATCGATCATCTCTATGCTATACCATATCGCGCATCTACCATCCTGAGGAAGCTTCAGTTAAGATATCGACCTGACAAGTGACAATGTCTGATGCCCCACCACCCTTTGAGCGAGCACCAGCAAGAACCTCTTCAATTCGGTCACCCTCATGGCCACACGACAGCGACAGAGAACCCCTCCCTGGCAGTCGAAATCCTCCAAGACGCTCCTCACTGCGGCCTGACTTTGCACTGAACGGTACATGCGACCGCGACAGTCCGCCTTCCTACGAGGGTCTGCCGTTCGAGGCCGAGCGGCTTCGCCGATTTCTTTCATTCTGCATGGCAATCGACTTCGGCTTGACAAAGCAATGCCCGGATGAGCTCACAAAGTCCGAATGGTTCTTCTGGATCGATGTCAGCCGTCATTGTCTCGACGCTCACATCGAAGCCGGGTTGTCGCCAATTAGCGAGTTTGCAGCAGCATAGTATGATACAGTAGAGGATCGGACCATCACACAAATAGTCATCGAGCCCGCGAGAGTCTTGAAGATACCTGCACAGAGAGCTTTTCTCATGCTATACTCCTTCATCGGATCCATCGCGCCGCTATACAGTGAGGATGCATACCGTGCTAGGATTGAATTGCTGGAGAAGCGCATCCTGGCACTCCAGACTACATGGCTGGGAGACCAGCTCATGGATGACAAGATTTTGTGTGACCGACTCTATGCTCGGCAGGCGGGCGGCGCGACACAGGCTGAATACGATTGGTTCGTCAGAAGAATCCAATTCCAACACGCGTATTTGGTGCGCAGGTTCTTCGCACGTCTGTACCCAGATCCCGATTCAAGGAAATTCTCGAGACGCGGCGAGGCGCTGAATCGTCTGGACAAGATGGAATTCGGTCATGCGCCGGACGACATTGGGACTGCTGATCTTCGCCTGTTCCTGAATTGGCACCATTGGCAGAAGGAAGCGGAGAAGTTGAAGGTCTTGCTTTCGATGGACTATGACACTGCGCGAGAAATGCCGCATGCGATTTGGCGGGAATACAAGGCTGCTAGACAGGCTGCTAGACAGCTTTATGGCCATGAGATGAAATGTATGGGCGACTGATTGTTCATGGTCGGGAGCGGATGGCCAGCGATGGAGGAATACAGTAGAGTGGATGAACACCTAGGAAGGACGATTAGTATTTCTCAGAATACGAAATTTGAACAAGTCGTGATTTCAAAATCTCGTTGTCAAGAAAAGAGAGGTACAGCATATTTTCACACCTGTATTTGCAAAAGTGCAACATGGGATCCGAACACCCTCATCACTTTAAAAATACGAAACAAACCCCCAAGAGTACTGTAGTGGGTTCCTGGGTCGGGACTGTTATGACAATTCTCTCGTGCTGTACGCCTTTACATCTGTCGATATCTTGTTTGAAAGTTCCTTCGTTGAGAAATCGATCAGAATTACATGGGAAATTTCGCTCGTCCGTCATAATACTCGTACTTCATCGCTGCTGATCCAGAACATCGACATACTGAGGCCTCTTACTCCTCTTCTTCCTTCCAGGCGCTGGTGGTGGTGGTGACAGTGGGTCTAACATGTCATGCTCAGGCGGCCGCCTTTCCATCGGTGGAGGATGCGGTCGTCGTTCAGACCTTCTTGGAGGTGGACTCCTTTCTTCCTCTTCAAGGACTGGAGGTGGAGTTCTCCTCCTTGGAGCTTCACGCAAGTCATCGTCCGGCGGTAGAGGCCGCTCGTCGGAACGTCGTGAACTGCGACGCTTCCTTCTTGCTTTGGAACTTTCTTTCGACGATGAGCCTGAGCTAGGTCTTGATGAGGTTTTGGAAGACTTCCGAAAAATCGGGTCGAGGAGTTTGTCTGTGTGTTTGTTTTCGACGTCAAAAGCCCTCATGACACCATTCAGTGCCAGTCCTAGGCCAGCCATGGTTGTGGTTGGTCCTGATGGTAGTGCGAGGAGGATTTGTTGTGCAAAGTGAGGTCGGTGGTAGAGGGTGCTTGAAGGTCTTTTGCAGGCCGAACTTGATCCACTTATGTGTGAAGGAAGTCAAGGGATGTTTGTGTGGCGATGGCATCATCAGCGCCCAAGACCTCTGACATAAATGCACATCACAAGCCACGTGAATGTGAGCGGCTATTGGTTGCATTCCTCATGCTATGCCATTGTGGGACAGCACTAGGCTGCCACGTTGCGGCTACTCCACCTCCACACCGACTCTCCAGGGTTTCTCAGGTTTGCTTTGGCCGTCAGACATGATGATGTCGTGGCCGTCCTTGTGATTGATTCTGTTCTTTTGTGGCATGTAAGTGCAGCCACTCTTCTCTAGGAGCGATGGGACAGCACCAAAGCATAATATTCTGGCTGGCGGTCTCGAGGCTGCCAATCATCGTACATGCAGGTGGCAGTCATCTATCTCCTATCAGACCCTTGTGTGCGCAGGCTAAGTAAGTGACATCATCGTTTATTTATAAACGCCTTGCGCAGCAAGGGTCTGAACACAAACTGTTAGATTTGGATAGTTGAAATAACCAACTTAGCGTACAACGCGAAATATAGAATTGTTAGAAGTGCATCTTATAGCGCGTACAATTATAAGTTTAACGCTACAAAAATGAATCGCGTGCGACGTTGTAGCGTTAAGATACTATTAATCTCCTAAGCCGGGTTTGTTTAGCTAGCCTACAGCTAGCCGGCTTTAGCTGCAGGCCGACAGATACCTATATTGCGATACTAATATCTCGAGAAAGGAACTATTAGAGGTTATAAAGCGTACAATTCTAAGTAGATTCTTTACTAGATATAATACTATATAATATTATTTTAATGCTTCTACGAGTAAGTAGTAGAAGCCGGCTAAATTATACCCTCTTTATTTTACCTATAAACACTTAGCGCTTATTACGCGTACAATTCTAAGACATTCTATATACTATTTATATCGATGCGACGTAGTAGTATTATATTCTAGTTAATAAGCGGAGGTCGCTTAGCGGAGCTTATAGTACGTATATATATCCTACAAATTATTAGCATATAGCTAAATAATATACGACTAAACACATACCGCGATTAGTATCGATTAAAGACTTCCTTAAAAGCCTTAACTAAGTCCTTCTCGGGTCCCTCGATAATCGACTAGTATACTATAGTACGAGACTCGGTGCTCTTAGTCTTATCGATAACGACCTAAACCTTAATAACGCTAGATTAGATAATACCGCTACTGCGAGCAGCACGACCGAGATATTAAGCGTACTTAGCGAGGTTATTTAGCGTAGTACACTACTAGTCCTATATCTCGAGTAGACTATCGGAAACGATACTAGTATAGAAGGTAGGGTTAGTAGTAAGAGTAGATTAATACGGGCGATACGCTAGTAGAGATTAGATATATTATCGCTAGTAGTCTACGGCTCGAGGTAGTCGTTAAGTAGAGCTATACTATACTATAGCTCTTATCTATCGTAGAAGAGGTATTAGCTTCTACGTATAAGCTTTAGAGCGGTCGACGTTATTATTAAAGGTTGTAGGTTAATGTTCGAAGGTTAAGGTTCGTAGACGCGTAGTAGAAACGCGTCGACCTATAAAGAAGCAGTACAGATAGTTATATGCGCTAGCGTATGTTCCCGCAGATTCTCGGTCTATACTTTTATATATACTACGCGACTAGTCGCGTCTAACTCTAACCTACCCTCTTCTATCTTGCTATACTTCTTTATAAACTTGTTATTTGCATCTTCTAGAATATATCTACCTCTATATATTAACTACCTCTGTATATTAACTACCTCTATATATTAACTACCTCTATATATTAATCTTCCGCTAATACCGCTATAGTAAGAAGTATACTAAATACTAATTAAATATCGCCGCCTACTATTATATCGGACGATATACTAGAGGATATAGATCTCGACGATCTACTACCGCAGACCTTCGCGTTTATAGGTAGCAGCCTAGTTCCGGGCCCTCTTAATAATATATCGAGCGATCTAAGTATAGTACTACTAATATTAGATATTAATCGTATATAGACTGCAGTTAGCTAATAAGTACGTCGCCTCGTAGCTCGTCGTTAAGCGCTAATCCTAGAGATTAGTTCTTAGGCCGGAGAAGAAGATAAGGACGACCTCGAGAGCGAGGCTTCGGAACAGGACGATAGACTTAGCGAGGATAATATCGAGTTAGAGATAATAGCGAACGAGGCCGACGGCTTTAATCTAGATAATAAGTAGGAATCCGACCGCGAAGAAGATAAAGAAGACACTATCGATAGACTACGTATATATAGCGGCAAGCGAGGCAAAGCTCCTACTACTATTGCTAATAAGCGCAAGATACGATAGTAGCGTATAGTAGCCGATAAGACCGACGAGGAGAAGTTTAAGACTCTAATAGCATAGTTTAAGATCGAGTCCCTAGGCGTAATAAAGTTCCTCCGCTAGTAGGTCGAGAAGCTAGGTAGCAAGACCTATCGACGTCGTATTAGGTACATTCTAAACAACTTTGCTCGAGAATGCTTAATTAGCGGTCGAGAGTTACGCTCTAAGTTAAAGAAGCTTATCGGACAGAAGTTCTTTAATAAGTATAATACGATAAAGGCCGTTAAGCTAGCCGACCTTATAGATATAGTAGAAATTATTTAAGAAACCGCTCTAATATAGTATAAGTTGCTCGAGCGTCTACTACTAAACAAGCGTACTAAGGTTAGTATAGATATGTCGTAGCTAGCTACTAGCGGAGGCGATAATAACGACGACGATTAGGAGGATAAGGATACTGCCGAAGAACGAGACAAGCACCGCCGATACGAGAAGCGTATCTATACTATTACTTAGATAGTAGCTCGGTCTATAGCCTTAAAGAAAGCCTGTTTCTTCGCGAAGGGTTTTAGCTTGTTCCTATACACTTCCGGTATTAAGCGGCGTATCGTAAATATGCTTAGCAGCCTTAGTATATGCTTAGCCTACTTAATAATCTAGACAGTCGCTCGCAAGATTGCTATCGAGAATCGCAAGCGTGCTATTGCCCTAGCTAAGAAGATAAAGAAGTAGCCGGTTGTTATTGTCTACGATAACTACTATGTCTCCTAGGATCGTTACGGTATATAAGCTATCGGCTAATCTACGAAGTAGAGAAACATAACTACTTCTTATATTGCTCGATATCGCGCGATAAAGAAGCCGCTCCGCCGGAATATACTAGATCGTACGAAGAAGCTAAATCCGAAGGTTATCTTGCGTAGCTATAAGAAGGATGCCGCTCGTAAGGCTATATCTCTATATTATATCGACTAGGCGATAGGCTTTGTATTCGGTTCGGAGCTAAAGAAGCTATTCGAGGACTTCGACTTTAATAGCTATAAATTAACGAAGAATAGCGGCACTAAGACATCGCGTTTGCTATAGTACAAGATCCGTATTAAGAACCTAAAAGATAGCAGAACGATTATTATCTCGCTACCGGTATTAGATTATAATAAGGCCTCGATCGAGGAGACCTATAAAGTATATAACGACATCTTCTAGTCGTTTCTTAAGCTTAATCCGGATAATAAAGCATTCTAGGACTAGCTTATTATCGTCATTAGCGACTAGCTAACTATCGAGCGTATTCGTAGCGTCTAAGCCGGCAGTGTCGAGAGTACCCGTACCTACGACCGTAAGGAGTTTATAGTGCCTATCGTAGCGATGTTCTACGTCGAGATAAACGCCTATTATACCTCTATAAAGACTTATTATCTGCGGAACAACTACGATAAGGGCAAGAAGCTTACTTATAACTACTAGGATGATACTGCGTACTATAGCGTAACCCGTCTAACTAACAAGAAGTACTAGTACTATATTATTAAGCAGGTCGTAGTCCGATTATATCGCGGTCGTATTATAGCCTTAGTTATTCGAATCTTTATCGACCGTAGCTAGCTAGACTTTGCAGATCCTAAGTTAGCTAATAAGAGCTATGTCGATACTATACGGTATATAATTAAGAACCGTATTACTCCTAAGTAGTACCTAGAAGTCGTAGAAGCTGTCTACGAGATAGCCCTTACTTAGAAAGCATAGGTTGGCAAGGATAATACCGGCCGTGTCGTCGATCCTAACTTTACTACTATAGCGCGTATACTAATTAAAATCGACAACTACCTTACTATTTACGAGGCAATCCGTAAGATAGATATCGGGCATCTTCGACGCATAATTAATATCCTTATGCTAAACTTCTTTAGCGCTTATTAGCTTAATTACGGTCGGGAGATAGTATATATACGGTAGTTGTTAAGTAGCGCAGTGCACTAGGATCTCTAGGATGCAATCCTCGAGTCTTCCGTAGTTAAGATAGACAGCGGTAAGAGTATTGCTACCGACGAGTTGCTTAAGCTATATAATAAAGAGTATATAGACGACATTAAAGCCTATAGCAATTCGACCTATAATATCGCTACTACTATAGAGCTTATCTCTTAGAACCGCGAGGCTTCGAAGAATATCCGTAATATATTCGAAGGCCTAGGACCTAAGAGTACTAGCTACTATACCGAGAAGAAGATTAGTAATTATATTATAGCCTTTGCTCTAAAGCTAATCGAAGATAGTCTTGCTAAAGTCTAGCTATAGGATAGCCTAGGAGAGGATATACGAGTCCTATTAGACGACATTTAGCAGCTCGGCGTAGCTTAAATCGTGCTAGCTATCGAGGCACTATATTAGGCTAATATGCGCCTAGTTAGAGGCATAACTCGTACGTCGGCTAATACTACTACTAATAGTATAGATAAGATCGATAGTGCTAATACGAGGGAACGTATTAATAGCGGTGCTAATCGAGGTCCCGTCGCTGCTAGCGTAGTAGATAACAATACGGCGTTCCTATATAAGCCGTTCGTAGACGATAAGGGCTTTACTAACCTAGACTTAGAAATAGTCGATGCTACTAGCATATAAAGGCTCGGCGGATCTAAAGCATATAATCTAACGCTTAGAAGTGTTACAAAGCTAATAGTAGGAGGGCAAAGTAAAGTCGTAATTATAGCTTATATCGTTCCTTACTCTATTATAAGGGCATAACAACAAGAGCTATATATATATCAAAATTTATATCTACGGCTTTCTTTCTTCTTTAGCGATACGGACACTATCCTTGCTACTAAGCAGGCTCTTCTATTATGTCCTCGTAAGCTCGCTAAGTAGGTTTGCCCTTCGTAGTCGAGTACGTTGCCTTAGCTATTAACGCGCTTGCTTAGCGGTAGTTTGCCCTCGTAGTCGAGCACGTTGCCTTAGCTATTAACGCGCTTGTCGGTAGTCTTAGTCGTACGTCGATAGCTAACCTATATACTAGCTCTTTACTACTCTTCTATTATATCCTTATAAGCTCGCTAAGTAGGCCCTTCTTCTATTATGTCCTTATAAGCTCGCTAAGCAGGTTTGCTCTCGTAGTCGAGCATATTGCCTTAGCTATTAACGCGCTTGCCGGTAGCCTTAGGTATACTAATAGTCGCTAGTATACTAATAGTCGCTAGTATACTAATAGTCGCTAGTATGCTAATAGTCGCTTATATTACGAGGAAGTAGGAACCGTAAAGTCGAGGAAGCGACTAAGATATCGAGTCCCGCTAAGACCCGGATTTAGTATAGCAGGGCGCCTAATTAGCGGGATTAAACGTTATAGCTACTTCCTTCCGTATATTATAATAAAACATAATACCGACTTTACTACTTTTACGCTACTACGAGCCTACGACGAGATACGTCGATTAAGCGCATTTCTAGTAAATAGCGCTAGCAAAAGTGTCTAACACGATAACGACGGCCGCCTTAGGCACTAAGAACCGCCTCCGAAGCCTAAGAAGTCGAGAAGTCGAGAAGTCGAGAAGTCGAGAAGTCGAGATACTAATACTAATACTATACTTATTGTACCGCGTGCTCTTATAGGTACTATAACATATACGGCAAGGATAGATACGCGAGGCGATAACGTATATCGAGCGCAAGCACTCTTCGAGAAGCTATAATAGCCCTCTTACGTTAACGCCCTCCTTTACTTAAATCTTAGTTACGATCTACTAGAAGGACTAGCTGCTATATAAGACAGTATAGATAAGAGCAATTACGTCTAGGGATCTATTTAACTAGCGGCACTAAGCGGCTATAGAAGCACACGCCCCGAAACACACTAGAATTATATATAGCCTATTTGCTACGAGTACGCGTAACAAGTACAAGTATATATACATATACGCGTATGCGCAGCAATTAGCGCATTCTATTACTAACTATAGCACGCATAACCGAAGACAAGGTATATAGGACGGGACTTATTAAGCGAAACAATAATAGCTTATTCGCTAAAGCGACACTTATTAGTACCTAGATAACAATAGAGTATAACCGCGCCCTTAGTGTTAGAGACACCGTAGAAAAGGGTTGTCGAGCGCGTTGCAGTCGTATAGCAATGTTAATACGCTTACTAGAAGAGGAGGCGTACTGCAGTCGAATAGCAGTCTTAATACGTAAAGGGCTGCAGTCGTATAGCAGTGCTGCAGTCGTATAGCAGTAAAGACTAAGACTAAGACTAATCGCCTTCGGGCTTAAGTATACTAGAGGCCCTTACGTACTAAGGTCATTATAACTAACAGTCCTAATAAAGGCGTTACGCCGACTTAACTAGATGCGCGTATATTATCCTATAAAGAATCCGAACGTAGGAAGCCTGTAGCCGCTACTTAAGGTATACCTTACTAAAGAGTTTTTACCGAATTAGGCCTATAGCAATGCTACGAACTAACCTACTTAGTAGGAGAGTCGCTATCGAGCCGCTACTTAAGGTGTACCTTACTAAAGAGTTTTTACCGAGTTAGACCGTTAGCCGCATTATAGGTGTACCTTACTAAAGAGTTTTTACCTCCGCTAATCTACCCGAGACCCGCAGTTTATTGCACTAAGACAAGACTGCGATATTCTAATAACAACTATACTCTTTCGGTTAAATGCGTAGTCGGCGCCCGCTAAAGCTATAGAAAACAACCTACTCGCTAGGAGAGTCGCCTTCGCAACGTCTTACTCGGCAAAGCCTATCGGAGACCTTAAAAGAAGGACTAAACAAACTCTACCGATTAAGGAACCTTAACTATTAGATAAGCGGCTCTATCGGTAGCAAGCCGCAGAACTAGTAAGGAATAGTATTAATCGCTATAGAGCTACCTATATACAACAAAGAGGTATCGACACTATTGCTAAGAAGCCGACAGCTAGTGTATTGCTAGGGGTGTTAGTGTATTAGTATATATAGAAGAAGAAGAAGTTGAACTAGGAAGCGTAGGTCTATATTAGCGTATCGTAGGTAAGGTTTGTCTCTACTAATAGGATTGCGCTATTTACGCTATAATAGCAAGGCAACAATAACGGCTATATATTATCGCACTTTTAACGCTATAGCCGCCGACTGCTACTAGTTAAATGCCTAAGGCTAGAATTACTAGCGACTAGAGGCTATACTAGCGATTAGAGGCTATACTAGCGATTAGAGGCTATACTAGCGACGACGACTACTGCGCTTAGCTTCTCGCAGAAGATTATTATTCCGGATACGCTTAAGGATAGCTCTAGCTTAGCCGGTAACGATAAGCACTGCGCTTAGCTTCTAGTTATTAAGCTATTGTCGTACGCCTAGTTAAGCCCTTCGACTTTATAAGTATCCCCGACGAGGCACGCACTCTAGTCTATCGCTACTACTTCCTAGCAACAGGTACAAGCTACTATAGCTATAGCTATACGACAACAAACGCCTGTTAGCCGTCTTAAACCCGGATAAGGATTACTATATGTTTAAAGACCTAGTAACAGTAGCAGCACTAATTAAAGATACTGTTAGAATAGTAGCAATAGCAGCACTACTAATCAAAGATACTATTAGATTCTCCCCGAACGACTATAGAAGTAGAAAGCATTCTTAATCTACTAATCTATGCTCGCCGCCTATTGTTTTAATATTATCCTTCTAGTATTGTATCCTATGCGAGACTCTTCCCTCTTCCCTTTTCCCTCTTCTATCTGTATCTAAGGACCGCTAGCGTAATTGTGCTAAATTAATAACAACTAAAGAGTAGCTTATCCTCCTTATTATTACCCTTCTACTAGCCTGCATTACGCCGACGAGCTAACTTACGCGCAGATAGACGAGTAGAGCGACTTAAGCGACGACTAGATACTAGGCTAGAGAGACGAGCTGCCTACTACTAAAGACGCTCTACTGCCTCGAAGTCTTCGTCTTCTATCGTACGTCTACTACGACCCTAAGATCGATTAGCGGTAGCAGTCTTACGAAGCTAATTCTTACGAAGTTGCTACGATACCTTAGCTAAGTTAGCTATATTCTGCTCGATCTATACTCGGCGCTATGCCTATATTGTTAGTTAAGAAGGACTAGGCTTAGTAGCATCTGCTATAGCTATAGCGCGGGCGGCAGCTTTAGCCTTTGCAGCCTCCTTTATAGCCTTCTCGGCTTTGTTCTTTTCGTCTTACTTAACCTAGGCAGTACGATTAGTAAGAACCTACTTAGCGATACGATTGATCTCCTAGACTAGATCCTGTAGTAGTACGTCTCTCTAGTGCTTATTATTCTCGCGGAGCTATAATATAAATGCTAGTATACGCTCCTCGATCTTAGTCTCGTCTACGCTACTAAAGCTCTCGATATCCTTACTATACTTCTCGTTAAAGAGCTCGCATAGATCTTATAGTATTAGATCCGGTATTAGGAAGTTAGATAGTACGACCTCGAATATACGGTTCTCGTATAGGTCTTCGTAGAGCTGTTTAATACGCTATAATACCTAATTCGAGAGATCTCGTAAGGCAAAGGCCTATATAGAGTTTGTAGTTAGAGCCTTAATAGGCTTCGGGGTCGGTAGTGGTTCTCTCTAGAAAAGTAGCTCTAGTAGTTCTAGATTATATATACTATAGCAGTCCTTAGTGCCGACAACCTCCTTATCCGGAGGGAATGTGCACTAATCTTCCTTATAGAACTAGAGCATTATAGTACGGAAGCAGCGGCGGTGTTCGGGGTTAGAGTAATAGCGTATATTCTAGATATGTCTTAAGATATTAGGTATAGCGTTGCGCTACCTAATCTCCTTCGAATTCTAAGGCTTCTTACTTACGTTGTCGGCGATAGCTTTCTCTACTACCGTATAGAATAGGTTGTCGATAAAGAGCCTAGGACCCGGATTGCTAGTATTGCTAGTACTACCTAAGCTAGCAACGTAGGTCGTATCGTTAGCATCGTCCTCCTTACTACCCTCCTCTTCGTCGTCTATACTAAACTTATCGAATAGAGCATCGGTATTATCCTTATTAAAATCCTCGCTAGGGATAGTAATATATCGGAGGTAGCTTAGGCGGACTAGTATAACAGCTACTAGGTAGTAGGCCGAGGCCTAAGCTATAGCGGTGCTAGTAGTAGGAATACTAGTAGGCTCTCTTAGGATTATTAATCGATAGTTAGACTTAGCTAGTATACGCTTAAACGCATCGTCGATATACTAGGGCAAGAAGATAATAGTAAGCGCGGTAAGACTAGCGATACGCGCCGTACGACTAAGCTTCTATATTAGATTATCGAGATCCCTAGTAATAGGGAACTTGCACTAGTAGACTAGCTTAATATCTAGGATGTTAATGCTAACTGCTATCGCTAGTATACCTTAAAGAATGCGGATGCGGGAATCTAGCTTCTTAAACTCCTAATATCGCTTGTTCTTATCGATCTTAGCTATATAAGCGGTATAGAAGCCGACAATCTCGTACACATTAATTGTATACGGTGCTCTAGCTTCTATCGGCGTACTATCCTATATATACTTGCGGTCGCCCTAGGCAGGCTCTTTAATATAATTAGTAAGCTAAATAAGCTATAGTATAAGCTATAAACGACCCTTATCTACTAAGCCTCGGCCGTCGATAAAGATTATTATCTTCTAAATATTCTACGGAGTTACGAGGCCCTTATTATCGATTGCCTTACGCAATACGAAGTATAGATACCGGAAGTTATTAGTCTCGGTTTGCTTAAGAATTTAAAGGATATACTTGCTATCCGGACGATTAATACTGCCGCGGATAATCTACGTATATAGCGTAGCTAAACTCTAGATACAGAGACTATTGTTAATAAGATACTTCTTAGTCTTATCGGAGACTATAGCGGAATACGCTAGTAGTACGGTGTTAATGCTTATTAGCTACCGAAGCAAATAAATAGTGCCGTAGCTATTGCGGAAGTCCTTCTACTTAAGATAAAGATAAGCCTTATCCTATACCTATAAACCTAGTATTAGCTTAATCGCACGCACGACATCTTAAAATGCTAGAGTTATAGCTTGTTTAGGGCTGCAGATAATGTAGTTGTATTTGCCGTTCTTAATGTCCTTTAGTATATCTAGGTCCTTCTTAAGTATATCGGCGGTTAATACGCATATACTAACAAGTGCATATTCTTCTAAACGGAGCTAGCGTATAGCCTGCTCTATATCCGTACCCTATTCTTCTATAATCCGGGTTAGAGGTACAATCTAGAGAGTTATTATACTAGTTAGGAGGGTAAAGGCCTAAAAGACTAATGCCTTGCCTACGCTAGTACGAGCGATTATAAGTATATCCTATTAACCGAAGATTAAGGCGAGAACTACTATAATCTATAGGTCGGAGGGCTTAGAGTCGCGCGAAGGATGTAGTAGTCTTAAGACCTTACGAAGACTATAGCGGATAATCTAGCGATAGTATACTAAGGCGGCCTTATACTAGCCGGCATTCTAGACTAGCTACTAAACCTATTAAAGTAGCGTGTCCTCGTTCTTAATTATAGCATAGGCGACGCTAAAGTAAGCATCCTACTCTTATACTAAAGCATCGATAGTAGGTAATATAGGAGATAGATCGCACGTCTATATTAGCTCTTTGCGTATAATAGGGCTATAATAAACCGTAGGCGCTCGAGGTTAATATATTAGCTAATCTTCTTAACGCGATAGGCTAGCAGCACTAACGCCGCTGCCGCCGCGACCTAATCTACGATAAGTTAGCCGACCGCGACTACTACTACGACTGCGACTAGTAGTAACCTTTGCCGCTTTCTACTAGCGCTTCGATATATTTAAGTATTCGCCGGGCATAGCGGGCTTATTATAGTTATACGGACTAATATAGCGTATTTGTAAGAGTCGGTAGTATCGGAAGATATATTGTCGGAAGATATATAGTAGCACTCGAGTATCGCTCTTAGTAGCGGTAGAGATTAATATAGGCGGAGGCTTTAGTAATACTTATTTAAAGTGTTTAGGACTTAATAAAGGTCTAGTAGTATTACGCGATACTTAGTAGAGTATTTGCGAAGGTTCTAGTAATAGGAGACAAGAGCGCAGCTTTATAGGCGGAAATAAGAGGCGTATAGGCTAGTTATAAGCTAAGGCATATAAACTAAGTAAAGCGTAAGACACGTATTTAAAAACACTTAGAGGTAATAGAGTAGGTCTTTCTTAAGGGGATTATGTATTTCAAATAGCAGATACGAGTATTAGTAGATTGTCTAATATAGGTGTTTATACGACAAACGCGAGCTTATATAACTATCCCTTTATAAAAACAGTCTTATTTTTCTATAGGTCGCAGTTCTATATATTTTTTTTACGTAACACGCCTAAATCATTTACTTACGTACCTTCTAGAACCCCCTTTATATATATAACACGCTTAGACCTCTAGTTGTTATACTATTCAATGTCTAAATCTGTATTCTCGGGAGTGTAGTATCCGTTTTTAACGTTTTAAGTTCAGGCGCTTCGCTAAGACTCAGCTTGCCTTAGGTATCAATTTAGAACCGAGATAACCGAGAGCACAGACCTAATGCGAAGCGCCTGAAAGGAGGTAGGCAGTCATACCGACGGCATGTGATGATGGAATTGATCTGACTTGCCACCGGTATGATGCTGCTCATGTACATACTGCGTTGCGATATGACGACATTACGGACCACCTTGAAGGCTGGCTAGAACCATCGGTCTGCGCATATTTCGTGCTCCGAGACCGTCTGCTCTCATTTGTCTTGCAGCAGTCACAGATCCTATGATATTCTAGCGTTCGGAAGTCGTCGCCCTGGTCGTCTAGAGGAGGAAACAGACTGGGATGAAATTGGGTAGCGAACACAGCTACGCGTACGTGTGCGAACGCGAACAAGTCTGGCATTCGCGGTCTCGCAGTTGGTCCAGCACAAATCATTGAATAAGAATCGCTTTCATTCACCGGACAGCGAAGGGGATCGCAAGATGCTTGTAGCTTAGTAGACTTAGTCTCCTCACACGTGCTTCAAACGATGAAAGCAACGACACCTCATATCAGGGACGAGCAGTCCTAAATACTGGGTTGTTGATGCTAGGAAGTTAGCCCGTTGATGATCAAAATCATTGTGAAGGGAAAGGGATACAGTAGAATACGAAGACGACCCTTGATCGGTTCGTCGGCACATGCGAACTGGGCTTGCCGAGAAGCTGACGTTGTCTTGGAAGGAGAATACAATAATAGGGACAGCACAAGCACATGCACTGCTAAGGCATTCGAGCTCACAGTCACGGAATTTCGAGGCAATCACCACGCCGTTATCATGAATCATACCGCCGCATGCTCGTAGCCCGCAGCAACACCTCCGGCGCCACGCCACCCCTGAGCCCAGCGCTGTGCACGTGTCTATACGCCAGGCGCACGCCGCACCGATACCATGAACGACGACGACAAATACCGCAGATATGCGAATATCCCAATTCCAACCTACGACGAGGCCATACGCCCCTCATCTTCCCAGACCCTTCGCGGAGCCCACGAGATCAGCGACGATGCAGAGAGGCAAGGCCTGTTGGGCGCGGATGGAACGGAGTCGCGAAGCACATATCGGCCTCCTACAGCGGAGTCGCCACGATCGAGCGAAGATAGCGACCTGCGCATGCCAGACCCGATCGACGGCGACGACGACCGCAGACGGGTAGAAGAACTCGATTATCTCGACCCCAACACCCCAGACACCACACAATCGGGCCTATATCATCGAGCGCGAATACGCTCCAAGTTCTCCCAACACTTGTCCAATCTCGGCGCAACCCTTTCTTCTATACGATTGCCTTCTTTCCGCTCGTTGTATAGTCCGGTGTCAGCATCAGCAGACGCCGAGACCCCCGCGACCACGACTCCTCCATCACGATTCTCATGGCTCACTCGCCGCGCACAGAGCATCCCTACCGTTCCCCAGCAGTATCGAATATCTGCGCCGACTGCAGCGAGACTGGTCGGGCTCATGTCAATCGCCATTGTGATATATGTCCTTTTCATCCTGGATGTATTCCCTAACAACGCCAGATACATGGGGATGCGCTTCGACCCAGAACAAGTGCGGCAGTATGTCCAAGAACACGTCGATCCTGCGCAGATAGAGCAATATTTGTCACACATAACCAGCTATGACCACGTAGCGGGCACCGAGGGTGACTTATTTTTGGCGGAATGGATGAAAGAGCAGTGGCGAGAACAAGGGAACTTGGACGATGTAGCCTTATTGAGCTATTTTGTGTACCTGGATTATCCAAAATTGGGTGGCAGGAGTGTTAATCTGGTGAAGGGCAAGAACCGAGGCTGGAAGGCGAAGCTGGAGGAGGAGATAATAGACCCTTTCAAGCAGCAAACGCTGGCATGGCATGGACACAGTTTCAGTGGCAGCGCTGAAGGGCACCTGGTGTATGCAAACGGCGGAGGTCTAGAAGATTTTGCGTGGCTAAAAGAGAACGGCGTGAATTTGAATGGCAGCATTGCGCTGATGCGGTATTACGGCACTCAAGGCGACCGAGCACTCAAGATCAAAGCTGCAGAGGATGCGGGCTGTATAGGCGCACTGATCTATTCCGACCCAAGTGACGACGGCTCTGTGAAAGGACCAGTCTGGCCAGATGGTCCTTGGAGGCCCAATGACAGTCTACAACGCGGTGGTGTCAGCTTGATGAGCTGGGTGGCTGGAGATCCCCTGACACCGGGATACGGGAGCACCAAGGACGCCAAGCGCTTGTCACATGAGGAGAGCAAGGGTTTGGTAAAGATCCCGTCTTTGCCGCTCGCATGGCGTGATGCCAAAGTGCTCTTGGAGAACCTCAAAGGGCGAGGCAAGCTGGTCCCGAAGGATTGGGTCGGCGGAGACAAGGACTTTGCACATGACTGGTACACTGGTGATGATGGCCACGATGCACCGGTCGTTCGCATGGAGAACGATAATGACTCCAACGACCAGCAGCAGATATGGAATTTGCATGGTTTGATCGAAGGGCTGGAACAGCCCGAGAAAAAGATCCTGATTGGCAATCACCGGGACTCCTGGTGCTTCGGTTCAGTCGATCCGGGCAGCGGGAGCGCTGTCATGATGGAGATGGTTCGCATCTTCGGAGAGTTGCGCAGTCTTGGCTGGCGACCACTTCGCACAATCGAGTTCGTCAGCTGGGATGCCGAGGAGTACAACCTTGTCGGCAGCACCGAGTATGTGGAGGACAACATGGACTACCTGCGACAGAACGCTGTTGCATACATCAATGTCGATGTCGGCGTCTATGGGCCCGATCCTGTCTTTCATGCTGCGGGATCTCCGCTGTGGCAGCGGGCGCTCCTACATGTCATCGACCGGGTCAGTGTTCCAGACGGTAGCAAGACTTTGCGAGAGATATGGGACGCCAGTGGCAGCAGGCTCGAAGGTCTTGGCGCTGGTTCGGACTATGTTGCGTTTCAGGACATGGCGGGCACGACTTCCATTGACTTCGGTTTCCAAGGTGCTTCCCATGGATACCCATACCACTCTTGCTACGAGACCTTCGACTGGGTGAAGAAGTTCAGCGACCCTGACTTCTCCTGGCATCGGACACTAGCGCAAGTGTGGGCTCTACTCATCATCGAGGTCGCCGATCGCCCGCTCCTGCCATTTGACCTGCGAACTTACGCTAGCGCAATCGGTGGTGCTTACACCGATGCTTTGCACCAATATGCTGAAGACCAGTTCAAGAAGCTGGGAAGCAAAGGCTCAAAGGAGCTGAAAGATACCGGCTTCGACACAGCCTCGCTGAAGGAAGCTGCAGAGAAACTCAACGATGTAGCAGAACACTTCCACCGCTTCGAAGACCACTGGACAGCCAACGTGCTCGGTACTGGTGGTCTGGAGTCAACACAGTTTGCGATCCGGAGGATGGAATACAACAATGCTTTGACCAAGTTCGAGACAGATCTACTCGACCTACCTACGGGGTCAAAGGATAAGGAACCCCACGGCGTGCCTGGTCGAGAGCAGTTCAAACACGTCATCTTCGGACCTCAGACATGGAGCGGATATGACGAGGCCTTCTTTCCAGCGGTGCGAGACGCTTTGGATGTCGGCAACTTTACAGGAGCGCAAATCCAGCTCGAGAAGGTCGTCAGAATTTTGAGCAAAGCTACGCAAAACCTCAAGAAAGCTTAAAGCAAGTCAATGACTAGATGCTTTGAGCTTGAATGAGGCTTGATTTGTGCACATGCGCTCGGAGAAGGTACAGAAGGAATGAATGGTTGGATCTAACCAAATCTTGTACTGTACAGCATTCCGATCGGCGTTTCAGGGAGCATTTCAGTGCATATTTATAGCTTCTGCTGGATAGCTGGAGGAAGATGCATCAGGTTAGCCAGCGGTTTGACGATTGTCTGTACTGTAGCTTAGCTTTCTGTTCACCTTATCATAAATTTTACCCTTGTATAGCCGTTTGGGCAATCCAGACCCGAAGAAGCTTATATGTCACTCTAGCCGATTGCCTACAGTAATGGGTAGATCTTGCGCCGTCGAGCTGGCAGAGCTGGCAGAGATGGTTCTTGATAACTGTAAGATTTGCATGCCGGCAGCACGAACTTCTTCAAAGCACCTCTGCTTGACAAGGCTGTGCCTGGAAGAATTGGTGCAAAGGGTGTGGCTCGGTCACGTCACGAGCGGATCAAGTTGACCATGAATGGGTAAAATGATATGGTAATTCTTCGAATATGAATGATATTCGTGTACTTGCTTCATCTGCAAGTCTCGAAGACTCGAAGGACAGGACATACATGTACGGCTCATCTGCCTGTCGAGATAACATTGCTCTCACGCGTCTCATCCACGTATCCCATCTTACGCCCCGTGACACGGAGCTGTATCTGACGCCAGCGACCTCTGCTCCTCATCCCCTCCTCATCATACGAAATCGAACGTCCCTGTCTCACAGCAAAAGCCCGACTCAAATGCCGTCCATCACCAAACCATTGCGCTTCAAGCTCCACGCCAGGATCCCAACGCCCGACACTCGCTTCAATCATGGTCCCGGTTCCCCGCCGTTTCAAAACCGGCGAAGCCTGTCTCTCCACAGCAGCCCGCCGTCCACCAGTCTTGATAACATCCTCCCAAAGATTCCCCCTCCCAGAAGTCACCGTCGAATTCTTCTGCAAAGGAGTCCTCCCATCAGGCGCATGATCCCGGATCCAAGCATCCACAAGTTCCAAATACGCCCACAGATCCAAAGAATTATAAATCCCCCCATGAATCTTCTCGGGTAAAATCGTGAAATTCGCCCACCCGACTCCACCTTTCGCTTCGATTCTTTTCTGGAATTCTGAGACGCCTTCGTTGAGGTAGTAAGTATCCCAGGTCCCGACGTAGACGAATATACGGCCACGAAGAGCTTCGCCGAGGTTGCGGCTGTTGTCCCAGTTTGTGAGGAGGTAGTTGGCCAAGTCCATGGATTTCCAGTACTCGACTGCTTCGGGATAGATTTCTCCTGTGACCTTGTTCCACGTTTCGAGGGGATAGTTGTTGTAGCCTTGGACTCCGAAGACGGCTTGCCAGACGTCCCATTGCAGGGCTGAACGAGACGATGTGCCGTGGGTGAGTTCCCAGTGGTTTTCTTGCGCGATGGTAGCGAGAATTTGCTCTGTGCCGTTGACGAATCTTCGGATCGAGCCACGTGCTGTGCCGTTCTCACGGAAATAAGCGTTCTTGGAGGTGTATAGTGGGATGTCCTGATGGCGGTGAAAGTCCAAGGAGTCAGGGTATGAGGAGAAGCAAGCGCCAAAGAGGTCGGGTCGAAAGATGACACTCGCGATAGAAATCCAGCCGCCTGTAGAGCCTCCGTCTTGGATTCGTGCGTAGGGTTCTGGAATGGTTCTGAACATCTGTTCAATGACAGGTATGAGCTCATCGTTGATAGCATCGCCATAAGGCCCGATGTTGGCTGTATTCACTCCATAAGAGTCATCGTAGAACGGCGTCTCATGGCGAAACGTCACCAGTATCATTTTCGGCGCTGGTCGATCAGGCTCGCCATCCTCACCGGGAATTAGGCCTTCATCCCAACCTTGCGAGAAGTTGGTTTCGGGATACCCGTAAGCACCGGATGCGTCAGTCCAATGATTCTGGTTATAGATGACAGGATAACGTTCGGTGCTATTGTGATATCCATGTGGTAGCAGGACCGTAGCTCCAACGTAACTATCGCGATTCCACCATTCGCTCAGCACTTTGCTTCGAATCTTGACATACTTCAGCGTTGGAGTGTCCAGGTAGTTGCCTTGAGAGCATCCGCCGATCTCGGTTCCGTTGAACTTCAATGCTGCCGAGATATTGCTGAATACCAGATCAATGGTCTGTCTACCGCCCGTGATTTCGACATCGATAGCTGAACTCATCAGACTACCTGGGCCGTCGATTGGGAGAGTGCCGTCGCCACAGGGAAAGCGTATGCTGACTGTCGACCCGTCACTTCGTTTCACTGTCTCATAGCGGTTGAGAAAGGCTTGTAGTGTGTACCGGCCAGCTGCGAGTTCACTGAGACTGACATTAGGCCATCCATAGACACCGAGCCGTGTATCAAATCCATTTCCCCCAGAGAGTGCTACCTCCGTTCAGGCCTTTGTGCATTAAGGATTACGTTCCGCGGTAGTGGTAGTAGCGGAATAGATTAGTATACGTAATACAGTCAAATTTAGGGTTCATTTGCCGACTTCCGAACAACCAATTATATACTACTCTACCTAATCCTTTGCCTAAAGGCCTAAAGCTAAACCGCTAATTTTTATCGTAGATTCCGCTATCAAAATACGATCTCGCTATACTAACGACAACTAGTAAATCCAATACGAGGAGGTTGTAGCCCTACTAATTGCGAATCAGAATATCTAAAAATCTCGTATATACGACGTATATACGTTGAGTTATACTAAATCCCGCGAGGCGACTTTATCCTACCTCCGTTTAGGCCTTTATATATTAAGGATTACGTTCCGCGGTAATAGTAGTAGCGGAATAGATTAGCATACGTAATATAGTTAAATTTAGGGTTTATTTGCCGACTTCCGAACAACCAATTATATACTACTCTACCTAATCCTTTACCTAAAGGCCTAAAGCTAAACCGCTAATTTTCATCGTAGATTCCGCTATTAAAATACGATCTCGCTATACTAACGACAACTAGCAAATCTAATACAAGGAGGTTATAGCCCTACTAATTGCGAATTAGAATATCTAAAAATCTCGTATATGCGACGTATATACGTTAAGTTATACCAAATCCCGCGAGGCGACTTTATCCTACCTCCGTTTAGGCCTTTATATATTAAGGATTACGTTCCGCGGTGGTAGTAGTAGCGGAATAGATTAGTATACGTAATACAGTTAAATTTAGGGTTTATTTGCCGACTTCCGAACAACCAATTATATACTACTCTATCTAATCCTTTACCTAAAGGCCTAAAGCTAAACCGCTGATTTTTATCGTAGATTCCGCTATTAAAATACGATCTCGCTATACTAACGACAACTAGCAAATCTAATACGAGGAGGTTATAGCCCTACTAATTGCGAATCAGAATATCTAAAAATCTCGTATATACAACGTATATACGTTAAGTTATACCAAATCCCGCGAGGCGACTTTATCCTACCTCCGTTTAGGCCTTTATATATTAAGGATTACGTTCCGCGGTAGTAGTAGTAGCGGAATAGATTAGTATACGTAATATAGTCAAATTTAGGGTTCATTTGCCGACTTCCGAACAACCAATTATATACTACTCTACCTAATCCTTTACCTAAAGGCCTAAAGCTAAACCGCTAATTTTTATCGTGGATTCCGCTATTAAAATACGATCTCGCTATACTAACGACAACTAGCAAATCTAATACGAGGAGGTTATAGCCCTACTAATTGCGAATTAGAATATCCAAAAATCTCGTATATACGACGTATATACGTTAAGTTACACCAAATCCCGCGAGGCGACTTTATCCTACCTCCGTTTAGGCCTTTATATATTAAGGATTACGTTCCGCGGTAGTAGTAGTAGCGGAATAGATTAGCATACGTAATACAGTTAAATTTAGGGTTTATTTGCCGACTTCCGAACAACCAATTACATACTACTCTACCTAATCCTTTGCCTAAAGGCCTAAAGCTAAACCGCTGATTTTTATCGTAGATTCCGCTATTAAAATACGATCTCGCTATACTAACGACAACTAGCAAATCCAATACAAGGAGGTTGTAGCCCTACCAATTACGAATCAGAATATCTAAAAATCTCGTATATACGACGTATATACGTTGAGTTATACTAAATCCCGCGAGGCGACTTCATCCTACCTCCGTTTAGGCCTTTATATATTAAGGATTACGTTCCGCGGTAGTAGTAGTAGCGGAATAGATTAGTATACGTAATACAGTCAAATTTAGGGTTTATTTGCCGACTTCCGAACAACTAATTATACACTACTCTACCTAATCCTTTACCTAAAGGCCTAAAGCTAAACCGCTGATTTTCATCGTGGATTCCGCTATCAAAATACGATCTCGCTATACCAACGACAACTAGCAAATCTAATACGAGGAGGTTATAGCCCTACTAATTGCGAATTAGAATATCCAAAAATCTCGTATATACGACGTATATACGTTGAGTTATACTAAATCCCGCGAGGCGACTTCATCCTACCTCCGTTTAGGCCTTTGTATATTAAGGATTACGTTCCGCGGTAGTAGTAGTAGCGGAATAGATTAGTATACGTAATATAGTTAAATTTAGGGTTCATTTGCCGACTTCCGAACAACCAATTATATACTACTCTACCTAATCCTTTGCCTAAAGGCCTAAAGCTAAACCGCTAATTTTTATCGTAGATTCCGCTATTAAAATACGATCTCGCTATACTAACGACAACTAGCAAATCCAATACGAGGAGGTTGTAGCCCTACTAATTGCGAATTAGAATATCTATAGAATGAGATCTCGAATGGCGCTAAACCTAATCAAGAATAGTCTCAAAGCGGAAGTTACATACACACAACGAATTCTATACGAAGCGCCTGAATAGAGGTAGAGAGAGTGTTACATTGCCGTAAGAGCTGAAATTGAAGACGTTCTGCCCGAAGAACTTGTTAGGAGAGCTAGTAACGTCCGTGTCGTTTAGAGGAGCGATCCCTTTCGGCGCAAACAAGAGCTGGACATAGCCGTCGATGGCAAAATATAATCGGCCAGTGCTAAGCGGCTATTTAGCAAGTGCTTAGTAATATACCTCCCCGGGTAGGTTAAGTGCCTGTTCCTAACAGAGTGCCTTGTTTTGTACGTAAATCGCGCTCTTCTTTAGGCACTAGTGCCTCGCGTCGCCTAGACGCGTACTTAGAATAGCGTGTTTATAAATTTTTAATAGTATAGCGAATTCGAGGTATTATTATCGTTACTATATCTTAAGTCCTTTACGAGTTATCTATTCTCGGCGATTTCTTCTAAGATATTAACGAGCCTAATATTAATAAGCCTAAGTCGCTAGTAGATAGTAGTCTTAGTAATAAAGAGGTAGATTTAGAGGGTTTAAACGACGAGGAGCGCCGTAAGTACGAGCTCGAGAAGTAGATATAGGCGTAGAAGGAGGGTACTAAAGAAGAGGTAGATCTCGAGGAATTAGCGACTTAGGTAGTAGATACTACTATCGAAGACTCGGAAGATAATAAACCTAGACTATTATTAGCTTCGCTAAAGGACGACTACCGCTCGCTTAACGAGGCTATTGCTACTATATAAGAATACGTCTTTAAGGCTAGTTACTGCTAGCGTATTAAGTCTAGAAACAAGTCGAAATTGCCTTAAAATCGCGGTCTCTAGGTGTCTCGCTATCTTATCTATATATAGGGTAATAAGCCGCCGGTAAGAGAGAATTTCGTACGTAAAGGGGCTAGCTCTACGCGAGTCGGTTGTCTAGTATCGTTATAGTTGCGCGCCTACGATTTAAAGAGCCTACTTAGTCGCTAGCAGGTCGGAAATGTTAGTAGAACCTATAACTACGATACGGTCTATAGCGCTTAGTTTGCGCTGTACCGTCGCCGCTAGCGTAATAAGGCTATATAGAAGGCTATTGTCGATAATCTAAATGCTAATACGAGTGCGTATACTACGCTTAGTCGGTTAATAAACAAGGTAGACTATAAGTACGAGAAGTCGCATTTATTAAAGGCACTCGGCCGAGATTCGGTCGATACTAAATCTTAACCTATTTAATACTTAACTAATAACAATATCTTCTATATAGGTATTTAGGTAGTTAGAGACCTTATTAACGTCCGCTAGGCCGCTCGGAAGGCTACGTAGGGCGACAAGACTATATCTAAAGCCCTATTCGAGCTACTAGACTAGCTAGGTTTCTACTAGAAGAAGGAGGTAAATTTAAATAGTAAACTAGACAAATTGCTCGTTCTTAACCTCTAAATAGCCGAGTTATATAGGCTATATCCTAAGTACCTTATTATCGACAATACCTATAAGATAAACAAGTACAACCGTCTACTTTTAAACATAGTAGTAGGCACTAGAGCAGGAGACACTATTCTACTTAGATACTATATTATAGGCAACGAGGATGAAGCTGCGTTTACGTAGTTTGCTAAGGCGTTTAAAGAGCTAAGTACTAAGCATAATCTACTACTACTAGGCTTATAGGTTACTAATCGAGACCGTAGCTATATAAATGCTCTTAATAAGGCCTATCTACGTATACCGGCTCTTATCTACGCCTAGTATATGTTTAAGAACATATAGGTACAGGCTCGGAAGCTAATGCCTTAGAAACAAGTACTTAATAAAGAGATAGGTAAGAACGAGTAGCAAGACGATCTAGACTGTACGACTTTTATAGACAACTTCCGAGCCTGCGTCTATACTAAAATAGTAGAAGAATTCAATACTAAAGATGCCTAGTTAGCAAGCTACGAGAACCCTTACTATATAACCCTTTAAGACTATATCTACCGCGAATATTAGGCTTATAAGTATAAGCTAGTGCACTGCTTCTAGTAGACCAAATTTGCCTTCTACGGACAAGCTATTACTTCTAGAGCTAAAGGCGCTTACTTAACTATAAAGAGGTAGCTTGCTAGTAGGCGCTATAATATCCTTACCCTCTTCCTAAAGCTCCGCCTATAGTAGGCTATTCGTTACTTAGAGATTACTATACGGACAACACGAGAACGGACTGCTATACTAATTGCTTTCCGTAGACCTAAGTTTGTAAAGACTAATAAGAAGATCTACCGACAAGGCTTATAGAAGGGCCTTAACTAGCTAAAGTTAGCGTACGACGAGATTACTAAGCTAGCAAAGGAGCCTAGCAAACAGCGCTCTTAGTGCTTAGGCTGCTTTCGGAAGTTATAGGGTATCGTTTGCAAGTATATAATAATCGATACTATTAAGTTAACTAGATCCTTCGAATTCGACCCCTATACGCACTTCGATAGGCACTAGTATATCGACAAAGCCGCGGCGCTAGTAAGGGCTATTATTAAGCTTAAGAGACCGGTTTAAGAGCTATTAGTATTGCTAAACAACCGCCGTAGAAGAGGTAGAAGAGGTAGAGCGGCAGCTACGAGAAGATACGTACGTACTAATTAACGAGAGGCATTAGGCTTTAAATACGTAGACCGTAATAACCCTGCCTCTTAACGAGGCCGTAGACGGCGTACGAGGGCGTCTATATAACAACCTCGTACGGCAATACAATAACTACGACCTTTAGCTCCGCTAGTCTATACGCCTGCTAAGCGCTATAGCTTTGTTAGCAATAATCTAGCTAGTATTTAAAGAGCCGCTATAGCACTCAATCGACAACGTCTAATAGCGCTAGCACTACCGCTAGCAGTGCCTTACTCGGAGCGACAGTTTGTCTAGTTCTATAGCAGTTAACCTACACTACCGTAGGCTCTAGGTCTACTAGTAGCGACTTAATCTACTATATTTAGTACCGCTCTGCTACTATTAAACTAACAGGTGTTCACTTAGCATATACTAGGTTCTATAGCTCTACTACAATCTATAGCACCGCTCCGCGGAGGTCTATAGTAGTAGCAAGGTCTATAGTAGTAGCAGCTAGTTCTATACCCTCGTAGCTATTAGTATACTAGCTATAGCAATTAGTTCTAGCAGTCTTATGTATCTATACGCGTTAAGGGCTTCTAAAAATGCCTCCTTCTTAACCCTGATTATTACTATATACGTATAGTTCCTATACTAAACACTTTTACTAATTTGTATAGCTAAATACGTCCGTATACGCTTATAACCCGAACCGGAGGTATATTACTAAGCACTTGCCAAATAGCCGCTTAGTACTAGCCGATTATATTTTGCCGCCGTCGACAGGTTTGTTAAGAAGTCCGTCTTGTATCGAGAGCTGTATTTATAGGCTATCCCTTACTAGAACCGGGCTCGAAAATCCTAGTTAAGATCTAGGTAGGAGAGTAGCGGAGATAGCGGCTTTAAGAAGATTAACTATCGTATTAAGCTAGGAAAGACGTAGTAGTAGGATGTACTACAAAGATTAGTAGTCTCAGTTTCCTACCGTATTAGATAGGAACTCTACCTACGATAAATTCTCGATTAACTGCATAGATCTACTTAATGTTTAGATAGGCCTACTAGCTAATAAGGGAAGGTAGGGTACTATCTTACAGCTTAGCATGTACTAGTGTAATAGTGTTATCGCTTAGGTCGTGCGGCTAAACGACAGCCTAGACGCGAGATTCGGAGAATCGCAGATCTACTATTACGTATATTTGCTTAGTATGCTAATGAAGTTAGAGGTAGTCTTTTGGTAGTGTAAACAAGCAAGGCAAAAAAGGGATAGCAAATCTACCTCTATTTAGGCTTATAGGACGAAGAATTACGTAATATCGACTTTTATTAAGCTTTAATTGCACTTTTACGACATTTTAATAGTATAACATTAATTCTTCGCCTATAAGACTAAGAACAAACTAGGCTAAACTAGTACGTAGAATATAGCTATTTGCCCTTAGGGCCTTAGAGGCCGTAATATAACTATCTCTACGATAATATTACAATCTAAGTAGCTAAGGTCTATCGTAATATATCTAACTAGACCCTCTAAGTCTAAGATAGTATACGATAATGCGTTATTATCGTATTCTAACTACTACGACTAAAAGTAAATCCTAGATTGCGATAAAAGTCTTAGTATTTTCCCTCTTATCTTACTATATAGATACCTAGCATTCTACGGCTATTTATATACCTAGAGATCCGAGCGATAGAGTTAGGCCTATAGAAGGGGCTTAGAGTCGAAGATATATATAGAGTCGTATTATTATAATCTCTTAGCCTTCGAGCCGCGGAAAATCTAGGATTTCTTATAGATTATATAAATAAGTACTTAGCCTTAGTATATAGAAGATAGAGCCTATAGTCTCTAGATTAGCGAATACTTAGTATAGGAATATATCGTCTTCTTATTAAGACATAGGACCCTTTTTCTACGTTTGTCTTTATCTAATATTATAATAGTTGTTGTCCTATATATTAAAAAGTACTAAAATCCTATAGGTAATTATATAGAGGACGAACGGTTTAGTTTTAGGCGCTCCGCTATAGGCTACGCTTAAACCGCTAACACAGATATAGTCTAGTGCCTATATAATGTAAGAACAGTTAGTCGTAGAAGGAAGATACATTAGTTGGAAGGTCTAAGCAGCCTATAAGAGCGGGGCGCCTGAAGGCACCGCCTGAAAGGAGGTAGCAGCAAATGGCCAAGATATGACATAGATCACGTGCCAAACCAGCCATCCTCACAACTTGTCAATCAATCAATCATAATCATCATCATCATCATACGTCCCCTCAAAGTCCCGCCAAATGACCGATTCATCCATCTAAAACAAAAGATCAGTACCAAGCCGGCGTTCAAACCTCTGCCCACCATATCCCTTGGGTATCGCGATATCATCAAACCCCACCAACGCATCATGTCCACCAGCAGCCATATCCAGATTATATTCGACCTTCGAGTTCAAGTCTCCGATATAGCTCCCGATCGTATGCGTGCTCTGGACTTCCATCGATTCGTCCTGCACAACAACATTAAACGAAGGCTGCTGTCTGCTTTCTCTGACCCTAAGCTGAGCCTGAATCTGGGCAACCCGTAGATTTCTTTCGTAGTGCTGCGTGTGCGCGTCCAGATATTCCAGATCCAAAGGTGTCAGCTTCTGGAGAGGCATAGGTCGACAGATGCGCTGGATGGTGCCTTCGTAGTCGCACGGCACTTTAATGCTTTCGAGGCGGGGAAACTTGCCATCTTCGATCGCGTCGGCGAGCCAGTTGACTGCGTTCCCTGGAATCAGACAGTCCCAATGTAGTGAGTGTAAGCTGGGAGAGCATAATGTTGTATGCCTGCTAGTGGCTTGTACTCCGATGGGCGGCTCAGGCGAGGCTTCTTGAACGAGCACGAATCTTCGAAGCCGTGTGAGATGTGAGAGCAGAGTTTGCACGGTCTGCAATGACAAGACCTCTAGACCGACCAGGGAGAGCCGTTCTAGGGACAGTGCGAGTCGTGAGTATGCGAGATGCTCGACGCCTGTATCCGTCAGACCACCAAGACTCTCCAGTCTCAGCGATCGCAGCTGGGGCAGTGTAAGCAGTGTCGTATCCGAGAAGTCAATCCGATGCAGACCAGAGACCATGAGATGGCGCAGTGACGGTAGTCTATGCAACACCGCCGTAAATGCTCCGAGGCCGAGATCGATACCAGGATCTGCCGCCAGCGCCAAGGTCTCCATGTTACGCCATTCGTCATGAGACGAGACGAAGTCGCCAATGGTGGGCAGAGTGCTTCTGACCGAGTCCAGATTCCATGCGTAGGACCTCAGCCTGGTCCTGCTTGCCAGAGCTGCAAGCACACGTGCTGTTGTCGTGGTTGCTGGGAGCACATAACCGCCGACCAATTCCAGATTGTAGCATTGTTCCACGATCTCTTGCAGGCATTCCAACGCGGGAGTCTTTCTGGAAGCTGAATACGCCTCGATATCGAGCTCCCTCGCAAGTTCGGTAGGTATTCGTATTGAATGGATCAAGAATCCAAGCCCCGGCGTTCTGACCACCGTATCCTTCAACAGCTGTAATCGACTCTTTGGCTGTTTCGCCGACCATTTCCTCTTCGCTGGCGCTCGATTATTCGGAAGCCAGAGGTCACGATATAGATGTTCTCGCGCCACTCGATACCACCTCTTGTCGACCAGGCACAACGATCGCAAATCATGTTGCAATCCCGGCACATCTACGCGTTCCATGACGGCATGCAAGCCATCTAGGTGATCCAGTATACCCTGATAAATCTCTCGCGGTAACTGCACGAATATGCGCCTTGGCAGATTCTGCATGCGATCTGATACTCGCGTCCATCTCGAATCCGGTCTCCCTCTCTCAAACTCCCACGGCGTCCTCGTCAACGTCGGCGTATCGTTAAATCGACAAGTCCCAGCTTTTCTCTCTTCACTCACGCTCGAAGGCCAAGTATACGTCTTCCTATGTCCCATCAACGAAGTCGTGCGGTCAGGAATGGCCGGAGCTCTCGCGGTCCTGCTATCATTGCTCGATGGTCTCTGCTTGACATTGAGGTCGTCGCTCGTGACATGTACCTGGACGAATTTGGCTTTTACAGGCCTGTCAAATGTCTCCAACATTAGCTCTAGCTTTTCTGGTTGATTGCATCCCACGTGGTTTCACGACTCACCTGTGTTGTTGTGGTCCTGGAACGTCATCATGTTCGGAGGGCGCCATGGACGAGCGTCGCGAGAACAGGCTCACGCTCTTGAGACTTGATGTCCGCGAGGGGCGACTGAAGTTGACATACGAGGCATTGTTTGACATCCTGGCCGGCGGTCCTCCTGCAATATTCGGATGCTGGCCTGGTGCTGGTAGAGCTTAACGCGATACACAACAACTCCACCTCGCTCGCTCGCCTCGCCATAAATCGTGCCAACGACCACGCAGACTAGGGAGTCCCGCTTGTCATCCTCTCCATGAACTCATCTCCGCATCGATGGCGTTCGAGATCGCCATGCCGGATAGTTCTAACCAGTCTCGAGCGGCTTTGGCGACTCGCAGCTCGTCCCTCCAATGGGACCTTTGGTTAGGCTGTCAATCATAGTTCACGCGTCGGGCTGCTCGGTGTGGCTTCAAGGTGGTGGGTACATTCGGGAAGGTTGTCGTGGGCGTGGCTAGCTGAAGCGAAGAAGACGAAAGAGGGGAAAACAATCAATCATGGAGAAAGGGGCTAAAAATGCCATATTCGTGGAGTATCTTCCATCGCCATCGCCATCTCCACGACCAATGACCAACAGTCCTCGTCACCACCATACGCCTGCATACCAATACCCAAACTTCATGCAATGCTCACAAAGGAAAGATCATTCGTGCCTAGAACTCCCCCGCTCTACTCAATCGCAACAGCCGAAGCGGCCTTGTCACCCTGCAGAAGAGGGTTGACCTTCTCATCATCCCACTGGAAGTTAAAGTCCTCGCCGATCTCCTTCTTGATCGCAGTCTTGACAGCTTCCAGGACATTGGCGAAAACACCGAAGTTGGCGGGGTTGTTCTCGTCGTTGTCGCCACCTTGGAAGACACCGGTGCGGACTAAGCAGGTGTTCCAGCCATACATGTTCTGGAAGTAGTCCACAACGTCAGTAAGATAGATGTTGAGCGATATGGGAACGTGGGATTGACTTACACCTCCAATGATGTCCGAAGCTGGGTTGTCGCCAACCATGTAGATGTTCTTGGGCAACTTCTCCTCATTGTGGATCTTCTCCATCCAACTGGCAATCACCTCATCGGCATACTTGTATGTTGCGAGTTCTGGCTTGCCGTAGACGACACGCTCGAGGTCCTCGCCTGTGAGCGCCTTGTACATGGCCTCGATGCCGATTCGGAAAGCACCTTGAGACATTCTTGGGTATGGGTGCTCGGTTGGGCAGAGCAAGTCACCTTGCGAGAAGTAGATTGGGATTCGCTGCGAGACGGGGTCCTTGGCACGAGTGTGCAATCTTCCGTTCTCCGACTGGAGCAGGTCCATGATGATCTGAATATCGGTTGCGTAGTCGCGGGAGTCGGAGAAGACCATGATGGCGTCGATGTTGATCTTTGAGAAGTCTCGTGGGCGGGAGGTGGCACGCTCGGCGTCAGTGAAGACTCGGTATGGAGCGATCGTTGGGTCCCAGGCTACGATGTCGTTGGGCACAACGATGTCCTTAAAGCCGTACTGCTCGGCGACCTCTCTGCAGCGGTAACCCTCTCCGCCGACGACGAGAACAGTGTTGTAGTACTCGGCAAGCGCGCTCATTGGTGTGTGTGATTGGATGAATTGTTCTGTGCTGACTGGCTGGTGCAGGATCTTGGACAGCTGCTCAACACGAGCCTGTTCTGGCTTTCCCGAACCGTTCGTGAGGAAGATGTGGGGGATTTTGATTCCGAGCTCGTTATCGCCGTTGAGGATCTCAAGTGTTCGCTGACCTTCTGGGATCAATCGGTCACCGTGGACAAGCACACCATCGATGTCGAAAACGAAAGCCATGTCCTTGGCGGCCTTGACCTTGTTCTGGGACATGTCCTGGACCTGGCCAGCCAAAAGCTCACGAGTTGGCTGAATGGGCGGCATGCCCGGGCGCTGAGGTCGGCCATCAGCGTGAGTTACTGAGGAGAGGCGGGATTGACGCTTCGATCGTGGAATAGGCAGAGCTGCACCGAAAGAGTTTCTTGATGCTCGCCGGTCGCGCTGGGATGGCGAAAGCGAGAGTTGGTGCATGTATGGTGTTGCGTCCGCAATGCTGGATCTCGAAGCTGGCACCTCGATGGCACCAAAATTTTCGTTCTGACCTCTGCCATAGCTGCCAACGCCCTCGCTGGTAGCAATCTCGCTGCTCTTGACTCTGTCCAACTGCTGCTGCGAAGCTGGTGCTGGGTTGGCAGCAAAGTCCTTGTCCTCGAATCCTGGCATGATTGCTGATGATCTCGAACTTCCTAAATTCAATGATTCCGTGTGGTGGTGTGGTCCTGTAGCTGCGTTCTGTAAAGCTAGGATCTGTGGGGGGAAAAGATCGATATGCAAGAGAAGTCCTCAGAAAGATCTCGGTATGAATATGAGCACAGCGAACCAGGGCGCTGTAGAGAGAGAAGAAGCTAGAGGAAAAGTGTGCAGGGCAAGTACCGCCACAGGGTCCTTCTATCTTATAATAACCATCATAATCCGAGACGACCACGAGCAACCTTCTTCGCAACAGGAACGACTCTTGGCCGACCGAAATGCCTCATACCTGGCTTTCTCGGCCAGTCCGTCAGATCAACGAAACAAATTCCCTTGCACCGGTCGATGTCGTGTTGTCAGGTTTGGTCCCCACTGCAGATGTCATAGTTCTCCAGCATGTATGATGGTTCCCGAGAAAAGACGACATGGTGCCGCCACAGAGACAGGACAGCGCAAAGACCACCCTTGACCGTATACCCATATTTAGTGGATACACAGCTTCTGCGGAAAGACAAAGAGCTCTTGCAGAAAACAATCATATCTCTCAGCCGTGGCGGAGCCAGAAAAGAAAGCTTCGAGGCTGCAGTCTCCACGTGGCCAATGAGAAAATCTCGAAAATTCTGAGAAGTGCGTCTTTCACGTGTTCCGTGCGTGCGACAGGAACAAGAGAAGACATAACGAAGACTTGCGGATCTGCAGGATGTGGTTGGAAACGACGATGCAGAGATCGGATTCCTCAGCTGCCGAAGCTATGCCCTGCCAAGGAGAGAGCATCCCGGTCACATCTCGGGCCTTCGAAGGCTTTGCGGGACATGATGTCAAGAACTTTGTATGCATGGATTGGGGACGACATTTTTTCAACACCGTACCCACAAATGCTGTTGCGCTGGTGCGGTCAACGTCGGGTCGTGGGAGTGGAAGATGACGTTGAGGGTGTGTTCAACGAACTTACTGAATGATGACCGTGATGGAGGCCGAGTAGGGGCGTAACTCCTACCTGGCTGGATTATGTATAGCCGAAGAAAAGAAACCAATCTTATTCGCTCGATGGGGACCGAGAGTGGGAAAAGTCTGAGGGAAGCATTGTTTGATAATATCAGAGTGAGGACGCGCTGAGGACTTGCTTGGAGTCTTTACACCAAATCTACAGCTTCGAGATACATCCTCTGCTGCCTGAAATTCGACTTCATCATCTGCGAATCCAGATATTGTTACCTCCACACATACACCAGAAGTTACGACCAGGATGTCTAACGGAAAGGCTTTCAAGCTCAACAACGGCGTGACCATCCCGGTAAGAAAGCAATGATTGAGAGCGCCTTCGCATCTGAGATATTGGCTGACTTTCGATTCATCACCTTTTAGGCCGTGGGTTTCGGAACGTTCGCAAACGAAGGCGCAGTCGGTGAGACGTACAAAGCAGTCACACACGCACTCAAGGTTGGGTACCGACATCTGGACTGCGCGTGGTTTTACCAAAACGAGGACGAAGTCGGCGATGCAGTTCGCGATTTTCTCAAAGAGAACCCGAGCGTAAAGCGAAGCGACATCTTCATCTGCACAAAAGTCTGGAACAACCTCCACGAGCCGGAAGAGGTCAGGTGGTCGCTGCAGAGCTCTATGGAGAAGCTGAAGGTGGATTATGTTGATCTTTTCCTCATTCACTGGCCGATCGCTGCTGAAAGGGACGAGAAGTACATGCCGAAGCTGAATGAGAAGGGCCAGTATGTGATCAAGGAAGAGCTCACGAAGAACCCACGGCCGACTTGGAGAGCGATGGAGGAGCTTTACGAAGCTGGCAAGGCGCGAGCTATTGGTGTCTCGAACTGGACTGTCGAGGGACTGAAGGAGCTGCTGACCTACGCCAAGGTCAAGCCAGCTGTCAACCAGATCGAGATCCACCCATTCTTGCCGAACGAGGAACTTGTCAAGTTCTGCTTCGACAATGACATCCTGCCAGAAGCATACTCGCCGCTCGGATCGCAGAACCAGGTCCCAACTACAGGCGAAAAGGTCAACACCAACCCCACGCTCAACCAGATCGCAGAGAAGGGTGGCAACACACTTGCGCAGGTGCTCATTGCTTGGGGACTTAGGAGAGGATATGTGGTTCTGCCGAAGAGCTCGACTCCATCGCGTATCGAGAGCAACTTCAAGAGCATTGAGCTGAGCGATGAGGACTTCGATGCTGTCAACCAGCTTGCAAAGGGCCGTCACACTCGATTTGTGAACATGAAGGATACTTTTGGTTATGACGTCTGGCCAGGCGAGGCCGACATTCCGGATGTCAAGGCATAAATTGCTCGTGGGCTTGCATCTTGGGCGTTTGCGATAGCTTTGGAGCTATGAGGTCTGGGGATCCAGCATGATACTGATGTTGCACAAAGGGCATGTGTAGCCACGAGAATGAATGAAGATACCATCTATGCTCTGATTGTGCACTAAGCGGACATATTTCGAACGATGAGTCCAAATTTGACTCATATGAATTAGGGTGGTGATGGGACAACGTCCGAACTCCGCGGTGGTCACTCTCGTCCTGATCTTAACGCGGCTGCTATTCTCCAACACAGGAAGTTATCCATGCATCGTGAGTGGCGACTCGTTCCCAAACAGCTGCTTAAGCCGCGGACACCACTTTGCTCGATTCGCGGATATTCTGAAGCGGCGGAGCGACTTCCAGAGAGTATCTGCTATACGATCATATCTTGGCCGCCCTCACTCGCAGCGATCGTAGTGTCGAGGGAACTGGGCCAATTTCTCCAGATCTTTAGTAAGCCAACGTCCGTGGAACCGCATAAGCGGAAGCAACCGAGCCACGGCGTGCCACTTTCAAACATCTTTGCATTGCAGTATGCAAGGGCAGAGTCGGGTCGAAATAGTCCTGCTCTCGATTTGCATGCTCTCGGTCGCTCTGTTGGTCATGCAAAAGCAGGAAAGGGAATCTTGTCAGGTTCTCTATCCTCGTTTTCTTTGTCCTTGGCCGGAGACATTGGCCACGCCTCTTGTCCAGACCTCCACTTACTCATATCCTTTTCAAGATATTTTGCTAGAGTAGGGAACTCTGTATACACATATTCTGTAAGCCAAGTCGCTTCATGCGTACGTCCCTCATTCCTGAGCAAGTATATCGTTCTTGCTGCAGTAAAGTACCAGAGATGATGTTCCGGGCTTGAATGATGCGAATCCCTGATTCGCAGGAGTTTAGACGCCATGCTCGACTCCGTCGAGAGTTCTTTGAACACTTGCAAAGCTCTGTCAGGGCTAGGCCGAGTAGGATGAGCAAGGTCACATCTCGCTATATCGACGTCAATGTATATTTCGGGGGCGCCAAGCAGGAAGAGGGGTATCAACTCTTGGAACTTCTCATATCGTTTGACGTCAATGCAATCTGTGCGATATTTTTGCTTCTTTCTGTTCATCAAAACTGCGGCCAGATATGAGCCAGAACCTCCTAGTGGTAACCACCGTAGATGGCTATTTCTTTCAGCCGTGGACTTGAGTTCAGCTGCAGCAAAGTAGAAGTCCAAGGCCGCATGTAAGTCGTCGGTGCTTATGGAATCAGTGCCTTTATCGTGCTCGCCTAGCTTGACTGCGCATATGTTGCGAAGCAGTCGACCCTTCCAGCGATATTTGTATGACATCTTCTTGATTTCGCTTGGGAAGGTCCTGCCTTGCTCCGGCTCCTCTGCCAAGTCAAGCTTCAGCCATTGCCACAGAGTCTCCTCGCGACCTTCGCGTATCAAGAACAATGCGAGAAGGTTGAGGAAGACTAAGTTGTCGACGTAAGCGGTAACAGTATGCCTCATGCTTCTCAATAGCCAATATAGTGTTCTTCTGCCCGGTTGCATCTCTTCAAGAAGTGCAGCTCTCCTCTGTGAATCCAACGAATCGTAGGCGCGCTTGACGTTCTCCAAACAAAGCTGAGCAATTTGAACCGTTGCCGCGCCCTTTTCGTCGTATTCTTCCAGCAGGTCTATGGGATCTTTGGCGGGATTCTTTTGCAGCTCGACTTTGGCACTTCCGAAGTCTAGCCTGACAGCGCCTCTCACCAGAAGCGGATTCGTCAAGACGGAAGCCATATGCCGCTGAGCGGAAGCTGCTGAAGAATGTATGGAACTGACGCTGGTCTTGGGCTTGGAGACGCCATTTTCGCCACTTTGCGGGTTCTCTTCTGTCGGAGCGGGATGGAATTCATCCAGATGCTTCCTGAATGAGCCGGTCAACGCGTTCAAAAGTCGAGTACTTTCTTTTGCGGTTAAAGGCGTGGCGGAGTTTGGATGTATTTTGTCTGCCAGAGCCTTCCAATTCAGAGATTTGACGACACCTGAGCCCTTCATCCTGGTGGGAGTGTAGGCAGCGAGCATGTTCACGTAGCGAGTGAGGTTGAGGACATTCCGCGGGATAATTCTGATCTTGGTTGTATACACGTTCTCGACGTGGCACGTGAGTGGTTGATGGTCGAGCGTGATAGAGTTCGGGGGTGAAACGCGGGCACGCGGGACGAGCCGCAGCGCGCCAAGCTATGAAGCGTAGCAGGATGCCAGCAGGGACTTAGTTGACGATTGTTTCCTTTGAACGTTCACATTCACCACTCCCACTCCCACCACCTCACCTCATCGCACCTGACGTTGCGCAAAGCATTCTTCTTCGCGGCATCCACGCATTGCCAGCCTTGCGTCTTCTCACCCCGAGCTTTGCGCGTCTTGCAGCGTCGCCAGCGCCGTCGCTGAGGCTGCATCTCCGTCTCTTTCACTGCTCGCTGCAGCACTTTGTTGCAGTATCACCGCGTCCGCGCCGCGCCGCCTGAGAGACGCCGTCCATCTCCCCTTCACCTGCAGACTCTCTGCGCACCACTCCACACATCCACCCGCATACACACACATTCAGTCGCAATGTCGGAATTACCCACACGCGGCAGAAGCTCCACTAGGGGAGGACGGGCTGGACTCAGTCGTGGAGGCCCGCGCGCCTCCAGAAAGCCCAATGGCACATCAAACGACGCAGCTTCACTTGGGCACTCGCTCGAGGACCAAGGCGAAGTCGGCCAGCTCAAGAAGAAGTACGCCAACCAGATAGCTATGCTCAAGGACATGTTTGGTGCCGACTGGACCGATACCGATCTCGCACTAGTACTGAACGATGACAACGGCGATACCAGTGCTGTCGCCGAGAAGATCATAAGTGGCGCTGTTACTCCATTCGCTGAGGTGAAGAAGCCTAAGGATCGCGCTCGCTCTAAGGTCCCAGAGGAGGCCACCACAGCAGGCGCAACTGATAAGTCGGGCTTTGGCACCAGGGGTGCTCGAGGCAGAGGTGGCTTTGAGGGCGCCAGAGGCGGTCGTGGTAGAGGCTCAGACCGAGGCAGGGGCGGACATCGCGGAGGACGTGGCGGTCACGCGACCACGAACGGCACGAGCACCACGAAGGACGGTGAACCAGCTTCCGTTCCCACCACCGAGTCGACTGCATGGGATACATCGGCTACCACGGAGGCTGCTACCGGTGGATGGGACGACAATGCTGCACCAAAGGCAGCTGCTAAGACCGCAGCCACGCCCGCAGCGCCCAACCCTGCTCCAGCCCTGGATGTGACCACAAGCTCTGCGGCTCAAGGCGCCAGTGATAAGATGCCCTGGTCTGCCTTGTTCATCAAGAAGCCGGAGCCCGCTCCTGCGCCAGTACCGCCAAAACAGATATTGACGAAGCCACCACCCGCAGCCGAGCTTCCAGGAGAATCTGGAGAGCCCGCAGCCGAATTACCAGTTGACCCACCAGTAATGGAAGAAAAGAAGGAAATCGTCCCAGAAGAGCCAGAGACGGCTGCACCTGCTATCGAAGAGCCGGCTTCAGAGCCTGCCATCGAAGCCACGCCAGATCCTTTGACCGAAGAGAATGTAGAACACCTCCCCGACGCATCTATCCCACCAGCCACGCAGACTGCCGCTAGCACCGCAGGATCTGTTGACCCGCGAAACCTTACACCGCTCCCAACCCAACCAGCGCCGATCGGACGGCCACCCATAAGTGGCTATGCTGCAGCTGCGAATCGCCTGGCAGGAACCGGAGGCCGTAGTGCTAGCTTCCAACGCCGAGTGCAAGAGCAGCAAGAGGCAGTTGTAATGCCAGGACATAATGCCATGGACAGGACAGCGCTTCAATTTGGCAGTATGGGCTTGAATGGCGAGCCCGATCCGGATGTTGATGAGGAGCGCGAAGAACCGGAAACCAGACAGGCACCGCAGAGTAAGCCACCTAGTCCTGCCAGACTACCACTGCTCGGATCGCAAGGCCAGCAGCCGCAGCGTCGCCGCATTGATAGCCTCGCTTTGAAAGCCCTTCGTTCAGATGCTAATCCATTGCCTGTAGGTAGCCCACCATCACAACCACGAACATCCCTCCCTCCAGCTCCCCAGGTTGCCCAACAGCCAATACTGCAAGAGAACTCCACGCCAAAGCAGGCACCAGGTCTTCCACCAGCGTCTGCGCAAAACCAGCAGCAGATACAGGATGGGGCACTCGGACAAAGCCAACCAGAGACAGTCTCTCAATTCAACAACAGCCAGTATGGTCGTTATGGAGCGCCAGGACTGCAGCAGGATTCTGCAGCTCAGCAACAGAAGCCGTACGACCCGTTTGGACACCAAGCCCAGCAGTCACAGTACGACCAATACAGGTAAGTCAGATAGCCACACGAAGGCCTGCTGAGCCGGTCGTGTCGAAGATTGCAGCGTTGCTCTGCTCTGACCTTTGCTAACCATATGTCTAGTCACGGTCAACAACCGCAACACCCAGCTGGATTCGGCCTTTCATCTGCGCCCAGCGACTACTCCCAATACTATACTGCCGATCAGCGCAACGCATACAACCAATATTATGGTAATTCTTACAGCCAGGAATCACGACCTCAGGCTTCTCAGCCACAGGGGCACGATCCAATCGGACCACAGCGCTCGACCAGTGGCTTTGGTGCTGGGCCAAACGACTCGGCTTTCGGCACTCAAGGACAACCTCAAGGCCAGGCAATCGGCCAGTCTCAGTCTCGCTTCGCTGAGGCTCCTGGTTCTGGGAACAACACCCCAAATCCCGTCTTGGCTCAACAGCAGTCAGTGCCGACTTCACAGGCCCAGCAACACTCAATGCATGCTGCTCAAGGACATCATCAAGGCGGATACAGCAGCTCCTTCCCATATGGCCACCCGAACTACAACAGCCCATACCAACAGGCTTATGCCAACCAGTTCTATGGCGGAAACCAATTCGGCGGCTATGGCGGCGCAGGTGGAGGATATCAAGGCAAGCAGGGTGGCATGCACGGAGCACCATACGGCTACGGAATGGGCTCACAGTCTTCGTACGACCACTACTCGTCTTCTCCAGGAAACACTGGCGCATTTGGACAGAACCAGCAAACTTCGATGCGAAGTGCAAGTGGGATGGGCTCTGCACTCGGAGGTATTGACGACTATGGCCGCAGCTCAGCTCAGTCCGGCTCTCACCAGCAGAGCAGTGCTTATGGCGGAATGAGCAACGACCCGTTCGCTCGCACGGCGTCCGCATATGGCTCGCAGGGCAACTACGGACAGCAGAATGTAGGAGGTGGCCAGGAGGACACTTTGAAGTCTTACGACACCTCAAAGAGCGGGCCATCTCCTGCACTCGGACAGCCTGGTCGGCCTGGATCCGCCGCTAACAGCGGTGTGAACAACACACAATCTGGCTTGCCTCCGCCACAGGGTCAACAGTCTGCTTTTGGTGGTAGCTACCCAGGATTTGGAGGTCAAGGCAGCCAGTATGGCGGCCTCGGGGGTCTTGGTGGCCATGGACAAGGCCAAGGACATAGCAACCAATTTGGAGGTTACGGCCGCGGCATGTATAACCAATACGGTAGTCAACAGGGCGGCTGGGGACAGAACTACACCCACTAGAATGGGCAAGTAGCATCCTCACTGGGGTCAGTCGCTCGGCGGCACATTGATAGCCCTACCAACAGCCGGAGATGCGCTACCTCAGCCCTCTCAACTCCGAGCTCGAGCCAAAGTACTTCACGATTCTTCCGAAGAGGAGAAATGATCAGCGATGACTCCATTCCAGCGACTCCAAGGTACTCGTGATTATTTTTGAATGTTTTTATATCGAATCGATCGCCCACAACAAAAAGCTGGAGCGGGAGGCTTGACTGTTACACAACTCACCGGGAAAAAGAGTCTTTGGCGTTCATTCTGGGGAATGGGATCAAACTTCACGGTTCGTCAATGATGAAAGAAGATTGCATCAGAGAAGATCAAGCAAGTGTTACTACTATTACATCCAATTAAGGCATTGGGTGAGGCAGGCAGTGTTTTTATATAGTCGTCGACGTCTCTGTCGTGAAATGGATCAATGGCCGGCCCATCATGGGTCGATCGTATCTTAAGGACAAAAACAACTCATCTTGTCTCAGTTGCTTTACTAGATCGCGGAGCACCAACGATCACTACCACTACCACTCAAAATCCCTCGCCACCAGCCCTCACTTCCGATACCATTTCCTCATCCCCTTCTCCCTCCTCGTCTTCTTCTGCAACTCAAACACCCCAAAAAGCAACGTCCGCGGACACCCCGGTACATGAACATCTACTGGCAAATTCATATCCACACCTCTCACAACACTATAAGCATAATGATAATCCCCTCCAACATTCGCACAACTTCCTGCAGAAAATCACGGATTATGATTCGGGCGTTTAATTGAAGAGTTGACTGATCGCTGAGGCCAATTTTGTTACGGAGTGTGCCTGCTACTATCATTCCGTCGGATTGGCGACAAGCTCGATTGCAGCTTCCTATGGCTCGCCAGCAGCAACGATAGTAACAGCGTTCCACGAAACCATGACATTCGTGGTTTGCTGGAGTTCTTCCTCACATTTACAGACCACGAAAAGGACTTCGTTGTGGAAGAAGCAGTAGCCGAAGAGCCGGATGGAGTCCGACATTTCTTGGAACGTCAGCACTTCATAGAAATGAGCGATATTGGTTGCACCTTCGCAGGATACCGTCTTGTTATGCGAGAGACCTGCATGCGTTTATCAAGGAGTATGTATTGCCCAAACAAGATACTCTTCCAGGCGGGCTGAAGTGGCGTCGGGCCATGGCAATAACGCTTTGGTATGGAGAGAAGACGACCGACCTGGTCGAACTGCATCAAGACTTTCCAAATTCGAATATCTGATACATACGAAGCTGTAGCACATCCTGTCGAATGCACATCCCATGTAATCTCTTTTACATCAAAAATGCAATCCCCACCAACGCCGCGCTTTGTCGAAGATCCAGCTCCTGTTTTCCATTCCACTACACCTTCACCCACAACCCAAGCACACCCTTCAAATACTCCACAATCTCCTCCCCACCCAGCTTCGACTCACCATACAACCGATCCACAAACGAAATCGGCACCTCAGCCACCTTAAACCCCATCGCCTTCGCTCTAACCATCATCTCCATCTGAAAAGTATACCCTTTCGCCTCCGTCCTATTAATCACCTCCTGCAAAACCTGCTTCTTGTACAACCTAAACGACCCCGTCAAATCACTAACCCCCGGCCTCAACACCGTATCCGCGAAAAGATTCGCCCCTCGCGAAACCATCTTCCTCTTCAAATCCCACCCATACACACCCCCGTCACCCGCATACCTCGTCCCGGTCACGATATCGTAGTTTCCTTCGGCTTGCTTGGCAATCATTGCGGGCAGGAATTTCGGGTGGTGAGAGAAATCTGCGTCCATGATGATGACGAAGTTTCCGGTTGCGAAGTTTAGGCCGTGGACGTAGGCGGTTCCGAGACCGAGTTTTCCGGCGCGAGGTTTGAGGAGGATGTGGTTGCTTCCGTAGGCTTTGATGAGTTGGTGGGCGATTTCTTGGGTTCCGTCGGGGGAGGCGTCGTCGATGATTATGATTTCGTAGTCGAGGTTGCTGCGGTGGATGGCGTTAATGGTTGTTCTGGCTAGTATTGTGATGGAGATGTGTGTACTCACTTCTCGGTGAAGGTCTTGTTGAGTAGGCAGACGATGATGGGGAGGTTCTTGCGCTCATTGTAGGTCGGGAGCAGGACGGAGTACTTGTTCTTGACTGCCATTGTGGTCGCTGCTGTTGGTCGATGATTTGATCGTTAGAGGTGAGTCTGATGTGTTGGGCAAGCGAGTGACTGCAGTTGGTGGACGATGTTATGGTCCATCGTCAATGCTATGAGGTTGACAGCTGTCAGGGATGCGAGGGCTTGGCGCCTGAACCCCTGCCAAGACTTAGAACTGCTTCAACTTCATCGACCGGAATACTACAATAAGTGAGCGGAAGTGTGAGATGGTAGTTGCGAACACAAATTCAATTACGACGTACAGCAGGACGTGGACCAGCATTGTCTCCAGATCTATCCTGACTTCATCTCAACTCCGATACCACTCCTCGTCCACCTCAAGGGGAAACTGCGCCAGATGATTCTCCTGCAGCCCGTCACTCTCGCTTTCCTCCTCGACACGACATGAGTGCCGACCAAAGCTTGACCAGCGCACTTCGCAGCCTTCATAACGATCCCTTCGATACTGCATCGACTTCACCTTGCTGTCATGCGGCATCCAAAGATCCTCCGCCGGCCTATCTTCTCCGTTCGGTTCGCAGGTGTGCGACCCAAACACCGGCCACCGCGCAGCGCACTTGTTGTACCTGTCCTGCAAAAGGGCGCGCTTTTTCAGGACGATGATATCATCCAGATGGGCTTCCTCGTCCCGACCCCAAGGCATGGCGTGTAAGATGCCGCATGTGTGCCCTGTGCTGTTATCCCAAGTCCTGGCGCATTCGAAGTAGCGCTGCTTCAAAGCCTCGGCCAACGCTGCTGTAACATCTTGCAGGCTTTTGGGAGGCACGACACCGGACGACGCCGACTCTGGCATTCCTTCGTCTTCCTTTTCGAAGACACGAAAGCTCTCATATCCCGCATCACCCTCATCGGGACTATGCGATCCAAACCCCCATCCATTAGACTGTTCCGAATCAGCGAGATCAGAGCTGTTCGTGGAACTTTGGTGCTCAGAGGTGATGGGGCAACCGCAAAATTTGACCCCATTGCTTCCTTTAGCGGCCTGCAGGTCGGCAAGAATGAGATCTACTGGCAGAGAATAACTTGACCAGTCATCAACAAAGTGCACCACTGCTTCCCGTTCTAGCACGAACTTCAGCTTCCGTCGCACATCAGCAGCAGTGATCGTGCTGTTGGGATGCTTTGCTTGGTATCTGTTCAAGTCAATGAACGCGTCTCGGACATAGTGGACCACGGCCGGCTGGCGGGCAAGGTGAACAACTCGCTCATAGTAGGCTGCGAGGTCTTCTAAGTCTTCGGGTTGGTCGAGGTCCACACTCGAGGATCCAGCTTCAGCTTCCTCAGATTGGTCCGTAGACACCCTATAATCGTCACTCTCGCCGATATCTTGCGTACTTTCTTGCTGCGGGGTGAAGGCTGATCCTGACGGAGCATCAGGCTGAACTTCAATTGTGTGCTGGACCAGCGGGTTGTCTGAGAGTAGTTCGCCCGTCCTTGCGCTCGTAAACTGAACTCTGAACGCTGCTCGCCTGGCGAGTGATATCAAACGTGACTTTGAGATTGGCTTGTTTCCGACAAACTTTTCAGCACTCTGTATGCCGATATTTCCAGCTGTGTGGCGAAACCATCCTCCCCGATTTGGAGGTTCTTCGACCCGCTCATCGCTCATTTGAATGGGAGAAGAGTAGACTGGATCTCCGTCGTATAGTTCTCCGTCGTCGGTAATCTCTTCCTCGTCGCCGCGCCGCCTCTTCGAAGAACGCTCATCCTCCTCTGTTTCTCGGCCGAAAGTCTCGCTACGAACACTCCTTGCGGTGTCCGAGACGGGCGAGACACTCCTTACGAACGACATCTCAAAATTCCTGTCGTTATCTCGCACATGTGCCAGCTCCTCTTCACTGGCAAAAACAGGTGCACCCTCATCCCGTCTTCTTTTGCGAGAAGCTGCGACCGATGCGGATTTCTCGAAGTAGTCTTTATCATCTGCCATGGACGACTTCAGATTTCTGAGAATCGAAACCCGTCTCATAGATTCTAGTTCCTCCGTTCGATCTTCAATCTCCTTGCGCTTTGCGGCCAGTTCTTTAGCCAATTTTCGAAGCGCTGGGAAAGCGCTTTCCAGGACTTCGGTGTTATGTAGAGGTCGGAAGTCCGACATTCTTGCAGGTCAAGGTTTTTGAAGTTGGCCGTATTTGAAGTTTGATGGTATTTCAAGAGAAGAAGAATGCTGCTGCTGCAAGGTAACTTTTATAATTTTCCTCGCGTCCGACGTACAAAAAATCTTTCGTGGTAAGTAATATTCGCTAACCATTCAGAGCTTCCTCTCAAGCAAGCTTGTCAGCCTGATACCCGCACCAAAGTTTTTCGCAGCCGTAGCCGCAGCCTCGGAACCATGGCTTCAGCCTGGTTTTGCGTCAATTAACGCCAAAGTTGGCCTCTAGAGAAGCTCTCGGCACTGCCACACGCTATTATTCGCGCTTAGATCTTGGCATTTCTGCCTCTGCTGCAGAATGCGACGTATACCTTTTCTTCAGTTCAGGCTGACCCACAGCCTCGCATGCCTTTTCCAACTCAGGTCTTGCGAATTCGAGCATAGCGTTGCCAGATGTCCATTTTTTTGCTTTGACCGAACACGTGTCGAGAAAACAGTCACCTATTCACACTGCAGAGCTGCCACGAAAGTTCTCGCGTTCCCACGCGTGCTTAGCATGACGGACCTTCCAGTGTGCTGGTCACATTCGCAAACAAAGAAAGACACATGCCCGAGAGATAGCATAGGAGGCAGTAGATCTTAATTAATACCATACATCACAAATCATTCTCTTCCCCTCCCATAACATAACATCATCCTCCCCCTTCCATCCAGCAGATCAAATCCCATCTTCATCATGCTTCCATTCCAGAGGCAGGTCTTAGTTTCCCTCATTGAAGAGGTACTCACACCGCGCACCACGAGAAGGTGCCTGCCCAATCGCGCGGCGTCCTCCTCTTACTCTTTTCCTGAACCTCCCTTCAATAAATCCGTGTCCGTATCAATCAATCATGGCCAGTCCCGGCCTCACCATGTATGTATACCTTGGCCAATGCCAATTTTCTTCTCGGCGAGGTTCAAGTCGTAGCATGATGCTTCTCATCAAATGCCAGAGTCGCGTCGTGGGCGGTGGTGGTGTTTTCTTCCCCCCTCCCCTCCCCTCCCTTTCTTTCAAAGTTTCTGTGTTCACTTTTTTCTTTCTTTCTTTCTTTCTTTTCCCTTTTTGGATCTTTCTTTCGCTTTGATCCAGTTTTGTTTTTACCATCGCATTCTTCTCTCCTTATGGGCATCATGCCCCCTTCTTCCCAAATGCCAACCTCCACTTGCCTGTAACTTCCAAGATTTCCCAAACTCCAACCTTCAAACCCCTTGCCCAAGTCCATCTTCCCAATTCCTGTCTTCCATGTCTTCCTTCATCTGCCATGACTCCCTCCGAGAGTCCATTCAGCTCAGCATCAAGTGAGAGAGAGAGCTCTCTAACTCCAGGGCCAATTTTGACCTTTGACCCGCGGCGACAGACTTCTATGCCCTAGCCGACTTGATGTGTGCGAGGCACGGACGGTAGCCTATTCACGCTCCAAGCGCCCAAGACCAAGCGAAGCAGCTCCGTTCTGTGACTTTCACGGAGCGCGGACGTTGTGTGAGAGAACTCAAATTCTCCGCCGGCCGTAGAGAGTGTCCTCTAGCCGAGTGAGATTTCTGTTCGAGGTTTTCTTCTCACCATGCCGGCGTACAAAGCTTGGCAATTGTATTGGAACGCTCTCCGCAGCAGGTAGAGATTTCTGCTTCTTTGGAGGTGGCGCTGCGTCGTCTTCTTCACGCTTGCGCTTCACCGCTTGAATGGCCGCTCTGGATCTTGGAGTTGTCTCTTGGCTTCCAACCTTCCGCTTCTGTGGAGATGGCGTGCGCTTTATGCCCGGCGCCTTGAACGTAGCACATGCCGGGACTTTGCGGTTTGCCAGAGAAACTTGCTCTTCCATTTCCTCACGCTTACGCTTCATCGCGTGCTGAGTCGAGACAGGTTTCGGGGTCGTCCCTACAGCGCTGTATTTGCTGATTAAACCTTCAGCCTTCTTGATGTCCGCAGCGATGCCCCATCTGACGAAGTCCAGAAGCGCATCGTGAGCTCTGCGTGGGAGTGGATGGTCGAGGTCCATGCGAATGTCCACGCCGTCTGATTGCAGATACTTGGCACCAGCAATGGATCCGACGATACGAGCAGCTACCACTTCTTGAGGCCCAGTCATGCCCTTGAGGAGCCGAAAGATTTCACGAATTTCCAGCTTGATACGTTGCTCCGTCTTGGAATGTAGTACCACGGCTTCCTCTGTCTTTTGGAAGGCCTTCCCGGGGGACGACGAGTGTTGCGGCTGAGCCTGCTCACTTTCGCGATCGCCCTTGGAGAAGCTGCCTTCATTGCGCTCGCGCTTTCCTGGAGATTTAGACGCCACAGGCTTCTCAGTCTTGGTGAAGGCCTTTGGTGGAGTCGACGAGGCTTTTGCAAGGGCTGGCGCATTTTTGTGATCGGGCTTGGTCTGCGCAGGGATGCTTCCTTCATGCTCGGCCTTGCCTGGAGCACTGCGCACTGATGTAAGCACCTCAGCCTTCTCAGTCTCAGCGAAGGTCTTTTGTGGGTTTGCGTGAGCCTGATCAAGTTTGCGATCGGGCTTGCTCGGAGGGGAGACGCTGCCTTCCTGCACCTCAGCCTTCTCTGAAGCAGTCAGCACCCAGCTCGGCGCCGCAGTCTTCTTAATTATGGCGAGGCCCTTGCGCGGTGTTGAATTTGCACTTGTGGTGACAGGTGAGGTTTGATTCTTCTCTCCTGGTTCGGACTTAGTCTTCTTCGGGGCTACTGAGGTTGTCTGCACAGAACCTTTATCCTCAGAACCCTTGGAGATGGAGCCCTTAGATGTCGATTCAGTCCCTGAGTGTGACTTGCGAGCTGAATTTTGGATCGCGATGCCCGAGTCGCCGTCACTGTCCCGCTCTGACTTTGGCATTGCCAAGGCCTCACTCGGCGTGGAAGTTGGTCCTCCGCGCTTTGAGTCCGTCTCGATCACCTCCTGTTGAGTGTCAGAAGATCGACGAAGCGAGACTGGCTCGCCAAGAGTTTGTTGCTGGTGTTGCTTGGAAGCGGGAGGTGTCGAAGTGCAAGTGTCAGGTAGAGGTAGAGGTAGAGGTAGAGGAACAGACACAATTCCTTCTGCCATCGCCTTCTTCCACGCTTCCTCGAGGATTTTGAACCAGCGGCGCTCGTCCATCTCTCTGATCGTCTTGAGTTTCTCAGGAGACTCTTTGAGCCAGTCCACTAGTTCCTCGACAGCTGCCTCACGGGAGCACCGCTCCGCCTCGGAAGTCTTTTGAGCGGACATGGCAGTGGTAGCCATCTTGATGTCGATGGTGTTCGACCAGTGGTCTTAAACCTCTTGTTTCAGCCAATGAAGCTGGTGGGAGGCTGCAGATGTGACTTTCTGACCGCCTGTGATTTTTTCTCTTGAATGCAGAGGTGATGTTCTTGGATGCAGACAGAGTTGATCTGGCTTAAAGCCGATAGTGTGTAGCAAGTGTGAAAGTCTTGCTGGCTAGCTTGCTTGTTTGATGCAGTTGAGTGGAGTGTTATGTGTGTGATGGGAGCAGAAGTGTGCGTTTTGAGACGCAGACTGCTGTAGAGAAAGGAAGGAGAGATTTTCGAGGCTGGAAATGATTTTGCACCCAGCAGGCGCTTGGCGGTATAACCTTTGAGCACACACTTGACCAACCGTAGACGATGGAATCAGCAATGACATTTGACGACCGAGTGCGTGCCATCGGCCGGGGTAGCTTGATTCTTGACCGCTGGTATTGGCCCAAGACGAGAATGGAGGATGGTCTACTTATGGCCATGAGTTGGACGTGAGACGGAGATCCATGGTACGTTCATAACTACAGTATACAGTTGCCAGGGAAGCTCATCGAAGCCTTGGTTGCACGCGGGCTCGACTTGCTAGATATCTGACGTTAGCGTAGCCTTGCACGTCGGGGAAAGTGGAGCTTTCCGTACATCTCGACAAGTGGATTGGCGGGGCTCGAACAAGTTTTGAGGCTAGTAGCAAGGTGCGAAGCTTTTCGTAACTTCATAAGGCAGTGGGGAGAGCGCGCGTAGACCCGAGAGGTACCCCAAAGTGAAATGCGTATAGCTGTTCTCATGGCAGTGCCTCGGGCATTTGTTTTGTAAACAGGTCTATCCCTCCTGGCTCGCTATGCTACGCTAAAGGGCAGCATAATTGAAACTTTCATTGCACGTGCTTAGGTCGTTGAGGCTTTCGTCATCTGGTCGATGCGCCCAGTACCCCGACTTGAGAAAACGGCCATGATGCCGAATCCAACGTAAAAGAGTGCCAGAGGGTAGGCGACCAGGCCTCTCATGTTGGTCATGCGCCCCACAACGCAGAACATGGCCGAGCTTGAGTAAGTGCACCACGCGATGGCCAGGCTGACGAGACAGTAACCGATGAAGGTGTCCAACGGCAAGGCTACGCCAAGCAAGCTTGCGAAGACCAAGGGAAGCAAACAGTATCCGAGGACAGAGCTCGAGCGGCCAAGTGTGAGGGTCGATGAGAAGTGGGCGCTACCATGATAGCTCGGTTGATGGTTCTGGGCAGCTTGGACGTCATCTTGCGACAAGGGAGGCGACATCATGCTGAACACAAAGTGTAGCGCGATGGCGCCAAGAGCAGCCAGCCCGCATACGTAGCCGAACCACAGCTTTCCAGACTATGCATTCGATCAGACACGTGCGCCAGAAGGCTACAAGGGGTGCACTCACGAGTAATAGAAATGTGCCGAAGAGCGCACAAAAGAGAAATGGTCCTGCCAAGTCTGCATCGTCCATGATGTGTTGGTCTATTCGCGCCATGGGATTGAGCACGGTGAGTGTCTACGGCTCTCGTTAGCTGACTCCATACCTCATTATTCCCTCGACCGCAATGTCCCGATGTGACAAAGCCTATCCCACGAACCTTGCTTTGTATGTGGTGGAAATTGACACCGAGCTCCTCTAGCAGAGGAGGCTCGCCATCATATCCTTCTGTGCCAAGCGCGGCACGCCAGCCTGTTCTTAAGCCTCCTTGTCCTGTGCCCATCTGCCCGCTTGCTCCTGGTGGTCCCGCAAAGGCTCCAAAGCCATAGTTCGCTGAGCCTCCACCATAAGCATTTGAGGCTCCGTAAGCTTGTCCGGTATTGGGTGCGCCGAATGCTTGGAACGGTGTGGATTGCCCTGATACGGGCTGATTTGAGTATGTGGACTGGTAGAAGTTGAGATTGTTCTGAGCATTATATTGGTTGTTGGGCGGCGATTGGTATCCGTAGTTGGCCATGGTGGCCCGTTTCGGATGCGTTCGTGGTATGCGAAGGGAAATCGGGGTCGGCGACGTCTCGTTACTGGCTCATAGATCTGGTTCTCGCTGGATGCACTCGACAGGCAGAGAGAGGAGCTTTAGACTGCTGCCTCCAAATCGCACGTTGTCGTCCTCAGGATCGGGGTCCTCGGGCGCGGCGCTCTCCCCGACTGCAGGGGCGGAACTTTAGATGCCAATCAAGTTTTGACGGCGAGTACGGTAAATAATGATTAGCCTACCTGGAACTCTCACTTATCAACACCTCAACTGTTCATACAGCGAGAGTGCTTACAAGTAAAGCCAGTCTCGCCTCACGAACTGGCATTGAAATGGCCGTCTCTGGACTCCAACATGGCCACCTGTGCCAGCCGCTCAATGCGAGGCCACCAGGCGCCCTCCATTACCCGTGAAAGAGCCTCACGTTACTATAGCAGGCCGGGCTCTGAAGATCTCCGTCCAGCACGATTCTACATCCTGCAGTTCAGTCAGAGCGGCACTACCTATCTTTCCACGATCTCGGGCGGCCCTCACAGTGATCCTGGCCAGAGGCTATCTCACTCCAACTTCAAGGCCATTCTGTCATGCTCACTATGCTGTGTTTCAAGTCCTAAGACTTGTCCGAGCCTGGTCTGCTCTCTTCTCGACATACAAGCTGCCGCTCCTCAATTGGAAACAGGACCGCGACGACCATAGCGTGCAGCACCAGGCGACATGTGGCGCGGAGCTGAAAGCTAGCTTGGCGGATTGTCGCCCATCGCGGCGCCCATTTCACCTTAGCGGCTTTCGCCAAGGCTGGCTGCCTTATCAACTCTCTGCATCCGCGCCTATTCTGGGCCCGTTCTCATGATTCTCTCTACAAACAAAGTTCAATGGATCACAGTATGGCAGATCGGTGCATCGCTCTCAGGATCTCTAGCGCCATCAGGCGAGCTCTCTCGGCTGTTCTTCTATACCGCTCATCCGCCGCCCGTCATGTTCTTGCTTCCCACCATACACTCCTCCGCCTTGTGTCCACCTGTGAAGAGCCACGAAAGCGGGCTTCATGGCGGTCCGACCAGACCATGAGATCAATGCTACAACGACATCAGACACGAAGCCGGCCTTCGTGACCCACGCTCACCCAGCTTCAGCGCGCAACACATCCCCTGATGCTTCTCAAAACGAGGCAAGACCTGTCGACTACTTGCACACGGAATCACAGGTCCAGCAACGCTCTCGATATTCTCGCTGCTGCTACCCCTTCAAGACATTGCTCTTCCAGGTGTTCGCACTGCTTTGGCTAGTACCCATAATACTCCTATTGGTACTGAACGCGGAGCAGAAGATTATCGGTGCGAGCGCAAACTGCATACATGTTGAAGGCGGCTGTCTTCCTGATGTCTATTCGTCCTGGAGCGCAGTTGACGCACTTGTCAGAGCTGCGTCTCTTGACAAACGCACCCACGATCTTCTAGGAGGTCTTCAATTGGTCGCCAAGGCATTGGAGATATGGTTCGCGTTCATCGCATCATGGCTGGTGTATATGTTCACAATGTTTCTGGCATCCAGCGGACGAGGACTACCCATTGAACATCTCTACAAACCGACAGAGTATGCTGATCCAGTCAGCGGTTTCAAAAGTCTTTTCGGCATCTTTGGAGGACTAATTGCTTCATTTCGCCAAGCCAAGGCAAAACACGCCCAAGGCCAACATCACCAGGGAAATTTTCGCCTGTTTCTCTTCATCCTGGCTACCGTCGTGCTATGTGTAAGTATTAAGCAATGACGTCTGGCTTATCTCGACATGTGCTTACTGGCCTTAAAGGGCATTATGAATCTCATGGGTCCTGCTGTTGCCATATTGCTGATTCCGACGCTACAGTGGATCGATGTTGACCCTGTCCTCGATTCAACATTCATCGCCATGAATGCGAACACAACTCCGACCACGAGCGATTCTTGGCTGCTCGGAGACTCTGGATGCACCCAGGACAACTTCGTCGCCAACGACTATGGATGTGCTGAAACCTGGTCGTTGAGTCTCGATGGCTGGGCAAGCGGATATATGGCGACAGAGGCTGCTGATAGCGCAGTATCGGTTCAAGGCGAGCTGATGTTGACGTACAATCGCACGCGCTTCCCCACCGGATATGCTAATGATGCCGCTCTCACCAATCCGACCTATGAACTTGTGACATTCATTCCAAACCGTCATGTCCTCGATGATCTGTGGGAGGACATGCGGATTGTGCGGTCTATTTCCCAGGGCAACGATACCATGGCTGCCGAGGAGGCTTCCTACGTCAAATATAACAAGACTGTGCAGACATACTTACAACGGCACGGCCCAATCGTGGGAGCCATCTCCAATGTGTGGTATAACTACGATGATCAACTCAACACAACGATCCATGTTGGACCGCAGAAGCAGGTCAGATGCTATGCATCTTACAACAGCGACAACGCGCCGCTAAATTGGAGGGGTGATAACTTCGGGTCTTACAACGCTGGCAATTGGACTCGCTGTATCCCGATTGGAGCAGGATGGGACGACGGCTACCAGACGACGAACTTCAGCATCCGCGGTAATTACGACATAGTCTCCAATCGTACACAGCCTGACATCGCATTCACTGTGCACTCAACGTCAAAGGCAGCTTTTCTGCCCAACGGTACAGTCCCTGCAAGCCTTGAGGGAAAGTTCGCACAGAGCTGTCTCACCACCTCCAACTCGTCTGCTGGATGCGACTGGGAAGCTCTCTTCTCATCGCCTACAGACGGCAACATCTTCTATCGCTCGCAGAACGTCACTACTTGGGAGCTGGTGTCGGACTCGGATGGCAAACCGGGCAGAATAGGAATTGCTATCGACTTCGTTGCAATGCAAACGTTTGCCAACTACACCTTAGATCCGTCTAGCTACAGTAATCCCAATTACCTCACGGATTATCAATTGAGGTGCGTCAATGTGGCCTACGATCAACAGAAGCAAGACTGACCGTTCCTAGCGATTCTCAAACAACAATTGATAACATGACAGCACTTCGAGTTGACCCAGCTTGGACACTTGCGGCTTGGTCGGTCGCGGCTGGCGGAGAGGTTGAGGGCAACCGCTCTGCGGGCACTCTTCTGCAAAGCTCCTTCGACCACCTATTCCTGAATTACAACACGACAGACGACCCACTAACTCTCGAACAATACCGCTTAACAGGAGGAGGTCTCATGAGCATCTTGCAAATGCTGAGTCTGATGGACTACACCACCGTTCCAGCAGGCGAGACCCAAGGCGTGGACCCAAACCTTCTCATGTCCAGAGCCGGGCGCATCCAAGTCTACACTTTCGGCCTGTTCGGGCGCACAGCGAAGTTGGGTTTTGCAATCGCTATTATTGGTTGTGTCATTGTCTTCATCGAAGTCTGCGTTGGGTTGCTTTATGGTCTCTGGCTCGGACGAGGCTTTCGATCACCACTGGAGTTGCTCCTCGCCGCTTTGCAGCATCCTTACAGTGGAGAGATGGATGGCTTTGATGAGAAGGATAGGAAGAAGCAGCTTTCTCGTTTGCCGGTGACGCTTAGTGAGGTGAAGCATGGCGCTGGACCGATCAGGTTTGAGAATGTAAGGTATCGTGGCTGAGGCAGAATAATTGAGCAATGCAGTGGAGTCGGACGACTCGATTTTCAGAACTGAACTGAATTACTTTGAATTGATTCAGGCTTTATTGGAAATTTGGTCGATGAATGCCACGTGCGGCCCATGCTCTCCCTCCCTGAACGAACCTAAACCTTGCGATCTTCTTCACCTCACTTCCAGTCTATCTCAGGCCTCCCGCGTCCTTGTTTGACTGACGCTTCCCGACCACGCGCATGTCTGGATCAAGCAGCCCAGGCTCTCAGGCTCAACATCTCTTGGCAACGCGTATCGCAGAATCTACAGTAGAGGAATCCACCTGTTCTCTTGTGCTGCGAAAGACGATTGGATTCTTCGGAGAGGCGTTTGGATGAGACACGGAAGTGGTGCTTCGCGGCGCCGGTGATGATGATGATGAGCACGGTATCGCCATCAGATGCGAAGATCTCGCGAAGTTTATCGTCGGCCATGGCGGTATGGGATGGGATTCAATGAGTTGTGGGTCAGGGCAGGGACTTTGGGCGGCGCTAGGGAGTAGAGAAGTGAGGGTTGAGGGAATTTACGGTACGCAAAGATCAGGTTGGGGCATTATATAACGCGAAGATGATATGAGTTGTTCGCGGCGATTTTTCATGGCCTCGATCTTCGCCGCTTTAATATCTTAACTTCACACTTCTCCTGGCATTCCATTCTACATTCTGCAGACAACCCCATCCAAAGCCATTTCTAGTGTTGCTCTACAGCAGGCTTCAAGTCAATCGAAATGCGCAGGATCATGACACTTCGCCGAAGTTTCGAATGCAAACGCCTGCACGCAAGTGAGACACAGACCGTTCGAGAGCCTCTCGGCCTGTGTAGCCAACGCCCTGAAATCCGCCGTGGGAATGATTCCAGGTTTCCGATGCTCCTCGCAACCACTCGTGTAGCTGTACTCGCTCAAAATCCTAGTCCTATCGATAACGGCTTGAAGGCACATGGCATTGTCGCCGGTAAGAGGTGGTGGCCAGGTTTCGGTCCCGAAGTGTCTATGCGCGTGCTCGTAAAGAGGTTCGTGGTCGACGTCGGGAGGCGCGCCGCATTCTCCACACCAGAGGTCGAAGAATATACCCAGACTGTATGTAGCCTCATGGTGAGCCATTTGGCGAGTCCTCTCCAACTGCGCTGCAGAAAAAAGTTTAGCAGCATCCCCTCCAATTGACAAAGAGCTCTCTGCACTTACCCAACACCTGAGCCGGGACATTTCTCCCACATCGCGTTTCGGCAAGCGAGGCTATATCTCCAGTACACAGCCTCATCAACTGCCTCGTACCCTGAAAAAACGCATGCTTATGATCAAGTAGAAATGCTGCCGCGACCATATCTCCAACAACTATCAACGAAGCCTCTGCGCCATAACATCGAAACCAATCGGATAGGATCGCATGCGTTTGATACCGGAGGTGGTCGACGAGGTCGTATCTCTTGAGGGAAATCGCGAAGTCGAGAATCAGGGCAGTGGGCCAGACTTTGACTTGGTGGGAGAGGGGACGCAAATGGAGCATTTTGAGAATCTCGCGCATCGCGTCCGGGTTGTCGTCGGGGAAGTCGAGCTCTCCAGTGGCACGGGGTTGTAGGGGTAGATAGTGGTTTACCAGATCTCTCATGGAGATGGAGCTTTCGCAGAGGCGAGCCGATGAGACTTTGAATTTCGCTCCGTTTTCGCCGCCGGCTTTGAGAGTGAAATCGCCATTGGGTGCGATTACTTCGGTGTTGGAGGGGTGCGGTGTTGACATCTTTGAAGCGAAGGAGTTCTGTGCCGTAGTGAGGTCTCTGATGGTCTAGTTAAATAAATTGAGCTTTATCGATGATAGCAAATAAGTGAAGCTTGAAGAAGGGGCGCGCAGCTCCGGTTTTCATTTTCTCACCAAAGATCTATATTATGACCTTTGTATCCGTCTCCCTTGGCTCTTCCGATTGCTATCAGATGATATGCTTTTACGGCGGCCGCCTTTGAGTCATGTTGGTCCAGTGGTAAGCATACCATGTCACATCGGTAGCAATTTCCTTCCCTCGATGGACTCTTCGCTCGAGAAAACCAACTGATGAGGTGCGCTGAGGGGGAGATACCGATATCAACCAGCACACGTCTAGCCGGTTGTCATCATCTCAGCGACGTGACCGGTGATTGAACAGTTGTCGAGCGGGTTCTGAGCTTCATGGGAGCGCAAGCAGTGAAGACAAAGACCACAACAGATGCTTTCGACTTCGTCAATGTACTCCGTGACCTCGTCATGATCAATCGCGCAAGCATGACAGAGTAACGGAAGCTCTCCGATGTACTTCGGGAGCTCCTTGATGATACTGCTGGGACCTAGCCTCTCTCCAGGCTGATAACAGTCCATAAAGTCTTGTAGCCTTGCCTGGCTAATGGTTTCGGAATTGTGATTGCAGGATCCTATCAAGATTGTAGACAGGTCTCGCCTCATTTGTTCTTGCACAGCGAAGTACCGATGTTGTAGTGCATCTGCGATATGTCAGCTTTTGCGAAAAGAAGGCGATATGAATTCTGAAGCGGGTAGACTTGCAGTAGACTTTGGCCGGCAATGCGCTTTCTTGAAGTGAAGGTAGAGTAGAATGCTCGCGTAGGATCTGCTTGGTCGCGGCGCGAAAAGGTCGAGGAAGTTGGAGCAACCAGGCTGCGCTTGCGACGCGACAGATGTCAATGCTCCCATATTGAAATCGATCCAGAAAGTCCCAGATCAGTCCGTTGATCTGGAGGCGGAGCACGTCGACACAATCATATTTGTCGATGAGTCCTGCCAGTGCGAAAAGCTTCCGCGAGCATTGATCACGTGCAATTTCTCGTGCCGACGCTTTGTTGCCTGGATTCGAAAATTCCGCGACAGATTGAGCATGAAGCAGCATACACATATTCGTCATTGCTGCGGCATCGTCCTCGGGCAGATCAACGACCTGAGGTGTCTCGGCGCTGCGTTGGACTTGGCCTTCCTTGAAATGCGGTCCGAGAAGCGCAGCGAAGACTTTCGACAAACTAGTCAGGACAGTGGATGACACGAGGAGCTTCGCTTTCGAACCGCCGACCTCGAGGATTAGGTCGCCCAATTGTGCGATCTTCTTGACTTCGTCCATGTTGGCCATATCGCATGAGTGTGTTGTGTGGTGTTGTTGAGATAGCAGCGCGAAAGACGCAGGTGATGCTTGAGCTCGGAAGAAAAAGTGAGCTTTGATGCGAAGTGAAGCGAAGTGATCACGTCACTTTCACATGCTGCAAAGCCAAAAGGAAGAGACCGCTGCATATTCTGGTCGGTTGTCACGTCTAAGGAGTTGGAATATTCCGGACTCAAGCACCTTCTTTCGAGGATATATGCGGGATCGTGGAAGAGCAGCCCGAAAGGTATTTTCATCCACAGTGTTGGCCAGTATCAGTAGGCGTTCCAAGGCTGCTGTGGTACTCGTGGAAAGCGACATGTGCAAGCGCGGATGGAGCAAGTGACGAGCAGTAGTTGGACAAAGACGGCTCAGAGTTATCGATCGAACTGGCCGCCAACTCGGGCCGGAGTGTGGCAAGTGATCGGACCTTGACTGAAAACCTCGCATTTGTCCAGGCCGCAAAGAAGCAAAAAAAAGCTCGCACTTCAGGTCGACCTTCCCGACCGATATGGCTACCTGCCTGCATTCTGTCCTTGTTTAATCATCTCCAACCTTTAGATTTTCCATCTTCGCAAACAGCTGTGAACTCTCCTCCGAAAATTTCGCATGCTCTTTTTCAGCTGCTTCATCACGCTCACGAATGCAGTCCGGCACAATGAGCTTCGTTCCCGACATCTCTCTAGGCTTGAATCGATGCATGGGATCTCTTTTCTCGGAATGATACTGCGCTCGCTGTTCTCGATTCCAGCTGAGGATGTTGTAGCGACTGCCTCCAATCGTTCCGCCGGCGCTGGCTTGATCGCCATGAGTCTCGCGGTACTCCGCAAGCTTGGTTCAAGTGAGCAAAAGAGTAAGTGTTTCTAGGGTTCATGACTTACGACTTTAGACCAGCTCCATCTTGATGCCGTGACATTGGATTCGAGGAGGTCCACATCACTGTTCCGTGGGTCCAATGTGCCGGAAAGACCGCTTACACCTTCATGTTGGAGTTCAATGTCAGCTTTGTAAGCATACGCCAATAACATGTCCTGCCAATAGATATCTTGCCCATTTTCCTTGAACACCGTCGTAGATGCGTCCTTTGAGAACCGGATGTAGAGTGCCATGACGATTCCTAGATCTTGAAATGCAGAGTCGTAGGCCAGCTGACCAATCCTGTCCAAGTGGTTCAAGGCTGTCAAGACGGCGCACCCAATGAGACCGCACAAGCTGTCTACTCGCGCACGATCTTCGACCTCCAGCCATGCTCCTTCGTGGGAATCACTGTTGAGGAAGTGACCTAGAGCTGCGACAATGGCCCACATTTGGTGGACATTTGGACTTCTGCTCATCGGAGTCATGCATGACTTGAGCTGCTCTCTATCAGCGATGAGTGATATCGAGCATGAGAGGGACGCACAAGCTTCTCAAGCAGCTCGATGATCCCAAAGCCAAACGTGTCGTTGGTCATGGACAAGTCAAAATTGTCTTCACATGTCAGAGACAGCTTCAGGATGTGGAGTCTCACGATGCTCACCTGGGTCGCAGTATGAAGCTAGGCGATTGTATTTGTCCAGCAATGCTGAGGTCTCGCGCATCGCCACCCAAGTAGAACTTGACTCTCGTGCCACCTCTTCACTTGATGTAACTGATGTAATTCAGAAGAAGGACTATCTACGGAAAGTCCAAAGATGAAGTGCGGCAGTTGCAGCCTCAGGCATCAGGCACGTAATGGACCCTAACACCTAGACACATACTCCAAGTCACCCCCTTAGCACGTGTATATGGCTATACAATAAAACAAGCAACACAATAGCTATTCTGTTAGCAAAGCAAACAAGGGGTATTAGGTAAGCAGAAATAGGTAAACAAACTAGACTACTCTTAGGTTAAATAGACAAAGCAATAAAGGCCCTTTCTTCTTAGTACTTAGCAGCTAGCTTTGTAGCGCTCTCAATAGCGGCCTTGCAATCTACTAGGTTTAGTTGTTTAATAAAGCGGCCGTGCTTAATCTTATTAAGTAGCTTAGTAAAGCCATCGGCTATCTAATTATATATACTAACCCATTAAACGATAATAGTACTATTAGTAATCTTCTCTCGAATATAGTGGACACGAGCATCTATATGCTTTGTGCGGCTATTAATACTAGTCGACTTAGTAATAGTAATAGCGGACTAATTGTCCTCGTAGAGCGTAACTAGAAGAATATAGCCCTTATAACCAATTTCCTTTAATAAGCGAGCTAAGGCAACTGCTTCCTTAGCCTCTATAGTAAGTTGAATATACTTAGCTTTAGTTAATAACAGTATAACGAGTGTCTAGCGGCCGGACTTATACAATAGAGGTCTGCCTGCAATAGTAAAGTAGAAGCCGCCTATAGAGCGGCGGGTAACTAGATCGTTAGCCTATAAGGCGTTATAGTAACTAGCGAACCTGAGGTCGTCTTCGTTTAGGTTACCTTAGAAGCGCATACTACGGCTAAGGGTGCTAACTAGGTACTTAATTAGCTAAAGAAGCGCGGTATAATACTCCTTAGTCGGGTTGGAAATAAATCGTAACAATAGGCCGGCAGTATAGCAAGCATCCGGCCGAGTAATTATTGCTAGCTAGAGGGCTTTACTAACACCCTCCTAATATTAAGCCTTAAAGGCGGCACTAGCTATATAGCCTTTAGGTGTACGCTAAATCGATGTCTTAACGTATCGAGGCGCTATTAGAGTAGCTAGACCAATACGGCTACGCATACCATATTTCTTACTAAGCCTATTTAGATAGGCATCCTAAACGATATAGATAGTACGCTAGTTACGGTTACGGATAATCCGTATGCCGAGATAGTAGTATAGGTTACTAAGTTCTCGTATGTTAAATCGGTCCTTTAGCATCTAAGCAACGGCTTCTAGTGCTAATAGGCTATAGGCGATAATAATTATATTATCGACGTAGATAACGATAATCGAGCCGCTAACAACGTGTTTAAACACACACACGTTAGTTATTATTAGTACAAAGTCCAGGCTCTTTAAGTACTTCCGAAGCTCTTTATACTATAGCATTAGTAACTGCTTTAGACTATATAGTGCCTTTAGTAATAGGCAAACTATGCCCTTGCTACCACGGTCCTTAAAACCGTGTAGCTGTTTAACGTAGATCTTGTGCTTATCGCCGATAAGGGTATTAAGGAAGGCAGTTAGGATATTATACTATTTAGCCTCTAGGTCGTAATAAGCAATCAAGCTAAACAGTACTCGCAGCGCAGATAGCTTAGCGACAGCCGTATAGGTCTCGTTATAATCCTGTCCTTTAACCTATGTAAAGCTACGGACGACCTAACGAGCCTTAAACCGGCTTAGATTGCTATTAGCGTCTCGCTTAATAGTAAAGACCTATCGGCTACGGACAACCTTGCGACCTTTAGGCACCTCTAACCGAGACACATGCACCTATATATAGTTATCGATTAGTAACTTGTACTTAGCCTTATAGGCCTCCTTCTACTATAGCTAATATAGTAACTAAGTCGCCTCCTTATAGCTCTTCAGAATAGGAATGGTCTCTTTAGGCTTATTAGACTATTCAGCAATGTAGTAGGAGGCTATAAAGCCCTTAATATAGGCTATCGGCATGTTAGCTAGTTAGCGGCGCGCCTTGCGTTAAACACCGGCATTAGCTAGGTACCTACGTAAGAGGTTACGAGCTAACTTGTTGCTCCGGGTCTTGCGCGTAGATCGATTACTAATAGCCTTAGCAGGTCGCTCAAACTCAGGTAACTAGCCTAGCTCGCCCTTCTTAGCGTAAGGATCGTATATAGGCTATTCCTTAGCGGATTAGAAACCATCCTTATTACTTAATAGAGGTTGAACAGCTAGCAGGTTATCCTCGAGCGGCAATAGATTAGCGACTTTATTAGCCACCTCCTAAGCTAGTTCTTCTAGAGCATCTTCCTATTAGGCTAGAAGCTGCTAGACTACACTAGCGGCTTCCTATAGCGACGGTGCCTCGTTACTTATAGAATTGAATAGAGCCGGCATAACCGACTCGAGTATAACAAACTCGTTCTTAGCTAGGTTATTAGGATTAGCGTATAGTATTATGCCCTCTAGAAGCAACAACTCCCCTAACTTAATAAACTTGACATCCTTAGAGGCAATAACCTTATACTAGTTAGGAAGATAAACTATGTATTTTCCTGAGTCCACTAAGCCCTTAGCATAGCTAACTAGTTTGCTAACAAGACCTCTACTATCTATCTTCTTTCTACGAGCAACTTCGTAATCGCACACAACAGCAGTATAGCTATAGGTACGAAGATATTAAAGGCGTAGCTGCTTCCGAGACTAATTAAGCTCCCTAGCTACAATAGTATAGGGGCTAAGACCTTCTAAGGTTCTAGGAGTGATATTGAGGATCTATATAGCAGTAGTAACTGCATATAGCTATAGGGCCTTTAGCAAATTGGCGTAGAGCATTATCTTCCGAGCTGTCGTATACATAATATAATTACTAACCTTAGCAAGTCCGTTCTAAGTAGAAGAATGAGGCGCTATAACCTATAGTATAATGCCTTAATTACGAGCCTAGCTTAATAGCTGGTTTCCGCCGTATTCACCCCCTCTATCGAGGCGGTAGATTAGGATCGAATAGCTAGTCTGTATACGGACGTATATATAGTAGTCCTTAATTGCTACTACAGCCCCTAACTTTAGTAAGCTAGCATACTCGTATCGATAGGCTAACTTAGCGCATATAAACAATGTAAAGTAGCGCTCTTGCAGCAGACTAGGGTTAGTAATAGTAACTACATCTATATAGACAATATAATAGATCGTAGATAGTCGCACTCGTAGCAGTCGGTTATATTCCTTATATAACATTGCTATATAATAAGCGATACAGTTTCGGAAGTCGGTCTTGTTTCTAGTAATAACAATCTAACCCTTAGCTTCTATTCGTAACAGCTTGCGGTAATGGATATAGCTATATTGTAGATGCTATTCTTCTATCGTGCCTATAGGCATCCCCTTCTTAGGCACCCCCTTCTTTAACAAAAGGGCAACTACCTTACTATCTAGACTAGAGGTTAGTATATAGAGATAGGGGAGACCATTCTTACGGTATGTCTAAGCGATAGTAACCTTATTGCCCTCTACTATCGTGAACAGGATACGCTTATCGTTCCGATAGAAACAGCCCTTGTCGGCAAGCTTCTTAGTAGACAGGAGGTTAGCTGCCAGACCTAGCATATACAGTGTATCAGACAACTTTATACTGCTTACACTACGCTTATTAACTACCTTAGTCTAAGCCATTCCGACTATCGTAGCGTGCTTCGTGTTGCTACTAAACCGGATAGGAATGTAATAGCCTTTATATTTAATAAGCAATAAAGGGTCGTTAACTATATGCATACTAGTACCTAAGTCGATAACCCAATTAGTAGTACGAGTACTAGCAGTAAGAGCCGTAGAAACCTAGTCGCTAACAGTAACTATAGTGTTTATAGTAAAGGCGTAATTGTAGCTTAGGTCTAATAACACCCCCGGGGTAGCATTAGCCGCATACAGCCCCTAAGCACTATTCTAACCGGACAGCGGTTGCTGTTACTACTAAGTAGTTAACGCCTATTGTTGCTTCTTCTTAGCCTTCTACTTCTCGCGACGAAGACGGTCTTCTTCCTTTAGGTAAGGGTACTTAGTATAGCAGCGGTTAGAAGGGTATAACCCCTAATAATAGGCGCACTTCTTACGGCTAGACTAATAACTATTCTAGTTGCTTCTACCGCGGCCTCGACCGTTGGTATTGTTATTGTTTCCGCGGCTACTACGACCGCTACGGCTCGAGTTACCTCGACCGTTACTATTGCTATTGCTACCTTACTATTGTTAGCGCTAGAGACCGAAGAAACTATTATACTAGGCCTAGTTTAGTTAAGCTACATTCTTATTAAGCAATGCGCTAATAATGTTGTTAAGTGTGTTATCGTTAATAGTGTATTCGGAGGCGCGTATCTGCTCTCGGCGTATCTATACGAAAGCCTCGTAGAATAGAGAGATCTGCATAATAAACATATAGACAGCCTAGTATTAGCTAATAGCTAATTTGGTATCCTTCAAGGCACTAAGCTTCTTCTTATACTTATTATAGAACTTCTTAATGTCCTTGCTATTATACCGAAGGGTAATATATTCCTAGTAGAGTATAAATTTAGTAGACCTACCTTTACTAGTATATTTCTTATATAGGTAAGTCTACACTTCTTACGATATAGCGAGACTAAGCAACGACTGCTAAACCTCGGCGATATAGTTAGCAAAGATCTACGTACGCGCTAATTAATCTTTTGCTTCCTATTTATCTTATCGGTCTTTAAACTCTAACTAAGTTTTAGAAGACAACTTAATATTAGGCTTTAGGCGGGTCCCCTAGATATAGCGCTATACCTGTATACCTTTAAGGGCACCCTTAGCGGTATAAGACTATAATAGATAATTCTCCTTATTCTTTAGCTTAGGAATGTTGCTTATATAAGCGCTAGCAGAAGTTATAGGGGGAGCTATTACAGACAGCGACGGCGATATAGAAACTATAGACTTTGTCTTAAGGGGCGGCCGATAGGCGCGCCTATATTCTAGTATAGCGGATAGCTAATACTAATATTAGAAACTAGTATAGCGGACAGCTAATACTAATAGTAGCCGACTCGAGTCTAGTACCTACTAGAATACTCGAGAGCGGCGGCGGCGGCGACGATATTAGTATCGGCGCAATTTTTAGTAACGAGCGCTATCTACGCAGCTATCGGAGTGACTATTAGAATACGTATAGAATACGTTAGAAACGCAGGGGGCTTATAACCACTTAATGTAACTAATGTAATTTAGAAGAAGGACTATCTACGGAAAGTCTAAAGATGAAGTGCGGCAGTTGCAGCCTCAGGCATTAGGCACGTAATGGACCCTGACACCTGGACACACACTCCAAGTTCTTCGGTGTCCTGGGGTTGTGCTAAGCAGAGATACTCATATGCCCCCGAGAAAGACCGGTCTTCGAATTGACTCTTGGCAGGTCTCTTTTGCTTTGGCTTCTTGCTCGAGCTTTCCTGCGATGCCAGTGATCGATTCGGGTCACGCTCAGCGAGAGCCTTTATCTTGGCTCGTCCAGGCTTGGCAGATGATGCACCGGTGCTTTTGTCGCCTCTACTGAAATCAGATATACTTGAAGTGTGTGGTGTGTGGTATCACGTGCATGATGCCTGAGGCTGAAACTGCGCACTTCCTTGAAGTGTGTGGTGTGTGGTATCACGTGCATGATGCCTGAGGCTGAAACTGCGTACTTCATCTTTGGGCTTCCTATAGATTAGCCCTCTTCTAAATATATTACAGTTTACATTAAGTAGTTATAAGCCCCCTGCGTTTCTAACACGTATAACACGTTTAATATATATTCTAATAGTTAATCCGACTACTACGTAGATAGCGCTTGTTACTAAAAATTACGCTAATACTAATACCGTCGCCGCTACCGCCCTCGAGTGTTCTAGTAGGTGCTAGACTCGAGTCGGTTACTAATAGTGTTAGCTATCCGCTATACTAGAATATAGGCGCGCCTATCGGCTACCTTTTAAAACAAGTCTATAGTCTCTTTCTATATTACCGTCGCTATCCGCAATAGCTCCCCCTATAACCGCTAACGCTTATATAAGCAACATCCCTAAGCTAAAGAATAAGGAGAATTATCTATTATAGTCTTATACCGCTAAGGGTGCCCTTAAAGGCATATAGATATAGCGCTATATCTAAGGGACCCGCCTAAAGCCTAATATTAAGTTGTCTTTTAAAACTTAGTTAGAGTTTAAAGACCGATAAGATAAATAGGAAGTAAAAGATTAATTAGCGCGTACGTAGATCTTTGCTAACTATGTCGCTAAGGTTTAGCAGTCGTTGCTTAGTCTCGCTATATTATAGGAAGTATAGACTTACCTATATAAGAAATACACTAGTAAAGGTAGGTCTACTAAATTCATGCTCTACTAGGAATATATTACCCTTCGGTATAATAGCAAGGATATTAAGAAGTTCTGCAATAAGTATAAGAAGAAGCTCGGTGCCTTAAAGGATACTAAATTAGCTATTAGCTAATATTAGGCTGTCTATATGTTTATTATACAGATCTCTCTATTCTACGAGGCTTTCGTATAGATACGCCGAGAGCAGATACGCGCCTCCGAGTATACTATTAACGATAACACACTTAATAACATTATTAGCGCGTTGCTTAATAAGAATATAGCTTAATTAAACTAGGCCTAATATAACGGCTTCTTTAGTCTTTAGCGCTAACTACAATAGTAAGGTAGTAATAGCAATAACAACGGTCGAGGTAACTCGAACCGTAGCGGTCGTAGTAGCCGCGGAAATAATAATAACGGTCGAGGCCGCGGTAGAAGCAACTAGAATAGTTATTAGTCTAACCGTAAGAAGTGCGCCTATTATTAGGGGTCGCACCCTTCTAACCGCTACTATACTAAGTACCCTTACCTAAAGGAGGAAGACCGACTTCGTCGCGAGAAGTAGAAGGCTAAGAAGAAGCAATAACAGGCGTTAACTGCTTAGCAACAACAGCAATAGCCGCTATCTAGTTAGAATAGTGCTTAGGGCCTATATGCGGCTAATGCTATCCCGGGGGTGCTATTAGACCTAAACTATAATTACGCCTTTATAGCTACGGTTACTATAAGCGACCTAGTTTCTACGGCTCTTACTGCTAGCACTCGTACTACTAATTAGGTTGTCGACTTAGGTACTAGTATTTACGACCCTTTATTACTTATTAAATACGAAGGCTATTACATTCCTGTCCGGTTTAGAGGCAACACGAAGCACGCTACGATAGTTAGCATAGCTTAGATAGAGGTTGTTAATAAGCGTAGTATAAGCAACATGAAGTTGTCTAATATACTGTATATACCTAGTCTAGCAGCTAACCTTCTGTCTACTAAGAAGCTTGCCGATAAGGGTTGTTTCTACCGTAATAATAAGCGTGTGCTATTTACGATAGTGGAAGGCAATAAGGTTACTATCGCTTAGATATACCGTAAGAATAGTCTTCCCTACCTCTATATACCAACCTCTAGTCTAGATAGTAAGGTAGTTGCCCTTATATCAAAGAAGGGGGTGCCTAAGAAGGGGGTGCCTATAGGCACTATAGATAAATAGCATCTACGATATAGCTATATTCATTACCGCAAGCTACTAAGGATAGAATCTAAGGGTCAAATTGTTATTACTAGTGCTAAGAAGGACTTCCGCAACTGCATTGCCTATCGCATAGCTATATTATATAAGGAATACAATCGGCTGCTACGCGTACGACTATCTACGATCTATTACATTGTCTGTGTAGATATAGTTACTATTACTAACCCTAGTCTATTGTAGGAGCGCTATTTCACACTGTTTATATGCGCTAAGTTAGGCTATCGATACGAATATACTAGCACGCTTAAGTTAGGGGCTGCAGTAGCTATTTAGGACTATCGTATATATATCCGTATACAGACTAGCTATTCGATCCTAATCTACTGCCTCGATAGAGGGGGTAAATACAGCGGAAATCAGCTATTAAGCTAGGCTCGTAATTAGGGCATTATACTGCAGGTTATAGCTCCTTATTCTTCTACTTAGAATAGCCTTACTAAGGTTAGCAATTACATCGTATATACGACTACGAGAAAGATAATGCTATAGGCCAACCTTCTAAAGTCTCTATAGCTATATGCTATTGCCTCCGCTATATAGGTCCTTAATATCACACCTAGAACCCTAGAAGGTCTTAGCCCCTATGCTATTGTAGCTAGGGAGCTTAATTAGTCTCGAAAGCAGCTACGCCTTTAGCACCTTCGAGCCTATAGCTATACTGCTATTGCATACGATTATAGTATAGCTCGTAGAAAGAAGATAGATAGCAGAGGCCTAGTTAGCAAGCTAGTTAGCTATACTAAGGGCTCTATAGACTCCGGAAAATACATGATTTACCTGCCTAATTAGCACAAGGTTATCGCTTCTAAGGACGTCTAGTTTATTAAGTTAGAGGGTGACCTTAACCTCCTGCTTCCGGATAGCATAAAGCTATATACTAACACTAACGACTTAGCTAAGAACGAGTTTGTTACACTCGAGTCTATTATACCGGCTTTGTTTAATTCTATAAGCAACGAGGCTCCGTCGCCTACCGAGGCTGCTAGTATAGTCTAGCGGCTTCTAGCTTAGCAAGAAGAACAGCCTATATAAGGACCTATATAGGAAATGGCCGATAAGGTCGCTAATCCGTTACTAATCGAGGACGACCTTCTAGACGTTTAACTACTAGCTTCGAGTAATGAAGATAGCTTCTAATTAGCTAAGGAAGATTAAGCTCCGCCCTTTAATCTAAATACGAAGAAGGGTAAGCCTAGCTAGTTGCTAGAGTTTGAGCGACCTAATACGATAGGCGCTCGTTCTACCCGTACAACCCGTAGTAACAAGTTAGCTCGTAACCTATTACGTAGCTATCTAGCTAATTGTAGTATTAAGCGGTCGACTCGACGTATAATAGCTAATATGCCGATAGCCTATATAAAGGGCTTTATAGCTTCCTGCTACATTGCTAAACAGCCTAATAAGCCTAAGGACACTATTCTAATTCTAAAGAGCTTTAAGGCCGCTAAGGAATTACAATACTAGCTATAATAGAAGGAGGCCTGTAAGGCTAAGTACAAGTCGTTAATAGATAACTATACGTAGGTACACGTTTCTCGGCTAGAAGTGCCTAAAGGTCGCAAGGTTGTCCGTAGCTAATAGGTATTTACTATCAAGCGCGACGCTAATAGCAATATTAGCCGGTTTAAGGCTCGTTAGGTTGTTCGTAGCTTTACTTAAGTTAAAGGACAGGACTATAACGAGACCTATACTGCAGTAGCTAAGCTAAGCACACTGCGTATCCTGTTTGCTATAATTGCTTACTATAACCTAGAGGCTTAACAATATAATATCCTAACTGCCTTCTTAAACGCACTTATTAGCAACAAGCATAAGATCTACGTTAAGCAGCTACACGGCTTTGAAGACCGTAGTAGAGGCAAGGGCATAGTGTGTCTACTGCTAAAAGCACTTTATAGTCTAAAGCAGTTACTAATACTATAGTATAAAGAGCTCCGGAAGTTTCTAAAGAGCCTGAACTTCATCCCTATTATAAGCGATGTGTGTGTGTTCAAACACACTATTAGTAGCTCAGTTATCGTTATCTACGTAGATAATATAATTATTATTGCTTATTTAATAGCCGCTCTCTAAGTAGTGGCTTAGTTACTAAAGGATCGCTTTAATATGCGGGAACTTAGTAATCTTTACTATTATCTCGGTATGCGTATTATTCGCAACCGCAAGGACCGCACTATCTATATAGTGTAGGACGCCTATCTAAACCGACTTAGTAAGAAGTATAGCATATAGGGCCGTATAGTACCGGCTACGCTAATAGCACCTCGATACGTTAAGACATCGATTTAGCGTGCACCTAAGGGCTATACTGCTAGCGCTGCCTTTAAGACTTAGTATTAGGAAGGTGTTAGTAAAGCACTATAGCCAGCAATAATTACTCGACCTAATGCTTGCTATACTATAGGCCTGTTATTACGATACATTTCTAACCCGACTAAGGAACACTATGCCGTACTTCTCTAGCTTATTAAGTACCTAGTTAGCACTCTAAGCCGTAGTCTGTATTTCCGAGGCACACAGAGCGATAAGCTCAACTTTGCTAGATATTGTAACGCTTTCTAGGCAGATAATCCGGTTACTCGTCGCTCTATAGGAGGCTTCTACTTTACGCTCGCTAGTAGACCGCTACTATACAAGTTAGGCCGCCAGACCTTAGTTACTCTATCGTCTATAGAAGCTAAGTATATTTAGTTAACAACTAGCGCTAAGGAAGCCGTTGCTTTAGCTCGGTTGCTATAAGAGATTAGTTATAAGGGCACTATTAAGCCTATTACGCTATACGAGGACAATTAGTCCGCTATTGCTATTACCTAGTCGACAAGCGTTAATAGCCGTACTAAGCATATAGATGCTAGGGTTTACTATATCTGCGAGAAGATCGCTAATAGCACTGTCGCCGTTGCCTAGATTAGTATATACGACTAGATCGCTAATAGCTTTACTAAGCCGCTTAACAAGCTTAAGTATAGTCGCTTTGTTAAACAGTTAAACTTAGTAGATTATAAGGCTGCTATTAAGAGCGCCGCTTAGCCTACTACTAAATACTAAATAGATAGAAGACATAGGTTTATTGTCTAGTTTAACTGCTTGTGTTTGTTTGATTGCTTTGTTATAATAGCCTGAAAGTGGTCTAGTTGTTTCTATACCTAATACCCCTTTGTTTGCTTCGCTAGTTTGTTTGTTTAGCTATATATACGCGATAAGAGGGTGACTTGAAGTGTGTAGTATATAGTATTACGTGCATAATGCCTAAGGCTGAAACTGCGCACTTCCTTAAAGTGTATAGTATATAGTATTACGTATATAATACCTAAGGCTAAAACTGCGTACTTTATCTTTAGGCTTCCTATAGATTAGCCCTCTTCTAAATACATTACAGTTTATATTAAGTAATATTACCTCAATCGCGGTCTAGGAAGGCATAGTAGAAGGAGTAACACCGCTAAAGTTTCATTAATCTATTCCCTTAACTATAAGTTATACAGACGTAATATTAGGTATTGTTTGTTTACTCCTACTAAGGAAGGTTTAACGTTCGTCGATTGTTAAGAATCGGGTACGCGCTAGGATCTATAAGGAAATATCTACTAGTTCTAGGAGGCTATAGGGAAAAGTTAAGACGCGGTTATAGGACTAATAGTCTATGTATTTAGTACTACTAGCTAAAGATATTATAGCGACTATTCCTAGTTATTCTACTAGTACTAGCTTAATTACTATAAGTCTCCTAGCACTTATAGAGCAGTAAGCTTAGTTTTGGTTAGAACTTGGGGGAAGGATAACTGTTTCTATAGTGTTTATCTTGTTCGGCGCTCGGACCGAGCCCTTAGCCCCCCTAGACTAACGGCCTATCCCTATCGCTATAGCCATAGTCCGCTCTTGCTGCTTGGTCTTCTACCGCAGAGCAGCGAGCAACTAGAAATTCTCCGATAAACGTTATTAATAGCAAAGGCATTACCGTACTCGGGGCAGGCTTGTTAGGAATTGTTAAGCTTCTCGACAATAACTTGATATAACTGATGTATTCGAGAGAGACTATCTACGAGAAAGTCGGAAGAAGAAGTACGGCAGTTACAGCCTAAGGCATTATGCACGTAATACCTATATACACACTCTTCAAGTCACCCCCTTATCGCGTATATACAGCTAAACAAAAGCAAACAAAGGGGTATTAGGTATAGAGACAATTAGACTACTTTCCGGCCATTGTACTAAAGCAATCTAATAAACAAGCAAGTAGTTGAACTAGACAAACACACATGCCTTCTATCTATTTAGTACTTAGTAGCAGGCTAAGCGGCGCTCTTAATAGCAGCCTTACAATCTACCAAGTTCAACTGCTAAATAAAGCGACTATGCTTGAGCTTGTTAAGCGGCTTAGTAAAGCTATTAGCGATTTGATCGTATATACTGATCCACGTAACAACGATAGTGCTATTAGCGATCTTCTTACGGATGTAGTGCACTCGAGCATCTATATGCTTAGTGCGGCTATTAACGCTTGTCGACTAGGTAATAGCAATAGCGGACTAATTGTCCTCGTACAGCGTTACAGGCTTAATAGTGCCCTTATAACCAATCTCTTATAGCAATCGAGCTAAAGCAACGGCTTCCTTAGCGCTAGTTGTTAACTAAACATACTTAGCTTCTATAGACGACAGAGTAACTAAGGTCTAGCGGCCTAACTTGTATAGCAGCGGTCTACTAGCGAGTGTAAAGTAGAAGCCGCCTATAGAGCGGCGAGTAACTGGATCGTTAGCCTATAAGGCATTATAGTAACTAGCTAGATTGAGCTCATCCTTGCTCTATATACCTTAGAAACACAGACTACGGCTTAGAGTGCCAACTAGGTACTTAATAAGCTAAAGAAGTGCGGTATAGTATTCCTTAGTCGGGTTGGAAATGTATCGTAATAAGAGGCCTATAGTATAGCAAGTATTAGGTCGTATAATTATAGCTAGCTACAGCGCCTCGCCAACACCTTCTTAATACTAAGTCTTGAAGGCGGCACTAGCTATATAGCCCTCTAGTGCGCGTTAAATGGACGTCTTAATATAGCGAGGTACTATTAGAGTAGCTAGACCGATACGGCTACGCATACTATACTTCTTACTAAGCCTATTCAAATAGGCATCTTAAACGACGTGAATAGTGCGCTAATTGCGGTTACGAATAATCCGTATGCCGAGATAGTAGTGCAGGTCGCCTAGTTCTCGTATATTAAATCGGTCCTTTAGCAACTAAGCAACGGCTTCTAGTGCTAATAGGCTGTAGGCGATAATAATTATATTATCGACGTAGATAACGATAATCGAGCTACTAACAACGTGTTTAAAGACACAGATATCGGATATTATTGGAATGAAGTCCAGGCTCTTTAAGTACTTCCGAAGCTCTTTATACTATAGCATTAGTAACTGCTTTAGACTATATAGTGCCTTTAGCAATAGGCAAACTATGCCCTTGCCGCTACGGTCTTTAAAGCTATATAGTTGCTCGACGTAGATCTTATGCTTATCCCCGATAAGTGCGTTAAGGAAGGCCGTTAGAATATCGTACTGCTTGGCCTCTAGGTCGTAATAAGCGATTAGTGCAAACAGCGCTCGCAGCGTAGACGGCTTAGCGACGGCCGCATAGGTCTCGTCGTAATCCTAGCCTTTAACCTACGTAAAGCTACGGACAACCTAACGAGCCTTAAACCGGCTTATATTTCTATTAGCGTCTCGCTTAATAGTAAAGACCTAACGACTACGAACAACCTTCCTACCTTCTAGCACCTCTAACCGAGATACATAAACCTATATATAGTTATTAATTAGTGACTTGTATTTAGCCTCGCAAGCTTCCTTCTACTATAGCTAATATAGCGACTAAGTTGCTTCCTTATAACTCTTCGGAATAGGGATAGTTTCTTTAGGCTTGTCGGACTGCTTAGCAATATAGTAGGAGGCTATAAAGCCCTTAATATAGGCTATCGGCATATTAGCTATTGTGCGTCGAGTCGACCGCTAGACGCTACAATCGGCCAGATATCTACGCAATAGTTTACGAGCGCTCTTGTTGCTTCGTGTCTTGCGTATAGAACGATTGCCTATCTTAGTTAGCCGCTTAAACTTAGGCAACTAGCTAGGCTCGCCCTTCTTCGCCTATAGGTCGTATACTAGCTATTCTTTAGCGGACTAGAAACCATCTTTATTACTTGAAGCTAGTAGTTAAACGTCTAGTAGGTTATCGTCGAGTAGCAACGGACTAGCGACCTTATTAGTTACCTCTATGTCCTAAGCAGGCTCGTCTAGAGGCTCTTCTTACTAGGCTAGAAGCTGCTAGACTACACTAGCGGCGTCGGCTAGTAACGGAGCCTCGTTGCTTATAGAATTGAACAGAGCCGGCATAATAGACTCAATGCTAATAAACTCGCTCTTAGAAGGGTTATTAGGATTAGTATATGGATCTATACTATTTAGAAGCAGAAGGTTACTATCTAACTTAATAAACTGAACATCCTTAGAAGCGACAACCTTATATTAATTAGGTAGGTAGATTATATACTTTCTAGAGTCTATAGAGCCCTTAGTATAGCCAACTAGCTTGCTAACAAGACCTCTACTATCTATCTTCTTTCTACGAGCAACACTATAATCGTATACAATAGCAGTATAGCTATAGGCTCGAAGGTGCTAAAGGCGTAGCTGCTTTCGAGACTAATTGAGCTCCCTAGCTATAATAGCATAGGGGCTAAGACCTTCTAGGGTTCTAGGTATAATATTAAGGACCTGTATAGCGGAGGCAATAGCATATAGCTATAGAGACTTTAGAAGGTTGGCCTGCAGCATTATCTTTCTTATAGTCGTATATACAATGTAATTGCTAACCTTAGCAAGGCCATTCTAAGTTAATAAATGAGGTGCAGTAACTTGCAGTATAATGCCCTCGTCTCGAGCCTAATTTAATAGCTGATTTCCGCCGTATTTACCCCCTCTATCGAGGCGGTAGATTAGGATTGAGTAACTAGTCTATATACGGATATATATACGATAGTCCTTAATAGCTACTACAGCCCCTAACTTGAGCGTACTAGCATATTCGTGTCGATAGCCTAACTTAGCGTATGTGAATAGTATGAAATAGCGCTCCTGCAATAGACTAGGATTAGTAATAGTGACTATATTAACACAGACAATGTAGTAAATAGTAGATAGTCGTACGCGTAGCAGCCGATTGTATTCCTTATATAATATAGCTATACGATAGGCAATGCAGTTGCGGAAGTCGGTCTTGCTTCTAGTAATAACAATTTGACCCTTAGCTTCCATTCGTAATAGCTTGCGGTAATGGATATAGCTATATCGTAGATGCTACTCTTCTATCGTACCTATTAGCACCCCCTTCTTCGACAGAAGCGCAACAACCTAGCTATCCGGACTAGAGGTTAGTGTATACAGATAGGGGAGACTATTCTTTCGGTATGTTTAAGTAATAGTAACCTCCGAGCCGTTAATAATAGTAAACAGCACGCGCTTGTCGTTCCGATAGAAACAGCCCTTATCGGCAAGCTTCTTAGTAGATAGGAGGTTGGCTGCTAGACCTAGCATATATAGCGTATTAGACAACTTCATGCTGCTTATACTACGCTTATTAACTACCTTAGTCTAAGCCATTCCGACTATCGTAGCGTGCTTCGTGTTGCTACCAAACTAGACAGGAATATAACAGCCTTTATATTTAATAAGCAATAAAGGGTCGTTAACTATATATATGCTAGTACCTAAGTCGACAACCCAATTAGTAGTACGAGTGCTAGCAGTAAGAGCCGTAGAAACCTAGTCGCTAACAGTAACTATAGTAGCGCTTGCAGTAAAGGCGTAATTGTAGTTTAGGTCTAATAACACCCCCGGGGTAGCATTAGCCGCATATAGGCCCTAAGCACTATTCTAACTAGATAGCGGTTGCTGCTGTTACTAAGTAGTTAGTCTACGCTGCTGCTATTGCTGCTGCACCCCCTTCTTCTTAGCCTTCTGCTATTTACGACGCAGTCGGTCTTCTTCCTTTAGATAAGGGTATTTAGTATAGCAGCGGTCGGAAGGGTGCGACCCCTAATAATAGGCGCACTTCTTACGGTTAGACTAGTAACTATTCTAATTCTAGTTGCTTCTACCGCGGCCTCGACTATTGTTGCTGTTTCCGCGGCTACTACGACCGCTACGGTTCGAGTTACCTCGACCGTTATTGTTGTTGCTATTGCTACCTTGCTATTGTAGTTAGCGTTAAAGACCGAAGAAGCTACTGTATTAGGCCTAGTTCAGTTAAGCTATATTCTTATTAAGTAACGCGCTAATAATGTTGTTAAGGGTGCTGTTATTAATAGTATATTCTAAGGCGCGTATCTGCTTACGTCGCATCTGTGCGAAAGCCTCGTAGAACGGTGCGATTTGTATAATAAACATATAGACAGCTTAGTATTAACTAATAGCCAATTTAGTGTCCTTTAAGGCACCGAGCTTCTTCTTATATTTATTATAGAACTTCTTAATATCCTTACTATTATACCGAAGGGTAATATATTCCTAGTAGAGCATAAATTCAGTAGACCTACCTTTACTAGTGTATTTCTTCTTAAGGAAGTCCTACACTTCCTAGGATGTAGACAGACTAAGTAGTAATTATTAAATATTACTAACACAATTAGCAAAGATCTAGGTACGCGCTGTTTAATCTTTGGAGTCCTATTTATCTTAGCGGTCTTTAAACTCTTCAGAAGTCTTACTAGATGCCTTAGTAAGGGGTCGCTAGCGGGTGCCCTATATATAGCGCTAGACCGATATACCTTTAAGGGCGCCTTTAGCGGCGTAGGCCTATACTAGATAATTCTCCTTGTTCTTTAGCTTAGGGATATTGCTTATGTAAGCGTTAGTAGTTATAGGGGGAGCTATTGCGGATAGCGACGGCGATAATATAGAAAGTATAGACTTTATCTTAAAGGGCAGCCGATAGGCGCGCCTATATTCTAGTATAGCGGACAGCTAATACTAATATTAGAAACCGGTGTAGCAGACAGCTAACACTAACAGTAGCCGACTCGAGTCTAGTACCTGCTAGAATACTCGAGGGCGGCAGCGGCGGCGATAATATTAGTATCGGCGCAATTTTTAGTAACAAGCGCTGTCTACGTAGCTGTCGGAGTAACTATTAGAATACGTGTAGAATGCGTTAGAAACGCAGGGGGCTTATAACCACTTGATGTAACTAATATATTCGAGAGAGACTATCTACGAGAAAGTCGGAAGAAGAAGTGCGGCAGTTGCAGCCTAAGGCATCATGCACGTGATACCCACACACACACTCTTCAAGTCAATGGACTCGTTGCAAAATCGCCTTGGCCTGGCGAGCAAGCAGAACGAAGCCAAGCGGACCTGCAGCGTGAGGCACGCGCACATCGCCAAATCCAAGAGGGCCTGACCGAGAATGATTACACGAGGAGATTCATTCGATTGATTTCATGCGACCCGAGCGACTCAACATTAACGATGGAATATGCGAAAATGGGCACGCTGCGCAATTATCTTCAAGCACATGCAGAGCAGATTGATCAATCGCGTCGATACTCTTGGATCCTTGCGATGGCTGAAGGGCTAGCGATGCTACATGCACAGAGCATTATCCATTGCGATTTCACCCCAAACAACATGCTCCTCGATGATCGTTTAGAGCTCAAAATTACGGACTTTGGATGCTGCTCGATCGACGGGTCGCGGCCCACTGGTGCTGCAAGTATACGTTTCGACCCTTGCAATGGCGATTGGAGGACTCTAGCTACACAAGTCGAAGACCTTTTTGCGCTTGGCTCGAGCATCTTCGAGGTGCTTACTGGCAAGAGACCGCTTGAAGATATACCCTCAGAATCTCAGATCAGGTGTGCGATCTGCATAGGCTGCGTCAGTTCGAAGATCTCACTGGACTAGAGATGTCGGATATTATTTTGGATTGTTGGCTTTTGAGGGCGCATTCAGCTCAGGCGGTTTACCAACGGATTCTTACGGCGGTGTGACACTGCCAGAATGGAAAAACGCCTGATCCTTTTGGGGTGGCATGAAGTGCGCTGCTGAATGTCGTCCAAAGGTGGTGCATCGCAAACCTGCTTCGCCATTCTACTTCAACACACCCAAATAATGTACGCACAAATCGACGATTTCCACGGTACTGACCAAGAATATATCCGATTTCTTGAATTATCAGGTCAACACTGTCAGACGACAAAGAGGATATGCGCCGTCGAATGGAGACAACATTGACCGTGGCGAGTCTATGGAATATCGAGGTCCAGCTGGCGAGACTGCATCATTTCCTGTAGATGAGACGCTCAGTAGTAGCGTTTCGCGTTGTTTCCGTATCGTTACTTGGAAGCCACAATTGGGGAACCATCCTCCCCGGCGGCAAAACCTAAAGATTTGAGCCAAGAGATCATTCTGGGTGTCATTTAAGTATCTGTGGGAAGTCCTGAGGACACTGGTGGAAGCTCGCTAATTGGTTGAGCTTGGTTTGGAAAGGCTGAGCAGGGATTTTGGATCCCCTTTTTCCCCACATGTCTACCCTCCAGGTTTGCTGTGGTGTCTATCCGGAAATTGATGATAAAGGCAGAGTCAAATGAATCAGCCTTGGAGATTGCGATATCCCACACCCTGAAGTGTAGATCTGCGGGCATTGCTTCTTAGTCTTAACAGTGTCCTCCACAAAGCTGAAAATATTGAGCGGGGTTGGTGTCTTCGCAGTGAAGCAGCAGCCGCCCAGGGCAAGGGGTACGTGGTCGCCGTGAAGTCGTAAGCTCTTCTCAGTCATAATAAAGACGCTTGACTTGGAACGCGGGTATTAGATCAACAAGAAACGAGAACGCAACTGTGCGATTGAATCGATCAAGTGGCCATACGCTGCTTGATACGAAGCCATGCCCTGACATGCGGTCGGGAAATGTTTCGTTGATAATGCGTTCACGAATGCCAGCGCCAGACGTTTCGATTGTCATGGCATGGCTCCCTCCTCCTCTCTTCTGGTCAATAAATTTGCATGTGATCGACGTGAATAGGTGAGCTGTGCATGGCATGGCTGGACCATCGTTCCATCCTGGAAAACTTTCAAACAGGATAATGACCCCATGGGTGGAAAGTGCTGTTGAAAGAGAGTCCGCCGGCGCTCTTGACTTCCCAGTACCTACCTGGCCAGCCGGAGGCTCCAGTTCACGATGTCAAAATGAGTTTCGTTCACTGATTCTGTGTCCATACCGGCTGGTGTAGGCGATTCTTACGATGTGCTTCCTTAGGCTCCAGATTAATTGCCTTTCACGTCTTGCGTCTCGGTGTTGATGTCGGTTGTATCTCCTGCTTGATCAGTTGTCACTCGCCACAAGAAAAGGTGATTTTTACCGCCGAAAGAGCACCGTTCCTCCCACATCCAATGATTGCCTGTCGGTTGCCGACTGGGAGGACACTGCGCCCTGCTTTCGTGAAGCATAAGAGTTCGGAGACCTTTCTCTGCCTCGTCCTCTGCTTCCTCCACACACATCTTCCTCAAAGTGCCACATCTCTCACCCTTCTCTCCCTCAAAGTGCCACATCTCTCACCCTTCTCTCCCATCACCACTCACGACCCTTCGAACACTTCTCAGGCCTCAGATCTTTCGTCGTACAACAGCAGCAACCAGGTCACCCCGATCACCACTTGCAGTACAGACTGGGATCCTCAGCACCAGCCTTCGAACGAACGCAAGACCGCCAAACCGCCAGACCAAGCATCCTGCTGTCAAATCCCAAAAGGTCGGGTTTTAAGTCCTTTCCAATGATATATCGCAAGAGAGTCATCTCTGAGGGCATCGCCCGATGATGATAGCATTTTGCACGTTGAGGTCAGATGACATGTCCCCACCCCCGGCGTTGACGTGGGTTTCACAGGACAAATCACTCCTTTCCCATACACAGGTGTTCGACCGACGGTTTGGCGGCAAAGCGTTCGAATTTCCTTCCGATGCGAGCGTGTGTCCACCACTCACCGTTGGGATCATCGTGGAGAATAGAGTCGGAGGAATCTAAAAGGAAGTTAAAAGATCCGCAGTTAATTTCATAAAATGCAATAGGTTGTCTCCTCGCCTTACTATCTTCTCATTCCAGCGTGTCTTGTCTTGTCTTCCCGGCTTGATTTGGTAATGCGATTATCAAGTCAGGTGTCTGTAGAAAATTAAGAAAGGACGAAATGAGGAAGCTGGAAGGTGGGTTTCCAAATAAAGAGGCTGATTAGTAAGAGCAATTGGCATGGCCGTGGAGCGCTCAAAATTTCAATGAGAAGTGACAAAGTCCTTGATCCACGAAGCCGACCTTTGACAGGGAGGTGTCATCTCCCATGTCGATAGGCGGAGCACAAAGGTTTCTATTGTGATCCTTCGATCATGCATCTACCAAAGTATTTCCAAATTCGCTATGGGTGGAAGGTCTCCATCCTCTTCCATCGCATCAGCCTCCGAGGCACCAGGCCGGCGTAGTGGTCGTCTGTGCCAGTGGGCAATGAAGCTTTGAGCAGCATTTTCCGTATGGAAGCCAATGATAAAGACATTCCCAGGTGTACGTCTCGGCGGTTCTTTGGCTTTTGGTTCTGCTTCAAAAGTCGGCGAAGAAGCCGCCGGGTCTGGTATGTCTTCACCCAGCTCCTGTCGCTCCACCCAACGCGCTGCCCGCTCGCTTCTGTCGTACTCCGAAGGAACGCTATCCATGTCCAATTCCCACCTCGTAATCTTTAGGTCGAAATTGTCACCCCCAGACCAACTCAGACCTCGTTTCTTGCCATCATCCATCATGATGTGTCTGATTACACTCGGCTGCAGCTGAGGCCCCTCCATGGTCAGACGAGCCTCGTATGGCATTCTGTCTTCACGCTTAACCAGTGGCCGATAACCTTCATTATTGAAAATGGAAGAAATCATGGGCGTCAAAGGTGGCTGCAGCTGGCGCAGCTCGAGCTTCTGGTTCGGAGGCACTAGCGCAAAGGCCTGAATGGCTGATTGCACGTCAATGCCTTCAACCATCCATCCCGGCGGGGCTGGTATGGGGCTAGCGGTGTTGCTGGGAGTGAACAGCGCTGCGAATCGATGGATGCGCTGGACATGCGCTTTGTAGGTAAACGCACTTAGCACAGACGAGAACAGGATGTAGTATATACACCTATGGGCGAGTGTCTCTAGATCCCGGCAAGGTATCACCTTCTGGATGTCGCCCTCCTTCAGCGTCCAGCCTTCGATATGCTTGCCCTGCGGAATCAGGCGACGGAAGTCCTCCTCTGTGAGATTCTTGCTGGCATTGCGCAGCTCCAGGACAGATGTGTTTGGTCGTGATGCCGCTTTCACGGCGTCCGGGTCCCTTTTCGGTAATGTGTTCTTGCCGTCTTCGCGGGAGAAAGGAGTGGCTGCAGGAGCGATTTGTGGAGATTCACCGATGTCAAGCGGCAGGCGTGGTATTTCTCGTGAAACCTTCTCTTCGTACTTCTTTGATTCCTCGGGAAAGAGCTGTTCGATGAGAGAGGGCTTCTTGGCATCTTGTTGGGGGGTTGACTCTTTCGCTGGCTCTTCTGATGAGGCTTTTGGGGCAGCTTCACGTGGCAATGGTGAGAAGCGTGCTCGCGCTGGCTGTGTTCTGTCTCTGTCACCTTGGCTTTCGGCTGCCTGGGACGCGTCCCCCTGCGGACGGCCGAATGATCGGCTTTGATGTAGCACCTGCACTTGAGCACTCCATTGCTGACGAGCGGCGCGCAGACAGTCGCGTCGCACTCGGATCATCAAGCATTCGCATTCGAATTCGCATCAATGGTCGTATAGAGCGGAGCTTGAGGCGGCCGATGTCAATGGCATTATTGTTCCGATAGAAAAGCGCGGGGGTGAGTAAATGCGGTAGGATGAAAGATGCGATGCGCAAAGTCTCGGCAGTCTCGGTGCACAGACCGTGTTCCTCTGCCCCTGCCTGAGGCGCAATACGTGCAGACTCGGTAGCCAATGTGCTTCCTCCGACTTGCCTTAGTAAGCCAGAGCCAAAAGCCACGGGCCCCACTCTACGCTTGATACAGGTTGCTCGCTTGTTCGTTCCTCACGCTGCCCAAAGCATACAGCAGGCTCCTACATCCGACATATGCGTTGCACATTCTAGCTGAGGGTTCTTGGAGAATCTGCCCAGAGATCTAGGCTACGTGCTGCTAGGACTCGCTTCTCGATCCAATTACAGTCGAGTTTGGTCGATAGCAAGGATTAGCGGTGCCTTGGCAGTCTGTGCACGGAGGCTACTCCAGTGCACGCTTTCACATCACTTTTTTACCAGACTTCTGACATCGTCCTTCGACGACGATCACGCTCGTATTAGGAACGGCAAGCCTGCCCTGCGAACAAGCGCACCTGCAGGCGACACCCGAGAGTCACTGCCCCCTGGTTTTGAGCTGAGCTGAGTCGTGTACCTGCGGTGGCACACTGTTAAAGAGGACAGTCGCGCCGCACTGCCCCAGAATGTTTGGTCCACTCAAAAATACCAGCATCACGCAACCAGGGCTACCGTGAAACGGACAGGGGCAGGGTCAAGATGCACGTGGCAGATGCATCGCACCTCGTTGTGCGTGATCTGCCGTCACAAGGACTTGAAGGCGCATTCAGAGTACATCTTCTGCCAGAAAGTCTTCAACAGGCAGGACTGAAAGTTGGCGACGTATGCAAAATCACAAGTGAAGACGGAAGCATCGGTCATGGCATCGCATGGCGAGCTGACGATCGCATGGGCAACCGACCGAAGCTCCGACCTGCCAAAATGACCCACACCTTCCGCGCTGCGTGTGGCTTTGAGGAAGGCTCGAAGGTCACCATTGCTGCGAGTGACGCCAGTGTTTTCCGAGCCGACAAGATCCTGCTCACCGACATCACACCATCTGAGTACAAGAGACCCGACGATGTTGACGACGCCTGCTGGAAGATACGCATTGCACACCAGTTCAGTATGTCCGACTCGCCCAGAAAGCTTGCTCGATGCTGACATTATCAGGCCAGTGTGAGGCTGTTGCTCCAGGAATCTCCTTCGACGTCGTGGGCAAGAGAAAAGTTCGCAGGAGATACTACATTGACAGCATTGAATCCACTGCAGCACCACGTGCTTCTCTTTTCTCTATTTGGGACAATACTCAGCTCTTCATATCCAGCGCCCAAGCAAGACCTGTTGCCGCCGAAGCTTTTCAGAGCCCAACCATCGCCGTCATGTCTGCCAATGACTCGACCTTAGTCGGTAGCAGCAATCGAGGTAGCGACATCTCTCCGGGAAAGAACCCACTTTCTCCAAATGGCACTACCTCTCCGAGCTCACTAAATACTGATCGTATAGGCGGCCTGCCGGATGTCACTGAGAAGCTCAATTACCAGCTGTCAGTTCTTCTGGCCCAGCCAGAACTATTCGACAGGCTGAGAAAATCTTTTCACGTCAACGAGCCAATACTCATTCACGGGTATGAAGGAACTGGAAAGTCAACACTGCTCAATGCACTCGCGGACTGTGCCTTCAAGAAGGTGTTACGGCTCGACAAACCTTGCTTGAATGGCGGAAGCCTGGCAAAGAACCAGCAGATCATCAGAGACACTTTCGCCGACGCGAAAGAGAATGAGCCATCCATCATCCTGATGGACGACCTGGAGAAGCTTGCGCCCCATGACGATGTCGCCTACGCTGGCATTCTTGGCAAAGAGCTGGACGCAATTCATAACAAGCATATCATGGTCGTTGCTGCAACAAGAGTGGTCGCCGATGTCCAAAGCGTGCTCATACAGCCCCCTAGATTCGATTTTCAGATCGAACTGCCGATTCCGGATGTTTCTGCTCGAGAGCAGATCCTAAATGTGCTGAGACGCAAGCCAGCCTTCGCAAAAGACTCCGTTTCTTCGGAGACCTCTATACGGACGCACGGCTTCACGGGCAAAGACCTCGCTATACTTCACGCTCGCGCCAACCACTGTGCTATGGTCCGCTTCCGACGAGCGATAGAGGAGCTCACAATGGATAGATCATCGAAACCGCCCGCATACGAACAGGCAATTGGCGCTTCACCCACCCCCAACGAGCCAAATCCAGATATAACACTTCGCGACTTTGAAGTAATACTCGCGTCAGGCGCCGTAAAGCCCGCCGCACTTCGCGAGTTCTTCACGGAGAAGCCATCGATTTCCTGGGCCGACATTGGTGGCTCGAGTCAAATGAAGGAGAGCTTCGATCGGTCCATTGGCTGGACGCTGAAGCACGAGTATAAAGACCAGATGGCCGAAATGGATCTCTCACCACCAAAGGGAGTTCTCCTTTACGGTCCTCCAGGATGCTCGAAAACTCTTACAGCACAAGCTGTGGCCAATTGCTACAACTTGAACTTCATCGCGATCAAAGGCGCAGAGTTGATCAGCATGTACGTTGGCGAGTCGGAGCGAGCAATACGAGAGGTCTTTCGCAAAGCTCGGGCAGCCTCTCCTTGCGTCATATTCTTCGACGAGATCGACTCAATCGGCTCCGACAGAGACAGCGGCACCAAAGGTCTGAATGTCGTCAGCACACTCCTGAACGAGATGGACGGCTTCGAGACACTCAAGGACGTCTTCATCTTGGCTGCGACCAACAAGCCCGAAATCCTTGATCCAGCACTAATTAGGCCTGGACGTTTCGATAAACTCGTATTCGTCAGACCTCCAAATGATGTTGCGCGACAAGAGATTCTGATGATTGCGACTCGGAAAGTGTCTCTCTCCGCTGATATAATCATTGATACCCTGGTAGCAGAGACGGAAGGCTATAGCGGGGCGGAGATCAAGCGTATCTGCCATGTGGCTAAGGAGATTGCATTGCAGAGATGGTACACTGGCCAGGGTGAAGCGAGGATTTGTGCAAGTGATTTTGAGGAAGCACTCCATAAAGTCAAGAGAGGCATCAGCCCCGAAATGCTTGCTGCATATGAGGCTTTCGAGAGTGGCGCGAAGGCTTGAGAGGAGAGCGACAGCAGAATTTGGAGCTAAGTTAGCTGGCAAGTGAGTTTTGGTAATCTGAAAGTCACCTAGTCTGACCCACGTACTCTACCAATAGGGACCTTTAGAAATGGTCAACCTGGCCACCGGCTTCCAAATAAGCGCTAGCTCGTGACCGTTAGGTGAAGGATTAATATAGCGCTTTTTACGGACCTTTAGAAGAGGCTAATTAGTATATAATTGAAAGCGGTTTAGTATAGTAAGGAGCCCCTATTCTAGACCTTCTAGGGATATAGACCTTAGCTATAGACCTATAGACAGTGTAGTATACTAAACTATAGAAACTAGAGCGATTGTAGTTACTATAGCTACTATAACGGTCGTTACTATTGCGAGTAAATACCTCGAGGAAAACAGTAGTAATAAGGACCGGTAGGCGTAGAGGGAGAGTAAATCTATACGTAAATAGTAGCACCGCTAGTTAAGGCGTAACCGACTATTTAAACCGGCGAGAATATATAATAAATAGCGCTTCGACCTTCTTAGTTATCCGGAGGCTAATATTAAGGATAACTTCCGCTTTATAAGGCCTAAATTAATAGAGTTAATAGACCTATTAGATATTAGTTTAATCGTATTACTAGTTAGCCTCAAATTGCTACCTATAACGGTGCTTTATATTGTCTATAAGCGGCTGTCTAGTCTAGGCTTCTAGAAGGATATAGATAAGAAGTTTAGCTATTTAGCTACTATATTAAGTTATATATTTAATACGGTAGTATATAGCCTAGCGCTAAGGTAGAAGTCGTTCTTATTCTTTAATAAGAGGCGGCTTAGTAAGCAATATCTCCGGAGCCTAGCGGAGTCGCTATATCTATTAGTTAGAGTGTCTAGTGTCTTCGGATATATAGATAGCACTATAAGGAAGATTGCGAGACCTAGTCGCAACTAGAGGGTGTTCTATAATAGCTATAAGCACTTCTATAGCCTTAAATTCTAAGGTATATAGCTGCCGGATGGAATACTGCTTATTAATAGCCCTTATCCTAGCTCTTACGGCAATAGTCGACTAGTACGCGAGTCTAATATTAACTAGGTATAGTATAAGTTGTTTAATAACGACCCTATCGAAGATAAGCTCTTTCTCTTTAGTAACTCGGTATATAGACAGGTTAATAGCATTATTAGATCGTAGAAGTCGAAGAGAGGCGGCTATTGTAACCCTATATAGGCGCAGGTTACGAAGGAATAGTCGGCTCTACAATTGTCGGTCGAATAGGGGTTTAGTAAGGTAACTAACAACTAGCTATTCTTCGAGTATAAGAAGGGGCTACGGACTAGTTTAATGCCGATAGGGTCCTGCTATTTAGTAGTAGTGTTACTTACTAATTGCCTATCTTACTATCGTAGAAATAAGGTCGCTACGTACTACGGTTTAAGGTGTCTAGACATTAGAGATTACTTAGGTACTAAGCTACTACCTATGCCGCTAGTAGGTATAGAAATGCCGGATCTAATGCGTATAAACCCTTCTAGTAATAGATTAGAGGTTGGAAGTAATATAGAAGATATAGGGGAAGTAGTTATTAATAATAGTAATAAAGAATAGTAAAGAATAGCGATAGATTAGTAAGGAGATAATATCTAACTCTTCCCTATCCTCTTATTAATACTCGGATTAGATACAGAAGAGCTTCGGATAGCTGTTTTACTATAGCGAGAGCTATATACCTTGCTTCTTAGTATCTTAGCAAGATATAAAGGCAGAGAATAGTAAGGGGTGTAGAAATTTCTAGAAGTCTTCGAAATTCACTATTAGTAACTAATAGAACTGTAGCATTATAACTAATAGTATCGAAGGTAGTAACAACTATGCTAGAGAATTCGCCTCTTACTAAGTTTCTTACTAATTCCGGAACCAACGAGTACTTAGAATACTATATACGATATACCCGATTTAGTCCTCTTCGCTTAAGTCTAATACCTCGATTACGCGAATATTGTTAGGGCTAAAGAGGCTACACGTAATTGGCATGTAACTAGGCTAAGTAAAGCTAGGGTCTCAGTGCCTTAGGCAGGGCTTAGCGCTTAGCAATAGGCTAACTTGCCTACCTTCCTCCCTCTCCTCCTAGCTTCTTATCGAATACTACCTATACCTACTACTACCCTATCTATCTACTAACAGACCCTTCTTATATAGTATTCGATCTACCCTTTAAGGGCAGCAGCTAGATAGTTCTTATTTCAAGCTTTTAGCGGTATAGCTACGAACAAGACTAATCTAACTATATTGTGCCCGAAGAACGGGACCTATACGTACTATTCTATCGAAACAACCGTACCAATTATTAAGCAAGGCCTTCTACACGGCCTATTACACTGAGTTAATCGTACTAGACTAATATCTACTAATTCCGCTATATCCGTATCTTAGGGGCTAATAATATATTATTAGTGTTACCCCCTATTACAATAGCCGGCTTATTACGAAACAATAACCGTGCTGCCGCTAGCAGCGCTAGCAACGACAATACTAGTAGCACAGTACCTACTAAAGTGCCTATTAAAGCACCTACTAAAGTGCCTCCTACTAAAGAGCCTACTACTAGGCCTATCGAAGAACCCGTAATTCTAGGTAACGACCTAGAGTTGCCTATTAACGATATTCTTAGCAATATTGTTAACCGTCGATATAGCTAACTAGCCTTTAGCCCTTAACTATTAGGGAGGCTTTAAGAAGCTACTTAAAACAGGCTTACTACCCTACGTTAAGAATAATAGCTAAAGGATAATCTCCTCGAGCTCCGTCGCCTTTAGGAGGCTCCGATAGCAAAACTAATAGCGGGACCTTCTTTACTATCTATCTAAAAGAAGGATGCTAAACTTAAGGACTATACTGTGTTTAACGGCTCTAGTCGAAAGCAGTACAACGACTACATTCGTAACTATAAACTCAACTAGCGCAATGTACTAAGAGCGCTACTAGACGACTATTCCTTAGTCGTATACGCTATATAGTACATTAATAGCGACCTAAAGCGTATATAGGATAACTATTTCGACTCCCTCGACGACTAGACCGCTATTTAGTAGCAGACCTATAAAACTATTATACTAGATACCCTTAGAAACCCTATACTAAGGCAACAATATACTTAGGACCTATATCTTCGAGCTAAATAGAAGACTAATCAATCGGCTCGCTTATTTAAAGCCTATTTGAAAACCCTTAAAGACGACCTTCCGCCTAAGACTAATTCTATATAGATCTCCGAGATACGCCTAAAACTTAGATAGGAGCTTATCCTTAAATTAGACCGTCGCCGTGTGTTCGAGCAAGCTAATCTAATACGCATTTAATTTATAGTCGAAGTAGAAACAGCCGAACGGGCTGTTTAGCTCTAATAACGACTAGAATTAAGGATCCGACTAACTAGTACTAACCGTAGCAACCGTAGCTACGGAGGAAACTAAGGGTCCTACTAGGACAACAATGCTAATAGTAGGAACAGTAACAACGACCGTAGAAGAGGCCGTAGCCGGCGGCTATATAGAGGAGGCCGCGATAGGGGCCGTAGAAGGGGCTCGTATCCCTATAATGCTAACCGCTCTGCTAATAATAACAATAGCTACGGCAGTCTACTAACTAGATTGAAGTGCTTCAATTGTAATAGTACTAGCTATCTACTAGGCTAATATAACAAACCTAAGGACTAGGCCCGAATTAACCGTACTTCCGCTAAACACCGAAAGCACCTCTTAGCGGCTAACGCTACCCCTATAGGCTAACCTTCGAAAAAAGAGTAAGCGCCGTACCAACTGTTAGCCTCGTACGGCGTAAGACTATCGACATTATACTAGCTATAATACGCTCCTACCTTGTATAGGACACGAAGGGTACTACCTATTAAACTAAGGTTATGCTAGATCTAGGAAATTCAGTTAGTGCCCTTATTAGCTATCGCCTAGCTAAGCAATTAGACCTTCGACAACTGCCGAAGACTAACCTACTAACCCTTGCTTAGTTTAATAACGCTCGGCACTTAACCTATAGGGCCTACTATATTCCTATAGCTCTAAAGGACGACCTCGGAAATAAACGCCTACTAGACTTTACTGCCTACGTAGTAGATATAGACAACCTATATAGGGGAGCTACTATTGTTATTAGCAACCCTATTCTTAAGTACTACGCTATAGCTATAGACTTAGGCATTTAGAAGTAGCGATTTAGAATCGCTAGGAAAGAGGACATTAAACACATTAATATTAGCGAGTGCCCTAACGATATTAGGGTCCTGTTTATTAGTAACCTAATACTAGCCTCCGCCTTAGCTAATCCGACTACCGATTTGCTCGGTAGTAATAACGATGAACCTATGCCCCCTAATAATCCTAATCAGCTTGCTCGTATACTAGAGCCTATCCGAGAGACCTACATTAATGTATTTAAACACTACCTAGCATCGACATTGCCTATGTTTAAAGAGACGGATTATAAGATTAATATTATAGAGGGCAAAGAGGTCCCTTTTAGACCCCTCTACAACCTTAGTAAGCGAGAGCTTACTATATTGCGTAAGTACCTAGAGGAAAACCTAGCTAATAGCCGGATACGGTACAGTAACAGCCCTACTAGTGCCCCTATCCTATTCGTACTAAAGAAGGATAGTAGCCTACGCCTCTATATCGATTATCGTAGGCTTAATGCTATTACTATTAAAGATCGCTATCTACTTCCTCTTATTAATAAGACCCTCGATCGCCTTTCTAGTACCTACTACTATACTATATTAGATATTAAGGACGCCTATTACCGCATTCGTATTCGTAAGGGCGATGAATAGAAGACAGCCTTTCGTACTCGCTATAGCTATTTCGAGTACTTAGTTATGCTATTTAGGCTAGCTAATGCCCCTACTATATTCTAGTCCTACATTAATCGGGCCCTATTAGGCCTATTAGATCACCTCTGTATAGTTTACCTAGATAACATCCTAGTTTATATACACTTACCTAAT